TCTTAAATAGGGTATAAATACTATCTATAAGGCTAATTTATACTAACTTATATAATTATCTCTAGGTAAATTACCTATCTAGTAAAAAAGGTTTCTTAGTGAATACTTAGATAGATAGGTTAACTACTTTTATTATTACTATACGTCTACTATTTTAGCTTATTAAGTACCTTAAATTTTATGCTTTTATCGAGATAGCTTCTTCTATCTTATCTATCCCTAAAATACTAAGTGCTAGGACTATCTATTAGTATCTTTAGAAGATAGTTATAGAACGTTAGGAGTCTCTATTTTAATATTTCTAGAGAGTACTAAGCTTTCTATTATATTAGATTACTAGACCTCTCCTTTTCGCTAAGTATTTATAGTAATTACTAGCTACTTTATTAATCTTAAGTAGAACTATTATAAGATTCTACTTAGCTTTAAACCTCTCTATAGCTCTTATATAGACGCCTATCTAAGTAGTATTCTATTTAGGCTATTTAAGAAGTATTAAATTACTAATCGTATACTTATAGTTATAATTAATAATATATTAAATAATAGTATATTACTAACTACTCTTAAAGAGGCTATTTCGTCTCTTAAGCTTCCTAGTTATATACTAATTATTCGTATACTATATATTATATATATTATATAACTTAGTCTTAAGGAGCTTCTTAGCTAGATAGATACGAACCTATAAAATAATAGGGAAGAGATAGAATAGGCCGATTAGGGAGATAGCGCTTAGTAAGAGAATCGGAAGATTATATAGACCCTAAATAAAGTATACTATATCTCTTTTCTACTATTATTTCTCTATTTAATACTAACTATATAATATCCTCTAGGTTCGAAAGATTGCTATCTATATTAATAAAAGCCCCTAGCGCTATAAGAGTTTTAGTGTATTTTAGACTAAAGAACTAAAGCTTATACTAATATAAGATATCCGAATACGCTAGAATTCTATCTTTCTAATACTTCGGTGCGTACGTCGGCTATAGACTATATTTAATAGATTTTATAATTAGTTTAATCTAACTAATATAAAGCTAGATAAAGATAAATAGTAATAGGTTAACTATCTACTATTAATTACCTATCCTTTCTTTAAGTTTACTTTATCTCTATTAGCGATAACTAATATAACTATCTATAATATATTTAGGATCTATAATACCTTATTTACCTATATTAATAAGGTAAAGGCGTAGCTAGTACGAAAGAGAGTTAGGTAGAAGAAGGTAATAAAGCTAGCGCTAGAGTATAGGCGCGAAAAGCTTATAGAGTATTATAGCTAGATTAATAATATTCCGAATAATCTCTATATAATTAGGACTATCTTAGGCTTACGAAATAAGCTTAAGTTCTTTAGGATATTAGAATAGGAGAAATACTAAGTACCGTAGTATTAAGAGTCCCTTAAGACTTATATCGAGCCTTACTAATAGCGCTATATAGAGATATAGTTAATATTAACTATTTAGTTACTAAGTAACGATATCTCTAATATTAATATATTTCTAAGACTTACTACCTCTCTCTAGTTAACGCTAACTACTCTAGATAAAGTTATAAGATATCTTAGAAGTAGTAAGTCTAATAATACTCTTTTATACTAATATATCTTAGCTTTTATTAATATTATATCTCTCTAGGTACTATTTAATTAATACCCCTAGTCTTCTAGAAGGCCTATAAAGTAGAGTATCCTATCCTAGTAAGCCTTACTTAAGATATCCTTATAACTCCGGCTAGTAACTCTAGGGTAGAGAGGCTCTTTAACTCTACTCGCGATATATATTACTATTACTATAGCTTATTAAAATTATAGACTATTTAGGATCTAATAATATTTATATATATAATAAGATTTAATATATAGTTAGAGTAGTTTATACTAATAGATAAATTTCTCTCTATCTAAGAGAAGTATATAAAGAAGGAGTAAGATAATACTAAGTAAGATAATAAGGAGTTTAATCTTATTAGCGATAATAAAGAAGGTAGGATAATAGATACTTCTATAGAAGTATCTATTTAGCAACCTAGTTAACGAGTACTAGGGAAGAGAAGGGCTATTAATAGTTAGCTTACTAAGCTAGAAGATAATAAGATCCCTCTACCTAATTTTAATATCTAGAGGCGTTTATTAGGGCGTATCCTAAAGAGATTAAGATATAATATAGATTTTATATATAATTAGTAGAGATAAAGAATCAGGTTTTTTCGGCCGAAATCATTATTATTAGTTTTTTCTACAGAAATCCTCTTTAAGCTAAAATTAGCCTATACAAATAAAGAATAAAAGTAGAATACTGAAAAATACTAACTAATTCTATATAAAATATATATATTACGGGGTTTCCTATATTTATCTTGTTTACAGGACCGTACGGGGGACCGGGACCGCAGTAGTACGGTCCTAAAAAAGTCAGGACCGCCCAGCGGTCCTAAAAGTAAGGACCAAGCCCTATATAGTGCGGTCCGGTCCCGGTCCTGGTCCGGTCCTAGGCGGTCCTTGCCGAGGTCTACTAGTCTAGGAGTAATAGGCCTAGTAAGTAGTCTCTATACTATTAAAAGATCGGTATAGATCTACTATAGTATTAGCTATCTCTTACTAAATATTAGTAGCCTAGGGAAAATCCTTATTACTATTATTAATTTTATTATTAGTCTAAAAATATTTAGCCTAATCTAATAGAAAGCCTAGATTACTAGTATCGCCTAAAATACTAATAAAAGCCTATTTTATTAGTAATTATTATCTAAAAGGAATATAGTAAAACCTATAGGAATATATATTAAGTTCCTAGTATAGTATTAGTAATATAGGATAGAGGCTATAATATCTAGGATATAGTTAATCTCTATTAGCTAATTACGAGTTAGGTTATACTAGCTAATTATAGTATATAGATAATATATATATTATAGTATTTTAGCCCTAATCGGCGTATTAAAGATAGTATAGCTTTTAGCCTTAATCTTAGGAGATATAGTAAAAAGATATTACCTAGTGAAAAGTAGATAGGGACGTAGTAAATAGAAATAGGGGAGTAATAGAAAAAGAGGATAATATAATTACTATAAAATAGGAGGTAAGGAGATAATAAAGGAGAAAGCCTAGGGAGCCTAGGGGATTATATTAATTTAAAGACTAAGACTCTTTTTTATTAGTATATATAATCTTAGTTAGATATTATAGCCTTTAATCTAGATAGTCTTTATTAATATCTATAATCTTAGATATATAATCTTAGTTACTAGACCTAATCTTTAGTATATATTAATACCTATAATCTTAGTTAGGTATTATAGTCTTTAATATAGGTAATCTTTATTAATACCTATAATCCTAGGTATATAATCTCGGTTACTAGACCTAATCTTTAATATATATTAATATATATAATCTCGGTTAGGTATTATAACCTTTAATCTAGGTAGTCTTTATTAATACCTATAATCCTAGGTATATAATCTCGGTTACTAGACCTAATCTTTAATATATATTAATATATATAATCTCGGTTAGGTATTATAACCTTTAATCTAGGTAGTCTTTATTAATACCTATAATCCTAGGTATATAATCTCGGTTATTAGACCTAACCTTTAATATATATTAATATATATAATCTTAGTTAAGTGTCGCTACCTCTAATCTATATAATCCTTATTAATCCCTATAGTCTTAATATATAGTGATATAGGTAATCTTAGATAATATAATCTTTAGTGTACCTAGGGATATATATTACTAGAGAAGGTATAATTATTACGAAATAAGTACCCCTACTCGAGCGAGATTACGTAGCCTAGTATCTAATATACCGACTCCCTTAGTAAGACCCCTACCTTCTACCCGAGTAGCCCTGAGTTACCCCGCTTCGGGAAGGTAGTATACCTCGGCTTACTATATACTAATAATATAGTAAGACACTACCGCTACTCTATACTAGAGTGATTACTCTAGTATAAAAGTCCTATATCTTTTCTATGTTCCTCTGATTCCTTAAGAATCAGTCTTTATTTTAATCTGACTATACTGGTTCCTCCTTACCTAATCGACAGGCCCTCTACCCTGTAAGTAGACCCCGTAATAGAAAGTCCTCTAGCTAATATCTAATCTTACTATTAAAAAGGTTATAACACTATTCGTAAGATATCTCCCCCCTAGCCTAGGGAAACCCTCGGTTCCCGAGATTAGTAGCTCTATAACCGAGGATTCTCTAGCTAGGAATAGGGATTACTACTATAAATTAGTTAAGATAACCGGTATCCCCTATATCTATCTTATTTAATAGTACTAGAAGGCAGGGCAGTCCTTTACTATCGACTAGTTCTATCTATAGTAGCATCTTTAACTATCCGATAACGAAATCTATTTTAATCACGAGGTTACCTTAGTCTAATAGCCTTATATCGTCTACCGTAGGTAGGGGGGGGGGGATAGGGCCGTAGGGCGTATTCGATCATTATTCGAGGTCGTCGATTCGTAGGAGGATATAAGGCTAGAGAGGCTCTCTCGTTAGTAGGAAGCTTAGGACTTAGGGGCTTCGGCAACTCAGCAGGGTCAGGGAGGTTAACAGTAATAGCCAGATAGTCAGGGAGGTTAACAGCGACAGCGAGGTCGTCAGGGAGGTCGACAGCGACAGCGAGGTCGAGGGTAACGCAGAGACAGGCAAATTGACGGCCAATATCCTGATATCCCAGCGGAGATAACGCAGGTTATACAGTTGTAGCTAGCTCAGCCAGATTCTTTGATTTCTGCAATAAAATTCGAATAGCCTCTGCTTCCTGATTGAGACTAGCTTTGTGTGGTTTTTATAACAGTAGACAGGCAGAAAATAGAAGGGGGGGTATTACACATACTACGCTAAACTAAATATAAGGGGGGGGTGTTTTTTTAACGCTCGGGGGTGTGTTTTTAACAATGCTCCGGCGCTAGGGTCGGCTAACTTATCTGGTTGACTCACCGCCCGGCGATTCGCTGTTTTACCGGTTCACCTCCGCCGTTCACCACTTCCGTTCGTCACATCACCGGGCATGACGACGAAACCCCCGCTAGCACCAGTATCGACTGCAGCACGCTCCAGCAGGAGGATGCTCAGACGAAACACCAGGTGATCATCGCACGCCTAAAAATAACCACCCATCCGTATCCTCCATCGGGCAGGGCGTCCGCCCGCAGAGAGCCCGCCATCGCGTCGTCTGGTGGGATTGGTGCCAGATGGTCGGAAGACCGGGCCAATCGGCCCTCGAGGTTTCCATGGCTCGCTTCTGGGAGCTCGATGGCGGTCGATGCCATGGTATGAAAGTAGTCAATTCAATCTCGAACCCCCTGTAGGTGAGGATTTTTATCCTGTGGTTTGAGAGAAAGGGATCAAAAATGCAGGATGTTGAACCAGTCGGCAAAGTCATGACTGAATGTCATCCGCAGGGCATCCTGATCTTATCAGGGGTAGATATATAGTCACAGCACATCCAACCGCGATTCTTTCAAGCTCTCGTGTTGGATTACACAAGGTCAAAATATCCTATACTAATTTATCAAATAAGCTACTCCTTGACAAGGTCTACTGGTTATCTCCTAGCATCTGCAGCCAGGCTGTTCTGAACGGCCTCCACACAGTCCTGGATCAACTTGGCTTCCTCTTTGATATAATCCACAGTCCACGCCTTGAGCTTGGAGAGCGCTTGAATGTCATCCAAATCCCCGGGATTCTCGTAATTGTCCAGCACTTTCACTAGGTGTTTCGTCTTCCACCACATATATCCCTTCTCAATCACCTTCTCCTCTCCCGGAATGGGTTTGGAGACGTTTAAGCGCCAGTATTTCTTCTGGCGAGCCGTGGGGGCGAATGCGTCTATCAGGGTGCGGAACATGATGTGTGTGATCTCGCTGTTCGTGGCTACGGAGACGTAGCTCTTCAGCGTGCCCGAACCGGGTAAACTGATGGGCTCCACCTTGACGTTACTGGCGATGCCCGTGCCAATGCTGAGGAAGCGGTCTGTCGCGCGGGCCGGTCCGAAAATACCCAGAACTTCAGTCATGGGAACTGTGTGAGGACAATATCACGTACTCTGCTCGGTTCCAATGTTAAAAATCAGTATGCGTCTCTTCCATAAAGCTTCCAGTCACCGAAGCGAGCACACGCGCGAACACCAGTCACGTTACCCGGCTATGGAATTGGGAGGAGAGTTAGATTCTGTCTCACATTCTAGAGTTCTCACATGATAGAATGAGCAGGCACTGACCTGCAAAAACTTCAGGAGATCATGGCTCTGATCAAAAATGCGATACTCGAATACTAGTCCCTAGCACCACGAAGAGATGCTCATTTTATTCGTCAGAGAATTTTCTCATGATGGGCGAGACTGGGTCCTGATCGTAGTTCCTGGGTCACAGCAGCGAGCTTATACCATCACCTGTATCTAAGGAAGCTCCATCGTGAATAAGACTATTGATTAATTGAGCTTGGACCATTTGTCAATTGACTGTGTGGAATGACTTGGGGCCCCCTATGAAGGCTTGTGGCTGGCCATCCCCTGGAAAGAAAACAGGGAGATTCATGACAGCAAGTCCCACTCTACCGGGTGCTTGGCGCCGGGTCGAAACAAGGCCATCGATTGCAGATGTTTCTTAATTAATCACCATGGACCACCGGAAGAGTTTCATCATCTCCGATCGGCAGCTTCTATTCTCCCAAATGAGGCACGGGCCGAACAGGTCCCAGATCTGCAGCCTGAAACGTGCTGTGTAGACAGTAGAAACAGCGCACGGTTGTAATGTCCACCGCCCTAGCAACGTGTGCTTTGTATCCTCTAACGTGACACATAGCATTTGACAGAGACTAGCTGATACTTTTAGCAGCTCCAAGTGACGCCGCGTTTCATGAGTTACTCAGCACCGCCATTCAGGCTCCGCCGCATAGCTCAACCTTGGCATTCAACTTACAGAGCCCCTTTTCAGGTTGAAGATGTGGGCAGGGAGAACGTGAGAGACAGCCAACAGATCTGCCGCTTACACCGTCCAACCCACCGTTCAAAATATATTGTCACAGCCAAAACGTCATGATATATTTCGTGAAATCTGCCCCGTACCTAGATCATATACGATTCTATTAGTTCATCGGATGCATAACGCGTAGACTAGCACAATCTCGCAAGCCAGTATCCGTTGATGAGCCAATTTAACGTAGGATTCGTAGGACTTGGTAGTGATTGAAAGCTATCATAGGGAAAGCCTTCATTCAAGAGGCTTACTGCTACCTTATAATTTAAAAATATTGTGTTTTATTTTGTAATGGGTGAATGCATGTCAGGGTAGAGGCTTGTCGATTAGGCAAAGCTTCCATAGTTCGAAGACGAACCGTGGTTGATCCAATTTAGGGTTCCCCCCACACAAAGACCGAATCTTGACAGATTTGGATGAGAGGATGCATGTTGTTATCTTTTATAGCGAAACGGTTTCCACTGCCTTTCTTAATATATCCCCATATAGGAGATACACAACGTAATCCTGTACATAGCCGCTGCCTTGAAAGGATGGAAATTGGCCATTTTGATTAAGCTGTATCCCGTGTAGGACTCATTCCACTTAATTCTGCGATTTTGAAGCATTCTGACCACGTTGTCGTGTGATGGTGTGTTCAGAGTAGGGGAAAAAGATACGTAGGTGGGAGAGACACGATTTTGATGTGGACGGTGTAAGCGGGAGTTAACGTCAATCGAAACGATAGTAACAATATGGATCGACAATGCCAAGAATCTTGTTGCGACACGCCATCACCCCGTCGAGGGGTGGAAATGATGGGATCCTCCGCGTTCCGATCAGCCTTGCCCTCCACCTCGTACCACGGTATTTCAGCACCTGAAAAAAGTGGCGCAAAGTAATGTCTTTCTCAAACGATTATAGATCACATAGATTGACCAGCTGAAGAGGAAATTCCAGGGGAGATACCACAATTCCCTCCCGCCCCCAGCAGGATGCCAAGGCTCGATGATCTGGCGGCGATTCGCTGACGCGGTCACCCGTCTCGTTCCGATTGCCCAACGCTGTCGACAAACCGGCTTCGTGAGCCCATGTGGGAATGCGAGACGCAATCCGACAGTCCTTATTTACGCTGGGACGGGTACCTTTGCAATACGCGCCGACTCATTCGTCAGCCCCAGGATGATCCCTCCCCGACTCGAGTAAGCTCGTGGGGCTCGGTTGGCTGTCGCCCCACGCCGCCCTGTATCAAAAGACTGCCGACACGCGGCGCCAAGCACCCGCTTGGTTTCTGTTGTTAAAGAGGTGCCGATGCAGTGGAAAGGGGACCCGGGGGGGGCCTCCGACAAGCCCAGCGAGGCATACCTCCAGGCAATGGCCTCGTCTCACGGATTCCCGCGAGTCTCCAGAATGACGCGTCCGAGGACGAGAGCGAGATGGTTAAGAAGAGGCATACACCGCAGCAACGTGGCCTAGCTCCCCAAAGCGTTCGCGATTGCTGCACTCTTGAATCGTTCGCTATCACTTCAATAACCTTCTTTTCACCATGGTCCAGCTGTCCAAGGTTCTTACCGTTGTTGCGGCTTGCTTGGCTGCCCCCGCCGTTGCTCACCCCGGTGAGAAGCACGACCCGCATGTCGTCAAGCGTGAGATTCATGCTCGCGATGCCATGGCTGCAGCAGCCAAGCGCTCGATCGGAGGGTGTGAAAGCTCTCTGCATGCGCGGGAGTTGAACAAGCGTAGCTTTGCCCGTCGTTCGCGGACGGTCAACCAGCTTCGTGAGAAGCGTGGCATTACTGCTAGTAAGCATATCCATCAGTAAGGGGATCAATTCTCGCATGAGGGACTCACATATTCATGGTAGGCCCTCAGAAATGGCGCCGCGACCTAGCTGCGCTCGAGAAGTGGGAGGCCATTGACCACAATCAGACCCACGTCCTGAACTACAGCCCGGCCACCCCAGAGTCGATGATCTTCTCGGCCAACACCAGCTGCATTCTGACTCCCACCGTCACCGATGGCCCCTACTATGTCTGGGGTGAGGTCATGCGCCAGAATGTCAAGGAGGAGAAATATTCGGACGGAGTGAATGTCTTCCTGGAGGTGCAGTACATCGATATCAACACCTGCCGGCCGATCCCGCGTGCTCTGGTCGATATCTGGCAAGCCAATGCCACTGGCGTCTATAGGTAGGGCCCCCGCGGTCACACCCGATTTTTGCTTTGCAAGCCAAGCTGACCAGAGTAGCGGCATTTCCACGTCGGGTAACTACGCTGCCGACGGATGGGACTCGACCTACCTGCGCGGGATTCAGCAGACGGACCGTGATGGCGTGGTCGAGTTCGAGACCATCTTCCCTGGTCACTACGATGGACGCGCTACGCATACCCACCTGTTAACCCATCTGAATGCCACCCTTCTTCCCAACAAGACTCTCGAGGTGGCCACGGGCAGCGTGGCGCACATTGGCCAGCTGTTCTGGAACGAAGCGCTGCGGACTGCCGCGGAAAAAACCTACCCCTACAACACCAATACACAGGCCATCACCTCGAATGCGGATGATATGTGGAGCATCATCCAGGCGGACAGCGCCTACGACCCCTTCCCCGAGTACATCTACCTCGGTAACGAGCTGGACGACGGTCTGTTCGCCTGGATCCAGATCGGCCTCAATGCTACTGCGGACTACTCCGACAACTCGTACTACAGCATTGCCGCCTATCTCGAGGCCGACGGCGGCCACCAGAACAGCGGTAGCACCACATCATTCACTGCCGGGAGCGGATCTAACGGCACCATACCTTCCGGCAGCGCCAGCCCCAGTGCCTCGGCATGAAGTGATCGCGTTCAGTGCGGCGTGGACTCGATCCCGAGGAGCTGGTCCCAACCATTTTCACTGGGACCCAACCGAGGCATGATCCAGGCGAATCGATGCAGCACGATAAAAGTGACCTTATCTCGGGGACGAAAAGGGGAGGGGGAAAGATGGGAGAGGAGGGGAGAAGGAGGTGGGGGGAGGGGTTGTGGTCCTCCCAAACCCTAATAGAACACGAAAGACCATACTCACGGCGCTCGAGACCGCCGAATAGAACCATCGAGCCATCCGGTTTACTACCCATAGAGAGATATCCAGAGGAGTACCTTTTTCGCCCTGTATTCGTTTAACGCCTTGCGCGCCGAAGCATAGTCATCAACCGCGATCACCCCTGTTGAGCGTGAGCCTATCGCCCGAACTGGAACTCAATCCATGTAATTGGGGTCGATCGGAGATCCGAGCGCTCTTTCTTCCGCGCGCGTAAGTTCATCAGGCCGCCCACATACGTCTGAGAACTGCACTAGTGGATGTGTGGCGCCCTGTCATGCCCGGTAGATAGAAATAGACGCGCACGGGCATCAGTCGTTTCGTTTCTTGGGCTGTACTTGGCGGGTGATCATGGTGAAATCAACCGGCTGCGCAAGGCTGGGGGATTGCGAAGCAGACGAGCCATGACAGGCTTCGCTGGTACCCAATGGGGTCGGGCGAGACGGCAAATCGGGACCCGCGTGATTCCCGATGGGGAAGGTGCGAGGGGGGAAGGTACGATGGGGAAGGTACGATGGGGAAGGTGCAATGGGGAAGGTGCGATGGGGGAAGGTGCGATGGTGAAGGGCGGTGACGAGGGTAGCTTGCCCACTTTGGGTGGCTTAGGGCTCAGGGCTGGGGGAAGAACAGAACTGCCCAAGTTGGCCTGGCCAGGGGGGACATCCACGGTTGGCATGTCAAGGGGTCTGTCAACTATATTAATTCCGGAAAGCGCAGACTATGCGGGAGTCCATCACGTCAAAAGGTCCCGCTCCACTTTCCCACTTCCCCCGAACACCTTCGGCAATTAACCCCATTCCCATCGGTTCCAGTTCCAGTCCCAAGTCCATCTCGGGTCCACGCCACTGGGCAACTGCCCCCCGCGCCCCGGGGCAGACTTGCTGGATCGGAGAATAGTCGTCCTGCCACGCCCAATCACTAGTTCACTCGCCAAGCTGAGGAGGATGGATGCGGCTCCTCAACTTGGAACCCATCGCGGTTAGCCCAAGATCACCTGTTCGTGGTCCTTCGCGCGGACTCGCTCCGGCAACTTCACCCGATCGTCTCTGGCTATGGGCTATGGACAGGACCCAGCGAAACAGAGGAATAGTGCCTGGGAATGCGTACCCCAATGCCTAAACGCTTATCCATGCCTGGACGGTTACCAAACCCTGGAAATGCAGTCCCACGGGACCATCCCCAGCCAAACCCTCTCTAGTCCGATGCTAGGCCTGCATTCCACCAATGAAAGTCAAGTCGGCTCTTGTCGCCCCCCCCCCTTTTTATCTCACTGCCGAGCTTGTTTTGTGGAGTTCATCTGGTTCTCCCGAGTGCGGATCTCATAGCAAAATAGACTCGGCCCTAAGGATCAGCGCCCCCCACCCGTACCGGAAGAGACTGTTCCAGTAACCCCATCACACACCACCACGCAGGGGGAGGGGGCAAATACTGCCCGGCGGGTTCCGTACATTCGGCACCCGTGGTGGGAGTCTAGAGTGGCGGAAGGGTTTCATAGTAATCCGCTAGTCGCGTGGAGATCTTCAGCAAATAAAACCACGAGGGCCCCCAGTCGCCTAGATGAGCCCTCCGCGTGCTACTCGACCTGCGTTTCGTTTTGACCCTCTTCCTCCCTCCCTTGCGGATGGCTGACTCTGAAGAGCGCGCCTACAACGAGGCCGACATCCTCGCAGCCGTCCAGCACGATAGCCGCAGCAACGCCATCATCATTGTCACTGCCGTCTTTCTCGGAATCTCGCTCGCGAGCGTGCTGCTGCGATGTTTTGTCCGAACACGGATCGTGCGGGCGTTTGGGTGGGATGATATTATGATGCTAGTGGCGATGGTAAGAGGTTCTGGATGGAGCAATTCTGACCCCATCGAGCGGAACATGATCTGATATGATACCCTTGCCTTTCTTGCCTAGACGCTGAATCTGGGTTTTGCAATCTGTGGCATTTTGGGAGCCAAGTATGGCATGGGCCGGAAGTTGGCCTACTTCTACGCGTACCCGGACCATCTGCATCTCGCGCTACTGGTATGTGCACGTCGGGAGGCATTGGCTGCGATGCCGGCAGAGATCCAATGCTAATGGCAATTGTACAGTGCTGGTGGCTAGGCCAGATTTTCTACGTGGTGACCTGCGTCGTCGCCAAAATTTCCATCATGATCACCCTATTGCGCATCACCATCGACCGCGTCCACGCCTGGATCCTCTACGCCGCCATGTCTCTGGCCACGGCGGTTGGTGTGATCTTTTTGTTCTTCACCATCTTTCAGTGCCACCCCGTCGAATACTTCTGGAACCAAAACTCGCAGGCTACGAGCCACGGTAGCTGTGTCGAAAAGAAAACCCTCATCGGGATCGCCTATCTCTACAGTGTGGGCGCGGCCGTCACGGATCTGACCATTGGCCTCCTCCCGGTGGCGTTGATTTGGGACTTGCGCATGAATCGGCGCACCAAGGCCGCCATCGCGGGCATTCTGGGCATCGGTTGCCTGTGAGTTCTCTTGCCCCCGCCTCATGATGACTGTTGGTCACCGTGGCTGATCGCATCCTTCGAAATAGTGCAAGTGCCGCCGTGATTGTTCGCATTCCCTTCGTTCACCGCTACCAAGACACGGAATTCTTTTGTATGGACCGGACCCCCCCCCCAAAAACCCCCCTCCCCTCTCCTTCCTTCTTCCTCTTCCATCTGCCCGGTCTGGCCGGGTTGGGACCTAGACTCTAGACCCTGAAACCTCACTAACCCCCTCTCTCCCTGCAGATGATACCTACCAGATTTCCATCTGGTCCAACGTCGAGGCCGGTCTCGGCATTACGGCCGGCTGTCTGACCACGTTCCGCCCCCTCATCCGGTTTCTTCGCGACGGCTCCTCCGTCTCGCCCAGCCGCAATCGCACCCCCGGATCTTTTCCCTTATCCAGCACCGTGGCGCAAGGGTTCCACCGATCTTCGCGCTCCAAGATGGGAGACCGCGATGACGTCGACCACGTGTGGACAGGGACCGACAATGACGACTATCACGGCGTGACGACGACGATCATGGGCAGCCAGAGCCTCAAGCCGACCAGCAGCAGCGAAGAGGATCTCAACCCGATCAGCTATGATAATTATTCCAACCACGGGTGGAAGGTTGAGCGGTCCGTTCGAGTGTCCGTGCAAGATTCATGAGACGATCGGACTGATCGTAATTCATTATTCATTCTCCAGTGCTGAGCTCCCTACCGAGCACAGTACCGTAATTATCCTTTGCATGTATAACTAGATACCACAGCGATTGACTGAAAATTAAGACCATTGTTTCATTCCCCCGTCCCACCTCCTGCTAATCTCTGCACATCTCAACAACACCCATTGTTCAGGTCAGCCTGAAACGCCTGTTCGCCGCCGCCTGCAGGGGCAAAGGCGCCCGCCGGGGACCTTGCGAGGAACAATGTAGTGCGGGGTGTCGGCTGGCTGTAAGCGAGATCATCATCCCTGCCCGGAAGGGGCATCGAGTCGAGTGACTGGCTGTTTCACGATGCCAGGCGTGACCGGAACGGCGACAAGGCTGGGGGGTGGTGGGGCTGGGGTATTCGCGAGCCTGGCCAAGGCGATTCCCCAAGCCCTTTGCTGATAGGTTCTACCCCGAGGATCGCAGGATCGCAGGATCGCACTGATCTATCGGGAGGCGAAAGGGGGTCGAGCTTCCGGCACTAATGCATCTCCCCCTCCACATGGATTGTGGCCACGTGCTTGCCTGCAAGCCCGCGTCCGGGCCTTTGCTTGCCCACTGCCCGATCCCTGCAGAGAACCCGTCCGTGCTGCACATTCACATTCGTGGTGGGCCGCCTACAGACACAACATGCGTGGAGACGCGCGTGCCGACAGAACTACCGCTCCAAAGACACAGCGATGGGCAAATAAGAATATAAGGTCTAGACACCGGCTGCGACCGTGGTTTTGGGCTTGGTACTGCCGAAAATATTGACGCAAGAATGGACTTGGCAACTAATCCGTCGGCTCATAGTTCACATTTGGGTATGCAACTCATTAACAATAAACACACGTGATAGAAAGCTATATTTAGTTCCGCCGCTGTTTCACTGCTTCGCCTCCTGCGTCACCCCATCGCGTACGAGTCCCTCCTGCGATGGTGACACGGCAACCGCGTACGCGTCCACGGGCGTGGAGGCGAACTTGCGCGCGGGGACTTTGGTCGCAAAGAGGATGTCGAGTTCGGCGTAGGTGCGCCCCTTGGGTTCCGGCAGGCGGAAGAAGGCCCAGGTAAAGGCGACCAGTGCGGTCCCACCCCAGAAGAAGCCGGTTTTCCCAGACGCATTCCAGGCTGTGGGGTTCATGAAATAGGGCTCCAGCACCTGTGAAATGACGTTGACCACCTGGTACGCGGTGCGCGCTAAGCACACGGTCAGCGGGCGCAGCCGCACCGAGGAAGTCTCCGACACAATGGCATATGCGATTGGGCCCACAGTCAGTGAGTACACAAACAGCCAGAGGAAGCAGAACGAGGCCTGGGCCCACATCGCGTTGGTGCTGTGCGAGGCCGAGTTGACGATGCCAATGAGGAAGAGGAGGGTGCAGAGGATGCCCTGGCCCCACACATACAGCGTCCGCCGGCCGAAGTATGTGATCAGCCACCAGGACAGAGCGGTCCCGACAAAGGCCACCCCGGTACATCCAACACCGAGCTGGAAGGCACGGCTGCTATCCATGCCGGCCTGCTCAAAGAAATACGTGGGGGAATAGGCGAACGTGCTGCCGGACAGAATCTGACCGAAGAAGGCGACACAGCAGATTTCCGTGCGACGCAGGTCGACGCCCTTGAAGCAGTCCAAGTATGTGGTCCCAGCCTCAATCTCCGCCTCCAGCCTCGTCGTGTGCACCATCATGGCCAGTTGTCCGTTGATCTGTTCCTCCGTCTTGTCGCCTCCCAGTCGACGGATACTACGTTTGGCGTCTTCCAACCGATCCTTGCGAACCAGGTACCACGGACTCTCCGGAGCCAGCCAGCAGACCACCATCAGTGGTACTGGCCAGATCCACTGCAGAGCAAACGGGATGCGGTACGACCACTGGTCGGTGCGGTGGACCAATCCATACAGCACGCCGGACGCGATGAGCTGACCGATGGCCCAGCACATGTTAACATAGATGGTGAGATAGCCGCGCAAATTGGTCGGGCAGACCTCGGAGGCGTAGGCGGGACCAACGGTCGCGAACACCCCCCAGGAGAATCCACACAGAATCTGTCCCACGAGCAAGACCGCGGCGGAATTGGCGAAGAACACGACGAAGATAAAGGCAGTCAGGAATCCCAGGGCGATAATCATGACCGAGCGGTAGCCAAATTTGGAAGCCAAATATCCGTTCAGGATACCACCTGGAAAACGTGTTAGCCAAGTCAACCGCTTCCGCCCTCGGGCGGGAATTGATTGACAGGACCATGACAAACTCACCAAAGATACAACCCACCGTGCTGGCCATGTTCAGCCCGGTCTGCCAGGGCGCGGACACCTGCCATCCCACATCACCGCCATAGTCCTGGCCATACTTCTGTTGGAAGGTCGGATAAGCGAAGAAGTTCCCCATCAGAATGGTATCGTAGCCCTCCATGATAATGGACATGGAAATCATGACCGACCAGGCCACCGCTTTCCGGTTATCTCGCAGGGCCTGCCACAGGGTTTGCGCGTGTTCCTCATCAACGGCCTGCTTCGCCTCGACGACGGCACCGACGCCCAGGGTTTCCTCCACATGGTGGGCGGCCGACTTCTCTAGCGCGATCTCGGTCTGGTGAGCGTTGGTCGCCATGTTCCCCCAAACAGTCGATCAGTCGATGATAGGAGCTCCGTAGCAACCCGTGCTAGCACTGATATTGATCCTGACACAATCCTGAGAGTCCCGTAGTCGCGTAGCCCCGTTGTCCGGGAGTCTTGTCGCACCAATTGCTCGCCGACCGACCGAGGTCCCTATATATGCTGTCCCGCCAGCCTTCCTGTCCTCGTCTGCACGGTGCCGGGCTGGGGATCCGGGGATGGTGGAGAGATGTGAACCAACCGCCATCGAGCAGGGCCGGCATTCAGGCTAATGTGCCTGGCGTCAACCCGCGGGCTTGTTCGGTTGTGGCCAGTGGAAGGGCGCTGGCATCGCGTCGAGCCGGGTCCCGAAATGTGAAGCTGGCCAGCGCAATTTCGCACCTATCACCGACGGCAAAGACGGGAGCTAGCGTGCATGAGGGACGATAATTCATCCGGGAATGACAAGCCCGCAACCTTCAGTTTCTGGGGGCGGGGGCGCGCGCGCGAGGGTCTGGCAGGTTGAGGAGTCGGTTCCTATTGGACCCGCCGGAATGGCGTCGACGCCTCCGAGACCTCCCCATGGCCCCGAATGCTCCTATTCCCAAAGCGAGACGGAGCGAGACCCCGCGAGTTCGAGACCTTCCGAATGTCGCCAGCCCTCGGCCCAAAAGGGGCGCTCGTGCATTCCAACAGGCGCACCCTGGACAGGCAATGATCCTCTCGACTCTGAATCGCCTGACTTGCCTGGTCTTTGGCAATTCGGGCCGGCATGTTGGCCTTGACCGATCGAGTCGCTTCGCCCTCCTGATAGGCGCCACTGGCAGTTGAGTGGCCCAGGGTTGGCCTTCGGGCTTCATTTTAGCCGCCGGGATCGCTTAGTATCGTCCGACGTGCCATTTCCCATCTCAACCCTCAAGTGCCCCGTGCGATGATCGGAGGCTACGCTGATGTGCGGTACATTAGTGCTGGCCGGGGTGGCCGACGATCCGGGGATGTGGGGAGCGCGAGACCGGCAGCGGGGAACATGCGAAGAGACAGTTCAGATCTGTGATACCTCAATGACTGACTTGACTTTTCTCTCACTGACCAATCTCGATGGTCTGATACTCGACCATCTGCCGGCCGTCACCCGTGCAGCATGCACCACGCACATTGAAGGGATCGGATTTTCCCCAGGAACCTCACGCGATTCAACACGAATCAAAAGAAGAGGGGAACAAGCTGTTGGAAGACAACAATGCAATGTGCGATTAAGAAATCTTCTCCATCCCTGGAACATTATCGACATGCGAAGAACTCTTGTGCAGGGTTCAAGGGTATAATAATAATAACAACAGAGTCTCCAACGGCCTAGAATAATGCAGGTAACGTCCAAAACTCATCCGTCTATGCATGCCATGGGGTGATCGATGGTCCGTCTTCACCTGCTATCAATGCGAATCTGGGTCTCGAATTCGTCGGTCCATCGTGTCCTGGCTGGTCCAACGAGGTGCACGAACCAGAATGGGTGGTGGTCCACGCCACTCAACCCCGAGCCAGAATGGCGGACAGCCCAGGTGATCGCACCTCGAGAAGACCCAACAAGAAAGCCCGAGGTTGGGTTGCCGTGTTCGTATTGACGGTATGCCTGGATCGACTCCGAATTCTTTGCGCCCAGTCCCCACTCCATCTCGCCCGTGCTGGGATCTTGTCGAATGCAGATGGCGTGCCAGTCTAATGCACCGGCGCCAGAGGGAACGAACGCTTCGAAGGTGTGCAGGGCGCCGTTGCAGCGAAACATGGTCTGGCCACGGTGCGGGCTGTCAGCAATGGTAATCTAGGGAGACTACGTGGTTAGGACTCGGTAACTGCCGACGATTCGCAGGATCAAGGACCGAGACATACAATTCCCGTCTCGATTCCGTTCTTGTCGGGCAACCGCTTCGCGTTGCAAGTGGCCCCGTAGCCCTCGATGCCGCATACGCCCTCGGAGTCTGTACCGTTGTGACATCCTACGATCTGGAATGACCACGGGCCCGCAATATTGGTCTCGTTATTCCATCTTGGAAGGGCCGAACAGGCGTCAATGGGGGTGTTGGTGACACCGCGTGGGTGCGCCTGCACCCCCATCGCGAGGCCGAGCGTAGCCAGAATAGCCGTGCGAATAATCATGACCAAAACACGCGCAGACGGAACATTGAAAGAGAAGAACGGGAGAATCCAAAGAGAAGAAACGGAAACCGCACACCCACATATCAGGCTGCCCTGATTTTGGGGGCTCGTGGCCCGTACACAATATTTGCTCAGCAACGCGTTCCCTCGCATCTTTCGCCGCATCCGACCTTGCGCATCGCCCATGTCCACACAACCCTGAGGGCCAGCTTATTGTTTCGGGGGAAACCCAACAGCCTCAACGAGTGTGTCCATCACTGCAGGGCGCCTTGGCCGGGCCCACTCTTGGGGCGGAGTTTGGGGGCTATAACAGGCAAGGCTGGCGCCCATGTGGCCTCGCATCTAGGTCATCAACGGGACACTGCTGGAGCGCCCCGGGGTTCGATGGTTTGGCCCCCATGCGACGTCAGTCGGCTCCGTAGGCGATTGAGACCCGCGCTATATTAGGAACGAAGATTAAGATCAGGCTTGGCAAGTCAGTGAAGAATCGGCGGTGTGAACAACGTTAGCTGACGGTGCATAGGTGTGTCATCATTGTGAACAGACCGAGAGACCGAAACACCATCTTCTGGCCCGGTAAGGTTGGAATAGGTTCACCGAAACCTACTTGGTCCCCCTGAGAGGGTGGTGAAATCGCAATCGATTTTCCACATCGGCCGAAGATGAATGGCCAATGAGGGTGAAAGGGCGTAGAGGCAGATATACGCAGCAGATACAACTACGCTCGGATCTATAGCCATGGATATAAGAGTCTAAGATGGAAAGGTGGAAGCCTCGCGGGCCAACAGCCCCTCAGCCTCCTGCGCGTCGTCCGCCCCGCCGTGCGATTTGGCAAGCGAATCCGCCATGGCCAGGCCCTCACGGCGACCCTTCTCGGCATTCACCATCCAGACAAGGGGGATAGGCAACACAATCAACACCGCAATGAAGAAGAAACCTGATCGCACCTGCCCGGTTGCGTCAATGAGCACGCCGACCACGGCGGGTCCAATGAACGAGCTCCCCTTGTCTGTGGCAGCATAGAGGGCATAGAAGGCGGCCTCGCTGCCGGGAGGGATCAACAGCCCGAAGAAGGAGCGACAGTAGGATGCCAGGCCTCCAGAGACAACCCCATGGATGATTCCTAGCGGGAAGATCTCCCATGGCTGTCGCAGCCCGATCACCCCCCATTTCTTGACGAATGGGATGTAGGCCAGCATGCCGTAGAGTGGGATGATCTCAAACAGGGCAATGCAGACGATGATGGTGTGGTTGGACTGTAACCGGAACCGACGAGAGACATGTGGCCAGAGAAAAGCACCGGCCATGCCCGAAAGGGTGACGGTGATGGACAGGCAGCCGATCGCGGTCGTGCTCATCTTCAGCTCCGTGCGCGCAAACAGAATCGCCGTGCCGGAGACGGTGGCCATGGCATCGGAGAGGAGGAACCAAGCGACCAGGAAGATCAGCACTTCACGCAGCCTGATCGCGATCCTGACGGTTTGCCAGAGTGACTTCCAAGCAAAGCCCACCAGCCGCATCCATACACGCCAGCGAGCAGCTCCCGAGGCCGAGCTAGCATCAAGAGGAGGTCCGGGACGGTCGCGCAGCCAGTGACGAGTGACAAATGTAAAGGCGCACCACCAAATCCCGACCAAAAGCAACACGAATCGCAGGGGAAAGGTGCCGGATACCTTGGCGAGGGAGGTTTTGTTGAGGGTGATGAGCATGATGATACTCAAGATCTGCACAAAGACTGCGGCACAGTAACCCAGACCAACCCCCTTGGATGAAATCTTGGTGGACAGCTGAAGCTCCGGCGACGAGGGCTGTGTGCCCTGCGACTTGAGTTCATCTTCTGGAGATCCCGGTGGTTGGCCATCGGCGTGCATGCCATCCATGCTATCCTCGCCATCCCATGTATTCCACGCCTCTGTTGCTTCACTCTGGTCCATGTTCGATAGTTCTTGATCGCAGGCTTCATGGGGATTCTGGATGGAGGGATCATTGGCGACCAGAACCGGCAAGAAAGAGTTGAGCACGACGAAGGACGAGCCGAGACAGGTCACTCCCACCACCACAAGAACCGAACCGAGGATGAAGACGGAGGGGACGATCAAGACGAACAGCATGCTCGTGGCCGACCCGACGAATCCGAAGAACAGTAGCAACGTTTTGCGGTTTCGCTCTGTGAATACGACCGGAGCCGAATAGGTTAGCTGGCCATGGCCCTCCTCTCCCGTCGACCGCCATTCATTGAGCGCAGTAGTCTGCAACCATACCGTAGTCGGCCAGGGCGCTGAACGAAATCAACGTCAGCGCCTGGATAAGCACCGCCAGCGAGAATGTATACATCGCAAAGCTGGCAGTGGTGATCTGGACCCCCAAGACCCCAACCATACATTGCTCGTCTCCCTTATTGTCCGGTGCCTGGGGTCCCCAACAGGGCAGGTGGCTGCTTTGGAGGGTGCCATGCTCGCGGGCAAGCTGTTCCAGCGTCAAAGGTAGAAAGGATCCTGGGGTGAGCAATCAGCCTGCAGCTCACGATAGCTACTAGAGGGTAGAATTGTGACTTACCGACACCACACACGGCGAAGACCTCCGCCGCGATGCCGTAGGCATACCAGCCGAGGATTTCCCGGTGGCTGGTCGGGGAGGTGTCTTCGCCGGCATACCGCGGGGGCCGCTGCTGGATCCCCTCATCCGGTCGAGGTGTGAGCGCGGCCAGGATAGACGAGAGCATGGAGGGGGAGGAGGTGAACATGGGAGGGGAAAGCTCTTTCTGGCGATGAAGAATGGCGCAGACCAAATGGCTGAGAAGCAGCGCGTCCACCGGACCCGGGCGGAATTTCCAGCCGGGCGAGGGTTGGCGGGGACATGATGCGGTCATCGCCGATCTTCTCCAGGAACCAGGCCCACTTTAGCCTAATCCATTGGGCACCTCTTCGTCACTTGATCACAACCACCGCATTTTAGAAAAAGTATGCAATACTTGCAACTCGAGAGACTAATGACCATGACGGGGTTGAGCTCGGGGACAACAAAAGGATTGTCCGCCGACGCCGCCTGTGCGGACTCGCGCCTGCCGGTCCCGGCCCGATTCAGGGATTTGCCGACATGGCCAGTCTATTTCCTCGCAGCTGAGCATCGCGTTGCCTTTTTAAGGATCGCCTTGGCCGCAGAGTTCTACTACATGTAATTACAGAGAAATATCCTCGGCTTGAATGGCGATCGTCCTCAAATCTCTGCAGTTCGCCTCGGGCTGGCTATTATACCCCATTCGCGGCCATGATACTCGCCAGATCATCTACGACCCGGCCTTTAAGGACCATCCCAAACCCAATATTTCCCTCGAAGCCGTCGAATGTGGCCCCTCTGGCTCGCCATTGCTTCGTCACCACACCTGTCTGGCGGAAGACGGCATCGGCTGCCTTCCTGAACTGCGCTGGACGCCTCCGGAGTGCGACGAGCCAGTCAAGGAATACGTGTTGATTTGTGAAGACATCGACATCCCAATTCCCTGCCTCGTCGTCCATCATGGCCTGTTCTGGGCTATTCCACCCTCAGTACACACGGCAACCCCGGCAGATGTCAAGGAGCGGGAAGGCGCCGCCAAGGAACGCCAAACCGCGGCTGGCTGGCGCTTCATCCCGAACCCGATGGGCACGGCCTACGGCGGTGCCGGTGCTCCCTACGGACATGGGAGCCACCGCTACGTGTATACCATCATCGCCCTGGATGCTCCCTTGGACTTTGAACACCCCAAAAAGGCCACCAAAAACGACATCAAACACGCCATGATCGGTGAAGTCATCGGCTGGGGGCAGTGGGTCGGTACGTTTGAGCGTACCTGGTCCTGGAAGATGTTGCGTCCCCTTTGAATATGGTACGGAGCGTCCCAAAGATGAAATCCAGCTGGCTCGTCTCATTTGAATTGATGAGAGTGGATGCCCTGCGTTTTCGCTCGCCACAAAATTTGCTGCCTTGCTCTGGGGTGTAACTCTATGGAACAAAGCCTCTCCAAGAGGCACAACCAAGGGGATTGGCGATGGTTGTATAGAGAACGTGCAGCATTTGCCAAACCTATGGGCTGGCAAATATCTGCGTGCATTTCGGTCCAATACCTACTCCATACTTTTCATGGCGGGGGTTTAGCAGTAGGTCAAACTACGGCGCCGTGGGCCTTGACACCCTGGAGAAGTTGTTGATCCAAGTGAATGACTAGACTTATGGACGCTTGAGCTTACTGTTTTGCATCGAATTACCACTCGTATTCGACCATCACCTTCCTTAGGCAGCAAGACTTTGGCCCGGGGTCGCTCTGTTTCATGCATGTAGCTTGCAATTCTTTAAACCTTTTGAATCTTGTTCTCCAACCTGCGTGGTGTGTCTTTTAACCAATTAATTGATATTACTCCAAGCTAAATGTGAGCATTTTACAGCACCTAGATTGGCGATTTTTTCATAATATTGCTCAAATTATTCGATATGCTCAACTAGCAGCCATATATACCTTCATCGTCACTAATTGGAGCCGGCGGTCTGACTCCCCGATCATCAATAACCGACCCCGCGAAAGTTTTGCTGTTCGGGGTTGCTGTGCATGCATTTAGGGATTTTTCTTACCGCCAGCATGAGCATTAATAGGTGATGGTGCAGCACTTGCCGAACGAAATAGTCCTTCTCCTTTTGGCACGCCAGTATACCATCAATGCTCGAACAGCCATTCGAGCCAGCTTTGGTTCCAAACCTAACCAGCTCGCTCATTACCTCCTTGTAGCAGCAGCAGGCCGAATGGGGATGTTGCATCCAATATGGGAAGAAGCTCTGGGTTGTCTGGTGAGTAGGCCTCGCTATAATGGCTCACACCGGGAGGTTGGAAGCTGAGGCAGTGGCCTGAAGGCTCTATCAGAAATTCGGCTGAGGGAAATCGGTCAAAAACCCAGGGGTCTGGGACAGATTGAAAAGCTAGTTGAGAGCTTGACTCATAAACCCATGAAATCGATCCGGTCTCTTTAAACAACTGTGTCCCAGCCAGCTCGTCGGGTATGATACTATGACGAAAGGTGTTCTGGTCTCTCTCTTCTCTCCCGAGGCTCATGTGTGTTGACGAGGAGGCCAGTCCCCTGGGCGGAGAAGATCGACATGCATCCAACATTTGGGACGTGGCAGGTGGAACACGGGTGAGATGCTCCGAGACTGCGTCAAACGAGTTCTCGAGATCAATATCAGCATAGTGATATTCTGACGCCGCGTTGTCCGCGTTACCACCAATCCGATTTGATAGTAGCTCCTGAAGCCAATTCTCCGCCGCGAAATCGATTCCAAACGCTTCTCAAGAAGTAAGCCTCGGTGTACATATAAATTTCAGCTTGGAATTGGGTACCTGATTGGTCTTGTGAGCTTTCGACCGCCAGAGCTGTCTGTAAGAGATCTCCATCGACCATCTTCTCAATATCCCGGCTGGATCGGCGTCGCACATTCGGAGCTGATTTTTTTGTGCCATGATAACCTTTTTTTCTCGCCGACTTCTGTATCTTCTTCTCACTCTCGGGAGGATCAGAGCAATCATAGACGGGTCGGTGGGTTGGCTCCTCTAGACCGGCTCTCGGCTCTTTCTTTTTTGCCGGTCGCCCAAGCCGTCGCGACACGCTATAGATACATTCGATCTTGTGCTTCTGGCATCGATGGCAGGAAGGCTTCTCGTGACTGCAGCGGATCTTCGCTTGTTGGCAGGCGTTACATGTCGATCGTACCTTGACACTCTTGGGCAGCTGCCCCATGTTTGCTTTGGATGGTTTTATCAGGCTCATACTGGCGGTCGGAGTATAGGAGTATTCCTGGATAAGATTTGAGAGCTAGGTTCAATTTCCGCACTTGCGATGCGCTGGGCAATTACTTGTACTCAGTGCCGCACCAATGGTGACGGTTTATCTGGCCCCGCGGACTCATGCATCCTAGCGATTAAGCATCACATTCATCAAGGAACGTCGTCCTGGCGCCCTTCCAACGGGAATCTTCGTGCACGCCTCCCACCGTAACTGGTAGTGCGTATAGCGGGGAAGAGTTACATCCGAGGTCCCCATCCGTGACAAATGAGCTCGTCCCACCCGAAGAAGCCTGAAGGCTGCACGTGTGTTTCGTAGTTATCCACGGAGGGGTTTGCCGCGCCGGCGGACTATCGTGAATGGTTACTAGTGATTAGAGTCTATGAAGTCCTTTCCGGGTTGATACAGGTCAGGCTGTTGTATTGTATTGGAATTTCCGTCACTCACTCTGGTGAATTTTCTCTTTATACGTGAACGGGGTGTGAACAATGTATATACTTCTTCTCAGGATCCGCAGCCCATGTGTTCTTCAGTGTTTCGACCAGCACTAGTAATGTCTGATCGTTTTGTTCTTCACCATCTTTCAGTGCCACCCGTCGACTTGAGAATAACATACATCTATAGGTAAAACATATTTCCGACACGACAGTCGACAGTCAATGCATCCAAGAGAGGCGATCCCGCTAGCATAAAAGAGCACCACGACAAGCAGCTTCACGTCTTTGTGAAATTGATTATCGCAATCATATTGCCTATGTGGATATGAGATGGCCAGAAGATCTTTCCCGCAGGTGACCAAGTCCAGTTCAACCCCGAACTCTATCAGTCGCGGTGCATTCGCATGTCTTAGCCGTGCTGCATTTCGGTGGATGGGGAGTCAATAGGTATTTGACACTCTGCTGCGCGAATTCTGCATGAAGCAAAATGCCAGTCAACATGATGACGATCAGACTATTTCCCCGCACAAGGGTAAACTATCTTAGATTATATATGTCGGACCTTCATATGTTCAGGGGCAACAATGCTCTGGTGAAGCGATCTGGACAAATTCCCGAGACCTCGCCGTAGTTTGTGCCGTAAGATCTGTATAAATCAGCCGCAAAAGTCTGCCAACGCAGGTTGCAGGTCGTTTATCTCATCATAACTGCGTGCAAGCTTGCAGGATTGAAGTCTGGCCCATACAGACCCGCAGGTCATATTGGTTTGCTACCTAGAATACCATCGGTCCAAGGATCATTGATTGAGGTCGTATATCGTAATCACTCGTCAAAATAGGTAGAAAAGGAAAACAATGAAAAAATGACAAAATGGAAACAGAAAAAAGACTGAACCCTCCGTCAAACACAGGCCCGCCTTGCATTTCCCGTGTCCGTTATCTTTTCTCTTCGTGAAATAAATCAACTGAACCAAGTGAACAAAGCATGATGTTTGAGGTGGTGGAATCCACATTCACTGGGGCATACCCTCAAAGGGCTTGGCGAGGTGCTCCTGGCAGAAGGGCAGCTTGCCCTTGGTCCAGATTTCGGTGTCCTACGGGGAGAATGAACGAGTTAGCCCCACATCCCACGGCCATGCGCATGGTCTCGGTCTGCTGGGTCTGCCACATACCGGCTTCAGAGTCTTCTTGATCTCAGTGTCCAGGGTACCAGCCTTCAAAGCAATGATCTCCGGGGCGGCCTCGGGGTCATGAGCGATGGGTGAGCCACACTCGGAGCAGAAGATGCGGTGCACGGCCTTGCCGGAGCTGCCCTTGCCCGCCCAGCTCTTGGTGGGGCCGTTTATGGTCAGCTTATCCTTGGGCACGACGGCGACCAGAGCTGTGTCTCCGGTTAGCAATTTGCTCAATGGCTCCGAGGGCACTTCGCATACAGTAAGTGGAACCACTCTGGCGCTGGCAGTCATCGCAGTGGTCGTAGCCGGTGAGTAGAGGGGCATCGACGTCCACAGTGTACGTGACGGCCTTGCAGAGGCAGTGACCAGTAAGAGGCATGGTGGAGATGGACGGGAGTGACGCGGGTGATTTTGATTCTCGCAAGGTGCTCAGATGGAGTGAAGTTGGAGGGAGGGGGACCTTGGGGAGGGAAGAAGGAGAGAACCTTGGGAGCCATCGAGTATTTAAAGGGTTGGTTGGAAGGGTTGGCAGGTTTCCAAAGCTGTGGTGCCTTTGGTTGGGGGATCCCCTCCGCGCTGCGCGATGGTTCAATTGGAGGTCCGCTGCCCGCTTTCCACTTTTTGAGCTCGTCCGATTTGGAAGAGCTCGGGACTCTTGGCGTGCCGTGCTGCGAGCTAGTGCTAGTGCTTAGTTGAGTGTACACCGAAGCGTGTTGAGTTTGGCGGGCGAGAGCAACCAGCATAACGTCATCGGCCGCAATTCCAAATTCCGCATGACAAATTCCCCCCTCCAAACCGCCCCACGATGGACACGATGGACACGATGGACACGATGGCCACAACACCACTCGCTTTCCTTCGTCCATCGCATGGGGTTAACCACGAACGCTGGCCGCGGACTGATGTCCCTTCCCAGCCACCGCCAGCCGCGACACTAATTCCCGGTGCGCCTGCGAGAGCGTCCGGCGCACGAAACTCGTCGTTCCGAATGGGCAGCGCAGTTCAATCTCTTCCTGCAAGTACACTCCATCGGGATGATCCTCCCCTGCATTTGGGTGGGGTTCCCCGGTCCTCGGCCGACCGTCCAATGATTGCGGATGTGCACCCCCAGAGGTGCATAAATGTGTGTTCGGAGACCCTGAGGGGTATCGTGGAAGCAACCTCGATATCGGACCTTGCCCCGCAACAAGCCCCACGGCAGATAGGAGATGCGGTCCGTCAGTTCGTACCAGACCCCGTTGCTTTCCTCGGGTGGTGCATCGGCAGGTGGCGCACACCGTTCATAGTGGATGACCAGCGGGTTCTGTTCAATCATCGCCGCATGATCGCGCAACGTTCGCAACACCGCCTCCTCGGACACCGAGGCCGGGAGCGGCGTTCGACTAGTGAAGACCGTTCGGCTCTGCATCGTGACAAATGCAAGGTGCAGTGGACGAGTCGAATCTCCGATCCTCAACAAAAGCTCGTCCTGTGGCCCGAGAGTACCGAGTCGCTGGTGGGGTGGACACGGAGACGCGGTGTAGTTGGGTGTCGATCGTCAAGCAGGCACAGGGGCCCAACGGAGCGGGTCGGAGGTTAGGGATGGTGATGGTCGGATGGTCCGGAGTATAGTAGGACGATTGCCTATGGTACCTTACTTATAACCCCTTGGCAGGGGGGTTGGGCCTGGACGGGAGGTGGCGGAGTACGTAGAAAGTAAGCGCTACACTCCCCAATCGTGGCGTCGGCCGCACGGGCGTGTACAGTGCCACACTGCCTAAATATGGACACGAGATCGCTGCGCCCGCCGATAACACCCTACGATCAATCTAGGCGATTGGACTGCCCAACTATCTTGGACTCTGCGAAGTCTGCGGTGGCGAGACTGCGGACTGCTGGATTTGGAAGAGCTATGGGCTATCCTGCAACCATCTCCGCGCTACAGGCTGGTCTTCCGGATATGCTCGATCTTGTCAGCGGCACTCTGCGTAGACCACGTCAGTTATGATGGTCCCTGCATTCCGGGGGGCACGTACCTGCATCTGCGCGGCCATTCCCTCACTGGCGATCTGCCCTCCATAGAGCAAACTTTCAGCTCGCTGCGCCGCGCGAGCATCGTCCTTGGTGATAAAGGGCGGGCTGTCAGCCGCGACCGGGGGCAAATTGAAGTATTCGTTGCGATTGGCAATGGAGCGCACCTGCGCTGAGACAGATCCTATGCCAGGCGGTTTGTTGAAGGCGCGGCCCTGGAGGAAAGACAAGGTCACTACCAACCATTCATCCATAGCAGTGCACCCACTGGCATACCTCTGTTGATAGGATGCCCCGGGCATCATCCTGCGTGATGTAGCTCGGTGGCTTCCGGGAAACCTCGTCTATCTTGCTATCGAAATTCCTCTGCTTCATCGCGATACTTTGGGCCGTCGCTGGTCGTCCATTAGCAGGGAGGCCAGCAAGTCCAGCAGAGCTTCAGACATACCCGCTGGTCCGCCACGAACCGGCCCGCGCCCTGTCAACTGGTTCTCAACCTGCGAGATCGCCGACACGTCTTCAGCGGTGATGCGTTGCCCGGCCGCGGCGGCTTGTTTGAGTTCGGCAACGGTGGGAAGATCGAGATCCATGATGGACGAGAACCCGCACACTCAGTAGCTAGAAATCACTCGCGCAAGACTCAGAACGTGATTACCTGTGGCCCTCCCTGCCTGCATATATACCGACATATATATAGACCATGTGGTTCGGTGATGTCACCTTGAAACCATCGCCTTCCAATGTTGCCTCGGTGGTGGCGCTGTCAGCCCATTTAGCCCGCACTTCGGGGTCTGGGGACTTGAGACATACAAGAAGGCCGAGCCAATAGGATAGGGCGCATCCGAAGTTATAGAACTTTTAATGAGAGAGAGGGAGAGAGAAATACCGAGCAGGGATGGCATGGAACAAGAAGGGAAAAGAGATGTGCAGTTGGGGCAACTGAGTTCTTCCTACCGCCGTACACGGTGGTCCATCGGACCCAAAGTAAATGATTAAATGCGATTCTGCCTGGCAACTTGCATCTGGATACCACCCGGGCAGCTTTAAGTGTTGTCACAGGTCATGCAGCGTAAAATGATTCCTCAATGTGCACGCCCGATGGACGTTCCACTCAGAGGCAACTGGATGGAAGATAGTGTATGTATAGATATCCTGCACGGTTTCTCTAAGAGCCAGGCGTGGATGGGTGCAACAGGGCGATGACAAGGGATTGCAACGAATCCCCAGCATCCATACTGTTGACCAAACCTAGTTGTCTCAGTCAGTCTACACAACTGATATGGAGCTAAGGGACATCTGCCGCCTTGAGCATCATCGTGCCAGTAAGTGGAAGAAGCAGTAATCATGTTAGGGGATCTGATTACTCTACCTCAGGCACACGTACGCCATGGGGACTTATGGGCCCGGAGACCATGATAGTTCACAGGTCAATTCTGTGTCTATTTATGCTGGATCTTGGGAGAGAGCCGAGGCTCATCACACTCCACACTCCCGGGGCATTCTGCACGCTGCAGCTAGCCGGCGCTCTCTCAAAGCCACCACCCAGGCATCTTTGACCCTGTGACTGCTAGCCTTGGGAACTGCCTGACGACACCACTGCGAAGCCATGTCGCGAGCAAAGGCAGCATGCGATCAAACCAGAGGGGCAAGAGCGTGAGACACGTTACACAATAGCTGGGTACAGAAGTCCTTTCGGGGGCTCTGTTGGTGCGGCAAGGTGCGGCCATGTTGTGTGCAGTCGACCAGGGGCAGATGCACACTTGTGTACACCAGACGCCCCGCGGGTAGGACAGACACCCTCGGTGCGAGTCCTCTGCGGGGAGGGGTTGCAGGTCGCCAGAAGTACCAAGCTCGGGTAGTGCGAGTTTGGTATGGTTATTCTGACCGATTAATGTTACTGTTGTTTTGTAGGGTTTCTGTCTGGGTTCCTGGACCGATTATCTTAAGAGCATCCTCTGAGCGTCTGCGAATGTTTGATAGTCGAGCACTGACCATGCCGGTGCCGGGACTTCCGCCTTGGCCCGCATGCCGTCACCGGCACCATACCACACTTGCGCATTTACAATTCTCACGACGCCATCCCACAACTAACCCCAGGGACCATCCCGGTTTCGCAGACGCTTGCTATCCTGATCCCGTTGCAGACTTGTATCAGTTCATGGAGACGTAAGACTCAACCCTTGCGGTGCTTTCATCCGTACTAACATGCCACCTCGCAGACCGTTGAAAAAGGGGAAGAAGGCGTGCACCGAGTGCCGCCAGCAAAAGGTAGCTATTCCCTCGCTATGTATGAGAGGTAGCGATAAAGTTCTGATAGTTGAAGGCAAAATGTGACGTGTACGTGCACCCGGACCAGCCCTGTACTCGTTGCCGCAAGGTCCAGGCGAACTGTGTCATTTCGGACCCGTTCAAGAGAGAGCACAAGCGCAAGTATGCATCCCGCCTGCACTTCCATTATTCTAAATGGAATGGTAATGGTAATGGCAACGGCAACTAATTCACTCCGGAATCTAGGCGGATCTCTGAGCTGGAACGGGAGTCGGAAGACCTGCGACGCAAGCTCCGGGCCTCGCAGCCGGCAGACCCTGATCCCCACCCCTCGCCGATAGCCCCGTTGACAGCCGCAGCGGAGCTGGGCGTGCATTCCGGACCGCGAAGTGATTCAATCTCGGCGTCCTCGCATGCTCCACTGGATTCATACTCGCCACGGCTGTTGGCCCCAAATGGTCTGACCCACACGACCCCGGCACCGGCATTGGAAGGAGATGGCACGACAAAGCCCCGGAATTTGAATGGGGTACAGGTGCAAGCAGAGGAGATCGATGATCTGTTTCAATTGTATGTTCCGTCTTCCCTGCACTGTGTCCTCAGGTCTTCCCTTGGCTGACCGGATGATCGAAGATTCTTCCGGCATTATGCCCATTTCCTTCCCATCCTGGACCCTCAGACTCGGCCCAATACCTACTATGCACAATCCCCATTCCTATTCTGGACGGTGATTGGGGTAGCATGTCGATCTTACTCTCGAAATCCGACGCTGTTGACGGCTTTAGCCCGAAGTGTGCTAGAGATGGCCTTTCTCTCCGCGTTGTCCGCATCGCCGCCCTGGCACACCATCCAAGCACTTTTGCTGCTCTTGACATGGCCATTTCCCAAAGGAGACCACCCGGATGTGACATTTCCATTGAGTGGAATACTGCTTCATATTTCCATGCAAAACGGGCTACATATCCCGATGTCGAGTCATGAGTTCTCGCGCGTCAAAATCCCTGCACCCTCCGAGGCCGATCTGCTACGACGCTCCGAGCTGTGGGCACATACTGTCATTATGTATCAGCGGTATGCCCAAGCAAATGATTGACAAGATAGATTGGGAGCATGCTCACGCTATGGAACAGAGTCTGCGTCCACAAGGGCCAACTGCCGCGGGCAATCATGAACCACGGCCAAGATCCCACACATCCGCAAGTGATCTTTGACAAAATCGCACCATGGATGGCTCTCAAGCTCCGGTGCCAGGAGGTCATTGCGAAATGCAGCGAGGCGGTCACTGAAAATGGCATGCGCTCCATGTCTCTGGACCAGGAGAGGGCATTGGACATTCTTCTTCGTACCTACGAAGGCCAGGTAGACGATCTGGAACTCCGGGCCGTGACCGGTACGCTTTCTTTCAGCATTTTTCACCTGTGCACTTCTGACTGTCTTTCGATGTAGATGATGAGAGGTTTGATACGGGTCTCTGTCGGATGGCTATCCAGAGTTTTCATTTCTTCAAGAACCAAACCCTCGTGTCTAGTGGCTGCTATCCGCGGATTCTCGTCACGGCGTGCAGCTTGATCGACTACGTGCAATCGCTCTCTGAACGATTTGGATTCCTATTCATGGTTCCTATACATATCAGTTTCGGACTTCTCTTGGCCTCCACATCTTTACTACGCATCCTGAAGGGCAGCACGGCCTCTCAAGGCCTGGAAACAACGCGTGCGCGGGCCTCTCTCTTCACGGCCATCAACCTGGCCAAGCAGATATCCACTGATGGCGCGGACATAGCTGCGAAGACGGTCATGATTTTGAGCTCGGTCTGGAATAGCAACAGAGCATTCCGTCGAGCCGACGGATCTGATTACACTGCCCTGCGCATCCGTGGTCGCCTAGTGCTGAGTCCCATCCTCGATGCAGTCTGGTGGTGGCGGGATGAGTTCGATCCCCAATCACGGGCCGTGAGATCAGTCGTGGAGCCTTCTGATGGTAGTGTCTACTCTCGTTCACGTTCCCGCCCTGCCGCTGATGGAGGCACAGGTGGTGGATTAGAAGCCAGCCAAAATATTGCTGGCGGGGCAGTGGCGCCGTCCGGGGCGATTACCGACCAAAGCGCATTCCATCTCGATGAGCAATTCCTCGCCGATTTCGAATGGGCGCTAGGTGATGACGCGCTCTTCTCCCTGGAGCCAATGCCCTCGACCTGGCCATCGTCGTACAATCTGCTTTAGAACTTGACTTGGACAGCTATATAGAAATGATCGGTTGGCAAGAGTTTCACTTGCTCTCCAGAGTACTTTTCTCCCGTCTCCAGTTTCGTTCATCGCACAGACCGTGGTTTGGTGAGTCCCGTCCTGGCGGTAAGGCGGTCCCAGGCACGGGCTTCCGGATCTTTCCTATGCTACCCTGCAAGTGTCTCGGCGTGGGCAAAACGCTTGGCATTGCCAAGATGGCTGATATGAATTGGAGGACCGACGGACGTGCGTGGGTGGGCCAGGAGATACAGTGGATTGCCGGGAATAGCCGCGCACCTGCTGTATTTGTTTAGATAGCAAGGAGGTCAGACCCTGCATGGATGATAAACGAATCATTACCAGGGGTTAGAGAGCCCAATAGCTATCGGGCGGATTACCCCGTCAGGGTCCTTCTGTCTCAGATCCCCAGTTTCCCGCCACCTCCGGGCGACTATAACCATTGGGGTAAGAGGGTAAGCGTGGAAGGTCGACGAAGGTTTCTAGAGCCATTGAGCCCGGACAGCGTGACTAAAGTACGGATACAGCGGCCACGGGGGTGAAGAGCCCAGTTGATCGGAGCCGTCAAACAACAGCGACGGTTTGTATGCGAGAAAAAGCTCCGCCAATAGCGAGCGGGAAGGTATACTTCGGGCCCAACAGCGTGAGTCACTCTATTATGACCGCGCTCTTGTTCTGAAGGAGACGAGGGCGCCTCGGATTTTCTCGACGATGTCGCCAATGCTTTGTGACCACTCTCCAGCTGCCATGTTATCATGATCCAGCGATCTGAGCATCTATCATTAATGTGCCACGTTGTATCCCACAGACACCCCGCGGCCCCTGATTGCAACCAAACCCGGTCTCCGGCCAATGAGAGTCCCGCGAATCCGCCGTCACTTTTTCCGCGCCTGCGATGAGAGTTTGACAGGGCATTTTGGGGGGGTCGGCGAGTCGCCTGACTGTGTTTGGGCCAAGTTATCGGCCCTCGCCACGCCAGGCGCATCTCTACTGCAGATTGTCGTGGGTATCCGACCGTCCGGGCTGGATCCCCCGCATTTCACGGCGGGTCGATGGTGTTTCTCCTCCCCATCCATCTGTGTGCTTGGGGCAGTGATAACAGGGTTGAAAGGAAACCCAAGATGAGCATGGCCCCGGCCCAGAATGAAGGCAGCCAAACCTGCAACCTGGAGAAGGGTGACCTGCGGCCGTCAGCTGTCAGCATCCTACCTTATACACCAATATCGCCACCATCAAGATCTATCGTGAATGGGCTGGTTTCTTATCTGGGGGCCGTCTCTGCAGTCTTATCGGTGCAATGGGCAAATCTCAGATGCCCCAAGTACCTTCGAGCCACCTCAGGCCTCGGCTGTACGCCGGTCGCACACCTTGGCCACATTCTGAAGTGGACGAAGGTGCGGGCAAATGAACGTGCCAAGCGGACCAGAGCGCCTCTCGGCCTTGGTGCGGTGGAGGTCCAACCATATCGACGGCCAAGCCTATTCGCACGGCCGCTAGCAGGATAAGGGCGGCGCTAACTCCACCCTCCCCAGCACGCTAACTCTCTGGGGAGACTCCCCCATGCTCCCCTCCCGTGGCCGAAAGGTCCAAGACCTGCCCAGCCCAAGTGCAACCGGCTTATCGCTAACAAGCTCATCGCGGCGGATTCCCGTTGGCGGAGGTGGATCGGCTGGCACTTGGCCGAATGAGAACCCAGCAGCACGTTATCAGCGCATCTCGCTTCCCTTCCGCCCGGGATTTGGTGTGGCCCATCGTCTTGGCGGGAGGAATTGCCGTGTAATTACCCTCAGAGATCCCGCGTGGCGGCGATAGTACAATGGACGCGCCATGGTGGCTGCTCTTCCTTGCGCGTCCTTGTGCTGTCCGGACTATGCACAGTCGTGCCAGGTCGCATAAGCACATGTTCGCCGACCCCTGCGGTCTTTCCAGCTAAAATGTCTGGGCCTTCCGAACTCGTGGATCGAAGCGACAAGGTAACCCTTTGTCGCCGCCACTAGCTCCGCAGGGATGGCAAGGACGCCTGGGATATTGGGGGATCATCCTGCATCGCGCACCCGTGACTGGTCCAAGAACCAACAAAGAAAAAAAAAGGAAAAACGGAAGGTGAGAGGTTGTTGATGGCCCGAGAGCGCGGCCCTTACTCTGCATTCGGTCGGTGCCACTGACTTGGACTGGACGGCAAGTTGGGATGGCATAGCAGTGGCTTGATTGGGTCCGGCGTGATGCTTCAATGTCGTTTAGTCTTTCTCTCATTTCTTGGCGTTATTTTTATTATTTTGTTTTCACCTTTTTCGGGACGTCTTCATTCCCCTCGAAATAACTATGCAATATCCCTTCCCGCCAATCTAACCTCACCAGCTGGCCCCAACCGACTCACGACTCATTCCTAATTGATTGATCGCAATCAGTCACTATCGCCGCCAATTCGCCTCCTTGTGCTACTTGAATTTGCGGTTTAGCTTGAGGCGAATTCCCCCACCCCCGTTCACTTCTCCTCCCCTCGCATCCCCGCCCCCAACCCCACCCTTTCCTGCTTCCCTCCTATCACGTTTGACTTAGCCCTCGCCGTCGGTGCTCTAGCCTAACTGGCGACACTGAGGTTACATCCATTCCCCGATTAGTCTCAGATATCGTCGACCTCGTTTACGCGGGCGATAAGGCGGAATCCCGTCGGGGTCGATGCACGTCGCGACCAAACGGAGAGTATCGTCGTCGCCTTAAAGCAGGCCGGGCCGCCTCTGACCCGGCTTCTTTCCTTCCATTCCTTTCCCCTGCATCTGCTCGGTAGAGCTTCCTGGATCTGGTTTCGATCCTCTGGTCTGTGACCTATCTGCTCACCATGGAGAAGACCGATCCCGATATCGCCGTCACCACCGGCGCCGAGGTCGACGAGACCGCGCCAGATGAGGTGGTCAGCAAGCTGCGCAACTTGAAGGCGCATCATCACTGGGATCCGAATATGCCAGAGGATGCCGTGGAAGTGTTGGATGAGGCGCTGCACACCGACGACAAGGAAACCCAAGTCGGCATCGCCCACGAGCTGTTGGATAACTCCCCATACCCTGAAGTGCGGGCTGCGGTCTCCAATGTCGATGAGGGAGGCCACAGCAACACCATCCGTGCTTGGGTTATTGGAATGCTCTTCGCGACAATTGGTTCCGCGCTGAACATGCTGTTCTCCATGCGTCAGCCCTATATTATCATTCCCTCATACATCGCCCAGGTCGTCGCCTACCCCGTCGGCAAGGCCTGGGAAAGGTTTATGCCAAGCAAGAAGTTCCGATTCTTTGGTCATGAGTGCAATCTAAACCCCGGTCCCTTCAGCAAGAAGGAGCACGCGCTAGTGGTCATCATGGCGAACGCCACATTTGGCGGTGGAGCCGCTTATGCCACCGACGTCTTGCTGGCGCAGCGTGCCTTCTATAAGCAGAAATTCGGCTGGGCCTTTGAGATCTTCATGTGTATGTCCACCCAGATGCTGGGCTTTGGTCTGGCCGGCTTCTTCACCAAGTACCTCGTCAGTCCGGCTGCCATGATCTGGCCCTCCACTCTGATCAACACCGCACTTTTCTCGGCTCTGCACGACCGCACAAAGCCGGACCCGCGCAAGGTCAGTGGCTGGACCATTGGTCGATACCGGCTGTTTCTGTACACCATGATCGGCTCGTTCTGCTGGTACTGGTTCCCTGGGTACATTGCCCCCTTCCTGAGCGTGTTCGCCTGGGTGACCTGGATCAAACCCAACAACGTGATCGTCAACCAGTTGTTTGGTGGCTGGACCGGCTTGTCACTGATCCCGATGACTTTTGACTGGACCCAAATCTCTGGTTTCAATTTCAGTCCCTTGATTGCCCCGTGGTACGCCATGGCCAATACCCTGATCGGCATGGTGGTCTGGTTCTGGATTGTTACCCCCGCCATCCACTACTCGGGCCAGTTCTACTTCAAGTATCTGCCAATCAGTGATTCCGGCAGCTACGATAACACCGCCAACGCGTACAACGTCTCGAAGATTTTGACCCCCGACTTCACCTTCGACGCCGAGAAGTACAAGAATTACTCTCCGCTTTTCCTGTCCACCACTTTCAGCCTTTCTTACGGTCTGTCTTTTGCCGGCATCATTGCCGTCATTTTGCACACTGCTCTTTTCCACGGGCCCGATCTCTGGGCCCGATTCCGCTCTGTGAGTGGCAAAGAGGAGGAGGATGTGCATAGTCGCCTGATGTCTCGGTTCAAGCCCGTTCCTCTCTGGTGGTATGGCGTCGTGACCTTGATTATGATTGCCATGGCGCTGGGCGTGGTGCTGGGGTACCCTACTCACCTGACCTGGTGGGCATTCTTCATTTCCCTGCTCATTGCGATTGTGTGGTTTGTGCCGCTTGGCATTGTCCACGCTTCAACCAACATTGACATCGGACTGAACGTCTTGACGGAGTTTATCGTCGGTTATATGCTGCCCGGTCGCCCGATGGCTATGATGCTTTTCAAGACCTATGGATACATGAGCATGTACCAGGGAGTCTACTTTACTCAGGATCTGAAGCTGGGTATGTCGACCTAAATGTCTCCTGCTATGCTTTTATGCAGTCAGCTAACTTTGTCTTTTCAGGTCACTACATGAAGGTCCCTCCTCGTGTGACATTCGCCGCGCAGATGGTCGCTGCTGTCTGGTCCTCACTGGTGCAGATCGGCGTGATGAACTGGGCACTGGGTGCCATCAAGGACGTTTGCACGGCGAAACAAGCCAATCACTACAGCTGCCCGAACGGCCGTGTCTTCTTCAACGCCTCCGTGATCTGGGGTGTAATTGGCCCAGCTCGTATCTTCTCGGTCGGCCAAATGTACTCCCCCCTTCTCTTCTTCTGGATCGCCGGCGCCGTCCTCCCTGTGGCCATCTACTTTGGTGCACGCGCCTTCCCTCGCAGTCCGATCCGCTACCTCTCTGCCCCTCTGATCTTCAGCGGATCTGGTCTGATCCCTCCTGCCACCCCGCTGAACTATCTCAGCTGGGGTATCGTGGGCTTTATTTTTAACAAACTCATCCGTGACCGCTGGCGCGGCTGGTGGATGCAGTATAATTACGTTCTTTCGGCAGGTCTGGATGTCGGCCTCGCGCTGTGCACTATCCTGATCTTTTTGACCCTCAACCTGACCGGCACCGACTTCCCAGCGTGGTGGGGCACCAACATTGCCGCCAACACCATGGATGCGTCGGATACCGCCATCCAAGTCGTCCTGGGCGAAGGCGAGACGTTCGGTCCCGCCTCGTGGGCGTAGGCTGCTTGTTGGCTCCAGTCACATCACCTTGAAGTTTCACCCCGAGGTATATTGGAACGAGGAGATATATATCATAGTGCACTTATGAGATGCACAGTGCGAGGAATCGATACTTTATTTGGTCATTTTTTAATGCCTGTGTGCAATGAGATAATGATTAAATGGCTGCTCTTCGTTCGCATGGGTTATCATAATATTAAATAGCACTTCATACCCGCGCATCAATTCAACTCTATAATTTCACATATCTTCTTATCTTAGTAACTTCTACCTTGGTAAATTAACTAAACTAACATCACCGCGAATTATATAATACTCGCTCGAACGAGGAGAGGCAAAAATAGATAACTGGCTCATAGGCCACCGAGAGCAAATATGAATGAAGCTACGTAGATGCTAGTCAGGTTACATACCGAGTGCCCAGGACGCACCTGCTAGGGCGCACCTGCTAGGGCATGTCCGATTACGCCCGCATTTCGTTGCCCAGTCTTTTGCCCATCACGATCCTCCAACAGACCTGGTAAGTGTCTTCTTGATGCTTCTCGGTCAAAGACAAGCACAGCCCTACATTTCACAATAAATGGCCCTAGGGTAACCCGGAAACCCCCGAATTGTAGACTAGCGTCTCTTGGTGGTGGAGCCAGAAAATCAGTCGAAGTGTGTAAGGGATTGCACCCGTACGCCAATAACAGCGGTTGCTAATGCTATTAATCGGATTTTCCGGGAACCCTACTTTGGGCTGTTGACATGATCTTACTTAGACGTAAGGCTTACTGTTCGACTTCCGAAATCAATATAATGACAAGTTCCCGCGTCATGGAGTTCGCCTTCGCTGCCATGGACACATCGCCCTCTTCCCACCACCATTGCGTCAAATGCCCAGGTTTCGTCATGGCTTGCAATGCTAAGAACTACTCTCGAGGCCGAGTATAGCAACCAAGTCCCTAGCCTCGCCAACTCCAGCTCTAATATCCGTCCTGTCCTCTATTCCGTTCTATTTGGGTTGCGAAAGAAGTGCTCCGAGCCGGCTACTGCTATCAGAGCCGCAGCCAGCAAGGTATTCTCCGTCGTGGAGGGAATTCCGGATCATAGCTCTAGTTGACAAATCCTATCTCCCACATACGCAGTAAACCCGAATAAGCTCAGAATTAAAGTATGGACTTTAACAATATCCATCGAAAGTATTTCAAGAGTTGAGTTCTGTATATTCTCAACAACCATGAGCAATCATCTCCTGAGATTCTTGACAGTCAGTCGGTCCACCTGGCAGAAGGGCCCGGCCCAAATACCAGCCCGCGAGTGTACACGATCGGCATTTGCCGCGTTACGCAATCCTGGAATAGTGCTGAAGACTCTTGCCATCGACCTTGGCTAGAGTAGGTTGAGGCGAGGCTGACCATGCTAGCCAGCGTGTCAGGATGCTCTGGGCCAAGAAACGCTTTTCGAAATCTCCAGCACTTGCGACTGGAGTTTTTCGGCCTCCTTGAGGAGGCCTTGTTTCCAGCACGTGGATGCAAGATTTGCCATGTTTGCTAGTGTGGCGGGATGCTCGAGGCCAAGAGTCCTTTTGCAGGTCATCAGCACTTGTGTTTGTAGCGCTTTGGCCTCTTGAAATCGGTCTTGTCTCCAGTACGTGGTCGCGATGTTGGCCGTAGTAGTAAGCGTATCAAGATGCTCTGCGCCAAGGAGCCTTTTGCGGCTCTCTAGCACTTGCAGTTGAAGTTTCTCAGTCTCTTTCAATCGCCCTTGTTTCCCGTACGTTGAGGCGAGACTGCCTATGCTGGTAAGTGTCCGTGGATGCTCTAATCCAAGTACCTTTTTCTGAGCTTCCACGACTTCTAACTGTAGTGTTTCGGCCTCTTGGAATCGGCCTTGATCCTGGTATATCATTGCAATCTTGGCCATATTAGACAGGGTGTCAGGATGCTCCTCACCAACCACCTTTCTGCTTATCTTTAGCAGCTGGGTGCTCATTATTTCGGCGTCTTGCCACCGACCTTGGCCCTGATAAGTTGACACGAGTCTACTCATACTAGTCAAGGTGTCAAGGTGTTCTGTGCCGAGTAGCTTCTTGCGGGTTTCTAGCACTTGCGAATGTAGTGCTTCAGCCTCCTGAAATCGGCCTTGGGTCTCGTATGTTGATCCGAGGTTGGCCATTGACGTTAACGTGCGCGGATGCTCTGCGCCAAGCACCTTTTTGCACGTTTCCAGTACTTGAAAATGGAGCGTTTCAGCCTCTTGCAATTGGCCCCGATCCAGATATACCAGGCCCACAACACTGATACTAGCAATAGTGTCCTCATGCTCGGGTCCCAAAACATGTTCCCGTGTTTCCATTGCTCTCGTTGCCATCTCTTTCATGTCTACCATGTTCCCCTTCCTCCACGCGTACATTGCTCCATTATGAAGCAATGCTGCCCATTCCCGTAGCGATGCTTCTGAATCTGGCCGTTGCGACATTGCTAATTTCACATGTGGAAACAGAGATTGGCACAATACCCAGTGTTCGTATTCCCCAGTAGGAAACTCGGCGGACAGGACTTTAGTAAAACGCTGTTTCCAATGTTCTTTTTTACCATGAATCTTCAGCCACCTGTGGGTTGCTAGTTGCACTAGTCGATGCATTTCGAAAAGAGTTCCATGTTGACTGATGGAGATGAAGGAATAGTCCGTCAGTGTTTTAATATCATCTTCAAAATCATTATTTGCCTCAGATTCTGTTCCGCTCCCTTCATTTTCGTCATTTATATGTTTGAAGCGGTCGAATTTCTGAGGTGAATCTTGAAGGAGGTTCTCTGCAATCCCCTGTCGATCGAAAAAGCTCATCAATGAGAGAAGATCCGCGGCCGACGGTCTGATCTTCCGGATGTGATTGAAGGATATTTGCCAGGTGGTTAAGATAGAGTTTGATGCTTCCCAGTCGCGGTAAAGAGGGTCTGCATCATACCCTAGAAGGCGTATCTTTCTATTGTCGCTCTTTTGAAGCTGTATTAGGTACTGCGCCACTGAGCACCGAGGTGCCCGAGACCTAATGTAAGTTGTTGCCTGCACAATTGCAAGAGGCATGAAATCTAATGCTTCTATCAACAATAAAGCTTCCTGTTGATTTGTTTGTGTTCCGAGCTTTTTCTGCAGCAGTGCCAATGCGTTTGAACGGCCCATCGGCTCGACTTGAATAAGGTTGCTGCTGTCGACGATACTTAACGCCACTTGCTTGCTCCGTGTAGTCAAGATGATCGAGCCATGTGGTACCTGGGGAAGAAAGGAAAGGAGTGGCTGCCCCGGGGCGCAATTCAGACCGTCTGGCGCGCCTTCCCGGCTTGCCAGAGGCGGTTTGCAGAGGAAGTCATCATCGACGTTATCCATAATTAACACCCAATTTCCGCATCTGTTATCCTGAAGCCAGTGAGAGACCAATCTGAATATATTGGCCTTGCGATCCCGACGGCCGGGGATTTTGACTGTTTCGGCAATAGTCTGAAAACTCTGCTCAAAACGGGTTGCGTTGCTCGCATGGATCCAAAAAACCCATGTCTCTGGCGAATTTTCTCGGATTCGGTAAGAGTACTCGATAGCCACTTTAGACTTGCTGCTTTCATTTAGCAACAGAGAATACACAAAGAAAACATGATTCCGCGCCTACCCAACGCCGCCTAGACCAACGAGAGCAGTGCGAGATCCTGGAATAGAAGATTTTCTGTGTATTTCCTCCAGGAGCATTCCACGATCGATAAAATCCGTGTCTGAGGCGAAGGGAACTGTGGATAAAGGTTTCGGTGGGATCTCCAGTTCTTCTGAAGGTAAGCAGCACTCACGTTAGTATACCTGGACCTAGCTCGAATGCTCTTGACCTACCCCATGTTTGAATATTTATCGAGCCAAAATTACTACCAACCTGGAAACCTGAGTTGCTCGTTCCAAATGATATCGTAGAAGCCATGATCATAGGTAGCAGTTGAAGGTTTCGCTGGCTTTCAAAAGGAAATTGCGGGGTATAAGCCAGACTAATCCTCCTACAGTCCGTACAAGCATGTCTGTTTGGTTTGTTTGCAAGCTCATGGCTCTAGACCAAATGCTGTAGCCAGCGCCGGGACGTAGCTATTTTGATCATTCTCGGCGAGGGAGGGCTCAAGTTAATCCATCGTAATAAGTTTGGAATCTTTGTCAAGACGGGTACACGGACAAGCAGAAGCATGGGTACCTTGGCTTCTCCAGATTTTATTCTACTCGAGGTTTCGAAACATTTGCGCTCTTCCGCGACGAACACATGGTAGATAATCTCAAGCGGAATTTTATCGATGGCTGTATACGCAGAATCCAATATTCGCCACCCCTCCATTCATTTTCTCTCTCTCTTTGTTCTATCTAGCATCTTTATCTACGCTTTCTCGAAATCGCCTGACCAATACACATTTGATATCTATTTCTAGAACCCCCGCCAAGGCCTTGGTGCAGATCAACCATTGAGCGCGCCAGGTTGAATTGACGGGCGCAAACGGTTCGCCTTCTGTGTTACTGTACCTGACTGCAATATCACAGTACACCATGCGTACTAAACTCCGTGGAATACCATGGAACCTCACAGTGGACATGCGCACTGCCATCTTTCCTTTGTCTACTGTCATTCAGTTAATTACCCGCGGAGAGCCGGGTGCTGGTCTGAGAGTTCCCTTACGGTCACTATGAGGAAAGCCTCTCCAGTAAGGCTCAGGCAAGGACAGAAATTGGTTGTAAAAGATACATTGGGAGATATTGGAAACGTAACAACTTCCTTTGAATTACTCTGAAACGCTAATTGGCTTAAATGTGGAACTTCGTAAAGCCTTTTTTAGCAATTATCAACCATCCAGTGTGGCTTCCCTGACCATCGGCCGAGTTGGATATCTTTAACCTCTTGCATCATCGGGGACTTCAAGAAGTCTATGACGGGATCAGGGTGAACCGACACCTGCGTCTCGTTTCCCTCATTCTTTTCTTCCCTTGCACGCAAGATTTCAAGGGCGTGCTAGGAAGCGAGACCCCCGCTCGCTCGGCGTCTTTATAGGCCTCGTACTTGTACTCCTGAACTGCATCGTGAAGTGTTTCTACCCTTCTCACCCCAGTGGCACTGAACTGACTACTAGCCTCATCTAAGCCCATTACTCTACGCGGCCAATTCTCGAGACGCCTTAAAATTAAAATCGCGAAAAATTTGTCTTAGGGTGAGTGTGGGTGATATGGGTGGGAATTTTAGAGACTGAGGCGACAGATGTGGCATATCATATTTAATCTTAAGCAGAGCCCTTAAACTGGTTCCCTAAACTTTAGGTAATAATCGATCCTCAATTTTAAAAGGACAGCGTTATCGTGGCGATAAAACTTTCTAAGACCATAGCCCAGCAGCACAAAGTTACTTGGCGCTAGCTGCGCTCAATGCTCCTTCATGGCAATGAGCGAAGCCATGGTGCTGAGGTTGTGGTCGATTTTGGAAGCGTGGATACTCCATTCGCCACCCATATCATACTTCTTAAGTAGAAACTTCAAACACTGGGATCAAAGTGAAGACTAGATAAACCACTTGTGGTTGTAGTTGTCGATTTATGGGAACTGACATATTGCCATAGGTTAAAACGTGATGCCATGTTTTGAAAGGCTACGCTTTCAAAGCGTGCTATTTAGGCTTAAATCTGATATATGTTATTTCAGGTTGTGTGTATTTCGCCTTTAGCATAGACACTGCCACCAGTGCGACCAGTGCCACCGGGGCACAGGGTCGTCACAGCCCGCCTCCTTCTGACAGTCTCGGATCCTCGCTCTGCATGACTTTGAGATGAGTTTGTGAGCCAGACAGGAGCTTGACCTGGCTTCGATGCGACATAAATGCCCAGATTGCTTGGATGATGACAGTCAAAAGGCCAGTAGAAGCCACGTATATCCAGATCCAAGGTGATACTTTTGGCTTCTCTGCCTCGAGGAAATTGAAGAATGTCATGGAAAAAAAGGTCTACAAACTTGTAAGAATTTAAAATGGGCATCGATTTCGGGTTATTTACCGCGGTGAATGTAGCTGGGAGAAACAGAATCATAACGCTCAAAAGTTCCAAGTCGGACACGGTGACTGTTGATCCCACCACTATCACTGTCACGACGGGTGTTGCGGCGGGCAGCGAGTCTCGACCCACGTTCCCTGCTAGTACGATTGGCGTGCAGACGGGAACTGTAGTGACACCGGCGCCGTATGTGTACGGTCTTTGACAGCATCGAACATGTCAATGATGAACGAAACTTTAGAAGCTATGGGGTTAGAATTATATCATTTGATGGTATGACAGGCTCTTGGCTGGGTTGGAGACATATGAAGAAAATGGAAGGGTCGAGACTAAATTTGTAAATAAATCACAATTGGGTAGGAAAATGGCTATCTTCATGACTGATTTCTTATGGAATTGCATACCCCTCCTCGGCCCTGGTACTCCATTTCCGCAGAATGGAAGGCAGAGTGGCACTGGAATATCTACCATGTGGGTGGAATATAATAATCCTCCCAACGGTCGGACTCAGCATCTTTGAAAGTATCAATAGTACCTTCTACCCCATCCGCCCCAACAGACCAGACGCCTCTTTCAACCAGCTTACGCCAACAACCTAACAAACGCTCTAGGCGCTGGGAGCGGTAGTAATCACCACCAAAAGGCTTATATCCATGCTGAAAGAGCTCTGAAAAGCGTCCCCTATCAACAAGGGACCCATCGCTTTTTCGTGCGCCCACGCTCTTGTCCCAATCATCATTGAAGGTGAACGGAAGTAACAGCCGAAATCCCTCCTCCGCTACATCAAGGCCGTTTCTCTCCACTGCCTCAGTATATAGGCCTGCAGAGACGCGAGATGGGGTACACGTTTCGGTGGACGTTGAATAGAAGTCCGACTGTAAAAATGGAGATGTTGTTCTCGTAAGCTGGATAGGACGCTGGTCTCCTGTATCAGCCGGGAAAAGACACACTGGCGGTGCGGTGTACTCGGAGCGGGGTAATACGCTAAATGGCTGCGCTGCCATAAATCCAGCCAAGTCAGCGGGGGGCAGAAGAAGGCCTGGAGCGATGTAGCGGAACTGAGGCCGCCTCGCGCGCGTTAGAAACGAACGCGTAAAGGAAGGATGAGGGACCAAAGCAGCGTCCAGGACACTTGATACAACCAGCGGCTCTGAATTATCCGCATCAGTCCCGGTCAGTGGTGGGTTTGACGGCTGCGAGATGCGCGCCGCAATGGCCTGACAAAGCCGATCCCACTCGGCGACACACGTAGTAACCTGGGCGTCGCTATAAGGCCGCCACTCCCAGGGCCCGACCTTCTCGCAGCCGAACAGGGCTGGCTCTTTATGAGGCGAAGCCACAACTTTTCCAATATGAATAAGATCGATCCAGTTGGTGAGTAGTGTCTCTAGCGGGTTCCAAACGTTTTTACTACCCTCCACTGGAAACCCAATGTCATATTCATCAAGATACATGAAGCTCGCGACTCGGTGGAGGCCTTGGTGGTAGATAATACCGCCATCACTGTCCACAGCCGATAAGCCCCCTTCGACAGCGTACAAGCGCACCAGGCTGTCAACGGGCTGATCTTGAAGATCAGCCGTATCTTCCTCAAAAAGCCTTGATGGCCCATCGATACCCCATGCAAAAACTGAGAACGGGATGTATTCGTGAGGATTATCAAAAGGAAAAGGGGGCATGATAGCGGTGTCAAGGAATGCCGCCAGTGACGGATGAAGCCTTGGACGACAAGCCTCGGCTTCATCTTCATCCCCGGAGCCCGTGAAAAAGTTGCTGTTGGCATCCAGAGTTTCCAGTGGGCGGCCTTCAGCGAGCCAGGCATATTGGATCAGGTAGTTGTGTAGAGCTACACATCGTGTGTAGTCCATTCCTTCGAGATCATCTCGTGGAGGGTTATTTGGCCTGACAAGCAGGCTAGTGATATCCGGAAGTTGAGAAAAATCCATTGAAATAAGGATGGAGTGTTTGTCAAAGGGGTACAACTAGAGAGGAATGAATCTCATACAGCAAGCCCCGCAAAGACCCAGTTTAAAAGCGGTAAGTGGGCGGTCAAGACAGGTAATAAACTAGCCATTGTTCCAAGGTTTCCAACCATCTCTCTAACTGTCTTTAAACGTCGCTAAGTTGAACCAATTACTCCTCTTCTCTTGGGCTTACCTGTAGGGGAGATCTATATGTCTCTCAAGTGTGTTCCGCAATCGTACCGTTGCCCAAGGCCTCCAGGGCTTACACGGGCTCGGATCTATAGGCGTACTTGTAAACATCATCCCGGTCACAAGTCCAGATGGAAGGCCTTCATCGCCTCCTGCCGCGTCTCAATATGCCCGCTCCGTAACTCTCGAACCGCCCGGTGCAGTCCTCGGCAAACCGCCACGCCCGTCATACCTTAATCCACCAGTGTCTCGTAAAGCACTCTTACCATTTCGATACAGTGTTTATCTGAGACTTCCCAGAGCGTTCCAACAACATGTCGGAAACCGGCAAGTTGAAGGGCGCTAACAAGATGAATTCCCTCGTCTACGAGTCTGTCCGCCTCATTCGCCCCAGTGGAACAAGCTGAGAGATACCAAGAAATGGCGGGTTCTCTTGGGCAAACAACCCAGTTTGGACTAGTCCGCCAACATAGGCTGGTCGAAGATATACGACGCAGTTGTTGCCGTGTGCTTTGGAACTGTTACCACGCGGATTTTAGTTTTGCCATAAGTTACGGGATGTTAATGCCTAAGGCGATATGTAGCTGTCGCAGCATGAGGATTGGTAGATACTCGGAAAAAGGTGGTACTGTAAATAAGCCAAGATTAGTGATTTTTATATGCCAGATCCAGGTCTTGTAGCGATTCAGACCTATTATGATTTCATTGGTGCACCCACATGGCTTATTCATTTCTGTTCCGATAGTTAATATCTTGGTTTCCTGAGGCTAGGGAATACACCGAATGTCCGAGCGACCACTACGTGCTTTAGCCCAAGGCGACATTGAAATCAGCCTCGCCGTTCATTTGGCCAACTTAGAGCTAGGATTCAATGGATCTGCAAGTGCCAAGAGAGCACAGTTTCAGCCTGATCAAGGTGAACCAATGAAGCTGCATCTAAGCGCAGGTGAGAGAAGGTTCGTGCGATGGTCGCGCGACGCAGGGTGATTCTCACCCGCTCTCACCCCGCTTCTCACCCTATCTATTGCGCACTCACCCTATCTCACCCCGGTCGCGCGACCGTAAAGCGGCGCACCTACTTCTTACCCGGGCGGCACCCACCCGACTATTGACTGCACATAAGCCGAACGCTGGCAGGTTAGTAGTTTGGTGACTCCTTTGCTCGGCTCACCTTCCCAGAACTCCCTGCCGACTCGCGTAGCATCCTTCCTAAAGCCAAAAATACTCGAAAATTAGTGGGGGTGGAGGCCCGAAGACTGTCGCCTGTCTATTCATTGGCTTTTCTGTCTTAGGCCGTCCTATCATGAATTAAAGTACACGAAGAAGGCGGATGCTTTTGATTATGACGGTCACCATAGAAGCATGCATTTGTATCAATTCCTTTTACCTCTACGACTTTGCGTGCCGCTTTTTTTGGCTTTGCGGCATCTTAGTTTTGTACAGTAATGCATCAGCAGTGCGGATGAAGTGCGGTTAGGAAAATAGTCCGCGATATCTTCCCATTTCAATTTTCGTTGCTCTTTCAACTTCACCAGTAACTTGTTCTCCTGGGTTGAATATGTCCGGCCTTTGCCTTTCCAGTGAGCCGAAGTGCCTATACTCCTCGGCTGCTCATGAATTCTACCTGGCTTCGCGGAGTGGTCGGGAAGTCTTTGCACGGGTGTAAGTGATGTGGAGCGGGCGCTGTCGGGCATGAGTGTGAGGAAAAAAGTGGGCACTGATCCTTGTGTTACGATGGTAAGAATTGCTCGTCCAATAATATCTTGGCTCTCGAAGTAGCTGGTTGATGAACCAATGGGCACGGCGTGGGGATGGCACGGAGTGGCTATGCTTGGGAGACTGGGTTCCTCCGTTGAGGAGTCCTCTATATCCGAGAGTTCTGATTGGATTGTATTCGTAAAGTCTTCGTCCGAGGAATTATCCAAGTCTTCGGTACTTGCGCTCTTATTCACGTCCGCTGGGATAGGTTTTGTCTTTAAGCGTATATTCCGTAACAGCCTAGGTCGTGGCGGAGGTATAACTACAGTAATAAAGGATTGGTACCTCTTAGGATGAGGATGGTGTTTTCTGGTCGAAGATATTAGCCGTTCTTTGCTTTGGCCGGATATAGGCTAAGTGGGGTTCTTGTCGCGTTGAGCGGTAGAAATTCTCGAATGAGAATAAGCAGACCCGCACCTTGAGGCTTGTTCGAGATCCATCGAATTAGGTATGTTAATAGGCAACTGGGTGGTTGTTTTCGAAGGCTCTAACTCGGCTACACTTCTGGTGAGATAATCTGAAATTAATCCGGTTTGGCTTGCCCTCTCGTGGTTATTAGAAATATTATCGGTGTAATCCTCTGGTGAAGAATTGTAGGACCTCCTGTCGTCTCCCTTTCCAGAGGCAATATCTGAATAGAATGAGATGGGAGAATTTTCGCTAAATGTAGTGGATATATCAGACGTGTCCTAACTGTGAGCTGGAGTGGTAAAAGACTCAGAGGCTCTATATGAAGGCTTATTTTGTCTCTACTGAACATCGCCTATTACGTGCGATTGCATGACCTTAGGGACCGAGATTATAGGCTCTGGCGAAAGCACTGCGATGGAAGAGGACTGAGGAGGGGATGGAGAACTCGTGTAAACTGAATGGGTTCTCGGAAATAAAACCGCATCGTATGATTTAGTGCCTTTGCTTGAATCAGTGCCCGACGTCGATGGAACTATTTCTTATAGATTAACATCGTAACGGATACTTGCTCGGGCCTTGAACTTACCCTTACCGTGCATCTTATCGATAAAACTATCTTGGTGCTGACCGTCAAGCTCTTATAGCAAAGGACAGGTATCCCTAACACTAGCATACCGTGGATCCGACAATGACGTTTCTATTTCCCATGCCCTAGCCAGTTCAAAAGTCAAACAGCTTAGGCGACCTAACTCAGTGTTGATGCGTTATATCCTGTGTATTGGCATCCGGAGAAAGTAAGCCAGTCGGGGCCATTGTCGAGTCGTCTGTCAGTGAGGAGACCGCTTCATAAAAGAATGATAGCCGCTCGCTTGCTAATATAGCAGTCGAACCGCTTTTATTGCTGTTGAAGGTAAGATATAGCCGCTTTACAGGGTTTAAAGGGCCACGGTAGAACTGTATATTATCAAGGGTTACTAGTATAGTTCCCGTTCTTAGTTGGAATGACATGAAGATGAAAAAGCGAAACGAGGAGCGTATAGGTGTTACTCGACGCCTAACTAAGCTGGGCGCGAAGTAAAAAACGCCTTTGCTTTATATATTCGGTGAGCCCTAGAGGGAAAGACGTCTATCCGATTAAAGTATAAGCCCCAGCCGGAGTTCCCGTGAGTAGACAGTTTCAGCCTACGCTCCTCGTCATATACTACTCGCTACTCATGACGGCTTATTCCCGGGCTGGCTTCTAGGTGACTTTCAATCACTAGCAGATGCCTTGCGTCTCGCACAAACAATATATAGCGACAGAAATTTCCTTAAGCTCATCTGTCTTTCAGCTTGATTATCCTACAACGACACCATACGATTTACTCGTTGCTCAAAGACGCTCACGCGATGCAACCCACCGGAAATAGGCCAAGGCAGACCTAGAATCATCCTTCAGCTGCCACGCCAAATGTAACCCCAGGAAACCGTGGAACAAGGCTCCGGGGATAGAATTGACACTGGCCATTCGCGATTGGTTGACTGATTCAATCACCGCGGATAAATGGCGCACTGCCTACGTCAGGCTCACCGGAGTGCGAGAATGGAGATATACAGGAATTACGTTGAGATGACCAGACGAGGAAAAGATACGTATACACATTCCGCTTCCGTTAGGGTCCCATAACCCTTCACCGTTAGCTCACTTCCGGTCACACCCAATCTGATGCTCGTGACTAGTCCGCTCGCAGACACTCCCACACGAGCCCCTGTCCCTCCGGGTGTATATGCAAGACCTATGTCCACATCCAATGACAAAAACTGCGCACCTACGTCAAGGCAGACTGGAGTTAGTAAGGGGCCATGAGTTTCTCGGAAACTGTGCCAGGCTATGTTAACTGAGGCGCGAAGTCCTTTTTTAGAGTTGTAGTTAAGGGGGTGCCATATCATCTCGGGCGCTGTTCCAAGTTAAGGCACATATTGGCACTAGAGCTCGTCCGTTCTCGAGGAGTGCGGCACAACAGCATACGGGGAAGTTGCGCTCGAGAGCAACTAGTTCGACCACGTAGGCACATATGCCACATCTGGTTTTGGCTGGCCATATAAAATTTAAACGCGTAGGAGAAGGACACTGTAGCAGAGGAAATAGCTATGGCCGGCAAAACAACAGAATGAACAGTTTCAAGGTGAGGGAAAAAGGAAGCGTCAAGGAGGGTTCCTCTGGTTGGTGTGAGTGGAGACGGGAGGCAGTGTTGCTTAATAAAACTTAGCGAACCTAATAAATATCTATATATCTCTAATTATTTTAGATATCTCCTATATATAGATAACCTCAATCTTTTTAGGATTAATATATACTCTTTTATTTATATAAATTATAAAGCCTAAATATTTAACTAATTTCTACTCGAATTCTAACTTATTAATATTATATTAGAGGCCTATATCTTAGAGTTTCTATAATATTTTCTTAATCTTCTAGTAATAATCCTCTAAAAAATTACTTAAATAGATAATAATATTATTAATATAAGTAATTATTAGTAGCAGACAAAGTCGCTGGTAAAAAAAACGGAGAACAAGGCGCACTGAGACGGCAGGTTGCGCCGCCGCTGCCGCCGCTGCAGGTGCCCAGTTGTGCCGTGTAATCAACACAGGCCAGGGGGAATTTGTCCTACATCGGCAAGAACCTGAGCCGTTCTCAAAGAAGTAATCGTCTTTTGGCACTTGGTTACTGGGCGGCAGGCTGCCCTCCCCACATAACTTGCATTGATCGACTTCTTGTCTCCAAATGATTCCATTGAATTCTTATGCTTACTGTATATTACTATATAGCAACCTACTGTATCATACAGTGTACAAGTTATTTTACGCTATCTCTCGCACAAATGCGGCTGCTTCAAGATTGTCCTACGCTAAGGCCTTGGCGGTGGGTCCAGAAAACACTTGCCAAGCGTGTAGTGGTCCAGCGTTTTCGAGAATTACTGTAAAGATTAGACATCGATATCGCCAACTCCTGCAAAGGGGTCGGGACCCGCGACACAAACCAGGCCAAGCCAAAACCTACCTGTATGCAGTGGGGATGACTGAGCTTTGGAATGAAATACCCATAAAAGAGAGATAAAATTCCGAGAAACATTTTCGGGGCATCATATATACATAGTTCACTTCAATCTCAATTCTCCTCAGATTGAAGCAGATATCCATAGTACGAAAAGAATGGATATCATCATTGGTGGCAGGAAGTATCACCAGGTACTCACTGCACACTTTTACATCGAATCATCATTACACGTCGCGATTCAAAACAAGAGGACCTCCAGATCCCGACTGGTCCACACTGGATTGCAACCAGATCGGACACAAATCCAACGTCTCCGATAGTTCAGCTTCCCAGGCGGAAGCCATTTATTTACTGGGGAGTGCGACGGCGCATGCCAACTTGAAGAGCAAGCGGCTTGCGCAGGAATCCCTCACGAGTCTCCATAGGACCATCCTGTTCGATCTGGAACTCGAAGAGTCGGAATATAGTAGCGCCGATGACGAGTAGTTCCATCTCGGCAACGTTACGGCCGACACAGGCACGGGGGCCGTGGCTGAAGGGGATGAAGGCGGCCTTCTGACGGGCAGTGAGGCGCTCCTCGCTCCAGCGCTCGGGGACAAACTGCTCGGCATCGGGGCCCCAGATCTCCTTGGAGCGGTGGATGGTGTAGCTAGGCACAGAGAGGACATCACCGGGGCCGAAGGTGTGGCCGGAGATGACGATGGGATCAGCCCCTGCAGGGACCTCTCGGGGCAGGCCCATGGCGGAAGTAGAGTGAATACGCATGGTCTCCCAGATGACCCACTGGAGGTAGTTGATGTCCTTGACCATAGCGTGAGTGGGGACGTCGATGTCCTTGGGGATAGCTTCGTCCAAGGCCTTGTGCAGCTTCTCGACCACCCCGGGGGTGCGCTGGCACCAGTACAGAATGGCGCAGGCAGTGTTGGAGGTAGTATCGGAGCCAGCTATCAGTTGGGTGAGCGCCTCGGCGGTCAGTTCCTCGCGGCCCAGGCTGTTCCCAGTCTGGTCCTTGCCCTCCATCAGGCGGGCTAGAAGGTCGACACGGGTGTTGTTGGCCATGATCTCGGGCTTCAGGCGGCCGTTGACACGAGCGATAGCGATACCAGCAAGATTTTGGACGGCTTGCAAACCCTCAGTGAAGAACTTGTCGGGAAGGTACTTGGCGAAGGGAATCAAAGAGGGCATGCAGCCCAGGGTGGCGGAGACCTCACCGCGACGGTTAAGAACCTCGACAGCCTGGACGTACTTGGGCGGATCATTGGGGTGCAAGCGCACCTCCGCAATGTCTTGGCCCTTCTCGAGCATGCCGAACGGAGCACCGAAGGCCAGATCACCGATGATATCGAAGGCTAGGTAGTTGAACCAGTTAAGGGCATCAAAGCTGGCATAACCGGTCTTGGGGTTGGCCTGGAGATCGGCCACCTTGTTCCATTGCTTGACGAACATCTCAATGTTGCCGTGAATGTACTGCTCGAACTGGCCAACGGACTTGGCGCTGAATGTGTGCGAGACCGTCTTGCGTTTGCGGGTGTGCTCGGCACGGTCGCGCGTGTTGAAGAGACCACGGCGGATGGAGACGAACGCATCATAGAAGTCACTGGGGAGGAGGCGCGATCAGCAATTGGGGTCTTGTATAGCTATACAATGATACCAACCCGGAGGGAATACGTACGCCTTCAGGAAGCCATTGCCGTGTCCGTAGATGCTTGTGATGGCCTCATCGTTGGCGATCGAGACATGGCGAGGAGCAATACGCACAAGCTTGCCATACTTCTTGTGAGCTGCGTCGACCGACAAGTAGCGCTTACCCTGGCGGGCCTGCACCAGCAGCCACAGGTTGGTGAAAGCAGCTAGACCGGGGGCCGGGATGTCCCGTAGCCGCGACCGCTGCAAATAAGGAACCAGGAAGTAGGCGGCAGCGAGGCCCAGGAGAATCAAGGGAGCATTTTCCGTGGAAATGAGCATGGCGAAAGAGTATGTGGGGATGGTACGTTACGCAAGCAAGGCGAAAAGGGCAAAAAAAAAGCGGGGACAAGTTGATAGTGAGCCGGCCGAAGAACACAAGAAAGTAGCCGCTCGGTTCCCGAGTAGAAGAATGTGGTAGGGGAGCCTGGAGACTGGAAGGTAAGAGAAATCAGTCCATGAAGCAAGACTCAATGCGGCTTTCGAGTGTTATTTATGCAGGAGGGGTCGTGACGGACACCTCATAACGACCCCGAGGTCTAACCGGTCGACGGGAGTGTGAATCGGTATCTGGGGAAGTGCCGCGAGTGGAGCCGTAGGTAGAGTAGTGCCGTTACTGGCGCCCGAACCACCGCTTGCTCGGTTATTCGCGCGGGTGAGAAATCAGCGAGCCGTGATTGGCAAAGGGGCGAACCAAGATCGCCCCCCGGCTGATTCAGACACGATCCCGGCGGTGTGATTGATAGATCGAAGGTGCTGGTTGCAGTCTGCAGGCAAGCCTTGGGACATTCTGAGGTGGAAGTAAAGAAGTTAAGTCGATGCACCACGTGAGGATCACAGTCACTGGACGCGGGATGGCCTGGAAGCATCAAGGAGAGGCACTCGGCAGACGAGGGCAACGAAAGGACAAGGGATCGAGGTTGATAGAAGTTGGACGAGCAGCAGATATTCTCGAAATGCTGCAGGTTCTCAATAGTTCCCATTGATGCGCTACAGGGGAGGCCACACAATACGGATTGATGTCTATCTACTCCGTACATGTACATCTTAACTCATCTCATCGGATGTATCTGCTACCACTCCGCCGCCGAAAATAGCCCATTCCGCTTCTTCTCGCCTTCCCACCGCTCGATCCATATCTTCATCTGATCCCGACTCTTCTGACTGCCGACATTCACCGTGGGTATCACCCGGCCGATCCGCAGTGCACAGCAGAACATCGTCAGCTCGCGAAATGAGCTATGCTCACTGTAAGGCACCCCAAAACAGGCACTCTCCCGCGTGCTCCCGCGCTGTGGGACCAGGTGCTGGGCAGTAAAAGACGACCTCCAGTGTTCACCACGCAGCACCGTGGGTACCGCGGGGTTGTCGAGCATGCGTCCGGCAGGTGGCCGGTACGACCAGCCAGTCGGGCGGAAGCCGACCACTCGGGAGAAGTGTGGTTTCAGCGAGTCCAAGTAGTCGGCCAAGGTGTCTGCCCGGATCTCAAACAGCGTCTGCATATGGACCTGCGCCTCTCGGGGGTCGCTCGTCAACAGTGCGGATAGCTCGGGGTCTTCTAAACAGGCACACACCCGCTGTTTCTGGGGCGTGGCGAAAATTTTAGACCCAAGCGCCCGCGCGATGCCCAAGCAGATTCGCTCTTTGCCGATGCTATACGTGCCAATGACCACTAACAATCGACCACCAGCCTGGGCTGACCGCGCTGAGACGGAATCGCTTTGGGTCACGGACGATAGGAATCTGTTCATGAGACCAGCCGTGCCCGTGTTCCCGAGTTCGCTTCCCACGCCGACTTCTTGGTTGAGTCGCACGCAGAGCTCCGAACACGCCGTGATCACATCGTCCTGGCAAGGAAACGCATACTTCGGGTTAAGATAGGTGGTGTCCAGGTAGCACGTATCAATCCGTTGTTGCCGCGGCTGGCCGGTGACTGGATTGATCGGGTCGGGTCGTAGCAGTGGATGTTGCACATGAGCTGGGGAAGCTCGGAAATCGCCACAGTGGAGAATGCGTTGCCGTCGAACGCTGGGGCCACTACCGAAACTCTTCTCAAAGAGAAACAACGAGCTCCCAGGACAATGGTTCGCCGGAATCATGGTGACCTGCACACCTCCGGTGTCAGGCACCTCCGAGGTGGTCTCGAAATCAAGATCCACAATCCATTTGGGGTCAACGCGGAGCTGCTGTCGGACCAAGTTGCCTGTCGCGCGACTGCAATATATGGGTCCGTGACACCAGGACTTGGTCAGTCCGATATAGTGATCGCTGTGGAAGTGGCTGAGGAAATAGGCATTACACCCTTCAACCGCCCCGTAGCGAAAAGCATCCACGCAGATTGAAAAACCGGGCATGATCTTGTAGAATGGACAAGTTCGTTGGTAGGCCTGCTTCCCACGAGATGAAACCTCATTGGCGGCCGCTGTCGCCCAGGCTGTGTCTTCGGCATTTCCTGCCATCATCTTAGAGAATGCGGATCGTGCGTCGGAAGCATTCCGTGAGTATGGATCGCGCTGTGCAGGCCGAGCGATGGCAGCCCGCTCAATGCGTGTCAGCCCTATATCTGAGCTCTCTTTCTGTGAATCCGGCGGTAGAGGTATCGGTGTCGGGGCAGTCGTAGTAGTTGGTGGAGGAGTAGAAGTCTTGCCGTCTAAGCAGTCGTTCACATGTGCCGAAATCTCCATTTCATTGAATCTTGCCAGTGCTCTCTGGCATACCGGACAAGCGCTCAATCCCTCGTCCTCGAAATCGACACGAATGGATTGATTCAGGTCGTTAGGCGTATTCATCCCAAGGTCATGCCGTTCTTCTTCGTGTTCTTCGTCATCCCATGTTTCTTCTCGAAACTCTTCTCCTACAAGCTCGTCCTCTTCAAGATCGTCAAAATTCGCGAATTCATCGTTGGTATCATTCGCGGCGTCTCTTACCAGTGGTGACTGTATAGGCTCGGCAAGAGGGTCTTTGGTTGGATCGTCAACAGATGAGGGCGTTTTTTCATGTATCTTGTCTGGGGTAGGCGATGCTTCTTTCAGCTCTCGATATGCTTCCATGTCGTCCTCGCTGTCTGATTCATCGATAAAGGGTCCACTATTCGATTGTTTGACAGGCGCGGGTTGTGCTGGCTCCAACGCATCGTCTCGTTCTTCATTCTCCTCTGAAGCATTCGGTGAATCCAATTTCCGACGCTTGGTGGAGAGATCATTCTCATTATACCGGGAGTCATCCGGTCCCATAAAATCGTCACCATCGCCCCAGATATCTTCCGGCGTCCGTGATCGGGTCTTCTCGGTCAAGTCGATCGTCACCGCAGTCTGCCCAGTCTTGGCCAGCCCTTTCTTGTCCTCCAGGAACAGTGCCCCGTTCGTATCGCTTCTGGAACTACTTCCTCGCTGCGATGCGGGAGTGCCTCGGCCGCTATTCGGGGAACCTGCTGATCCAACAAACTGCGTGATTCGAGACTGGCGGGACGTGGCCCCAGGTGGCGTGTCTGTCTTTTGAAAGAAATTCAATATGCTCCGGTTGCCTTTCACAGAAGATGATTTCGCGGGCGCAGGCCCCTTGGACGGGGTGGATGCCTTCCTGGCGTACGATCCTGCCATGGCCCGCGAACGAGTAAAAACGAAGGTGAAGGGGCCTTGTGAAATCGGGGTTAACGACCGACTGGGGTAGGAACGACGGCGGACAGCCGGAGAGATAATGAATCCGGCGACTAATTCTGGTCGAGTATATGCAAAATGTCGTTCATCATCCACACGAAAGAAGGGAAAGTTAAGAGTGGCCACCACCCGATACGTCTAACGGCATACCGCGCGGGCGGCGCGACACGAAGTCACGTGAGTACGGTCCAAGTAAAGTGGAGTTTCTACGGCGCTACAAGATCCGAGAGAAGGACAGTCCAGAGCCAAAGCTGGTGTTAATTGATTGCAAGGGTATCAGACACAGTCGTCATGAGCAACGCAATGTCAGAGGAGACCATTTAGACGTCCTCGAACGGTATCGCTTTTGCAGCGCACGGCCAAGCTCGCTTGATTTCAAGGCCTCCCTCTCCAAATGCGCTTCGTTCCTCCCGGCGGGGCAGATTCATATGGCAACTGAAATCCTCCGTGTGGAACATTCCTCATCGTTTCCGCGCTTGTGCTAGCTCTTCTCGCATTTGAAGCCGCTCGGTTTGCCCCGTATTCGATCGGGCCGGAGGAACATCATATCATGAGAAAAACGTAGAGACAATAGCAAGGCTGGATATAGTGACTTTCGAAGTATGATGTCGTTATTGTGGTAGGTTTACCGAGCCTTACTGACCTGGTTGGCAGCCTCTGTATGACAGATATCGGATTAGAAAGATCTTGTTAGAGAGCGCTAGCGCGACAACGGGCCTCAAAAGATGTCTTTCCTTAACGGAGAGAAAGCAACTTGTAAGGCCTATCCACACTGCGTCAACGAAAGCAGAACTGGGCCGCATCACTCACCCCGCCTTGTGGCATCCTCCAACAATCCCACGTCAACCTCCGACCGCGGCAGCATTACATAGCGCACCACACTACCACGAATAAACATGTTCTTGATGGAGGACAGATGCGGGTACTTGTCGAGGTCCAGCACTTCGATGTCGTCCAGCTTGATGTTAAGGTACTGGTCGACAGACTTCAGGATACCGCGGATGCGAATGTCGTTTTTGAGCTCGATGGTGACTGTCTGGTTCGTAAGGGTCTTGAAGAAGCTATAGCGGACATGGAATCAGCAGTGATCGGTCGGGTTTGAATGGCGCAATGCACTGCGGCTGTACCTGAAGAAAAGCATGATGGCGGGGTAGGGCGCCCGGCTGGCGAATTCGTGATGAAAAGTGGGGGGAATATAGATATGAAGCAGCCTCAAGTCTATCAGCCGCACTCGAAGTTAGTATGGGGAGCCCGTGGACAATGACGCTGGATGTGAATGGCACAGCGGGCGATGCTGTCGAGGATGGAGCTGCCATCAGGTCGGTCATGTGACTTGATCCGCCCTTGCGGGAATCAACCAGCTAGGTTAGGTACCTTACGAGGCACTCCGAACTGACTTGACTGGGGCGCAAGACATTTGGAAGACGAATGTGATAGATGCCTGCCTTATTTTATGGGGTTTTGAGGATATTCCAGATAGTCATCTGCAATTTTCTTCCCATGATTGCCCTTATATATTTATGCAATTCCCCGTCGACTGGTGGAAGTCGCACACACAAATATGTCCAGGGCTCCACGAGCTCCACGCCCAATGAAGCTACACAACACGAATGGATATTTAGACTTGTTGAAATTGGCATCTCTCATCTCACATTACATTAAGTGGGTTGGTCAACCGGGGACAAGTTGCTAAGGTATCTACATGCACAACAACATCAACATCAACATCAGCGTGAAACTCAGGTCGACACTTTCCTACGGTGCTCAACCATCTGTTTCACACGTTTCGGCTTCATCGCCCACCCCGACAAGCAGGTCCAGCCTGCTCCATTCTTCCTCCCCTCATCAAATATTGTTCCAACTCCCTCGAGTAACTTGGCCCGTTCATGACCCATCTCGGTCCGCAAGCGGATGAGCCATTGCTCCCACATCCACCCACCCAGAATACCGGTGACACTGGCAATATCCCCCGTGCTTCCAATAGGCCCCTGCACCGCCTCGTACTCTTCAATCTGACTCGGGATCCGCGGGGCCGGTGTCTCCCTTGGTGGCTCCGGTTTACTGGGTTCCATACCCATGGGCAAGAACATCCAGGCGCGCTTGATATTAACATAGCCATTTTGCCGCAGGCGAGCGAGGAAGGTTCTGGAGGCGACGGGGTCGTACCCACGTGTGCGGAGATTGAATGCAAACTCGACTGAAGACGCCGAGGCATATGGGCCAGCGCGTGAGATTTCTGCGTCTAGCACCATGAACTCGAGGAATCCACCTGGCTTCAGGCAACGGCGGCACTCTTTCAAGACCAAGTCGTACTCATCACGATCAAGCCCGGCAGGACATTCCGTTCTCAACAGAGCGTGTAAGGAGCGAGTGGTAATAACATCAAACTTATTATTACCAAATGGAAGCTCCCAGAGGCGTTCAACAGAGACCACGCGGTGATTCGACGGGCCCTTAATGGCACTGTTGACGACTTGAGTCTTATTGACGACCGAGTAAACTTTGGTGTTTGGGAAATCCTGCGCCGCATGCCAACCCCATTCACAAGAAGCATGGCCACCGAGGTCTAGAATGCGAACCGCGCGTGGCTGCTGTCCATTCTGAGTCTTGGGCGTCTTTCGGGTTCGAGTAGCTTGCTTTTCAACCGGACTGGTGAGCATCTTGCCACGGTTGAGACATCGGAGAGCGTCCATGGCCCACATGGGTTGGCAAAGCTGGGCGAGGACGAGCTGCTCCTTCTCAAGCTTAGAGAATTGCGCTTTCTCAGCCAACACGGAGGTGATGATTGAGTTGCGCGGCGCTTGGGAGAATGGACCCTTGTATGCGGGCCGCTCCGGATGGACAAGCTCGTATTTGCCCAGGAGGCAATTGATATGCATGTCAATCAAGCCCAGTCGGAAGGATTGGATCGCATCAAAGCGCATGTTGCGGTGGAGGAACCCATCAACTTTATCGGACCGTTGTCGGATTGACTGGAAGCCTCGCCAGTAGATGGAGTCCTTGCTGGAAAGAATTGGCGGACAGGTACTAAGAGACTCAGGCGCACCCTCGGCAAATCGAACGGCCTTCTTGGGAGCAGCGTCAGGGTCTGCCTGTTGCTCGGATGACGCCTCGGCGACATCAGAGTTCTCTCTTGATTCCATTTCATTGATGGGATTGGTCTCATTTAGAGCGGCAAGGTAGGATACCTGGGCGGAGAGCCATACACTAGTTCGGTCGAGGCTCGCCGCAGCCCGTTTCTGAAGCTCATTGTCGTAGAGCTCATCATACTCGTACACATTCCCGGGCTGAGTAATCTCTTGGACCGCATCGAACATCGTACTCATCGGGCTGTGGCTGTCTTGTCGAGTGATAGGTCGAGTGGGCGTATCGCAGGGGACCCGAATGGAAGTTGGAGGGCCATCCTCGTCTCGAATCGCCGTGTCGGGATCCTCCTCATGTGAGCGGCCAGGCCAATCAATGACCTGCTCGACGATCTCTCCTTGATCTCGAGGGAAAGGCAGGTTATAGAAACCTTCAGCGATGGCCGACGTGGGCGGGTAATTCTCATCCGGCATCGACCATGTGTGACGGGCACGCGGAGCCAATGAAGCAAAGAAGCCACCGGGTGACGGGATACTTAATTCACTGAAACTGTACCCGGACAAGTCTGAGCCTGGGGTGGCTCCGTCTGTGCTTCGTGGGCAGCTCGGGGGAGCTTGGAGTTGCCACATCTCGTCGTCACCCGACGTTTCCGACCAGGATTCTGGCGTACGATTCAACGGAATATGCTGCAGCACTGCTAGCGCCCCATCTGGCAAATAGACGCCTTGATCTGAGGGTGTCGGTTCCCGGGACAGCTCTTCGCATGGCTCCTCATTCTCATACGGCAATGAGGAGGTCGAGTCGTTATGAAGAGCTGTAGGAATTTGAGGGAAACGTCCAAGGACATTGCGCCAGTCATTCTGCGGGCTTTCAATGGCAATCGATACCTCCTGAAGGTCCGGACTACTATCGGGATTTCTTAGGTCTTCACTATCACTCCCATCCACATCAGGCCGGACATGGATATCCTGTGCGTCCCAGTTGGTGTCGGGAAGCGAATGCGAGTCTGGGGTCGCCAGCGCACTGAGATTGGATTCCTGATCGGAGGATATGCTGCCATCCAGCGACGGCGGGGCATAAGATGCAGGCACAGGTCGCCCGAGCATGGAGAGCGCGGCAGGGGATACGGGAATCTTGGGAGGAGGTGTCGGCGGGATGGGCGAACTCTTGCAGGTCCCATTGATGGAGGGCCATACCGTGGGTGAGGGAATGTCGAGGGTCAGTCGGCTTCCACCTTTGCGACTGCCGCGACTGCCACGACTGCCCGTCGAGGTGACCGAGTTTCTTGTGATTGGTGTCACCAAGCTGGACCGCTGGGTTCCCGGCGCCGAGAAACAGGAGTCGCTGACCTCGGTGGAATTGTCGTCCGTGTCATCGTCGTCTGTGGCGTCGTACAAATCGTCGAACCCTTGCATTTGCTGCTGCCATTCTGTGTCCGAGCAGGAGGACGTTGTCCCTGCGGAGAGTGGCGACATCAACCGGGCCAGTCGCGCATGGGTCGGCGCTGACAACCCGCTGGTCTTGAGGGTCAACTTTGGACTCGGCAGGGCAGGCTTGGATCGCGGTGGGCTCTCAGCACTCTTTTCAAAGAAAGTCGTCTCGCGAGTATCTTCCATTATCGTATTAAGTACCGTTCCTCGGGCCTGCCGGAGGGGCGGACATCGCGCAGTTGAAGGGCGGAGTGTGTCGGCCATCTTTCATCTCCTCCCTTCGGTGCAGAATGCTGGTTTTGGTTGTTTTAGATCAAGTCAGTCTATAGAGCGCAAGTGTTCTCCAGTAACACAACGTTCAGTGGGTATCTCAAAGGAATAGGAAACGGCATCGACACCGGTCAACGGGTCTAGATCAGATCGAATCAGATCAAGGATTAACGGGAATGGAATAGAAATGGTACAAAAGAAAGGATTATCAGCCACAGCTACCAGAGCATGAGGCTAGATGGGATAGAAAAGAAAGGGGGGATGACGAAAGGACGCGAGACGTCGAGGACCCTTAGCCGTTGGAAAGGACTATATACTCAAATCAGCCCCTCCGGGCGCGTTCTACCCGCTCTGGGGAATGCACGCTGAAGAGACGATCCCTGTTCATGACGGAATCACCAGGTGGTCAAGCTACTGCAAGATTGGGCACAGCTAGTCCACGCATTCTGTTCATGGAGGTGAAATGTGACTGTTCATTGGTAGCTGGGGAGATGGGCGCGTCGCCCGGCAAGAGTTCCTTGCCCGGCCCAGCACACTGGACGTGAGGGAAAGAATCTTCACTGGGGAGAAATAGCATGATCGATGCTTGGCTGAGCAAATCAGCATCTCGCAGGTTGTGACGAACCGCCCGGGGGTGGGCAGGCGAGAGGTAAACGGCCAGTCATTGGACGTCTGTACGCGCCGGGGCTGCTAAACTTAGCAACCCTTAGTGTGATTAACTGACATTTGCGGCCCCGCATCGGCCGTGCGACCTCAATATCACCTCAATATCACCCTTTCGAGCCTATGCGGCGCACGAAAAGCAGGTAATTAGTCCTGCATGACGCCAAGTCCTGGAAAGGTTGAGCAATGATCATCCGATTCCCCCCAAGCCAAAAGAGGGGTAAGTGATGCCAATTCTCCCAAGACCCGAACTGCAGCGAGCATAGCTGCGTTCTTAGTGTGAATTAATTATAGAAAATTCAGAAATTGGGCCTAATTGACTGCCTGACCGCAATTTCGCACACCGTCTCAATGCAACACCATCACCCCTATCCCTTCCCCACCTTAGATCATGATTCGTAGGGGCGGATGAATCAACTGGGCGCATAGAGCTGTTGGGCCTGGCCGATCATAATATACCAATTTCTGAATCAGCAGATCAATGCCTAATCCAAATATTGCTATCTGACAACTCTAGAGTTTTAAAATCCAATAGTGCCTCGCGCCCCGTGACTCATATCAATACTATTTCTAAGAGACATGGTCGCGCGCAACCAGAAAGAGAAAAAAAATTAAACGACTTGTCAGTGAAATGAATATTTCATGCTGCATCTCCCTCAAAATATATACCATTAGACGACTGCGACAATACTCACACAGTAATCAGGGTACCGGACACCGGATAGGGTCCGGTATAGAAAAGGGTGTTGATCCGATCTCAATATATGTACACAGCCCCGCCACGAAGGTGAGAAACTTGAGAAAGCAATTCCTCGGATAGGTAGGTATGATAATGTTTTGGTCCTTCATCCCCAAATTAATATACGCAAGCTTCAACCATAAAGTTCTTTTGAATGGAGAGGACGTTCGTGCAAGCAAATTTAGAGCCGTCTTTCCCTTCATCCATCTCAAACCACACGTTCCATCTATTCCACTATAAGCATATGCCCGAACAAGATCTTTACGGTAGCCAGCTGTCAATGCTTTTGTACTAGGTACACGTAATTCATGGATATATTCAGAATAAAGTTCATACATCGCTGTGCTTATATTTGGCTAATGCAGCCGGAGACTGTGCGTGTGAACTGCCCGACTGGTAATGCCCACTTATATAGTAAGACGTTGAAGTGCATGAGGTGTAGAAGAGTTCATTCCTGCATCTCTGTTGGCAAGATGACCATAGACTCTACCTTGTCGACATCATTTCTGCACGAAAGAGTCTCGACACGTCGGGACGGGACTTTTCTTCCTCAACCTCCGACGTAGGTCCACCCACACCTCCCGAGAACCCCGAAGGCCCGAGGGCGGTTCAGGCTGCGCCTGCTGTCGCTTGACACCAGCACCACTGGCCAGCTCTGCGTCTGACACGCCGTGGGTCCTGCAAGTAGTGTGGTGCCTTATCAGGGGCATGATCGGAGAGCAAGGGAAGCCTGGAGGGTCCTGCGGATCTGACGCTATTGTGCCGCTCGAGGAAATTCAGAGTGTTGGAAGGCACATCAATGTCCTCGAAGACCCCCACTCCTTCCTTGACTAAATGTTCGCGGCGAGTTAGATTGAATGTTATTGAGTAGCCCCGCGTACTATACGGTGTGTAGCTGGGTCTACGTTCGGGAGTCCAGGCGACAGAATACATTCTTTTCGCCGGACCCCTTCCTGACTGTCTACCACTCCTTGGGTGGCGTTTTCCTCCCTCAAGAATAATTGTTGAGCCTGTTGGTGCCAGCGGAGATATATTGGGGATGGGGCGTCCGGCTCGGACCACAGTGCGCCGCGGCTTGCACAGAAACCTCTTAAAGTGCCCCGCTCTGTGGCTCCTCCGCCCACAACCCACGCTGATTCAAGCAGTCGCAAGAGCGGTTATCGGCTATTGAAGTGACTATCCTAGAATGGGTTGTCAAGAGAGAAGAGTGCCCAGCTCATTCAGCCATTTTCCGTGGCTTTGGTCATTACCCGCGTATGCGGAGAGCGGGTTGTTTCCAGCTTGTTTTCCCAGCATGGAAACAGGCTGGGGGAAAAGATCGGGGGACGAAGCCAGCGAATCATGGTGAATTCGAGTAGCTTGGAGGACTGAAAGGCTTCGTAAAATGTTCGTTCGCCCCTCTATAGTAGCAAGGTCCTGGAGGAAGGAGATTGTACTCGAGTCCGGAGTACTCCGTATATGTACAAGCCACGGCCAAACTTCCGGAGCTGCGGTGATTGGCGGACTGCGGCGCCCAAGAGCTTCGAGAATACCCAGCGATTTCCCCAATAACCTTAAGCTCGGAGGGGCCCCTGTCGATGGCCACATAATCCTTGCACATTACCGCCGTCTGAGCTCCTGGTCAGCCGACTAGCTAGATTTTCCTGTCATTGTATCGAATCTTGTATTCTGTCCTGGGGCGTCGGAATGACCTAAACGGGTAACCCAGCAGCGCTGATTTGTCAGGGGCCTTCCAGACTCCAGCGACTCCATCGTGAGACTGCTGGGAGCTGTGACTGGAGCTGGACACGTTGAATCTGTCCGCTGAGTGGGTAGACGACTAGTGCAAGAGGGTCCAGATTGCAGCGGCGATCGCCTGCAGATTGGCACTGCGACCGGCCCACGTGAGGCGCGCAGCCCTTATCGGCCGTTTGCATCATCGTGAAGACTTTGTTTGATACGGCCATTACTGGGGGGATTGGACGGTTCGAGAAGCTGAGTCGGGGGAGAGGAGACCAAGTTAACTATCTGTCACTACACCACGTGCTTTCATCGCTCGTATGAACGAAAGAACACCTTGCATGCCATCTGGCAACAAGATTACATCTTACGGGGAACCCGGCATATCCACCTTGGGTTGCCACTCGGCCTGAGGTAAACTACGTAGTCACGATGGGTAATCCTGCCATTGGAAGGAAAGAGTGGTCATAACTTCATGCCGCTAGTTGAATAATTTAATCGCCTTTACCCATCGTGACTGGCAACACTTTTTATCCGGCCTTTTCCCCCCTCCTTCCCTCCCCCTCTTTCGCCTCTCCTCCCTTCCTAATTCCTCCCAACACTCCCCCGACTTCCCCCAAGCTCCCCATCACCATGACGCCGCCTGCTATCATCGCCCCTTCTATCCTTAGCGCTGACTTCGCGAACCTCGGCCATGATTGCGCTACCAAGATGGAGCAGGGAGCCGACTGGCTCCATGTTGACATCATGGACGGCCACTTCGTCCCCAACATGACCATCGGCTGCCCTGTCGTTTCCCAGATTCGCGGATGCGTCGACCGGCCACTCGAACCCGGTTCGCGGGGTACCTTCGACTGCCATATGATGATTATGGAGGTGTGTCTTTCCTCAACTCCCGCGTCGCACGTTCCAGAAGCCCGCCGCTGATCACATCCCTTCCTTCCCCACTTCTGCAGCCTCATAAATGGGTGAAAGAGTTCAAAAAGGCCGGCTGCGACCTGTACTGCTTCCACTATGAGGCCGCCGTGTCCTCCGTCGCCGCGACCGATCCCACCGACAAGACCACCACGGACCGCACCAGCCCGCCCCAATTGATCAAGTATATCCACTCGGAGGGCATGCAGGCCGGTATCGCCATCAAGCCTGATACCCCCGTCGACGTGCTTTGGGACATTCTCGACAGCCCCGACCTGGCCGAGCGCCCCGACGTGAGTATCCAGCTCTTCCCAGCATTTCCCCAAGCTAGATGGATGCCCGATGCGGTGACTCCCTATAAGCTCCCTCCACCTCCCCAAAATGCGGCAATTTGCGCTAACAGCGACTCCCGCGGCAGATGGTCCTCGTCATGACAGTGCACCCCGGTTTCGGCGGCCAGAAATTCATGGCCTCGGAGCTGCCCAAAGTGGCAGCCCTGCGCGCGCGGTATCCCGATCTGAACATCGAAGTCGACGGCGGCCTGGGCCTGGGCACGATCGATCAGGCGGCCGACGCAGGCGCCAACGTGATCGTGGCCGGCTCGGCCATCTTCGGAGCCGCGGATCCGGCCGACGTCATTCACAAGCTGCGCGAGGCGGTTCAGAAGCGACGGGGCCAGGCATAGACCAACCGATCCGATCCTTCCTCCCCATCGGACTGTAATCGTCCACTCGGCAGGAGACGAAGGGGGGTACACACCCCCAAAACAATTTTCACAAAAAGGGGATTCGGAGTTCATCGTCCACTAGGGGCTACGTGATTTTCGCACGGGTTTCTACTGGGCAGTTTTTTTTGATGTCCATTTCCATCAAGGCGTCTTATTTTTCCCCCTTTGGGAGGGGTGTCTTTTTTGGATGTACTGTTTATAATGATGATCTATGAATAGCATTTGATATACTAGATTGAAAATATTAATCATGAAGGTCCCGTAAATAAGTAGGATTGAAAGCAAGCGGTGCGATCTGGAAAGGCTAGGACTCGAATTGGACACTGGTATCAAAAATACTACTGACAAGAATCGACGTGGGCAAAAAGGATGCGTTACTCATGTACAGATTCATCATGGTCGTAAATAGCGCAAGCGCCTAATCCTTCGAGGTAGTGGTCTCCTCCACAGACTTGGTATCTTGCGCCGTGGCAGAAGTCTCGTCCTCGGACTCCTTCTTCGTCTCGGACGGGGTGTCCTTCTCCTCCTCCTTCGTCTCGGATGGGGTGTCCTTCTTCTCCTCCTTCATCTCGGAAGGGGTGTCCTTCTTCTCCTCCTTCATCTCGGAAGGGGTGTCCTTCTCCTTCACCTCCGCAATCTCCTTAGCATTCTCCACACCGGGGCCTTCCTCCTCAATGCTCTGTTCCTGCGGTTTCCCAGCCGCTTCCTTGCGGAGCGCGTCCAGCGAACCCAAGGGCTGTTCGGCCGCAGAGATAGACTGCCGAATCTCCGTTACAACCTTATCCTTATCGGCATTGTCGCTGCCCGAGATGATCGACCCGCGGTGATGCTCGACTAGCCCCAATGCTTCCGCATTGTCAGCGTGGAAGTTTGCCGATGACACAGCCGCGATCTCGGGCACCAATGGGGGTCGTTTGGCACCCTTGGACGAGTCTGGGGTGATGTCGGGGAGCTCGCAGGCGACGGAGCCGCGGTGTGTTTTGGTGGGCAAGGAGGATTGTGCTTGAGCTTCTTCCTGCTTTGGCTCGTCCTTCTTCTCCTCGGCCTTGTTCTTTGCCTTGCTGGCAGCCTCCGAGCTCGCCTGACGGAAAGCGAGAACGGCCTGTTCGTCCTTCTTCTCCGCCGTCTTGGTCGCAGGTGGGCTCTGTATCTTGATGGTGCACGGCTTGGGGGTCACCGGCTCAGGCTCCTTCGGTGCGGGCGAGAAGGTCGTTTCGGTCGCGGGGACGGGGTTGCTGGTGGCGGGCATGCCGTCGACGTCCTGCACACTGTTCACCACCATGCGTAACTCGCCGAATTCATTCCATTCCTCAATCTCTTCTAGGTCCTGTAGGCGGGGCGGGGTTAGCGCTGGCGTGGGCTGGACAGGGGTACGAGAAATTCAGCGTGAGGGGAACGAGGGGGGACTTACTCCGACTATATTTCCATACTTCACCAGGCCGGGCAGCTTCTTGCCCTTGGAACGGCGGCCCCAGAGCTTGCGTGCGACCTCGTCCGTGGCGACATCAATCGCGCGGAAGGGGAGTTTGTTGGCCTTGAGGATGGTTTCAACGCGGGCGGTCGCGGTGACGATATGCGAGGACCCCGCGGTCAGGGAGGTGTAGAGGTAAAGGGTCGAGTCAGACATGACGAGGGAGCCGCTGGAGAGAAAGGAGTGGCGTACGGGGATGAGAGGGGCCAAAAGAAACGGGACGGGACGAAGCTGCTCTGTAGTTCGCAGGAAGCAAGTCCAAAAAAAGGAGTCACTTCACGTAGGCGGAGAAACCAAACCAAGGGCGTCTCGTGTGCACAGTCCACTTTGGAAGTGCCGCTAGAAATGGCCTTATGACGTGAGTGATCACGTGTGATGCGAATACCCGTCCTAGAAACCGTGCTTTGTCGACTTTAACTACAAGAGATTCACAAACTACGTGGCGATGGTGCCAGGGCTGCTGAAAGGGCTATCTTTATACCTTCTCCACATCTCCAGAACGTGTGGACGTTCCCCAGCTACCGCGCCTGGCAGTCGCCCGAGCGTGGCAACTTGACGTCAGCGCCCCTACCACGCGGGTCCGTACCGCACCTTGCCGCCAATTCCCTGCTGGGGATTCTTGGATGATTGGGACCCCGTTGGCGAGAGTGGTTGCCATGGTTCAATTTGCAGCACGATGGAGACAGTGCAGCATAATGGAAATTGTGATCTCCTGTCTCTGCCATGGTTGGCAGTCGCACATTTGAAGCCGAGAACACTTCGGGAAGAGCATGGCAAGATTAATATCTGACAGCTTGCGGTCTTGCATGTCATCGACATTCGGCCCGGACCGGCTCCGATATGCGATCATCCCGACTGACCGGGTATTTGAGGAAAATCAAGTGGCTGCCCGAATGGAAACCCGACGGGGAGACCATCTAGCCACCGCGGAACAGGCCCCAAATCAAGTCCACGTATGTCCCGTGGCTGCGACTTCACTCGGACAGATGTCGAGAAGGAAACGCGTGATTCTGGAACCTGCCCAACGTCCTTGGGAGTCATCAGTCGCGGAAATCCTGGTGGGCCGGGGATTGGTGGGGGGAGGGGAGGGGGGGAGGAGCATTATGAGTCCGATGATCGGTGTCGATAGGGATTCCCCGTCCTTTAAGCCCCATCTGCCTGCTGCTGCTGCCAGTCAGACGAGCTACGCCACCGACCACCACGATGCAGCACGCAGCACAGCCGCCTGCGCGGCAAAGAGCCACGCGGCCGAGTTGGACCGCATCCGGCGTCTTGGATCTACCGCAGACCACTCGCTTCAAGGCAGCCTGCGGTGTTGCATGGCAGTCCTGCAGCCGTCACGGTACGACTGACTCGCCACAAACGATGAGGCTGAGTCCGTTCGTTCCTGACTCACCCATGGCTTGGTGGTGCATTTATTGGCCCAGTTAGAGGCCAGGCGGGATCGCTCGTGATGCACCACGTGTATCTCAATGAAGGGAGCTGCAGCGCCGGGCACGGATGAGCAGCACACGGGACCTCCATCATGGTGATGCTGAATGCCCATGAGCGTACCCCTGCTCGGGCGTGCCGTATCGGGCTTAGACAGCCTAATGCTCACCGCAACTTCGATGAGGTGTTCATTGGAGAAGGCGAGGGTACATATCGCACGGATCGCTCAGAGTGTGGCTAGCACTTGGCGAGTCCAATGAATCGCCAGGGCAAGATTCTCGCGGGCGTATCAGAGGGGTTGGGGCATCTGGTGTTGTCCGTTGTTCGTTGTTCGTTGTTTCTAGTTCTGTTCCACTTCCAGGCAAGCAGCCGGGGGGATGGACTCGGTAGATGTAGATTGTTCGTGGGCAGGTGATGTGACCAAACCGTCCGCTCGGTCCCAGATCCAAAGGGAGAGTATATGCAGTCCTGCAGTCCTGTAGACGGGCTCGTGTTGCACAATGGAGCAGGACGCCTTCAATGTGCTTTCACTTGAAGCTTCGAGCGAATAAGAAGCTGGGGGATGCGGTCGCAGAGGAGGACTTGTCCCATCTCGTGACTGTGTGTTGAATGACGAAATCGAGCTATTATCATGTACCAAGCAACTGGTCGCGACGGGTACTCGTGAAGCAACCGGTTGCATCAAAACGCTGTAGGTGTGTAGAGCCTGAAACTCTAAGCCGCGTCTTCGGACCTGCCATCCAGTTCCCGTCCCTAGACAAGAAAGCCCCCACCTGCACTATTGTGTAGACTATTGTCGGCATCGTACTTTGACCGGCATGACACATCGTCGAAATGGACCGATAAGAGCGACCCTGATTCGGCTGCCCCCCCCCCCTTCCCCCCTTCTCCGATGAATTCGTGAGATCGCCATCACGGGCTTTGGGTTGAAACGATGTCGATCAGAGCCCCAACCCGGCACCGCCTATGAAGAGCTATTTGCGGCGGAGCGATGAAACACGGCGGCAATCGCGTTTTGACAGTGGCTTTGCCACAACAAAACCGAGTCGGGCTTCGAAACTCCCCGAGCAGCACCACGATGAGAGACTGCATTTGTGTGATTCGCTATGATGATCAAATTGGAATCATGGTCGTCCGGCGATCGCCCCGGTCCAATCTCCTGACCCCCTGAACGAACCGTAAAAGGAAATAGAGATGCCTCTCTCTATACTCTGTTCTCGGTGCTCCGTCTGGTAGATGTGACTCGGAGATACGGAGGCGTTCCACAGAGGAATGACAACATCTTCGGATCCAGTACGGACGCATCCCTGAAACCCAGCGAAAATTCCACTGTGCACTCCGTAACTATACAGCCAAAACTAACCGTGGTTCGCTGGCGGGCACGCGGGAGTCTCCCACGGGCCTCCCCACGGTTCAACCACTAGCGGACGATTTCGCTCACGAACTAGTTAGTTCTGGCGGTCCACCATCGTCGTCCACTAGTTCGAGTTCTCCTCCACCTCCGCCTCCACCCGGGCTGCCTGGGCTTCCTGGGCTTTGGGCGCTGGGCGCGTTCACGGCGTCACCTGCAGGGCCCGACCGATTCTTCGGCTGCAGACGGGGGACGACGTGGCAGCCCTCGAGGCGCCCGAGGGCCATCTAGTTTACTAGTCCCAGGGCCAATGGAGCCGGGGAGGGTCTCGAGGCGGGAGGGCAGTGCTCGAGTGGACGGAGCAGAAGGGAAGGAATGGATGACATGGTGGGCACAGTGGGCAGAGTGGGCAGAGTAGGCAGAGTAGGCAAAGAGTGGGTGTACGGTCAACTCATCTTTCGTGCACCCGCTGTAGGCGCGAGGGGAGAATGAACGGAGTCTGCGGGATGCGGGAGGTGTGTTGTCGGAGCACGGAGTTGCGAGTCGTTAGGTAGCTGCATCGCACGAAGTACATGACTAGGGTCGAGCAGAGCAGGACAGGCCCCGGGCAACTTTCTCCCGAGCCCCAATCACCCCCTAAAGCCTCCCTTGCTGACCCCCCGCCGACCCCCCGCCAACCCCCCGCCAACCCCCCACTGACCCCCCACTGACCCCCGGCTGACCCCCCCTCGGAGCCCCCTCTGACCCCCCCCCTAAACACCTAAACACTGCCCAACCCGGCCAGCCTCTCTGCAGCTGCGGGCCGCGCTGGCGGCAATCCGGTTCGCTGCCTCACTTTACTCAGTGGCCGTCCTCTCGCCGTCACCGCCCCGTCGGCAGTCTTCCCTCAGCCAACCAGAACAGCCACCCCCAGAGTCAGCAATCCGATCATCTACTGAGCCGCTGCTCAGGGACCGATTCAGACCGTCGACACATCGCGTCCGACGATACATCGTCACGCTTCGAACTGGGTCCAGGCCGTTGAAAGTGACCCACCCCGGAGGGATTGGCGCTGCGCATGCCATGTTGGTGCTTGAGACACTCCATTGCTCGCGTAGTTCGTTTAGTTCATTTCGTCACTGCTCGGGCTTCCCCAGGACCTATGGACTGCCGATTGACCTTCCATGGGGGCCTCGTCGGCGGCTAGTGGGCTTCGGTTCTACTCTTCTTCCATCCGTTCATCGGTCGTGGAAGCCCTCGTATCCATCCCCAAGCTAGCGGAGATCCCGTTGTGAAGTGTCCCGAGTGGGTTCCTTAATTCCTTCTCCCAACTCATCCATCCCCAAGAGCCTGGTGTCTTCCTTTCTTCCTCTCCCTCACACTCTCCTCTCTCTCTCTCTCTCTCTTCTCTCTCTCTTCTCTCTGTCTCACACTCCCTCCCTCCACCTCCACCGTGCTGCCCAATTCGGGCCTTGTTCATCGATATCTTCCGGATGATATGATTGCGGACGACTAGCACTTCGTGTCGTTCCTTTTTAACTCGGTGCCCAGCCCACTTTGCTGGTCTGTCCATTCGCCTTATCAACCCCCTCCATTCTTCGCCGATCTACCGTGCTCACCGGCTTAATCCGGCTTGATAAGATCCCTCGAGAGGTATGTCTTCCCCGCCTACCACCACCTTTTCACGACGTCGATCTGCTATCGTGAATCTCGAGCTCATCATGCCACCAGTCACCGTCGACTCCCCATTTATCGTGTCTACCACTCTACTTCCCGTCTCTCTGCATACTGATAGCACAGTTCATCTACCCTCGGCCGAGGTGACCCCCCAGCCCTCCGGTTCACCATGACTCTACATCCGGTCGACGACGATGAACAACTGTTCACCCGGGCCATGACCTCCTATCGCGACGCATTTTTGGTTCGACATTCCCACCTCTCGGAAACGCAACGCAACCTGCTTTGGAGACAGCAACTCAGCCAATTTATCCAGCCGCCACCGCCGGCCCTCCCTCTGGGCAACCCGGGGAAACGGACTCGACAGGATGCGACTCCGCGGACGCTCCCGGCGGCCGACGCCTCTTCTTCTGGTTCTGGTTCTGGTTCTGGTTCTGGTCCTCCGCAGGCGAAACGGCGAGCCACCGTATGTGTGACCTTGGTTACTTGCTTCTGCCTCTCCTCTCCCATCCCTCCCCATCTCTGCTGCCTCCCCTCTTTCTACCCCTCCCCGCCCAGCCAACCGTCCCTGGATTGACACTTGGCAGACCCCGGATCTCCCAGTGGCCGTCGACCTGCGGCGTTCCTTTTCCCAGGCGTCCTCTGCGGAGGCGCCACGGAAGGGTACGTCGCTGTCGGGACAAGGGTCCTATCGACACACTGCCGTGAAGGCTCCTGCGGGAGGCAGGGATGCGATGGCGTTGGGAATGGTCCGTTCCCAGAGTCAGCGCATCCCCGTTTCTCGCTGGCACCCGCCCGCCGGAGCAGCCATGGGGAAACGACAATCTTTCGGCCCGACCCGGACGCAACAGCCGCAGCCGCAGCTTCGCCTGGACCATGTCGATGAAATGGTCAGCGACTACTCGCCATCTGAGTATACCAAGCACTTGGATGAACCTGACAGCAACACCAACCAGGCCCAGGCCCCGCCCTATCGCACCGGCACCGGCACCGGCACTGGCACTGGCACTGGCCCTGCAACCACTACCTCTGCCTTGTCTCTGGGTCTCGCGACTCTTGGATCGACTGGACTATCCCCCTTGCCAAATCCGCACTCTGGACAGCCGTCTCCCATGGCCGATGCATCCGCGGCCACTGCGGTCGAAATGACGCGCAGCGGGACTGCCGACACCATCATCGGCGGATTCGACAACTTTGGCTTTAACCAGGCCGCACCTCGCGCGGAACTGGAACCGGCATACCCCATCCCCCCGGAGTGGGTGCCCACATCCGCCTCCGGGCTCCCTTTTCATGATACCTTCCCTTCTTCCCTGTATCCTGACCTAGATCCTGCCGCATCCTTCCCCTTCCCCTACCCTCCCTCTTTCTCCACCTCCGCCCCTTCAGCAATGTCGTTGCGGCCGCGGCCAATGCTAGCCACCAGCATCACCACGCTCTCCCCGCCATCGGCAGTCGACATGAAACCGTCCCTCTCAAACGAGAGCGACACCTCCACTACCATTGCAGTTCCATCCCGCGCCGTCCGTCGCACACAAGAGCAAGTCGCTCACGGCGCACGCCCCATCGCGCCCAAGCGCGAGTCGCCCGGCAATATCCACCTCCAGCTAGATCCGAGCGATCCCAACCGGATGATGCGCATCTCCTCGGCCGATGGAACCACTAAAGAAGTTGCCGCCATTCCCAAAGCTCCCGTGCACCGACCACCCCGGCAGAAGACGTACTGCGACCGCTGCAACGACCAGCCGGAAGGCTTCCATGGGGAGCACGAGCTGCGGCGGCACATGGACCGGGTGCACGCGCTGGTGCGCAAAGTGTGGGTGTGCGTGGACATCTCTCCCGATAAGACGTTCCTGGCAAACTGCAAGGCCTGCCGCAACGGCAAGCGGTATGGGGCGAACTACAACGCAGCCGCGCACCTCCGCCGCACCCACTTCAACCCGTGCCAGCGCGGCCGCGGTGGCCGCGGAAAGGATAGCGAGAAGCGCGGCGGCAAGGGCGGCGGCAATCATCCGCCTATGGACGTGCTGAGGCTATGGATGCGGGAGACCGTCGAGCGGGCGGATGAGCATACTGGCGAAAGCTTTGGTGTCGACAGTCTCGCCGAGGATGGTGCGGATAGCTTGCCGATGGACTGCAAGTCCAGTGCCCTCGCGACCCCGGGGCTGGGCGATGGTCCTGGCCATCTCGGCATGAGCATGAATGCTCCCTACGGAATGGAATCGACGCTCATGCACGGGCACGGTGCGGATCACGGGTACGAGGGCTACCCCGGGATGTCGGCGAGCTTCAGCTTCGATGCCGCGCTGGATACCCCGTTCTATCTCGACAGCCAGCTGCCGGCCGAGCTGGAGGCGTATGTCATGTGAGCGATTGTAGTCTCCCCGTTCCTTATCGACAGTGTTCTTGATTTTGATTCTGGTTTTGTTCTGTGTTTCTTTTTTTTCTTGTGGATATCAGTCTCCTGCCTTTCTGAGTGGTTTCTTTGGATTGTGTAAAGTATGTATTGTACCCGTGTATACGGATGGATGGAATGGGACAGGGATTGGGTCTATCGGATTGGGTCTGGACGGGGTGATCAGTCCCGGGTACACTGTTGGATTTTGGGCTTCTTTGGTTTTTTGCACCCTGTTTCATCTTTGGATCGGCGCCTGTGCGAGGAGCTTATTTGTTCGGTTTATATTGGTATAGTTGGGGTTGGCGCCGTCCTTGTTCGATTCCTGCGTGTTTTGCATTGTTGTTTTTTGACATTCTGACGATTTTTGGCTAATTGGGGGCCGTGGGGGTCAATGGCTGGTATCTGGTGTGTCCAGGGCCAAGCATTGACCTGCATGGCCGCCGTACTGACATGAGTGATGAGAGCAGGCCTCTGCACCTGCAGCTGATGATTCCGCCATAATTAATGACATGACATGACCTGACATGACCTGACCTGACACTGGAGAATGGCGTCCAGGATGGGGTTGCTATACCCCGAAATAGTACTCCAGCGTAGTGCGTCGCTAGTTTAGGTATCGACCTACCTGCTAGTGAACTCTTGGGTTAGGCTGTTTGAGAGGGTTGTAGTGCCAGCGGTGAGTCCGCCGTAGTCGTGAGCACTGCTCAGCACCAAGTACGAAGACTGAGTCCGGAATACGTACGTGGTCTCCTGCTCAGCACTTCGGACGTGTGCGGTCGTCGTTTGCTGTTCCTGATCGACCATACCCGCTCTGAGAGAATAGAGCGTACAAACATTGTTCGGGACTACAAGCATCGCAGGATGTACAGTACAGTATGCCCTGTACAGTACGAGTCGGCTGGCAAACCGCAGGCAGCAGCAATACCAGCAAATACTGTACAGGCGGTGAAAGCCGCCGCCCCAAATGAGTAGCCGATCTTCCGGGAGGAAAGCGGTTCGCCGGGAAGCCTGGCTCTGAGTGGCCAGGTCCTACTGGACTGTGGGGAAGCAAGGGTCATAGTGGCTGAGGGAAAGTGCAGATCTTCCAATAAAAGCCATTTCCTGGCTATGTGGAGTCGGGAGGTGTGGCTGACGGCATTAGTCGATGGTAGGGCTGGCGACGTGCAGGTAGATGGTTGGCTTGTGATTGGGGGAGGTGGGACAGGTTACAAAGTGTGGCTGAGAGGAGATACGGTAAGTACAGTATGGCGTACACCACCATACCGCATAATTACCCGTACCGGCCATACCGCATACGCCTCGGGGCTGCAATTCCGCACGAGGCAATATTCGGGAGATGGGTTGATGGATAGATGACGGTACGGGGGAATATGGATCAATGGGATACCTCCGACACTTGTTCCGTAACCATTCTACTGTAGCAGCCCGTTCGCTGGTAAGGTATTGCCAAGAAGTCAGGAACCAGTGGAGCCAGCCAGCAGGCAGTCTCGGATACTTCGCAGATACTGCCGATTCTTCCTCAGCCCTGCGACTCTTGCCAAGGAAACGGTCTGCCCAGCGGTCAGCAGCAGTACATCTGTAACTCATTTTCTCCGTAACTTCAACCAGTAACTGAACTTCACGGCGGTACCTCACAAGTACCCTGCACCAAACTTCCAGTCTCCTCGGTAAGGCTTGTCTCCTCTCCTCTTTTCCTCATCATCCTTCCCTCCCCTCTCCCTTCCGCTCCTCCCCTTCTCCAGACTTCGCCAACCCCCGACTTTGAAAAGTCTCCCGCCCACCCCTTCACCCCTGATTCGTTCTCTCTTGGTTCACTCGCTCACCCGCTGTCGCTCGTGACAAGCCTTTACGACTCTTTCAGCCAACCGCCGTCCTTCGATCGACCGAGTGAGTGGTTTCGCTTTGTCCGCATTGTCTCCTTTGTTCGGCTGGCAGCCAGCCCCTGCTGCGGTCCGCTCCGATCGCGCTTGGGTTCTTTTATCGCATTCATTCAGAGCTTGGCGCTGACTGGTTCTCTTTTGATTTTAGATACATTACCGGCACTATGTCTTACCAACAACAGCACCAATACCCTCCCAACGCGTGAGTCCTCCCGTGCCTATATCAGCCTCGATGACCGATGCGGTCGCCGAGTTTCGACTTTCCCCGGATTTCGGTCCAATACGCCTTTGGTCGCACTATTGGCGGGAATATGGAATCGCGACGTGAATGGCTTGCGCATTGATTGTCAGTTTGGACTCTGACTTGAGATAAATACAGCTACCAGCAACCCGGCTATGGCCCTCCCCCCGGCGAGTACGGCTACCCTCAGCAGGGCTACCCGCCTCAGGGTTATCCCCAGCAGGGCTACGGTGGACCTCCTCCCGGTGGCGTATGTCTCAGATCTAGATGTTGTGGAAGAATTGTGCACTGATAAGCTTTACAGATGGCTTACCAGCAGCCGCAGCAGGCGCCGCCGCCGCAGAAGAGCAGTAACCAGGGCTGCCTCGGTGCCTGGTAAGTTGGTATTGCGATCTCGATTCTGGGTGCTTCACTAACGTGTGTATTTCTTCTCAGCTTGGCCACTCTTTGCTGCTGCTTCGTCTGCGAGGAGGGCTGTGAGTGCTGCGCCGACTGCATCGAGTGCTGCGAGATGTGCTAAACATTCTGACCAATGACCTCGACGATACCTTCTTTCTTCATGGCGTTCGAAATATAAGACTTTGCTCAGCAGGGTCTTGGGACTGATCCTACCCCACTCTTTCGGTCTTTGGACCGCAAATATTCTCTTTGTCAATTCGAGCTTTCTTCAAGTGATGTCTTGGCGAGTTAGTTACAACTTCACCTGTTGGTTTTATTTTCAATGGCTAGGTAATTCCATCGTTCTGCGTTGCTTAGACTGCCAGTAGCAATATTTTTATCTATGAAATGTACTGCGCATGAACTGCGCCAGCGAGGTAATACTACCTGCCACTTGGGCGTTTGCGGCAGCCTATATCGTATGATGTTTTGCGATTAGTCTATTCAATCAACCCGGACATGTGTTACCCCTGGTTTCGTATCACACTATTGTACTGTAGACCGGCGGTAGGGGACTCACTAGGTCGGGCACTGACGGCCTCGCGATAATGGCGATCTCCAGTCCAATTAGCCCTCTTCATTTCCTCCGTATACCGCCCATTTCTGAAAGCAACTAGCGTAGCGATCGACAGCATGCCGGCGTATTGCTTTGAAACGGTAGCATCCAGCCTCAGTTGGAAACAATTGGCGGAAATGGGGCCGGCGCCTGCACCTAAGCGCCTTGCCATGTTGGCGCCAGGGAGCCAATTTCTTTTCCAAACAGATAAACCCCTCTCTTTCTCGCCCTTAAGTACCTCATTCAGACAGTTTCCTGCCGACTTAGTTACCTGAGAACTGGATTATTGTCCGTATTATCTTGGTTTAGGTTTGGTGAACTTGCTCAACAATGACGAATGACAGTGCTGGGCCGAATCCAATCGACGCGAATGGCTTGTGTCTGTTATCTCTCGACGGTGGCGGCGTTAGAGGATTGTCAACACTGTATATCCTGCAGCGTATAATGCTCCAATTGAGTCTTGAGCGCGATGATGGAATTGTTCTTAAACCCTGCGATGTTTTTGATCTGATTGGAGGCACTAGCACAGGCGGGTGCGTTATCCTCCAATGCGAGCATGCCTTTTGCTGACATTTCGATTTCTCTGCAACATCTAGACTCATTGCGATCATGCTGGGACGATTAGAAATGGGCATTGATGAATGTATCTTGGCATACACCCAACTCATGAGCTCTGTCTTCGGCGAGAAGCTCAACAACATCCCAGTGGACTGGTCTGGGAACATAAGGGGGCGATACGACAGCCAGAGACTAAAAGCAGCAATCGAGCATGTTATTGAGAAGGCTGGTGCAGCACCTGGAGACCTAATGGACGACGGCACCCAGCGCCGTTGTCGAACTTTTGTGTGTACCACAGCCAAGGATACCCTTCAGGTGACGCGACTACGAAGCTACCCAGCACCAAACAAGGATACCCTTCCAGCGACAATCTGCGAAGCCGCTCTTGCCACCTCTGCAGCAACCGGGTGTTTTGAGTCTGTGACGATTGGACACCGCCAGTTTGTGGATGGAGCCTTTGGGGCCAATAACCCAGTCGAGGAAGTGGAGGAAGAAGCAGCGGATATCTGGTGTACAACTAGTCGCGACTTGAAACCTTTGGTCAAATGCTTCTTGTCTGTTGGCACTGGTTGTCATCACAGAACGCCCATCGACGACAATATATTTAAATTCTCGAAGACCCTGGTTACGCTGGCGATTAAACCAGAGAGCACGCAACGTCGATTCATGGCTCGCTGGAGTAATGAACTCAAGGAGAAGCGGATCTTCCGCTTCGACGTCGATCAGGGTTTACAGGACGTTCATATGACCGAGTATGAGAAGCGGAGTTTGATTGAGTCCGTAACACACGACTATCTTCACAATGCTACCCAGAAAGGACGTATCCGAGACTGTATCTTGAATTTGGCCGGCAAAGAGGGTATGTGGAAAGAATTTTGAATCGTCATTGAGACAAAACGCTAACGTAGTTGCAGGCAAAACGAACGTCGAGTTCGACCTTATTATGCAGGTAAGACAATCTTACGGACCAGATTCAGTGAATAACAATCTGAACTTCATGATTAGGAATATGAAGCTCGAGTTCTCAGGATGCATGTTCTAAAGAATTTACACTCGGTCAAGAATCCGTTTCTACTGAACAAAGCACCATGCTGGGCAGTTCCTTTTGAGCGAAACCCCAGGTTTGTTGATCGGGAAGAATTACTCGGGAAGCTCAAACGAAGATTATTTGCCCAGGGACAATCACAGAGAATTGGTATATTTGGGCTTGGAGGTGTCGGCAAGACTCAGATCGTTCTTGAACTGGCATATCGGACGAAAGAAATGTATTCAGATTGTGCCGTTATGTGGCTTCCGGCAGTCGATGTGGAGGCACTCCAGCAGGCCTATCTAGAAGTTGCTCGTCAGCTGAGGATTGACCATTTTGACCCCGACAAGGAGGATGTGAAGGGGGTTGTACAAAGGCATCTGAGCCAGCCACATAGTGGCCGGTGGTTGTTAATCATTGACAACGCGGACGATATTGATATGTGGACCGATGGAGGGCCTAATTCAATCAGCATAGGCCTTCGAAGCTTTCTGCCCAAGAGTGATCAAGGAGTTATTATCTTCACAACGAGGAGCACTCGGGTCGCTCAATATCTAGCTTCGGCCAATACCATAGAGATCCCGGAGATGGATGAGACAAAGGCTTTGGAACTTTTGACAAACTCGCTTATGAACAAGAACCTCCTCCAGGATACCGACAGCACGCGAAAGCTGCTTGAACGACTGACATACCTGCCATTGGCAATTGTGCAGGCCGCTTCATTCGTCAATGAGAATAACACAGACATTGCCAGCTACGTTAGGCTGCTTGATGGTCAGGGGCAAGAGGCCATTGACCTGTTGAGTGAAGAGTTTGAGGATGAGGGTCGATACAAGAGTATCCGCAATCCAATTGCGACTACTTGGCTAACTTCCTTCATGCAAATACGACAGAAGGAACCACTGGCTGCTGACTGCCTGGCCTTCATGGCTTGTATTAATGCAAAAGATATTCCCGTCTGCCTTCTGCCGGTACCCGAAGGAGTTGAACGAACGAAGGCAATTGGAATTCTCAGCTCCTACTCATTTATCCACACATCCCAAGCTGGCTCTCGGGTCGAGATGCATAGATTGGTACACCTAGCGACAAGAAATTGGCTTCGATCAGCCAACTCTCTACAGCAATGGCAGGCCCGCTCACTGATAATTGTGAATGAACATTTCCCGTTCCCGGACGTGGTGAAGCGATATGAATGGCGCGCAGCAATACCTCACGCTCTACAAGTCCTACAATCGACGCCGACTGAACCTAGCACTGGCGAGAGAGCCCATTTAACACATATAGTTGCTTCCTGCCATGCACTTGATGGAAGATATAAAGACGCAGAGGAACTATTTTTGCAATCAGCGGAATGCTCTGAGAAAATGTTTGGTCCCGATGACTGGCGTACTCTGAGAAACCGAAGTTCTCTTGCATATGCATATCAAACCATGGGACACCTGCAAAAATCGATCCAGATGTTTGAGGAGGTTTTGGAAGCCCACCAGCGGATTGGGGGCCTTGACAATCCTGCTGGAATGGATGCTATGGCTAAGTTGGCCAGTGCTTATCGGCTATCTGGAAACCTGCCAAGGGCTGAAGAGCTCGGTAACAGGGTTGTGAAGTATTACCTGAACGTCTTAGGCTCTGAGTCACGATGCACTTTGGAGGCCATTTTCAACATGACTCTCATTTATTACGCTCAAGGGCGACTTTCCGATGCAGAAAAGTTAGCGCAGCAATCGTTATTCATCATGAGAAAGTCCCTCGATCCAGACAACCCACTCACGATATCTGCCATAACATGCTTAGCGGACATTTACATGCAGAGAGGGAGGCTGAGGGAAGCTGAGGAGTTGTACACTGAGGGTCTAGAGAGAGGTCGGCGAATCAATGGCCCTGCTCACCCAATCACAATCCGGGACCTTCATCAACTGGCCATGTCAGCGAAACTACAAGGACGACACTCTGAGGCCCTTGCTTTGATGACTGAATGTTGTCAACTGAAAGAGCAAGTATTGGGCACGGATCACTTTCAGACCGTTCAGAGTTTCGTGCTCATCGAAAGCTGGACAACTACAAAGTATGTGCCTTGGGCTCATTTAGGATCTGGACGCAGTGGTCTCAAAGGACATCGGTATCCATGCTGACTGTTATGCATTCACAGGAGTCTCACTTCACGAATGAGGTCTCGGTTCAGTTCAATGGAGCGGTCGGCCGTGATGCTTACACGTCGACAACAATATCCTCGTGTAGAAGTCCTCGGTGGCCTGTATAAAGCCCGACGACAACCGAAGGATGACTCGCTTATTCGTGAAATTAAGAAAGCCATCAGTGATGATCATGTGAGCAAGCATATGCTCAGCGACTAGGTTACTATCATTGAAGCCAAAAGAGAAAAAAGGACAAGGAAGCAAGCGTTCCCACTAGGTAAGAATCCATGTTGGTGCAAATTTATTCTATCACACTTTACGCGAGCCCCGCCTCGCCTCGTATATACAAGTCTTGAATAGTGAATATACATAGATGCAAATTTATTAACCAACAAAAATAGTACAGACATCTTAAGCTCCGTCAAGCCTCTTACAAGTTAGGACCAATATTTTTACCTCTTGCCGGTCAGTTTTAACAATGATCGATTGAGAAGAACCCATCAGTAGCTATTCACTGCCTCCTTTCAACGATTCGGTGGTGAAGCGGACGCGTTTGAGATGAATATTTTCTGAGAACGTAGAGTACATCTAATTTGACTAAGAACATGGTATTATTTTGAGCTTCGGATGATGCTGTAGACCCCTCCACATGACAATGAGATAATACTGTCTATCACTTAAGTCTCCGGTTGGCAGGTAATCAAAATACCCCTCAACCCCGCAGAGATATCCTCCCTTTCCAATAACCACACGATGCAACACTGGATCAGGCAACGGCAAGTGGAGGCTCTGCACCGGCGGGGTTGGTGGAGAGAACCCCAGATTTACCCGTCAATCGGACTCCGCGTCTGAAAGGTCAGTTTGGCCACCCCTTTCCCATGGAGGAAAATCACGGTCAGGTACGATGAGAGCCAATAATCAGAGGCTATCGCAGGACGTGCGGAAGCTCTTGCATTTCCCCTGGATCTTGGCTCTGTACAGTTCTCATGCAGACTCCCCCAGGCGCCTGAAGTGCCATTCCCCCGCGCACGGATTCCAACATGAGGGTGCTGCACTAATTCTGCCGATATTTCCCCAGAATGGGTCTACAGGGGTATTCTTCTACCCAGTGCACCCCTCATGGGATTTTACCCAATTTGGCTATGCAATGGCCGCAATGTACCCGGCTAGTCGCTCAATGCTGCCTTTGATCCGGAAATGATCGACTTCAACTCGCAACTTTTGAGGTCTGAATCATGACGATGAGGGGTGCCCGGGAGAGAGAGCAAGGGGACATCACTCGGCAAAATAACTGGTCTCGGTGGTGGAATGTGGCGGTATAAATAGCTGATGCGGCCACCCTATGGAAGCAGATCCGTGGTGAAATCTGAACAGGATCAGCGAGTTGCATCTGTTGCCTGTTCTGCATAGCATCGACAATGTTACGTGAATATCTTCTTTTGCCGCTGCTGGCATCATATGCCACAGCGGTGCAGATCTCTGTTGCTAAATCCGGTGGCAATGTGACGACGAGCTTGCAGTATGGTGTGATGGAAGAGGTACGAGGTGTATTCCTGCCCGTGGAACATACCTTCACTGACTATATCTGACCAGGAAATCAACCATTGCGGTGAAGGTGGTCTCTACGCCGAGTTGATTCGCAACCGAGCGTTCCAGGGTAGCACTACCTACCCTTCCAACTTGGATGCTTGGTCTGCTGTGGGTGGATCAGCCCTGTCGCTACAGAACCTCAGTAACCCGCTTTCTTCTGCCCTCCCAACCTCCGTTCGGGTTGAGGGGAATGGTACTTCGGGTCTGACGAATGTGGGTTTCTGGGGCATCGACGTTCGACCTCAAAAATACTCGGGATCATTCTATGTCAAGGGCTCTTACAAAGGCTCCTTCATAGCCTCGCTTCAGTCCATTACCAATGGGGAAGTCTTTGCTACCGCCAAGGTGTCGTCAAAGAGTGTTGCAGATGACTGGGTGCAGCATGATTTTACCCTCACACCAAAAAAGACAGCTCCCAGCACCAACAACACGTTTTCGTTGACCTTCGATGCATCTGTAAGCACGCTACAAAGATGGAAGTCGAAACATGTACTGATGCGGTCTAGAAAGCGTCTGGGGGCTCACTTGACTTCAATTTGATCAGCCTGTTCCCACCGACCTGGAACAACCGCCCCAATGGAATGCGACGGGATCTCATGCAGGCCATGAGGGACCTGAATCCCGTGAGTATAACACTGGTGAGCAAATCCGGGACTTGGGACAATGCTGACCCTATAGAAATTCCTTCGTTTTCCTGGTGGAAACAACCTCGAAGGGAATTCAATTGATGGTCGTTGGAAGTGGAACGAGACCATTGGACCACTGAAGAGCCGCCCTGGCCGTGCAACCACCTGGGGCTATGGAGAGACTGGCGGTATGGGCTTGGTTGAGTACATGGAGTGGTGTGATGACCTCGGCTTGGAGCCCAGTACGTTATAAGCGAATGAAGTATAGGTCACCTACGAAACTGACAGTATAATCACAGTTCTGGCAGTCTGGAGCGGACTTGCATTGAACAGACAGGTTGTTTCCAAGGCCAACATTGGTGTCTACGTCCAAGATGCCCTCAACGAGCTCGAATTCTTAACAGGTTCGGTCGACACGGAGTACGGTGCTCTACGGGCCAAATATGGCCATCCTGAACCATGGACCATCCGGTTTGTTGAGGTGGGCAACGAGGACAGCCTCAATGGTGGTGCGAGCTCGTACAAGTCCTACCGCTTCGCGGCCTTTTATGATGCTATTACGGAGAAGTACCCAGACATCCAGGTTATCGCGTCCACTCTTGATATAACACTTCCTGGAAACGCTGGCGGTGATTACCACCTGTATGATATTCCGGACAATTTTGTTAAGAAGTTCAACTTGTTCGACAGCTACAGCGACGAGCATCCAATTTTGCTGGGTATGTATTTGTCATGGCGTACCATAGGATCTGGACTAATGCAGCCTTCACAGGCGAAATTGCCGCCACCGAGTGGAACAACGGGAAGGGTGTTGACTGGAGCGATACTCATTTCTCTTTGTATCCGTGGTGGCTTGCCTCCGTCTCCGAGGCGGTCTTCCTTTTGGGGGCGGAGCGGAACGCAGACAAGATTATTGGAACAACCTATGTGCGTTCTGAGCCTGGCGTTAGCACACGATGGTTCAAGGAACTAACACTGAGCTAGGCGCCATACTTCATGAACCTGGACAGCTACGAATGGTCGCCGACTATGATTTCTTTCAACGCCAACCCCGATGATACCGCGAAATCCACCAGCTGGCACGTCTACAGTGTACGTGAATGTAATCACTTTGATGACCAGGTCAACCCTAACGGTGACTCGAATAGCTCTTTAATGACAACCACATGACCAACACCCTGCCCGCAACCTCCAACAGCAGCTTTGGCCCACTTTACTACGCAACCGGTTTGAACAACAAAACCAACTCCCACATCTTCAAGGCTGCTGTGTACAACAGCACTGCAGATGTCCCGGTGTCTCTGACGTTTGAAGGCATTGGACGGGGCACCACCGCCGACCTGACCATCCTCACGGCACCCAGTGGTTTCTCCATGAATGAGGTTGGTGGTCCCAACACTGTGGAGAGCCAGACTACCAAGATCAAGGCTGGCAAGCAGGGTGTCTTCAGTTTCAGCTTGCCGAACCTGAGCGTTGCCGTGCTCACTACCAAGTAGCTGAGAAGCCCCTTGTTGAGGATGGATCGGATTGCAGCCAATACATGACAGTTATCCAGGGAGGTTCGAATGAAGTGTTGTGAAAAACGTAGACGCATCTCGTCTTGCCCTCTCAACCCCCCACAGCCTTATACGTGTTCCGATTCTTGGCTGGTGGACATGTCTCTCGTGAATGTGCAGTAGCAATGTGAAGCCCCAGCAGCTGAGCTGCCCCTTCCGCTAGAGTGAACCAGCCCTGTGGAAATTCAGGCTGAGAGCAAGTCTCTTCAATTCGACTTGAAGGGGTTCTACATTCATCGCGTTTACGGTTAACTCTATGCGGTAGACAGGCGGTGCGGCCAGGGGTTCCGCTAAGCACCATTTGCCATCTGTCTATATATAATTTTCAATTTCTCAATCCTTCTAAATACCACCTGCCAGTTTGAAGCTCCAACCACTACATAGGCAGAGTCCGGAACGCTCGGCGCCACCCTTTCTCGCTTAAAGAGGTATTCCTGGTGGGCTTGCACGACCCGCGCGGATGGGGGCCACGAGCCAACTTACTGGGGCGCGAGAGCGGCACGGTTGACCGCACCGTCAGAGCCGCACCGACATCTCGGGAAGCATTACGGGGCATTCGGCTCAATCTCCACCGGCGCGTTCCAACCCCTTTCCACGGGTGAAGAGGGCTGCGACCGTCGCGACCCCGCCGAATGCTGCGGATGCCGCGAAACAGAGCCGTATGCCACGGAAGTAGACTAGTCGAACCGCAATTTGCACGTCGGGGGGTAGGCCGTGGATTGCGGAAATCGAGTGGCGGATCTCGTCGATCACCTGGAATAAGAAAAAAGAGCGAAGTGATCAGCGGTCTTGCTCATGGCACGTTCAAGTTAACTGGCACACGGGGATGTACTTTCCATTTGTCTGGTATTTCACTCAAGGCCTCCCCGAGGCCTGAGCTGAGTGTATTCTGGATGATTGCCGATGTAACAGCCACGCCCCAAACGGTCCCAAGGGAGCGGATGAGGTATACTGTCGAAGCGGATACGGCATGGTCTTGAAACGAAGTTAGTCCACTGCCATGGCAGTATCATTCAGATAAAGGAACATGCTCACCGGAATGATCGAATGCAGCTAGGAATGTGAACAGAATTCCCGGGTAGACAATTCCCTGGCCTAGATTGGCGGGAATGATATATGCATAATATTTCCATTCCGAGTCATGGAAGCGCAGGAGGGTAACCAGCAAGTTCCCAATGCACATCAAGGCGGCACCTGCACGCACGAGGTAGGCTAGCTTCCCCCATCGCGACATCACGATTCCAGAGATGAGCCCGCCCAATGGGGTGGCAAGGGATGGGATGGCCAGTCGGGCGCCAGCCTTGGTGGGACTTTCAAGTAAAATCACCTGGAAAAGCAGCGGAAGGGTGAAAAGGAACTGTATAATTAGATGAATATATTGTCAACGACCGTTCCAGGAATAAGCAGGGTGCATAGGGTTTAACGCACGGCATACGCAGCCATACCAACACAGACATTGGCAATCTGAGTTGAAACAGGAAGCAGACCCTGGAGCATCTTCAATGGAATGAGAGGAGTGGCCGTTGTCGTGGCCTCTACGGCGAAGAAAGCTGCAAGGAACACCATGCTGGCAATCAGTGACAATATTACCCAGATGTTGCTCCAGGGGAGCTCATTGCCTCCAAGACTCAATCCAACAAGCTGACTAGATAGAGCCAGGACAAGAAGCAGGGATCCAAGAAGATCGATCTGGTGCCAGATACCCCGGCCCTGCTGTCCCATGGAGTGATCCTTCTTCGCAGGGAATGTGAGAACAAAATGGCCGAGAACCAACGCAGCCAGCGAAACCGGGACTTGAATGAGGAAGCACCAACGCCACCCAATGGTGTCGACCATACTCCCGCCGAATGAAGCGCCGCAGATGGCACCGAAGCCGTACGAAACGTTTTGGACCACCTGGTACATGCCGCGCTGGCGGAATGGGATGAGATCAGAGTTGATGATGGTTGCTGTATTTCGTGTCAGCAATTGCCGCAAGGCCCGGCAAGGGGATTTGCATTCACGCACCCATGGTCATCAAGCCGCCCCCTCCAATGCCGGTCAGCGCACGCATGATGTTGAGAAAGACTACATCTCTCGCCAGTGCACATCCCAGACACCCGATCATGAACGAGATAGTCGCAGTGAAGAAACAAGCACGACGGCCAAGCAAGTCGGAGAAGCGTCCGTAAAGTGGCTGGAATGCGGTGCTGGTAATCAGGTACGAGGTAGTCAGCCATGAAGCTGTATTGGCCGCATTGAACTCGGAGCTGATGACCGCGTAGGTCGAGGCAGTAATTGTGCCGTCAAATCCACCGAGGAAAACGTTTGCCATGATTGCTATTGAGGACGACAGTTAGCACTATGACCAGTTTTGTGGGTAGATAAACAAACCAAGTTGAATCCAGAGGAAGCCTGGCGGCGGTTTCCAAGTCACTGCGGGACTTGGGCCCAACAGTGGCTGTTCTTCACCTAACTCGGGCATGGCTGGATCTTGTATAGATTCTGAGACAGGATGCGCGGTACTCGCGGACGTGTTGTGTTCGTGATGGTGCGTGGCCATGGCGGGGTTGAATGGCAATTGGCAGGTTGGAGCAGCAAATCTTCTGGTTGACACTCGACAACGTAATGACGCCAAGAACTGCTTCGAGGACCGAAAAGTTGAGCAATCTGAATCTTCCGCGTTCCAAAAATCCCTGGGCTTTCTGAGGGAAATTGTGACAACCAAGCGACAAACTCTGCAAGGACTGCGCAGCGGGCACTCTTTCGGGAAGGGCCGTGGGGCAGCCAAGCACGACATCCCGACGGATGCTTTGCACTATGCCGCAGCCAGTCTGCACTGCATTCTGAGGATATCCGAGGGCCACTTCAATCACACAAATATGTACTAAATGACGTCGGTCGGTTCTCTATAACCCCTCTTCTCTCCGCCATCCCCACAATTCCTCCTGCAAGCATTTGTGTGCTGCAATATATCTTCGGAACACACTGCCAGCGCCGACGACAAACCCGTACCTACCAGTGCAGAATACGCAACTAAGGTTAATGTACCCTTCGCTAGGCATGATGGGCGACATCATGGAAGCTGATCGCTGGTCTAGTCTATCCCGCTACGATGAAGGTTCTCGACACGATCGCCTACGCCGTAGCCGTACTTCCTCTGGCAGCCGCAGACTGGCAATTCAAGTCTCGAACAGACCTGGCTCCGCCGCGTCTGAACATCACAATCCCCGCGACTGCAGACGTCGAAAAGGGTTATCTCTTCGTGGCACCGTTCCCAGGTCAATGGGCTGAGCCCCAGTTTCATGGCCCGCGTCAGGAGGGACCATATATCTTCCGCGATGACGGCGAGCTCGTCTGGTCTGGGTATACCTACTATTCTGTCTGGGCAGCCAACTTCCAAGCTGCCCGATGGAAGGGCCAGGATGTGCTGTTCAGCTTTGAGGGCGACCACAACCCGGCCTATGGACATGGACACGGGCATGCGACTATTCTGAATCAGCATTATGAGACTGTTCGCGAGCTGCGAGCGGGTAACCATAAGCTCATGGATAAGCATGAGTTCCATGTGATCGATGAGAAAACTGCCCTGATCCAAGTGTACCAGCCGATCCCAATTGACCTGAGTCGATGGGGTGGCAGATCAGAGCAGCAGTGGATTGTGGATGCTATCTTCCAGGGTATATGATCGACTCTCGAACTGAACTATGTTTCATCACTAATAACTGGTAGAATTGGATCTTCAAACTGGTGAACTACTCTTTGAGTGGTCCAGCCTTGAGCATGTCAGTCCGGATGGTACGTCTATATTCGGACCTGGACTTCATACCTACATCTAGTCCCATACTTACTCTATACTCAGAAGCCGTCCTTCCTCTGAACCCTGGCCAGGCCGGTGCGGGCTACAATTCCTCTGATGCATGGGACTATTTCCACATCAACTCGGTTGACAAAGATGCGGAGGGTAACTACCTGATCTCCGCCCGAGATGCCTGTGCCGTCCACAAGATCAACGGTACCACCGGTGAGATTATCTGGCGTTTGGGTGGTCTCCGATCGGACTTTGACCTGGGACCCAATGTCCGGTTCTGCTTCCAGCACCACGCTCGATTCCTCTCCCAGGAAGGCAACGAAGAGATCATCTCGCTGTTCGACAACTCCGCCCATGGCACGGAGAACCACCGCGGGCACGAAGTCCATACGCACCCCTTCTCGCAGGGTAAGATTATCTCCGTCAACACGGCTACCTGGACCGCACGGACCGTTCAGGCGTTCCAACCCCCTGACGGGCTCCTCGCAAAGTCGCAGGGCAGCACTCAGATCTTGCCTAACGGCAACGCCTTAGTCAACTGGGGCTCTGAAGGAGCCATGACGGAGTTCCGACCGGACGGAACCCCCATCTTCCACGCTTACATGGACTCGGATCTGCTTGGCGAAGGGGTCCAGAACTATCGCGCATTCCGGTACAACTGGACCGGTCTACCGATCGAAGAGCCTGCCATTATTGCCCAGAAGACCTCGTCGGGGACTGCGGTGTATGTGTCGTGGAACGGGGATACAGAGACCGCGCTCTGGCGATTCTACGCGGTGACCGACCGGTATGGATCACGATCATTCCTGGGCGAGGCGCAGCGCCAGGGCTTCGAGACGGAGTTCTTCTTGCGCGGGTATTCGTACAAGCATGTCTCGGCAGAGGCTGTCTCGGGTACTGGCCGCGTGTTGAAAAACACCCAAGTGGTGCGTCTTCAGGATGAGGTGGTGCCTCCGACCGCGAATGGCTTTGGGGGTAGCCCAGCTGCTTGGCGGCAATTGGTGCTACATGACTAAATATTACCTCGGCGCGTATGTAGAATTGAGGATGTTGAGGGTAGTTAGTTATGTTGGTCAGTGATGATGTAAGACGAGGGTCGACTTGGAGCAGTATGAGCAGAATTGGTGATCTAACAGAATAGGAGAATTGGAGGAGATTAGGTGTGTCGATCCCTGGTCCAGAATAAATTGAAGTAGCCGGAGATAAAGTCAAAGTCGATCGTGATCCACGTGAAATTGCCACATGGCGGTTACATCAACAAGTCGGATGCCTCATACTTTCACAACTGAGGATAAATCCCACAACGTCGACTCGGATGTGCTCCTCCCGAGAGTCCAATCGTGTCGCCCACCTATGAACCATGATCCCAGTCTAGGATCCTTGCGTCAGATGTGGTTACCTGGGCTCGTATGCTGAACCAGTCAATGCAACCCATCGTGGGGGGTCCCCCCGCGTCAGCAAGGGAAGCTATCCTAAATGGGCCATTGCTCTCGGGTGGCCCCACTCGCGATACGACCAATACGCCGCCAATCAACATTCCCGCAGTCCGAGTCCATACTCGGGTTCGCTTTGACTACGCCATCTGACCTAAGATGATGATCGTGTGCATGGTAGGGGTCCATCGGACCCGATATCAGCTCAGGAGAGCTCATCGGGTCCGGTAGACCCCGGGTAGCGTGGACCTCCCCCTGCCATGTAGAACCTACTAACCTCCAAGTATCCAGTACATCCACTCCCGGCACCAGCGTTCAGGCACGACCAGAGTGCCACGGAATCAGGACAGCCGCAACGCAGCCGGTATTGTCTTTGACGCTCGTCTTTCCGGACGGATACGCTCTCTTCCGACATCCGACACGCGTGGCTGCCAAAAAGTGCAATCAGCATGGCGAGACTTCGCCTTTATTGACTTCCCACCTTCGTCTCTCCTTTCCACGCTTGACTCTATAGTCTCCCCCTCCACCCGCCCTCCCTCTTCCTCATCCTTGTCCTCATCAGTCTCAATGCAACCTTTGTTACCATGGATCCACCACAGCCTCCCGCTCCGTTTGGTGGTGGTGCCGCGGCACAATCTGCGGCGCGTGTGATGAACCAGCGCCTTGAAGACTACATTCATGATGGAGACTCGCCAGATGGCCCTGGCAACATTGACGAGTCAACAACCACCATCATCGCAGACGAAATGGAAGAGACACGACACAAGGAGATTACAGCCCTGGCGCGGACTTTCTCTCAGCTCTCGGACCAGGTTAGCGGTGAGAAAACGCTGCCCCACGAAGAAGGCGTGAATACCTTCCTCGAAACAAAAAAGGAGCCAGAGCTCGACCCCAACTCAGAGGACTTCAATTCGCGCAAATGGGTCAAGAATCTCCTGCAGATGACATCCCGTGATCCGGATCGTTACCCTCGTCGCACGGCAGGTGTCTCGTTTCGCAACCTCAACGTATTCGGGTACGGCACCGCAGCCGACTATCAGACTAATTTCGGCAATGCTTGGTTGAAGATGGCCAGCTGGGTTCAAGGCCAGTTGGGTCTGCGCGAGAAGAAACGCATCGATATCTTGAGGAACTTTGAAGGTATTGTGCACGAAGGCGAGATGTTGGTGGTGCTTGGCCGACCGGGCAGGTGAGACTTGTGTTCTCTGACTAGTGCGATGAATGGCATACTGATAGAACTTTCCAGTGGCTGTTCCACCTTCCTGCGTACCATTGCTGGTGAGACACATGGCCTGTTTTTGGCCGATGGGTCTGACATTGAATACGATGGCATCTCGTGGGACCAGATGCATGGACGCTTCCGGGGTGAGGTGATATATCAGGCAGAAACGGAGACTCACTTCCCTATGTTGACAGCTGGTGATACCCTTCTGTTTGCTGCTCAGGCACGCGCGCCGAGAAATCGCCTACCAGGAGTGACTCGCGATCAGTATTCGGAGCACATGCGAGATGTGGTGATGGCCATGCTTGGTCTCACCCACACTATGAACACCATGATTGGCAATGAGTTCATCCGCGGTGTTTCCGGGGGAGAACGCAAACGGGTCAGTATCGCAGAAACCACGCTATGCGGTAGTCCTTTGCAATGCTGGGATAACAGTACCCGTGGCTTGGATAGCTCTACTGCCCTGGAGTTTGTCAAGAATATCCGCTTGTCAACTGAATACAGTGGGTCTACCGCAGTTGTGGCCATTTATCAGGCCAGTCAGTCGATTTATGACATCTTTGATAAAGCGATCGTGCTTTACGAGGGTCGCCAGATTTACTTCGGTAAAGCGGATGATGCTCGCCGCTTCTTTATTAACATGGGCTTTGACTGTCCTGATCGGCAAACCACTGCGGACTTCTTGACCTCTCTAACCAGCCCATCCGAGCGCAGTGTTCGCGATGGCTTTGAGCATGTGGTACCTCGAACTCCCGATGAATTTGCTGCGCGTTGGAGAGACAGCCCTGAGCGCAAGCAGCTCTTGCAGGAGATTCAGGATAGTCGCGACCATCATCCGATTGGCGGAGAGAAGCAAGAGTCCTTCGATCGCTCCCGTGCGGCGGAGAAGGCAAAGGGCACTCGTGCGCAGTCCCCATACACTCTCTCCTACGTCATGCAGATCAGACTCTGTCTCTGGCGTGGGTTCCTGAGATTGAAGGGTGATATGAGCATGACCATAGCATCGGTGATAGGTAATACCATCATGGGTGTTATTATCTCGACGGTATTTTTGGACCTGCCCAATGATACCGGCAGCTTCTTCCAGCGGGGTGCCCTGCTCTTCTTTGCCATCCTGATGAATGCATTTGCCAGCTCCCTGGAGATTATGACCCTATGGCAACAGCGTCCCATTGTGGAAAAGCATTACAAGTACGCGCTATACCATCCCTCGGCGGAGGCTATCAGCTCGTACATTGTGGAATTGCCGTCTAAAGTGCTCGTCGCCATCACGTTTAACCTCATTATCTACTTCATCCCCCATCTCCGTCGTACTGCAGGCCACTTCTTTATCTTCTTCCTTTTCTCGTTTACTATCACGATGGTTATGTCCAACCTTTTTCGCACGATCGGTGCGAGTTCCCGTTCCATGGCTCAGGCTATGGTCCCATCATCAATCTTTATTATGATTCTAGTGATTTACACCGGCTTCACCATTCCTGTCAGAGACATGCACCCGTGGTTCCGTTGGCTGAATTATTTGAACCCTATTGGTGTACGGACACCTATAACCCCCTGCTTGAATCGAGAGAACACATGCTGACCTATTTAGTACGCTTTCGAGTCATTAATGATCAACGAGTTCAGTGGTCGCCGGTTCCCTTGCTCCGATTACGTGCCCGGTGGCCCTCTTTACGCGGATGCCCCTCTTAGCTCCAAGATCTGCTCGCAAAAGGGTGCCGTGGCCGGGCAAGATTTTATTGACGGTGATATTTACATCAACACCACCTTCCGCTACTTCAAGTCACACCTGTGGCGAAACTTCGGCATCCTTTGTGGATTCTACATCGGTTTCCTTATCGCCTATATCGTCTCCAGCGAGTACATTCGCGCTAAACCCTCCAAAGGCGAAATTCTAGTCTTCCCTCGTGGCAAAATACCTGCCTTTGCTAAGAAGGTTCGTCAGGATGACGATCCAGAGGAAGCAGGACAGGGAGAGAAACAGGAAATTGCTGGAGCAGCCCAATCTCTGGCGGTTCAAAGCGCAGCCCTTGCTAAGCAAACCGCCATCTTCCACTGGGAGAACGTCTGTTACGACATCAAGATCAAGGGCAAGCCGCGGCGCATCCTCGACTGTGTGGATGGATGGGTAAAGCCGGGAACACTGACGGCTCTCATGGGAGTCACTGGGGCCGGTAAAACTTCATTGCTTGACGTGCTTGCAAACCGGGTCACTATGGGTGTCATCACCGGTGACATGCTAGTCGATGGACGTCTGCGGGACGACTCATTCCAGCGCAAGACAGGCTATGTTCAGCAGCAGGATTTGCATCTGGAGACCAGCACTGTTCGCGAAGCACTCATTTTCAGCGCATGCCTTCGACAACCGCACAGCATCCCACGAGAGGAAAAGCTCGCGTATGTTGAAGAGGTCATCAGAATGCTCGAAATGGAGGCTTACGCTGAAGCGGTTGTGGGTATTCTGGGCACTGGACTGAATGTGGAACAGCGCAAGCGCCTGACCATTGGGGTGGAGCTTGCGGCCAAGCCCGATCTTCTGTTGTTCTTTGACGAGCCCACCTCGGGCCTTGACAGTCAGACGGCATGGTCGATTTGCAGCTTGATGCGGAAACTTGCCGACCATGGACAAGCCGTGTTGTGTACCATCCATCAGCCTTCTGCGATATTGATGCAACAGTTTGATCGCTTACTGTTCTTGGCTAAAGGTGGTCGTACTGTCTACTTCGGCGATCTCGGCATGAACATGGAAACGTTGATCCAATACTTTGAAAGCAAAGGGTCCATCAAGTGTCCCGAGAATGCTAACCCTGCCGAATGGATGCTTGAAGTCATTGGTGCTGCACCAGGGTCTCATGCAGACCGTGACTGGGCAGACGTCTGGACCAACAGCCCCGAGCGTGCTCAGGTGCGTCAAGAGCTGGCGGAAATGAAAGCCGAGCTGTCACAGAAGCCAGTGCCCGAAGTGATTGCTGGATACGGCGAGTTTGCTACGCCCATTTGGTACCAGTTCATGATCTGCATTCAGCGTATGTTCCAGCAGTTCTACCGTAGCCCTGGATATCTCTACTCGAAGACCGCCATGTGTGTCTTTCCGGTATGTAGTCTTCCGTGCATCGATATTATGTATGATCTCGGTGATTTTTACTGACATTTTGTCTGACCTTGTCTAGCCAATTTTCATCGGCTTTACCTTCTGGCGGATGCCCAACAGCCTCCAGGGATTGCAGAACCAGATGTTTGCCATCTTCATGCTGCTGATCATTTTCCCCAACTTGGTCCAGCAAATGATGCCGAGCTTCGTAACACAGCGCGCACTGTACGAGGTGCGCGAGCGACCGTCCAAGGCATACTCGTGGAAAGCGTTCATGCTGGCCAGTATCTTTGTGGAGCTGCCCTGGAACATTGTAATGGCGCTGCCCGTGTTCTTCTGCTGGTATTATCCGATCGGGCTGTACCGCAATCCGCCGCCGGGGGAGATGATCGGGCGGGGCGGGACCATGTTCCTGTTGATTCTCATCTTTATGATGTTTGCCTCGACCTTCGGGTCCATGATGATTGCTGGGATTGAGCAGCCGGAGACGGGCAGCAATCTGGCGCAGTTGTTGTTCTCGCTCTGCTTGGTGTTCAACGGGTAAGCCTTCCGTCCGCGGGTCCGTCGCCGACCGATGGGATCACCAGCTGCTAACATGATATCATCTCCACAGTGTCCTAGCGAGTCCGTCGGCTTTACCACGATTCTGGATCTTCATGTACCGCGTATCGCCTTTCACCTATCTCGTGTCGGCCGTGCTCTCGACTGGATTGTCGGGCGGCGAGGCCGAATGCTCCAGCATCGAGCTGCTCGCGGTCGACCCGCCCGCCGGCCAGAACTGTTCGGCCTATCTGGACCAGTATGTCGACCAGTACCAGGCCAATCTGCTGAATCCAGAGGCGACCTCCAACTGTGAAATCTGCTCCATCCGGTCTACCGATGCCTTCCTGTCGCAGCTGAGCATTCAGTTCTCTGACCACTGGCGCAATATCGGTCTGCTCTTTGTATATATAGGGTTTAATATTGTGATGGCCCTGTTCCTGTACTGGCTGGTTCGCGTGCCGAAGCGGTGGTCGCGCAAGGTGAAAGAGCAGTGATAGAAGGGGGGAGGTGAAGACAACCCAACCTTAATGGTAAGGATATGGGAATAGGGGGTCTCATAGATATATATTTAGATACAATCTTCCAATAGCCCTAATCGCTCGGAGATATAACTTGGATATTCCAGCCATTGAAAACCGCCCTCATCTGCTCCATCTGTCCGCCCCTGCGTATCCATATCCGTATCGCAGTGACGGGCCTCACCGTTCCCGCACAATGTTCCCGAGCTGCTCGGTGCGGCTTAGGGCGGCCGATCGAGGGTCGCTTCGAGGCCCGCGTGGCACAGGTTGGCCCCGGCGGCGGGGCCTGACTCCGGTAGGTCTGGAGGGTGCAATGGGATACCCTGTGGTTTAGGCGGCGACTAGGGGCTGTTAGGGCGGGTTCAGCCAGATTCCCGCCATGCGCCACCAAGGGGAAGGAGGATAGCGCCCGGAAAACTGGGGCTGCGTTGGGGTCCAAAGCTAGATTGATGCCATTGGCGCCATTGGTTCGCGGCCCCACCGCTCGATATCGTCGAGAGTGCGAGCACCGGAATAATACTGGCCAGTCACTGCATAGCCCTATGCCTGTCTTCAATCGGCCACGCCGTGTTCCGTCCTTTCATGCACCGCCATCCCCCGACACCCCCCGGTCACTTGTCCTTATGCGTGATGGTTCCAGCATAGTCCGTCATCATCCCTTCGGACCGCTGTATACGCTCCCAGCAATGGTCCAGGGCCCCCCACCCCATGCGGCTTGATGCAGTCCCAAGCTACATGAATCTTGTCAGCTCTGGCAACTGCTTGAACTGGCCTATCCACGAATCCAGACGTCCGCCATTCCCCGTTCGCCGTGCTACCCTCAAGACCCATGCCTCCCTGGCTCAACGTGAGGCTTGTTGAGGCTCATGGCCCGCCCCGCAGATCCACCTCTGCCCTGGTGGATGGGCCGTTCAGTGGATGGGCATGCTTCCATCCTGGCACACCACAGCCGGGGCCCAGCGTTCTGGTTCTGGATGGAGCTCGTCCCGCGAGTCGATGCCCAGCAGGTTATTTGAAATCCGATTATTTATACCCATTTTCTCCTCCCTGTCGTGCCCTGATTCCCTTTTGCTACTCGATACAGTTCTGGTTCCTGGTTTCCGTTTTGATTTCTTTGACTCTCTTTCCTTGTGTCCTCCCTCTCTTTCCCCCCCGATCGACGATTCGATTATACTTCACCCGGTACCGGTGACCATGGCCTCCTACCCCCCCTTCACCGAGGTCCCCCACCTGATCCCCATGTCGGGAGTCTCCGGCCCTACGTGCGACGCCTTTGATCCCTCCTTGCCTACCGACTACCCTTTTGTGACGCGTGCATCGCAGTTCCAATTCCAACTCAGCTCTCCATATGATCCGACCAAGGCCCACGATGCCGGGCCCACGTCCTGGGGCAAAGGGGAAGCGGACCCGTCTTGGGTGGCCATGGGCTACATGGCCCCTGGGTTCCCAGCATATGCCGATCACTTCTCGCCGTGGAACAGTGGGGTCTCGACGGTTTCAGACCCGCAGAGCCCGCGGAGTAGCAATTGCATCCGGTCCCCTTCATACTTCCATGATGAGCTTCCGATGCCCGTCGATGAGCAGGCGGGCTATCCTACTCCCGACAGTCGATTCGGCATCGACCACTCGCTTTCCCAATCCCGCGGTTTCGAGGTCCAGCCAGATCCGCGGTCATCGTTGGAGGCCGATTTTGACCCCTGGTCCGGGAGCCAGTCAGACCATAATGGGACGCCTGAACAGCAATGGTCGTCTCCGCTTCCTGCAGACGCTATGGCATTCCCTCAATCTCTCAGACGGTCCCCAGTCCATCCAGCTTCCAGCACGCGTGTCCGCAAGCCAGCAGAGCGCCGACCAACCTCCACCTCCGGTCGCAGCCGCCGTCGGCGCGGCGTGACCAGCCCCAGCCACGGCGACGGATCGCACCGATTCTTCGTCTGCAGCTTTGCCCCCTACGGGTGTGAAAGCACCTTCGTCTCCAAAAATGAGTGGAAGCGGCACGTCACCTCCCAGCACCTCCAACTCGGCTTCTACCGCTGCGACGTAGGCAAATGCAGTGTCCACAGCCACCCTCATCCATGCCGCCCGGGTCTGACGCCCTCCTCTACATCGCCCACCTCCCGCCCGTCCACCCCCCCGCCAGGTCAGCCCAATGACTTCAACCGCAAAGACCTCTTCACCCAGCACCAGCGGCGCATGCACGTGCCCTGGTTGCATTCCGGCCGGCGACGCACCCCCACCGATGCCGAGCACGCCGCCTTCGAGGCGGACCTGGAAGACGTCCGCCGACGCTGCTGGCACCGTCTCCGGACCATGCCGCAGCAGAGCCACTGCGGCTTCTGCCGCGAGGCTTTCTCCGGGGAGGGAAGCTGGGATGTGCGCATGGAGCATGTTGGGCGCCACTTTGAGCGCGAGGACCGGCAGGCGCTCGGGGAGGAGGTGGAGGATGTGGCATTACGCGAGTGGGGGCTCCGCGAGGGGATTTTGACACTGGCTGATGCGGGACGCTGCCGATTGGCGTCATTGGTGGAGGTTGATTCATAAGACTTCGGGGCTGACGGGGCCGTCGAGGCTGTCGAGGCCGTCGGGCTTTAAGCTTTTCCTTCCTCTGGCTGGTGGCTGACTTGGAGGCCATTCGGGGGGGAATCATTGGCAACTAGACTGGCGCGGCGTTGGTATTTTGCTTCGGGGGGCAGATTTTGGGTTTGGGCGGAGTTTGGACGTTGGTTACTTTGACCTGCGTGGTCTTGAGCGGTCGGTCTCTTGGTTGGATCTGCATAATCCTTTCGTTCTTGTATGCTTTATTCCGACTGGGGAAGGGCAACTACTGTGTATACCCCCATGAGTCGGTGCCTGCTTCTCCTGACCATGAAGCAGTGCCGCACGCCCTGCATATACTACACTTAATCACCAAGCCCATCTGTTGCAGGGTGTCTAGAATTCACGCTCTATTCATGTCCATCTCGAAAAGCTTCAGAGTCGACGTTGCGTCACATTCGTGGCGCGTCAGATTTGGCAAAGCCCCAAGCGCAGCCAGGGATGGACTAGCCCCCTCACCGTTCTTATCCGTGCCAGCAGAGCGACGGTCTCCATCTTTAGGGCGCAGTCCCGGTCCCGTCCATGTTCGTGTCCATGTCCAGGGTGTGACTCAGCTTCCACCCTGTTTGCCCCAACTAGCAGGGTCGCACTGAGTCAAGAATCCGCTCATCTCCCGCGCACCAACTACAGCTGTGGACCAAGCCTTAGCACAAGGCTGATCTCGGAATTCCCGATAATCAGATCCCCCTCAATACCCCGAAGTATATCAATGAGCATCCTTTGCCGGGCCAACCCATGGTTCAACCTATTCAACATGGTGTCCGCACGGGGACGTCGAAAGCGTTGTCGGACTCGACTGGAACCCGTCCGTCCGGTCCGAGCCCTGGATTCGAGAACCATGGAAACAGACAGGGAGAGTACCGTGCACCGCCCGCAAACTTAATCTCTAACGATAAACTACAAATTCACCGGCCGAAAGGTCCCCGGTCCCCGGCCACCAATGGCGTATCGTTGCATATTTTTGATAGCCGGCCATTGCCAAGCAGAATCGCGTCAGAAGAGCAAATCCGACGAGCTCGTCCGATTCTGGCCGTGCTGTGACCCATCGTAGCCTTACCACGCCCAAGCTGAAAACGCCGGCAGCCATCGCGTGAACCAAGGTCTTTGGCACCTACCGCCAATCGTATACTCATCCCCCGTCCGAGAAGGACTTAGTGTCGCGGGCATGGTGTTTCGGGGACCTCAGCTGGATCTGATGGAACAGCTGGTCGCCGTTTTCATTCTATTGTGCCGGGCTGGACTGGACTGGACTGGACTGAACTGCAGCCTGTCATCCCGCTTTGTTCTGGATCCACCGCGGGGATGAGTCGACCAACCGTTCGCAATTGGGATCCGTCGAGAATCTCACACATGTGGAATTCACTAGCGCTGGTCGCAGGGAATTCTCGGGGGGCATGCTTGACTGGTTCCTGGGGTCGCCTTCCCTGTTCGCCGGCCCCGGTTCGAGCCCGGAGGCTGCACGGGTCTCACGATGCCCATGGCGCTATGACTCCATGCACGGCCGTGAAACGTGGGTGCCTCTGGTGATAGCTCAACGTCACTTGCAGGGTCTTGCATCTGGACGACGTGGTGGTGGGACGATGCCGGAGTCGGGATTTGGCTCCCATCAACGCTATTTTCCACTGGGAACCGCCCAGATTGAGTTTTAATGGTTTTTTTTTTCTTTTGGCAAGGGGAGCGCAGGGGATCTTTGGCATTGCATTACAATGCCAAGACACTAGGGGGAAAATACCAAAGAAGAAAAAGCGAATCCCAAAGATGAATAATATGGTAGAATGGATGAGACGAGAGGGGGGACCAAAAAGAACAAGAAAAGCACGTCCTACGGCAATGTCCAAGGTAAAAAGGGCCCTTGGCAAAAGAGCTCCGATGTCCAGATCTCCCGATCTCGATCCGCCGTCATAGCCGCCCACCACGGCATATCCCACCATCTCCTGGCTTCTAAACACGATAAAGGCATCGACCGTGCAGACAGCCTCCAGTTCCCCACCGCCACAAGGGATGCGTATCAGCGAGGCGGTCCCCGTGTAGGTTACCCGTTACGGATGGCTAGAAGCCATGAAAATGGGCCGACGTCTGACTGGAAATCTGGGGAGATCTCAACCGTTCGAGCACGCATCTGGGGGGAGATGATGGGCTCTGCCGCTCCAAGAACCCTGGGGAAGTGTTGAACAGTTCATGCAGACCCATTTGCCGAGCCCTATATCAGCCCTATGGTTCCCCGTGGTGCCGCGATGCTAGCGCCAGAAGTTCGAAGATCCGCATTAACGGGACTCCGTCGTGCCTGACCTTCTTTTTCCCCCACGGCTGCTTCTCTCGACGCGTCGCCCGGCTCAGAATCGAGCTGGGCGTCAACTGCATTGACTGGGTTGAGGAGAAAAGACTTAAAAATTGGGTGACCCGGGTAATCTTCGTTGGCCCCACGGACAGCAGCTTACCAGCTTACCAGCTTACCATCGATAATCCATCATCACCGCCAGCGTCTGCCTGTCCTCTACGGAGTACTCCGTACATCGTCTCGGGCAGGTGCCTCGGGTAGTCGGCCGAACTGTCCCGATGTGGCACTCGGCCCCGACTCCTCGGACTCGGCGCACTCGGGCTTTCCACACTTTCCACACTTTCCACACTTTCCACACTTTCCACGCCATGTCGGACTCAACTGCTGCACGAGACGATGCACAGGATAGCCGTAGAGTACCAGACCGGCTCGCTGAGGAAGACCTTCAATTCCCCCGTAGGCCAAGATGGCCAAGACTGCGGCCATAATGTCAATGCCCCAAGTCCAAGCGGAGGAGGCCACACCAGGTTCGGTAAATTGAAAGCTCGCGGGCTGGAGATGCTCATATCAACGTCGACCCACTTATCAACTGGATTCGCATACAACGTTAAAGCCGATGACGACATGAACACTCTGTCATTCTAGCATTTCAGATTTAAGCAGTCACTCCCATGTCCCCCTGATCTTGACCACTCCGTGATTCCCCTCGGCATCATCTTCCACTCGTCCCCTCCCATTCCAGCCAAGTAAAGCCCAAATTGCCACAATGGACCAGTCCATGCGCGACACATTCGCGAAGCGTGCCGTGCAACTGCGCGAGTACATCTTCTCGCAACCAACCCACCAGTTCAAGAATAACCCCTGGGCCGTCGCCCATGCCATTGATGAATTCGCCGAGACGCATGGCCACATGATGATCTTCAATGAGAAAAAGCTCCAAGTCGCTCAGGCCCAGCTCGCGGCACAACAGCCCGCGCCACGCACCATTCTGGAGTTTGGCGCGTTCGTGGGGAAATCGGCCATTGCCTGGGGCGCGATTCTCCGCGACATCTATGGCGAGAAGGTCCCCGAGGACGTCCACGTCTACACCTTTGAGCTGGACCCGCAGATGGTCTTGTTGGCGCGGGAGTTGATCCAACTCGCCGGCATTCATGATCTGGTGCATGTCCTCGAAGGGCCCGCGTCCGAGTCGCTGCAGAAACTGCACCGCGAGGGCAAGGTGAGCAGTGTGGACATGGCATTCTTCGACCACTGGGAGAAATACTATCTCCCGGATCTGCAATTGATTGAAGACCTGAACCTATTTCGCACTGGGTCTCTGGCCATCGCGGATAATACCGATTTCCCGGGCGCGCCGGATTATTTGAAGTATGTGAAGGCGGGTGGCAAGGGGACTGCTGGATCGGTCAAATATGAGAGTCGGTCATTTGAGACGGAGAGTCGGCCGGGGAAGCCGGTGAGTTTGTTCTCTCCTCTGGTCATGGCACCCCCAATTGATTCTTGGCTGATGTGGTGTGGCAGAGTGTGGTGGAAGTCAGCACGGTGGTGGCTACGGAGTAACCTGCCTGTCTAGGGCCGTACTGGTCAGGGAATGTCTGGGGGTTCTGGATGTTGTTGAGTCTATCTCGGGCTTGCCCTTATGAATGAATGCAAATTCCACACTATAAAAGTCACGATTCCTTCTCATGTCGCTCCTAGTTGCACGTCACTTCAAAACAACGGTAGACGGGAAAGCAATGGTCAACAGACACGGTATGTATACAAAAATAGGAGCATTATCCGTTCTAAACCGTCTCGGTGGTTTAGACAGCGTTGGACGCAATCTAGACTCAATCAACCCGCATCTAATGAGATAGATAGGTAGACAAGATTCGAGGATTTGAGATTCTATGTATATGATGACGAGGTATATGTTTATATTTTCCCCCTCCAGAGCCGCAGTGGCGGACAAGTCCTGCCGCCATACCAAATATTCCGGCTGCCTATCTATAGGTAGGACCCCCAATACCTAAACATATTGGCGATAAATCTCAACATCCAACGTTGAGAACGTGATGGCCGGACTGGTGCACCCTCTATAATGCCAACACCCCCGCCGCGCGCTTCCGCGGCCGTGATTGGCATCCACTCCCCGTCGGCCCATGAATCCGCACTAGCGCCGCACCGAATAAACGCCTGGAATCCCCGCGACTCCGGACCAGCTCGTGCCCCGATTCCTAAACCGAACCCTCACCATGGGGATTTGAGCTGCAATTGCCCCCCCTCCTCCCTTCTCGTCACCCGCTCGCCACCATCTGCGAGGCATGCTGCAGGCGCAGTAGAGCCCCTTTCTTCCTCGGCCACGTTGTCCGGACCGCGGTCACCCTCGATTTCCGCCCATCATGTGTGTTCCACCCGCCCTGCAACCTCGAATGCGCAGCTAACATGCCTTCCCCCACCAGGACCGTCTTCTCCCTGATCATCATCAACAAGGCGGGCGGTCTGATCTACCAGCGCGAGTACCAGCCCGGCCTTCACACTCTCTCCACCAATGACTACCTCGTCCTCGCCGGTACCTTTCACGGGTATGACCTCCGCGAAACCCACCTCCAACCCCCCCCCCCCCTGTGGGAGCGCTGAACGCAGTCGTGGGATTTGTCGCTAAATGATAACGGTGAACCAGTGTCCACGCCATCACCCGCTCCATCACGCCCAAGCTCCCTCTCGCCCAAACCTCCGCCGTCTCCTCTCCCGGCAGCACACCCGTGGGATTCAGCTTTCCCAACCCCGGTGTTCCCCCGACAGGCCTGGAACAACTCGAGACCGACAAGTTCCGATTGACATGCTTCCAGACGCTGACGGGGACCAAGTTCCTGCTCTTCACCGACCCCATGACCGGTAACGTGGAGGCGATCATGAACAAGATCTACGAGCTGTACGCCGACTACGTGATGAAGAACCCGTTCTACCAGCTCGAGATGCCTGTGCGCTGTGAGGCGTTCGACCGACATCTGGGCGCCTGGCTGCGAGGAAGGACGTGAGTCCGTGGAATGGCGATAGTATTGCTAGGCCCGGAAGAGGGGACTGGATCCTGTGATGACCCGTAACGAACTAGACATTCTTCTTTTGCTGTTGTCTTCTCTTATTGTTTACTGTACTCGGAGCTGGGCGATCAAACCTCCCCGGCTTGTGCATAATGCCAATCGCATCAAAAATTCCGCGTTTCCTTTCAAACCCCCCTACCCCCTACCCCCTTCCCCGTAGACAGTGTCGGTCTACCTATGAGACACATGGCGAGGAGGAGAGTGGCTTTCGAGTATACAGGCACAGGCACAGGCACAGGCACAGGAACAGGAACATAAAAAAAGCAGAAGCAAACGCCGGGTATGCATCACAGATCGTTTCCACAGGGAGCGAAATTTCTACGCAGTGTCCATCTTGTCGTCATCCTTCTTGTCACCGCTCGACTCGCCGTGGCCCTCTTCGGGAATATTGCCCAGCTCGGTCTTGCCCTCGGCAGCCTCCTGCTCGCGCTTTTCCTTCTCCTGCCGGTTCTTCTCTTCCTCCAAGGATAACCGCAGAGCGAATGCCAGCTCGGGATCGTTTTCGGCGGCATCCTCGAAGTTAAATCCACCGGCATCCTCGCCACCACCGCCACCGGACGCACCACCGGCGCCAGCATCCTCGCCCGCCAGGATTGGGGTCGCCTGGAGCTCTTCGCTAAGCAGATGAGGTCCAGGCGGGATGATCGCAAGGTAGGAGCTGTCGCCGCTGCTCACATTATCCACAAAGGCCTCCAGCTTCTTGGTCTGATCGGACTCCAGGTCACCGAACGCCACCACATCGATAGCGACGTTGTTCTTCTTCATCTTCTTGGCCAGCTTGACCAGGGTCTTCTCATCTTCTGCGATTGGGGAGCACGAGAACACGATGATTCGTTGCCGTTGGGACTTCTCGGATCGGTGCTTCAGGGCCAACTAAAACATAGCTCAGTCAGTGATTGGAAGTAATCGACCATCTCTCGGAGGAACTGCCCACTTACACCGGCAACCTGGATGCTGGAGCTCAGATGCGACGTGCCATGGATTTTCGTGTTATGCAGACCAGCAAGAATGCTGCCGAAATCCGTGGTGAAGGTGGATAGCACCTCGGGGCCCGTGCCGCCCATGCTCATAAGACCGACAGCCGACTGTGGGTGTGCGCGCATCTTGACGCTGTGGATGATGCTGACGGCATCCACTTGAGCTTGCCACCGGGTTGATCTGCGGGCTCCAGACGTTAGCCGATGCCGAAGATGGCGAGATGACGGGGATCTCACGTGTAGTCTCCATTGCGACTGCTTTCGCTGTTGTCGACACTGCATGGGAGGGTTAGCGACAATCCAAGCACAGATGGGGTATCATGACGAACATGATCATCGTAGCTTCCAGCGACATGATGGCAGTATATGACGAGAAGGAATGGGAAAGGGGTATTGAGGGGGATTGAAAGAGACAGGCAAGGTCCAGGGACGGCGGTGATGACGATGAGGTGAAGCTCTGGATTCTGCCGGGTGCCTCCGCCCGCGACGTTGTTTGTTGTGGCTCTCCGCGCCTCCACACTACTCGACTCTCTTGTTCACTTGGTCTCAAATTCTCGACTCTTATTCCCCACCATGGCTACTTTAAAACGAAAGGCCCCTGAATTTGCTGATGCGCTGGATGCTACGCCTACGGGCAGACCGGCTAAGAAGCTGCGTCTGACTCAGGGCCAAAAGCAGGCGCTGATTGACAACCTCCAGCTCGAAAGTACGTGGGTAGAGAGGGGTTGGTGGGTGACATAACAGTGCTGACAGGCCATAGTCACCGAGCGCGCTCGCAAGCTTCGCGCCCAGTATGCACTTCAAGCAAATGACCTTCGTGCCCGCATCGAACGACGCGTCAACCGTATCCCCATCTCTCTTCGCAAGGTCAACATGGGCGAGCTCTTCGAGAAGCACTCGGCTCCGACCCAAGCGACGTCACCCATACGCAGAATATCTCCAGCAAAGGTCTCGCGCGCACCCATCTCCATTGACCAAGCCCTTTCACCATCCGGCACACGCGACGGCCGGAACCGACGTACCAGGCACAGCTCTCTTTACTTCCCTGGCCCGTCGAGGCTATACACTGACATAGTTGCAGCAACGATGGCCACTACTCGGACAAGGAGAACGCACCGGCTGCTGGCACTCCCGAAGGGCTCAAGAACCCTAAGCGCCGGGGCAAAGCACCTGCTGCGGGTGGCGCATCACGCGTCGTTTCCCAGGAAGTGCGTGGCCACGACCACCGGATTCTCTCCCCCAAGTCCCTGAACTCCCGAACTTACCCGCAATCGCCCTTCCGTACTTCCCCTGAGAAAGGGCAGCCGTCTTACCTGTCCCGACCGACCTCTCCACTAAAGCCCTCTAGCCCTTTGCGCGCCGCTGGCCCTGGCTCTCGACCGCGCGGTGCTACGGTGTCTACCGTCAGAGACAACCAGCCGACTACGCACGCCAAGAAGACTACAGCTCGCTCCGCGACCGGCCCCAGGGCTGTCAGGTCCCCTCTTCCGCGCCCGGCCACTCGTCAGGGCGAACGCAAAAACAGCTTCTCATCTACCGCGTCTTCAGGCACTACTACCGTGACGAAGCCCACTCGCACTGGTACCGGTGCCCGGAAGGCCACAGCTGGAACCACCGCGGCCACAAAGAAACCCACTGTTCCTCGGGCGCAGGCCGCTTCGCTTGCTGTGAAGAAGACTGCTACTGCTGCTACTGCGTCCACTGTGAGGAAGACCACCGCCCCGGCATCCACGGCCGAGGCCTCTACTCGCGGGACGAGGGCACTGCGGAAGCGTGTATAGAAGGGGTACATGCATCGACATGGCACCCCATATTGATTTGAGGTGCCTTGGTGTTTTTGGTTCAACTTGCTGTTGATTTTTGAGCGTGGAGTATCGCCAATCAAAGGCACAGACTGTTTTTAGTATCCGTGGCGCATTGTGGTCCTCCTTTGCCGAGGCTTTCTAGGTTGGGATCATAATAGGTGTTTGCGTCGATTTCATGTCTTGTTTTGTCCCCGGAAGTCACTTTGGTACTTTTTGAGTTTTCTGCCATCTAGGCTATGTTTATGCCTTGACCACAACACATATTTTCTTGCTGAGAGAGATGGATGAGGGGTTGAAGAATGTGAAGTCGATTCTGAATTGCGAGGGAGCTGCATGAAATATATAATACCTGGTTAGGCCGAGGCCAAAATCGGCGCGAGTATAAACGGGCCCACAAAGGCAAGCCATCTAGGTACCTAGGACATTCAGAAAACTTCTAAGGAGATCGGTTGAAAATTGAATTATCATGCAAACAACCCACAGAGAATAAGTAACAGCTACATTTAAACTCAAGACTTGGCACAGGTATCATTGGTTGCAATCATGCTGATTAGAGCAACATCTGAAGGGAAGAAAAAAGGGAATTCAAAGGAGGACCGAATGCATCAATCACCAGATCTCGGAAGAGAAAAGTAAGAATCGGAAGCACGCAAGAAGACAATGGACCAAGGTAAACCCGGAGCCTGGTCCAAGAGAGAAGAAGAAAAGTAAGGAAAAGAATAAAGTAAGGAAAAGAGCATAGACTTTAGAGAGACACGCTCATAGTGAGCGAAAGCAGAAAGGAACATACACGGTTCCGCAGGAGTGCCTAGGTAGATATGGATGGGTATGGAAGAAAAAGAAATGAAAAGCGAAAAGTGGCGTAGTAGGCTCGGCACTGCAGCACCCACAAACCTGATAACGAAGATGGGGGGAGAAGTGGAATAGAGGGTAGGTACACCAAAGGCATCGCGACCGACGAGGAATGATGATTTCACTTTTGGGTGAGAATTTTGGGTAATGCAGAATGGGGAAATGAGACAACTCCGTCAGCCAAACCTGTCAGTCGAGACGAGATGAATGGGCGTAGGACAAGGTAATGATAGAAGAAAATAGTGAATAGAAACATAAAACGCTCAACACGCCCCCAGAGAGATGAAAGAGGAAGTACACTTTGGGCTGTCACAGATGGCGCCAAGTCGTGTGATGCAAATGTAGTCATCAAGGGAAAGGTGTATCCATCACAGCTTTGTAGATAGATAAACGAATAAGACGAACAGATCTAGCCGGTGACGCCCATTGCGCCGGGACTGGGCCGTGGACGGTAAGCAAGGCCTTGTTGGCCTTCTGAAGCACCACTACCGTTACTGGTACTGCGTTCACGGTGATAGGCAGCTTGCGGGGGTCCGAAGTCCAGTCCAGCTTGAGGCTGGGCACTTGACGAGAGAGAGTTGCCACTAGGCCCCGGAACATGGCGAACCGAGCTCTGCATTTGCCAGGCAGCATCCTGAGAAGGGTCTGTTTCAATACGGGCTGAAGTCGGGGTGCTTTGGGTTCGGGAATTGTTGATGGTGAAAGTCTCCCCGCCGTTATCGGGCCTCGTTGAGAAGCTGCCTCTGGCAATATCACCGTATCGCTTCAGGATGTCTTTGGAGGTCACTTCAGAATTCTCTTTGAAAAGAGTAGGGTCACTCAGAATGGATTGCAAGTCCTCGGGAATCTAATACACAAGGTTAGGCCATATTATTCATCATGGATCCGAGGGGATTACTACTTACCTCGCACATAGTATCATTATATGTGATAAGCGCATTGACTGCCTCAATTGCCAGGAAACTCTCGTCCACGGTGCTGTTCTTGGTATTAGGGTATAGAATGTTCGGCGTCATGACAGTAGCCAGGTTGTGAATGTCCATCTTGCTGCCAGACTCTTCATCAATATGCGAGAAGGACGATGTCCAGTTCAAGAAGGTCAACAGAACTTCCATCGTGTCACGATGGGCCTTGGGGAGGAGACAGCAGGCCAAATGCAACACTCGCTTCTGCTTCTCGGGATCGGAGAGTTCTGTCACATCTGTTAGCTTGTTCATTCCCACAACCAGGGTAGACACCTGGACTTACTCTGCGCTGCAACGAAGAGGCGGTGCAGTTTGAATGTCATCAGCGGATCAGGCATTTCGCGCAGGAACTTCTTCAAGAGCGCTGCAATTTGCACTGGACCCTCCTTTGTCATGTCAACCTGGTCGTACTTGGTGTCGATCAACTCCGCGAGATCCTTCAAACGCCGGATGTTGCCATTCTTCCGGAAGACGCCCTCAACCGACATGTCCATTTGACGCATGGCGGAGACAGCATCGTCCACAAGTGCCGGAATCCGCAGGGCACCAGGGCCAACACCATGACTGGACTCAGTACCCTCCTTCTCCACTAAGTAATCCAATGACACGCCAAAGATTCCCTTCTTCTTGCCCTTCTTCTTTTCATCCTTGAAGGCGCGGCCGAAGATGTTCCAGATGGTCGGCTTTCGGGACTCGATCAGCGACAGCAACTCCTCCATACTGAACTGTCCGTCTAACAACGGCTCCATAGACAGCACAGCAACATGGCGGACGATGAAGTACTCCAAAGCAGTAAGTTCAGAGAAATAGCGCTTATTACGAGTTGAAGAGTCCACAAGCATATCCAACTGATTCTTTGACAGTTCGCGTGCATGACCTGATCTGTAAGTGGGCATTCCTTCCATGGTTCCCACAAGCTTAGTACCGGCATGTCGGTATGCGTTGGGGCGCTGCTCCTTGGCTTGTTCGGCCGCGACAATGCGCGGGATATCGTCCAAAGTAAGGGCATCCTGGGCACCGAAGGTCAGATCCTTGACGGTCTCGCCGTTGGCATCACGCTCTTCGACGATCTGGAAGCCGGGACCACGAGGGTCACTGCCATCATTGCCAGACGAGCCTGGTCGTACACTTCGACCCTCCGGGCCATCGATGATTCGGGATGCACGGGCTTTCTTATATGTGGTGGACAGAGTGCGCTCATTGCGAATAGAACGCAGGCGACGCATTTCGCCTACAGTCTGCTCCAGAGACGATTCTTCAAAGCCATCACGGGCACCGCTATAAGACTGAGAGCGCGTGTTGGACCGGCGAACATCACCGGGTTGCACGCGATATGCATTCTTGTTGTCATATCCTTCAAGGTTGGGATCATCTAAATCAGGGCACGAAAAGTTAGAGACCGCAAGTGTGGCTGCATCCGTTGATAAGGAAAGGCTTAGAAGGCTTACCTGATGAATGAGGGAGAGTTCCGCCAGCGCGAAGAACAGCCAGAAGACGTGCCAGAGCAACTCTGAGTAGGAAAACAAACTGCTGCAACTTGGAAACCTGAATGTAGCCAGCCTGCGCGTTCGGACCGAGGTCATGGTCGTTAGCACAGGCCGCGCAGTACGTGCGCTTTTCGCTCTCATTCCACAATGCGTCGGACAAATCCATAGTCAGGTCCTTTTCACATGAGGAACATGACAGATGAGGGGGTTTCAGGTGCCAGCGGTTCTCTCCCAGGCGGACACATTCATCGTCAATAGGCTCCTTGCACGAAATACAGCAATCAGAAAGCTGGTCAGCGAGGCCTTCGACGCCGGAATTCAGATCAATTGGCGTATTTTCGTCTTCCGGTGGCGCAAGGGATTCTTGGTCGGCAAGGTGCGTGAGGAAGTTGTTCAGACCGTCAGGTGCCGATTTCTCTCGCTCGAGCTTCAGGGCACCCTGGAGACCGATACGAATGAGAAGCTTGAGGTAATGAGCAAGGCCTGTTACCAACGAGAGCAGTTCCTGGGTAACACCAAGTTTGCGAACCCCAGTCTCTTGAGTTTTGGACAAAAGGGCGAAAAAGGCAACAATCTTCTTGCAAAGCAGTTTGGCTTCTCGACCATATGATAGTTCTGAAAATAAGCATGTTAGCCAAAAACAGGGACAGCCGAACAAGGTTCTTCATCAAACCCACCCTTTACGCCATGAGATTTGATGTACACCGCCAGTTCATCGACTGCGGCAAAGAGGATTTCCACGTGGGCAATGAATCGCTTGGCCACTAGGACACCGTCAATATAAGCCCCATTGCTAACGTGGAGCAGCATGTCAGAGATGCACGCGGCGGAGGATTCTTCAAAGGTGGAGAGCGTGCTCCAAATATTGTAGACCTTCTCTTCCATTGAGTCCTCCTCCTTGCGAATGCTTTCGCGCTCCTCGGGGGGTGGCATCGGCGTCCGCTGGAGGCGGCTCCCACGTTTGGCCAGCGGGCGATAATCGAACATTCCAAAACTTGTGAATCATGTAACACTCCGGGTGCCAATGCTGGTTTTGTCCATTGCGGAAGATCTCGACAAACTGCTTAAGGATCGCAGTATGGCATCCATGGCAACGCTGTGCGAACTGAGTGGAGTAATGGAAGTGGCAGTAGACCTTGCCCTCGTGCTCGTAGTAGGAGTCTTGGGCCCCGAAGACTGTCGGACACACCGAGCAGGTAAAATGTTCGATATGGTACTTGCGATCCAAGGCTGTAATATAGGACCCACGGAGGGCGCCACCGCATTCGTGGCAAAGAAGGTTCAGCCGTCGGAAGTAATCAGTCTCGCAAAGCGGAAATTGGCTGGAGCCGTCCTCTGAGTCGACGGGAAAAAACTTGGAAGCGACAATCTCACCACAGTCCTACAGTGTAGTGATGTCAGTCCAAAATTGCTTCTTGGCCGAAAGGGTACAGAGAAGAGGGAAGGCTGTTCCTTCCACATATCACTTACCTCGCATCTGAAACATTCCAGATGAAATGTGCCACCCAGCGCGCGGACAAATTGGCCAGTCAGGGGTTCATTGCACTTCTGACACAGACGCGACGAGCCTGGAGACTTGTTATGGGGTCGTCCATTGGGGCGCGATCGATCCCGAACATTGGAGCGGTCCCGGAATCCAGGTTGCTCAGGCTCCAGGCCGCGAGGAGAGCGGTCATCCTGACTGAGGGGGCTGTGGTTTCCGGCAGTTCGAGTGGAGGGTGAATCGAATGGGATCAGACTGTCCTCGGGGGAGGTAGGTGTATTTTTTGTGTAGCTGCTTCCGTAGCCCGATGTGTTGACGGTGGGCGTGGGCTTGCCTGCGACCAGGCTGGCCGGGAGCTCACCGGGGGGCATGATGGTCCCCCGTCACAGATGAATGATATCGAGTCGTTACGTGGAAGACGTCAAGTGAGTAGGAAACCGGTGACGGTCAAGACGGGGGGAGGTTGTGTTGATGCCTGGATAAATACAGCCGGGGAGGGTGTGTTTGAAAGGACCAGGCGCGTTCTATTGACAGCCCGAGTGGTTGGTTAGAACAGGCATCTTCTCGGGGTTAGGCGAGGGGTGGACCTCAAGTCCAGGGTCCAGCAACTCTCACTTACCCTCACGCCATGTAGGTCGGGAGAAGTCGACGGAGATAGCGGGATAAAGGAGTGACGAGACGCGAAACAGACCGGATCACGCGTGAAGATTGGTATACACAGAGTTGGAGCCGAGGAAGAAGGCACCTAAGCGCGCACAAGTCGGGACGAGGACGCGGGGATGGTGGAGGTTGGGAGCTTGGGAGAGGAGCCGAGCGCAAGCGACCGAAGCCACAACCATGGGGGGACGGAACCGCGAGATAGGGCTGACAAGGGATGGGAAGGCCCGGAAGGATTGGAGATGAACAGAATACGGTCGAGGTCGGGTCGCAGGAGGGGAGACAAAAGAGGTGGGCTGGGGGGGGGAAGGAATGAAGATGGAGAAGGTTTGGGTCGGGCATTTGTTGCCCCCCCTAATTAGCGGGCATACACTCCAACCTCCAACCGCCTACCAACACACTCAAAGACCGCACCCACTCGCCCTGACTGGGGTCACGTGCCACCACACCGCCCCGATCGTTCACCTACCGTAAGAATTATCCGCACCGCGTTCTATTCTTATACTCCATTCACTCGGCTACTTGTCCTTTTTCTCCTTCTGCAATATTATTCACTGATGCAGTTCATGTCCCTAGTGGAAGACAATTTCACCCCTCCAAAATCTTCACGAGCCCTTGAAACCCCCCAGCGGTTATAGCTGGCCCCGCCCGAACCATCCCAGCACTCCCGTGGCTCCCGCCGTTACGCCTTTTTTAGCATCAGTTTCACCGCGGCACTGTGGTTTCAACCGCTACAGAACTACCGTGCACAGGCCAGAATTCTACCACCGGCAGGCGCATGCCTGATTCTCTACGCCGTAGTCTACAAACGCTGCGATCGGGGGTCTAATTTATTCCGTTGGCGAGGGCCCACTAGCCAGCCACGATCCACTGCCGCCCCGATATCCTAAGGGTCATAGCAAACTATAAATACACGCTAGGCGGGCAACAAGGCGGCTCCCTGTCTGGACCCCGGACTCCCCAGGACTAGTAGGCCTCATGGTTGACAGCACCACCACGTCAATGGAATGTGCTTTCGTAGTTAGGTGGTCGTTTGATTACTAAGATAAAGTCTCTAAACGTGGTATATGCGAATACGAAAGCGCTGCAAGAAAGGTAATCCTGAGCTCCGCAAGTGTAAAAGTCCTGGGATAACCGCGAACCTCATTGATGATCGGGTTGTTTGCAAGTCTGGAGGACTGCCGTTACCTCAACCGCACCTCGAATGGCCGCGCCCTTTGTTTCCTTTCCACCCCCCGTCCCTTTTGGAACCTTCCCTCTCCGACCTAGTCTTCAATCAACCTAGCCATCACTTCTCGACCATTCACACTCCGTAGGGTGCGCCGGCCTGCAAAATGGCAGACCAGTGTGCCCTCCGCGTCATGCGCGTAAGTGGATCAGCGACGCCGACTTCTCTTACGAAGGCGCGACTAATGAGTCCCAATCCAGGAGCTGCGACAGCTCGACAAGAGTGACCAACTGGGTACGCAATGATCCCAAGCTTGATATGCAACAGCCGACGTGTTAACGTGAAGCGCAGCGATGACCGTCATCTACAAGGAGAGCAATATCCGCGAGATCACCGCGCTCCTCATTGGACCTCCGGGCACCCCCTATGCGCTCGGATTCTATCAGGTATGTTTCTGTGATGGCAGGGGATTTCTGAGAGTCTAATCAGACTGTCGGTTGCTAGTTCTCGATCAGCGTCCCTCCCGGTGAGTACAGGCTTGTCAAAAGTCCCGTAACAGACAACAGGAGATCGCTGATATTGGACCTGAAGACTACCCCGCCAAACCACCCAATGTCCTCATTAGAACCACCAACCGGGGAAGGACTCGCTTTGGCCCAAATCTCTACGGGGGCGGAAAGGTCTGTCTGTAAGTACCCCCGCCCGCCCAGATGAACGGTCGCTATAGCCCTCGACTAACACTCCTGGCCAGGTCGATTCTGGGTTAAGATGGAGGATGCTATCCAGGGACTCAGTCGCCCAGAGTCACGCAGCTGCTGACCTTCAAAAGCACATGGGAGAGTGAGCCGGGCGAGCAGTGGTCCCCCGCGCAGGGGCTAGAGTCGGTCTTGCTGTCGATTCAGAGTCTCCTTTCTTCAAAGCCCTACCACCTGGAGCCGGGCTTTGAGACTGATGATAACGAGGAGCAAATTGAACTGTACAATGCCAAGGTGGGAGATTACACATCTACTCGGACATCAGAATCTGAACAGGCCTTCAAGGCCTTCAGAATTCCCTCCTGACGAGATCTGAAAAGGAAATTGCTAAATCAGAGTTCCAGATCCGGCATGAGAATCTCCGCCTTACAGTCATTACGCCCCTTGAGAAAGCCTTTGGCATCGAGCCCCCACCAGTCCCCTACGCGCAGCTCTCTGGGACGGCCAGATGTGTACAACAAGGCTGGGGCCCCGTGAACTCATCCATCCGAGAAGAGCCTGAACTTCACAATCCATTCCTCGACTTTTACAAAAAACGGTTTTTGTGGTATCTGGAAATGTACAAACACGCCATCCAGGAGGGCCTCGAGAAAGAAAAGAACCGTCACCGCCATGACTTCCCCATGCTCCCATTCGAACACCCAGGCAATAGCATGAGAGGCACCTGGGACTACGAAGATCTGAAAGCGCGCCTCGAGAAGCTCGAAGATTGCACTATGGACGAGACCCACAACTGGCCGATCGAGGGGCTTGAACTTGTGAAGAAAGACGTTGGAATCGCAGTCAGCCTGCGCGCCCAGCACGAGCAGATCGCGTCCGGGCTTGGCCGTCGCGGCGAAGCGATGGTCGACCTTGAGCTGGTAGATGACAATCCATTCCTCTGGCGACTCACATACTTTGGTCGGCCAATGACCCAGTACGACGGAGGCGTCTTGAAGATCAAGATCTTCGTCAGTCCTCGTCACCCTATCGAGCAGCCGCGAGTTTTTCTCGAGACGCCGTTGTATCATGTCCGCGTCTCCAAAAAGAATGTACTGGTCTACCTGCCTACGCAAGCGGATGAAATGTCTCGGCATATCGAAGGAATTATCAATTCCCTAGAGGAGGAGACGCCGCCTTTCAACCCGCTCCTGATTGTGAACCCCGAGGCATCCAAGCTCTGCTGGGGAAACAAGGAAGAACAACGACAGTACAGCCGCAAGCTTCGCCGTTCAGTGGCGGCGACTCTTGAGTGAGCCCCAAAAATTCCTTGATAATTGTTGAATTCGTAACGGGGTAGTGCGGATTGCACTGTCCCCGGACAGGATTCTGTGAGGGAGATGGATACATGGCGCAAGAGCGGCGCAATTCTGGTTCACGGTCAATTGTCCGCCAAAAGAAAAATTTCTATGTGGAGAAGAGAGGCGTTAAATGTATTTCCAATATTCCACTGCAACCGTTGCTCACACAGTCTGTCCGTTATTGTCGAGCTGTTGTAAATTGTGGGTACAACGAGCGATAACGCGGGAAAATGTTATTGCACGTGTCAGCTGATCGGGCCCTCCCCCAAGATCCCCAGTCAAGTCCCCTTTTCCAACCCTATCCCGGACCCGGCCCCGAGTCATTTAGTTTCAGCATCTCACATCGCCGCCACAATGTCTGCAAAACGGCGCAATCTGGAATTGGGGAACGTGCTGGTTGTGGGTGGCTGCGGCTTCCTTGGGTGGCATATCGTCGATCACCTGCTGAACTTCCCCTCGGAGACGGATCCTAGCAGCGCGCTGCCGAAGCCTCAGGGCGATGCGCGCTTCGAGTACCCGACCCTGGGCTCGCGGTACCCCGACTACAAGGCTACGGTTTCAGTCGTAGACCTGCGCACGACGCACAACCGCCTCCCTGGTGCGAACTACTATGATGGCGACATTACCTCTGTCGAGTCGATGATGAAGGTGTTCAGTGCGGTCAAGCCTGATCTCGTGATTCACACTGCGACCCCCTCTGTCCTTGATGGCAACAAGAAGCTGCTGCACAAGGTGAATGTTGAGGGAACTCGCACGCTGCTGGAGGTTGCTGGCGGCGAGCATGGCGATTGGGGTGGCAAGTGCAAGGCGTTCGTCTACACTAGCTCCAGCTCGGTGGTGCACGATACGCAAAGTGATCTGAAGAATGTCAACGAGGAGTGGCCCCTGATCCGTGGTCGTCTGCAGAAGGAGTACTACTCCGAGACCAAGGTGAGCATTGCAGCATTGCCCCCCACACCGAATATGTGAGACCATGTCCGGCTATTCGCTAACACCCACTTTTTCCGTACGCTAGGCCGATGCCGAAGAGATTGTTCTTAAGTACAACCGCCAGTCGCCCACAAACATGGTGACCTGCGCCATTCGGCCTGCAGGTATCTACGGCGAGAAGGACACAACGGTGACATACAAGATCCTAGAGCACGGCTCTCAAGCCTCGCCGACAGTCCTGAAGATGCAGCTCGGCGACAACGACAACCTGTTCGACTTCACCTACGTCGGCAACATCGCCTACGCACACATGCTGGCCGGCCACCGGCTACTGGCGACCTACGACCGCTACGAGTCCGGCCAGGGCGGGCCCCTGGAGCACGAGCGTGTGGACGGCGAGGCGTTCAACATCACCAACGACTCTCCCATCTACTTCTGGGACGTGACCCGCGCCATGTGGGCGCTGATCGACCGGATCGTCGAGCCGCATCAGGTCTGGGCCCTCCCGGAGGGCGTGCTGGAGATCGTGGGCGGGCTGGCCGAGAGCGTGATGGGGCTGTTCGGCAAGACACCGCGGCTGACACGTCGTGTCGTGCGGTACTCCTGCATGACCCGCTACTTCTCCATAGAAAAGGCGAAATACCGGCTCGCGTATCTGCCCATCGTTCCTGTGGACGAGGGTGTTGCCCGTGCTGTGGGTTATGTGGTTGAGTCGCAGCGCCAGACGGAGGAGAAGAAGGCGCTGTAAATCGGCTTCGGGGAGGTTGTGATGAAAATCACTGTCTATACTGTAATAATATTTCAAGGTATCTAGATCCTCGGGCAATGTGATTGATACACCGAAGTTTTAGAACACATTGCTCGTCTATTCGTCAGACCAAAGTTCTTTCATCATTCCGGCGAAGACATGGCTGCCGCCGAATCTATCATGTCAATATGTTTAAAAGATTGCAAGCTGTCATTGAACCGGTGACAAAGTTTAAAACTCTTGATTCTTGCAAAGAGTCAAGGAGATAGTGGTCCTGCACGCTATCTCAGCGGTGAATTCAACTCATAAGATAAATTAAAAAAAAGGTCATCAACATGCTTCTCAAAGCGATGGTATCTCGTAAAATGCAAATCACGTTCTCACAAGCCATTAAATGCCCTTATCCGACGAGTCCGATCCTTTCGAACCCTTGTTGTGGACCTCCAGAGCAGACACATTGTCGGGGATCTCCTCGCCTTCATGCCTGGCAACTTCAACATCAAAAGCAGCCTTGCTGTGGAAGATAGTTTCCATCTCCTCCAGACTCTTGCCCTTGGTCTCCTTGACGAAGAACCAGACGATAATCGCCATAATGACGTCCAGCGCCGCGTAGAATAGGAAGGTGTAGCTGCCCCAGGACTTCTGCATGTAGGGGGTCACCAGGGAGAAGAGGAAGTTGAAGAGCCACTGTGTGGCGACGGCGACCGAGGAGCCGACTTCTCGAATGCGGGACGGGAAGATCTGGATGTGTTAGTCTGTTACTGGGGTGGATATATGTGAAGTGGAAACAGGGGATCAACATACCTCGGTAGTATACGGCCACGGCAACGGGCCCCAGCTGAACTGGTAGATGGAGTTGGTGAGGAAAATCAAGGCCACCGTCGCAATGCCCGCAGAAGTCACCTCCTGCTGCGGTTTCGGCGTGGTGTTGTTCACCACCGTGACGATAACGAAGCAGACCGACATCAACAGGGCTGAAATCCACAGTGTGGGTCTCCGTCCCCACCTCTCCGAGAAGAACAGAATGTAGGTACCGACCGTAATGAACTTCTCAGCACCGAAGAGACCTGTAATGAGCAGGGACCGGCTGGGGTCGTTGCCGACCAGCAGCTTGAAAAATTGTGGGCCAAAGTACGCCAGCGCCGTCATGCCCGTGCACTGCTGGCCCAAGAAGATGAAGAAGGCGAGGGACAGACGGTAGCGGTTGGCAGGCTCGAGGAGCTCGCGCTTCTTAAGGCCGTCCGTGGCACGGAGCTCTTCGAGGAGGCCGGTACGGATTTCATTGAACTCGCCCTTGACTTCGGGACCTGGACACGAAGGGAGATTAGCGTACTCACTCGATGAAATCTGCTGCTTTGCGTCGCTTACCATCACTGGCGCGCATCCAGGTGAGGCTCTGCCAGGCCTCATCATAGCGCTCCTTCTTGGCCAGCCAGCGCACACTCTCGGGCTGTGTGAACAGACCGAAAGCGAGGGTCGCTGCCGGCACCAACTGCAGACCAACAGGGATCTGCCACTGCTTGGACGACACAGGTAGGGTCTGTAGGACCGCATAGTCGATCCAGTAGCTCAGCATGACACCGAGAGCAAAGAGCCACTGCATGCCGGACCCCAGCCTACCACGAATCTCCTTGGGAGCCATCTCGGCATTGTACGTGGGCACGACTGCAGTGCCCGCCCCAAGACCCAGTCCCGAGATCACTCGCCCGATATAGAAGCAGACCAGTGAATGCGACGGGACGACTTGGAGAATGACGCCGGCACAGAAGACGGCCATGGCCACCTGAATAGTCTTCTTGCGGCCGAACCGCTCGGAGACCGGGAAGATACATAGTGCCGCAATAAATGCGCCGGCGTTTTGCAAGCTGACCATGACCGCATTGACGGTGGTCTGGTCGGTGTATCGGAAGTCATCCTTGTACGCCTTAAACGTGAGGATTCCCCCTGAAGCGGCGCATAAGCGATCAGCCAAGCTCTGGGTCCCGCCCACGGCGCTATACACGAGGTCTCTGGAACTTACCGACAATGCCTGTGTCATAGCCAAACAAGAAGCCGGCGGTGCAGACGAAGAAACCAAAGAAGTATGCACGAAAGGCGCCGAGCCTTGTTCCACCGAGGCGTGCCATGGTGATGCAAGGACCGTGTCACAAGGCCGGCCGAGCACAGAAACCTGCGGTGAAACGAAGAGACAGGAAGAGAAACACAAAAGTCTCGATTCAAAGCACAGCTCGTCCTGCGATCGTCAGCGATAGCTCGTGGCTAAGTAGCCAAGTCATACAACGCCGGGTGCGCTGATCTGGGCGCCATCCCAGCACGCAACCGTCGCCCGTGGATTTCGCCATAGCACGCCATGGAACTAACGCGGCCAGGACCTTAAATCGACCCTCCACCCACGGTCACTGTGCGAGCCGTGCGATGTGCCAATTACCTTTTCGGTACTCGGGATTCCAAACTCCCTACACTATACAACAGTAGTCCTACACATCGGCGGGTGCTCTACCATGTACTGTGATGCTATCCGTCATGACATCCACGGCCCGATCGCAAAGGTGGAGCCGCTCTCCGCATTTGCTTCGGCCCCACCCTCGAATGGCGTGACGGCGTCTAAGACCTCATTAGGAGCTCAATCAGCCGGCTGGTCGGGTCGATCGCCCCGGAGCTGAGCGTGGTCCCTCGTGGCTTTCCATCTGGCCAATCTTGTTCATGCAATTTGAAAATTTGAAAATTTTAGCCTAACGCCGGCATCGACGGTACGGTCATACTGTACAAGGGGCTCCGCTCTGTGTTCACAGCTAGGTATGATGCGTTTGCCCATTGTTTACCAGTTAATATTACGCAAGGCAGTTGCAGTTTCAGAACAGTGGAAATCTGTTTGAGGTCTATCTGAACGGTCTGCTATTTACGAACATGAGTGCCACATACTGTCACACACTCGATTTGCCACCTTTACTCATTCCAAAATAGTGTCGCATAGGTCCATTATATCCAGTATACTTGGGCGCTGGGAGAAGGTTGCGTGGGGATTGTTGTCCGTAGGCGCAATGGGGATTATTCCGATTGTCGTTTCGGTATTGTCGACCTGGTCTCTGCTGGGCGAATTCACACGGGGTGTCGGGGGCTGGATCGCGGGCCAAGTTGGGGGCAAATGTTGTATACGCATGGAGAGCGGGCGAAGGCTTGGCTGTTTTTTTGGAGGCGGCTGCGGCTCGAGTAAAGGAAGGAAATATGGCGAGTGGAAGGGTGTTGCAGTGGGTCCTGGCGGATGGAGAGGGTCCTCCGTGGGTGGGCTGAAAGGTGGTAATCGTCGCAACTGGGAAAAAAGGGGCCTGTCGTTGGCATTTTACGCGGCGGGGCCATCGGCCTTTTTCTCGCCCTCCACAAGTTCACTCTCGGAGAGATCGTCGGCAATGGCCTCAGTAACGGGGCCCGTGTAGACGGAACGGCCGCGGATGTACCAATACACCAGAGCAAACAGCAGAACTGCCACGACGTAGACGCATGCGTAGTTCATCTAAAAATCATGTTAGCATACCAGGCGCCACGGGGGAAAGTTGACTACATACGGTTACTGCAGTGACCGGCATCGCAGTGGGCAGAATGAAAATGATGCTAACAAACAAGGTCCACAGGCACGCCCAGATGTTGACGATGGTGCTGAGAGGACCCATATGCCAGGGACCGGGCTGAAATTTGCCGAACATGAGCTTGCACATAACGGGAATGCAGTAGCTCCAGTCGAGCGCAATGGCGCAAACTGTGAATACACCCGAAATGGCAGTGTACGAGCCGAGGCCAATCAAGTTGATGGCAATGCACAAGACGACGGAGATCCACACAGCATACAGCGGCGTGCCCGTCCAGGTGGAAATCTTGACCCATACATTGGAGAATGGCATCAGGCGGTCACGGGAGAAGGCAAAGACAGTTCGGCCAAGGGCCTGCATGGCCGTGAAAGTAACGAACTTGATGATAATCAAGGCCGCAATGGTGAAGAACATCGCACCGCCCTTGCCCAGACTGTTGTAGAAGATCTGTGCAACCGGCTGGGCCATCTTCGACACGAGAATTTCGTCTGGGTCACCCATGCAATAGCAGAGGACAATGTTGAACAGGAAACCAGCGACATAGGTGAACAGCATGGCCAGGGAAATAGCCCATGGAGCCTTGAGTTCCGGATTGCTGATCTCCTCCGTAATGTGGGCGGTCGCATCATAGTCGGTCATGGTCCAGCTGACGGACAAGAAGCCAAACAACCAACTGAAGCCGACGGGGAACCAGCCGCTCTCTGTCTCGACATGAGTGAAGACGTACTTGGTGTCATGCTTGTCCTCGGTCAAAGCCAACAGAGCAATGGCGCAAGCCACAAGAACACAGACGTGGAAAATCACGTAGAATTTAGTCATCTTTTCCATCCAATAGGTGGAAAGCGAGTTGACCACGCCCGTGATGACAGTCAACGCAGCCATGACGCCGACGGTTGTGTTCACAGTGATTGTATAATTAAAGTCGCGGCTCATGGACACTGCCGCTAGCAGCATTTGGGCGGCACCATACTCAGACGACGCGACACCCGCTACCTGGCCCAAGAGGTTGAGCCAGCCAGTAATCCTGCAGATAAATCACCATGAGAAAGGTTATTCAAAAAGATCTGGAAGGGGAGGTCTTACCAGCTAATAATAGGGACCCAGCTCGGAGGGGCCAACCGGGAAATCGTAAAGTACCTAAACGCTTGTCAGATGTCGGCTGCCATGATTGACCATGCGACGAAACTTACAGTCCTCCAGAGGTCGGATAGGCAGAGACCAGTTCGGCGACAGAGCACTAGAGCTTTCGTCAGATAGGTGTTTCGGTCCAATCGGGTTTGGCATACATACTGCAATGCACATACAACCAGCACCAGAGACGAACCAACACCATACCACCGCACTGCTGCCGCCTGCGATTAAAGGATACGACATGGTGGTCATGATGGTGGCGAAGAGACCACTGATGCTGACTGCAAAGGAGAATGTCGACAAGTATCCAAACTCTCGCTTGAACACCGGGTTATAACCGAACTTCGTCGCCAGCTCGGAGTCGTCCTGGGTCAAATCGGCGACGGCGACTTTTCTGTGCTGGCCATCGGGGCCCACAAGCTCGATTTGGCGGCCGTCATGGCGCTGGTGAAGCTCACTCACGCCTGCCACTTCTTTGGTATTCATTTCTGCCATGAATGCTGGCTAGTATATGCTTGAAGAATCCAGGGAATGTGAGGTACAGGAGGAGAAAGAGAGAATAAAAGCAAAAGCAAAAACTAGGACCGCGGCAAACCGAGGAGCCGTTCGGGGCACGATCAGCCCGCGTGCTTTGCCATTTTCCGACCCGCCTTGCTTTTCGTTGCGGCCATGTTCAGGGGCCCATCTACGGAAGAGCTTGGGGAAGACGCTCTCATTGGTGGCGATAACGACGTCAGCCCACTTAGCGAGCGATATCATCCTGTTCACGCGTCGCCCACATGGCTTTGCTAATCTTTTCCAAGCGTTCGGGTGGAGTCCGATTGGAAAGCTTGAGATACCGCGCCGCGCTCATTGGCGTTTCTCAATCGGCTGCGAGCACCTTCCCATTAGCGGCTAAAAATTCATCTGCTAAGGTTTTGGGAACGAGCGCCGCGAGTTATCTTCGCCCCTCATACGCCTTCCTTTACGCCCCGAAAGTATCACATCCTCTCTAATCGCGGAGAATGCCCTCTCGGTCTTGGTAGCCCAGAGAGGTATGTAGTTGCGCGATGACCGCATTCCGTAGTTGCGCGATGACCGCATTCTGCTTAGCGAGACCGCACACCACGGCTTGGCTGTCGGCATTCCCGTGCTGTATCGGCTTGTTTACAAAGATATGTAGTTGGGAGGTGAACGCCAGCGAATTGAATCAGTTGAATTCCATAGGTACTTCTGCCATGATAAATGATTATTCCGCCGGACACGTTCCTATCACGGTCCCCGGCAAATTCTCCAGCAGACCTCTGCCGAGAGAGTGTAGATGTACGCAATCATCGGTCATAGGAGGCGCTTCAGGAGTACTCGCAGGATCTTGTCCTGCTTGGCAATGTTCCGGCGGAAGAACTTATGGTGGTCCTTGCAGTAGGCTGCCAGCTGCCCGGCATTCAGGAACAGCCGGGGGGATCTGTCCGTCTCCCAGCACTCGAGTAGGTCGATGATGTTCACATAGACGCGGGACAAGGCCTGTGGAAAGAAACGTAAGTGGGATTATGCTCGCCGATCAAGAGAAGGACCCACCGTTTTGCACTTGCGGATCGAGGTGAACTCGCCCGCGATGCCAAGCTTATCACACATGAGCTGCCAGTGTTTGAGACTGGTCGCTCGACCTCCAATGAGACGGTGATACTCCGCATCCATGCAGAGTCGCCAGTTTGTCTTCCAGATCTTCGCCTCCGGCTTCCACTTCTGAGTCTTGCCCAGGCGCTTGAACTCTTCGCTGATCGGCGCCGTCGGGTCGTAGTCAAAGCCAGGAAAGCCGTCGAAGAAGTTCTGCTGCTGATGCATGATGGCTTTGGGAGTTGAATATCTTGAATATCAATCTGCGGTGGGATCTGACAGGTCATTCACAGGGACAGGAGGTATTCGTTCGGCTGCAATGCAAACTTTCAGTTACCTGTAGATAATGTGTAACCGGATTACGATGTATGAGAAGACAGAGAGAAGAGGAGGGAGGAAGAAGGCGGCTGAACGTGCTAAACGAGAATGGGGGTGGGATTGTGTGAGCAAGAAGAAAGGGTGAAGGCACGAGGCCAGGCCTGCAACAAACACTCACTTCGATGCCTCAGTCTCTCCATCTCTTGCACTCGCATGTGGAGTTTGCCATTCAGCACAAACAGCTCGAGCCAACCCTCCAGATTCGGCAGGTACGATCTTGTCGTGACTGCTTTACCATGGATCAACGCAAATGCCAACAAAGATTCAAGCTATTGCTACCCGCCGGTTTTGGCTGTGGCTCTCTTCGAACCACTCCGCTTCTCCCAGTCACCATGTTGCTCTCAGCGGTGTTGCGGCTACTTGCATCACTCTTGTTTGCACCCCTTTCCGGCTTTGCACGATGGCCCGTCCAGACTCGACCGGGCAATATCTTCATGGGATGGCCACCGCCCCCATGGGATGCGACTTATGACTACGTGGTGATCGGAGGTGGCACAGCAGGCATCACCGTGGCTGCACGTCTTGCCCAGGGTGGGTATCAGGTTGCTTTGGTCGAGGCAGGCAGCGACTACGAGTCGAAGCATCCAATCTCCCAAATCCCAGGAGCGGCGACAATTGGGATCGGGTCGAGCATTACCACTGCAACCTCGGTGGACTGGAAGTTTGTTGCGCAGCGAGTGCCCGGGGCAAATCATCGGGACATCCACTATGCGCGAGGGAAATGCTTGGGGGGATCGTAGGTCATCACTACCTCCAGCTTAAGCGACAAAATACTGATGTTCAGCCTTGTAGATCGGCGTTGAATCTGATGATTTATCAACGGTTGGTCATGGGCTATTTTTGGAAAAGGAAAAGGACTAGCGCTGAACCTTTCATCCAGCCCGTCGGAAGGTGCAATGCAAAAATGGGCAGATCTTGTCGGAGATCCCAGCTACTCCTTCCAGAATACCTTTCAATACTTTAAACGGACGGCGTCTTTCACACCTCCTGAACACAGATCTGAAAATGCCAGAAGAACGTACAACGAATCAGCATTCGACATATCTGGCCAGCCGCTAGAAGTTTCCTATCCTCGGTTTGCAATGCCGTTCTCCAGCTGGGTTCGTCGGGCGTTGACTGCGATCGGCATGGAAGAGACTCAAGACTTTAATACCGGTTCTCTCAGGGGCCATCAGTTCTGTTCAATGACCATCCGGCCAACAGATGAATCAAGAAGTAGTTCTGAATCTGCCTTTCTTCGGTCCCCGCGCAAACTGGACACATTGGCTATATACGAAAACACGCTGGCAAAGAAGATCTTGTTCGGCGATGATAATAGGGCAATTGGCGTAAGAGTCCAACAACTGTGGGACTTCACGCTGCATGCAAGACGCGAGATCATTCTCTCTGCGGGGGCATTCCAATCTCCTCAGCTACTGATGGTTTCAGGGATTGGGCCTGGAAGTATCCTTCATGAACATAAGATCAAACCAATCGTGACACTACCGGGGGTGGGTCAAAATATGTGGGACCATATCTTCTTTGGCCCGTCATACCAGGTCTCCGTCGACACGTTCACCGGGATGGCTCAAAATCCAATTCGGTTGGCCGCTCAGGCGATGATCTATACCATCTTCCGGGATGGAATGTTGACCAACCCATCGGCTGACTATCTTGCCTTCGAAAAGCTTCCACGCTCGTCACGATCTAACTTGACTGCTCGAGATGAGTATGAGCTATCCTGGTTTCCCGAAGATTGGCCCGAGGTTGAGGTGAGACCCCCGTCCATGGCCGCACCTGAACGGAGGCTCAAATTCGTTCAGTATATAGCGGCTTCTGCCTACGTTGGGAATTTTTCGGACCCATTTAGTCAACAACCATGGACTGGTCAGTATGCCACTATCATCGCGAGCATGGTTGCTCCTACGTCGCGTGGAAATGTGACGATTCGCTCCGCCAACACAGCAGATTTACCGATCATAAACCCAAATTGGATGGATACCGAGTTAGATCAAAAGCTCGCAGTGGCCACGTACCGACGAATGCGCGACATCCTTCAGATGCCAGCCATCCTGCCCGTACTGATTGGGCCCGAGTACTTCCCAGGGTCCAAGTACCAGACGGACGCAGAGGTTCTGCATGTGATTAAGGACACGCTGATGACAATCTACCACGCGTCCTGCACGTGCAAGATGGGGACTCGAGATGATAGTCTGGCCGTTGTTGATCATCGAGCGAGAGTCTTCGGGGTCACCGGATTGCGGGTGGTCGATGCTAGTTCATTTCCATTCCTTCCGCCGGGTCACCCTCAGTCAACTGTTTGTAAGTATGTTTTCACCTGGTAGCATGAAGAGTGGCCCTAACAGTCTTCAAGATATGCTTGCCGAAAAGATCGCCGCCGATATTCTAGCTGCCTAACAGTACTATCGTGATCAAATTTCCATGCATTACGAACCGATTATGGGGGTTGGAGAAACTTTACGAGCTCACGTATCATTGATTGAACGAATGTCATTTTTGTTATCCTTCTATCACCACATATCTTCTAGGTACACCTGGCTTAAAGTATCAAAAATGTTGTAGTCACTTGGCAGGCAGTCAGGTGAGAAAGCGAAGCCATGGCCACTAGCAAATAGTTCCGCCGAATTTGGAAGATTTTGGAGAGCATTCAGGCTGACGCCGTCGAATGTGGGCACAAAGGGCTGATTCAAATCGCCACCAGGATTAGCAGGCACTGGATTTTGAAGATGAAAAGCGAGAGGATCTTCGACTATGAGGCCTTTTGGATCGAAGAACGCATCAAAGGACTGGAAGGGAACTATTCCGGATTCAAATGCTTGGTTTTGATCCATCGGTCGCGAGGCGAGGGGGCATGGAGGGGGACGGTAGTCATTTGGTGGACATGGTATACGGCTTCCATAGCGTTCACAGTATACCTTCTCTAGATTCATTCCAATACGCTTTGCGATATTCCACGATGTCGAAAGCTCTCGTAAGACCTGGAAACACAATCCAGCTGCGGCATGTGGGGATAGAGTCCGAACGCCTTCTTCGGCCGGGCTGGACTTGGCATAGTTCTCCGCGGAGCAGCATTTCTCGATAATAATCAGGGCTGCAGACAAAGTGCAGTGTGCAGCGGTGATGGGACTGAGTTTGAAGCTGCCAAATGTCTGCCTGTACTTTTGCGCGACGGCAATCATCGATCGGACTGAAGCACTGCACGCGGCCAGTGCTTTCTGAGATCGGGAATGCTTTGGTGGGTTTTGGGCTTCTTCTGGAGACTGGATCGGTGTCTCACTTTCATTAGCATTGGCGGAGGGATTGTCGCTAAGGAACGGACCACAGAGCAAAAGAAACGCTGTGTGGTAGACCATATAGAGGGTATAGGCGTGAGGGAATCGTGAGGGTCCAGCAATTCGTTCAATCTTGAGTTCAAGGGGCAGGTCGTAGTACCATGTCTTCAGCTCGAGCACGCATGAATCAAAGAACGCTGACCGTTGGTGAGGGTGAATGAGGGGCTTTGGGGACCAGCTAGCATGACAAAGTCAGACACAAGTTAGGCTTCCTGCATAAATGATAAGCGCCCACTTACAGAGAGCTAAGGACCCTCTCTAGGATTCGACACAGATCAATCATAGATCTGTGCAATTGTATAACGTCTTTTTGGGACGCCCCCCGTGGCTTGCCGTCGGCAGAAGGAAGATGCACATCCGATGCACATTGGAGGAACGGTTTTTTCACAGCGCCCTGAGACTCCTATTCAACAGTCAATATCGCCAACTAACTATCTCCATATAACCAAGGAATAATACAAACCAGCAATGTGCAGACTCGGCCAGTATAGCTGGCTGACAGCTTGTCATGGCAGTACAGTGCCCAGTATATTTGTCGTCGCAGCTCGACTTCGATAGCCGGGAGAGCAACAGCCCCGGCAAGGACTGCAGGGTCCATGTTGAATCCCATGTCCAGAGCAAGACGGCTAGCCATTCCTTGGTGAAGCCACCCCGCAGCATCTGATCCCATTGCCTGGAAATGGTTGACGGTTAATTCCATCACACCTTTCCGGAAAAGTCCCTCGGCTTACTTACGATGTAGACCATTCCCATGATGGCCAATGATTGAATTGTCGTAATTTTTGGCCACCGGAGATCATTTTGGATCAGTTTCTCGGCGTTGTCGATGAACATCTTGCCAGCTGTGTTTGGATCAGCCGGATCAGATCGCACTTCGATACGATCGCAATATCGCGAGCCCAAAGCGAGAATGCAGTTTAACAGTAATGGGCTAGAATATCGCCCGCCACAGGCTAAACTCTCTCTGAAAAGTTTCTCATTCACCACTTGGTACCATGGCTGCTCCCACTCAAAGTAGAGGTCGATTAAATGGGCTTGCAGTTCTTCTGACGCCAGATTGTCATCTGGCATGCCTTGAGTTTCATTAATCCGTGTTTCGTATTCCTGTATTGGAATTGCAGGGGATTTTGAGTCGGCAGTGTAATAGTCTGTGCAATAAGTGTCGATTTTGTATGCTTCCTCGCTTGGCGAATCTGCAGGCTGTCAGTGTACCTTCTTCCACGAAAAATTAGAATCGGCTGACCGTTTCCTGGCGAACGAAAGAGCAAGCGCCCACTGGTTGGCCCAAAGTATCTGACTTCACCATCTTGATCGAAGTTTAAAGACTCGTCTAAGGTCAGTGCACCGTCAAAGGTTACACATATATCCTCCACATTCGAGGACGCAGCTGTACCGCTAGAATCAGGTGCTCGCCCTGAACAGTCGCCCTTGGCCAGTGATTGGGCAATAGCGGCATCTGCATCAATACCATGAGACTGTAAAACACGCTCCAACAGCTCAATCCGGTTTCTCAGCATCACCACGTACGACTTCGGCGCGGGCTGCCTGCCATCTTCCGCTGTAGAATACTGGCATTGCAGGCCCCTGTCCAAACAGCGAGAACAGGTTGGGCGAGCTCCATCACACTTCCAATCAAATTTGATCAGCGATATGGTCGAAAAGGAAATGTATGTAGCAGATCGTCTTCGACACTACCTTTGCTCTTCGGCGGCGACATTCCTCACAGGCTCGTGACGTATATTTTCTTCCGGACCGCTTGCTCCGGGCTGCAGGGTCATTCGCTGGCACTGCAGGAGGCATTTGATGAGTTGTCCATCAACTGAAGGTCCGAGACCGTCTTTCGAGAGGGAAACCTCTATATAGAGGGCGAGAGGCTGATGGCCAAAGGATGGAAGTTGATATTACAAAGCAGCCTGCCGATGTTGACACCTCAGAAATATGGCATAACGGCATTTCAATTACCGGCCTGAGGCGAACCCTTGGTTCCCCCATCCTGACGCACCACAATCTGAGCTACTGCTTTTGCAGCTTCAAGATTTTAAAGAACCTTTCTAATTGAGAACTGTGAGTTGTAGGCAGTCCTGATATAATATCTTCAGCAGAAAAGGTCCCAGGTAAGCGAGCGGGGCATCATGATGGAGCGAACAGAACGATACATTCAGCGTCTAGACTATGCATTCAATTGTCAAGAATGAGAAAGGATATTTGAAGTCAAAGTCGAAGTTATAATATTCTCTTTTATCTACCCTCTGGCTGGCCAGATACAAACACGAATGCCACCATCCAGCAAAAGCGAGGTTCTTGCTAGAGCATTATTAGCGTCACAAGCTTTTACCACCCAATCGAAACATAAATCGATGTTGCTCATTGATATAGATATAGATGAAGGTCCAGCCTCTTTGGGTTTGTATCGGTACTTTCAGTGCAGCTTAGGTTAATGCCCTTGGGCTTCCGCTTGGCCCCTTCAATTCAAACCATCTACGGTACAGTTTTAGATCGCATTTCGTAGTGATATTTTATATTAAATCTAAGAGGAGAGGTAAGGTAAACACATACTGTGCGCCTACTGGGATTGGCTTTGAGAATGGATAAAAGCAACGTAATCGACACCGCAGTACATAAACAGCGAAAGGATTTCGAACACTTGGGATAGTAGAATCAAGGTGATCAACAAGGAGGCGGTTTTCTTGCTACTTTGGATCACTGGTTAGAGGTAGGATTGGACTGAGGTCGGATGGCCAATGCAGACCAGCTAAAGAGAAATCTATCCAGTAAGGCAGAATCATTAATGACGATGAGAACGAAAGGGGAGCAAATAGACCAGTACAGCAGTGGTGAGATTGTTTATCGTGTACCAGCCGGCCATTGGAGGGTGGCAATTCAACCCTTGGTGAATTCCGGTGCCCAACCCCGAGCAGAAATAGCCAACCCAATGAAGGGCCATACAGGAGGAGGGCAACGTATCAGAGTGCCCAGATGAGGGCCAGGGTGGGCGCCCGGGCGAGCACGCAGGCGTATGCATGTACACGTGTCAGTCATCAAGCGGCGTCCAATTAGACGCTCTTTTTTTGAAGATGAGACCAGCATAACAAAATATCGCCAGCGATTGTAAATTCCCATACCTTGACGAACTTTACGAGACTTACGGTACGTACATGTACTGCAGAAATCGAATCACATGAAGATCTCAACTGGCCGGTCCACCGGGACTTTGTTCCTTAGATTGGAAACTTCCTATGGCACCACTCGGTTTTACTCAGCTGCAGCATCAGTTTTGACTCCTATCATCCGTGACTACGCAATATAGACTTCATGGCAGAGTTCAAATTGCGGCAATGGAATCATGCAGCGAAATAAAACCAACGAATGACATGACCTCCTCCAAAATGAGGAAATCTATGTAGCTGAGGAGACTACCCAGGCAAGTAGCCTAGAGAGCTAAATAACAGCCGCAGGCAAAGGGCATCAACATCATTGTCGCGAGCAGTAGAAGATAGCTCAGTATACGGACGGTGTACCAAATTAAACTCCTGTGAGATGTGTAGAAAACTCAACGGACAGAGGTCAGACTTACGGTCTAGACAACAGCTGGAGTCGGCGGATTTCGACGCCGATTTGCCGAGTGCACCTTAGGCCCTCCAGGTCATTCAAGCAACTCGACTGATTCCGTATAACCCTTGATGATTGGAGGATATTATTGGAGAACATCCATGCTAGCGGTATTGAACAGCCAAACATTGGTGGAGTGGGCCGATCATAACCCGCTGTCGGCGGGGCCACATAAGGTATCGGCGTACTGTAAGCTGGATCATGACTGGTTCTCACATTCGTATTGAAATCATACTAGTACACACATAACTTTGAACCGCTTGGGCAACCACGCCTGAAAAAGGGTGAACTCGCTTGGGGAACCCGGGTTGAAAAAGAGTGAGCCCGCTTGGGAAACCCAGGCAACCCTCCAGGATTAAAGGCTTGCCCTCTTCCTGACCTCAGTCTACCTGACCCTCTTCCTGACCCTCTGGAACACGCGGAACAGCATGCCTGCGTCGTGTGTCTATATCTGTCCACCCTCCTCCCCATTCATAACCTGTTCCATATTTTCAGCTTCAGTTCGTTTGCAAACCTCTTCCTTTTATGCAACAGTCGTGTTGCATCTCCCCAACCGGACGGCAGTTTCCTATGCCAGATCCTCGACTCATTACATCCCATCTTTTTCCTCGAAAGCTAACCGAGAGGAGCCCGGCAGGTTCTCAATGGCGTGACAATCCCCGACTTACTACAAGTGTCAGCAGGTCAACCTCTCATCGGCCCACCATAACGAGAATGCAGAAATACAATCAAGCGAGTTAACTATCACCGAGACTACTACCAATTGAATGGATCAATAAGGCCTGCACTCTGGCTGGGAGAATTGGTAATAACCCTTTAGAGCCGGGAAGTTAGTCAAACTTGATCTGATTAGAGGAAGTCCATGGCAGTTCACGTTCCTCCTAGCCAGGCCCATTCATCAGGTGGACGGGAGCCGAGGGCTTTTTGCAAGTGACAGCAGATTCAGATGAGCATCTCTGTACGCTCTATTGGACGAACGTCTGCTCGACTCGGCATCGACTCGCAGCACGACGGTATGCTCTGCCTTAGTTTGACCGAAGTATTGAGGACTCCCATGACCAATGACATGAACTAGGAATCCCATGGTTTTCTTACCAAGTGATCTTGTGCAAGAGCTGTGGAATACGAGTTACAGGAAGAAAGGCCACAGAAGCAATGAGGCCAGTCCAGATCTATGATGGTGACAGACTGATGAGATACATTTAGAGGAAATCACGGGATACAGTACAGCGTCTAATTGTCATTGACTGGGTTGGGCTGAGGGGCTATCTGAAAATCCAAAACACTATATCCCGAACCATGACACCTGATAATACCGAGCCTTCTCCATACTCCTGAGGACCAGTGGAACCGAGGTTCGCACATCTGAAGACAGCAAAAGACAAAAGCAACCCAAGTATGGCGGCAAAAAGCGGTCTCAGCCGCTTCGAGCCCATCCGTGTCGAAGACAAAGATGGTCCCGGAGCTTGTCTAGCCGACCAAAAGCCTTCGTGCACTGGGTGCACTTAAACAAGTCTGGCGAGATATGCGTGGACCTGATGTGTCGCATCAGACAGTCCTCGCGGGTGAAGCCACGACGGTCCCTGCACCCAATCCACCCACACCAAAGGCGAAGATCTTGTCCACCGCCACCATTAAAATCAGCCCCTTGTCTGCCACAGAGTGACGTCAGATCATCAATCACAGAATGAAAATAAGGTCGTCGTTTGTCACGAGCTTACCTCGCATCTACTTCAAAATAGGCCGGAAGATGCAGTTGGCTGCCGGTCTGAAAATCGACACTCCCAGCCGCGCCACTCATTCCATCGACGTTGAATCCATTGAATCCAAAGGCCCCCATGACGGAGGGAGTTTCCAAGGGGTGGGTATTACCGTTTGGCATCCACCCGATGCCTACACTCCCAGCTACGTCGATGGCGCCGTTGGTCGGGGAGAGCGGAGTTGGGCCGGGCCAGGCGCTCGCGCCGCCATTGTATTGAGCTGATGGGATTCGCATAAACGGGGTAAGGCGTGCCCGGTCCACGAACGGCTGGCTTTGCTGTGTAGTTGTCGGCCATACTGAGGTAAAGGCGGGTTGCCGCTGCGGAGCAGGAGGCGGTCCTGCTGCCGCCATCGGCGACAATGGAGTAACACGAGCACAGTGGTTAGCTCGTGGGGTAAGGTTGGATGGATTCATGGTCCAGAAGGGATCTTGAATCTGGTTCTTGGAAGCGAGTACAATGTCTGGGGGGCGGGTTTTTGGTGTAGAAGTTGAGTGGAAGGAGAGGAAAGCGTGCGCACGGCGATCTCGACATCCGGGCCATCCAAAAAGAGTGGTGGAGCAGGTGTAGCAGGTGTAGCTGGACCCAGTTATGGATTAGATAGCTTTGATTGGATGCCTCGCTGTAAAGAAACTGACTACACGTGAGTTTAACTATGTCTTCTTTTCTATCCTCATCCTCACACAGTTCATTTTCATTTCCTCGTTCATCACTCTGTCTTTGTCTACTCACACTACAAGTCATTTGTGTCTATTTTTCTTGGGAATCCATATCAGCACCTTGTGTTCAGTTCCAGCGCTTGGTGAATGTGTACCGCACAGAGATCTTATATTAAAACCGGAAAGGCCAATACATAAAACGACGGCCTGAATCAGTAGTACGACGCCCCTAGTCATTCCAGTATCTGCAAAAACATTCAGTGTTCAAGAGAGGTCTTGTACTGCAAATTTACCAGCGCAAATTCGCACTTGGCATCGGTAATGCAGTGAAATGACTGAGGTCCCATTGAGTTATTTATCATATTGCTACATAACGATTTACGTGGGTATACCCTAGCATTATCGTCGAATTACAAACACGTTCCTTCTCCCCCCCCAAACCTGAGTACAATTTTGTCCGTATATTTATCCTAATCAGCCATTACGGAGATACAGTAAAACCACCACCTAACGCACGACTTGGAATAAAAGCACAGCGTGCGAATTGGAATCTCGCCGGTGGGGAGCCTCGCCCGGGTGAAGGTGGCTGCAGACAATCAACCCAGTCCCGGGCCCGAAACGAGTTCTCGAGGCGGCGGAGTACCAGTCAACAAATTCATTGGAGTACTTGGTGCTTTCCCAAAAAAAAGGGATCCAGCTTCGCTGCATCATCACATGCCCCGATCTCGAAATACACTAACCCAAGTGCGCAAATGCCACATGCAAGAATCGGCATGCTCTGCTTTCTCCACAATTCGAGCCCTGCCTCGTCAATTGATTCACAAGAAGACCTTATCAACCTAGTATAAGAACTCCGAGATGGCATATCGTAGCAGGCATATTCGGACCTCGCTATTCAGCGTCATCCTGGAAGGCTAAATAGTGGACTGCATACATATATTCTCGCAGTCCGAAAGGGGTGCTCTGTGTAGGTGCCATAGCCGGGAAGTCGAGTTATGCGTCACGCTAACCTATATAGGTGAGTTCGTCGGTAATTGGCTTGGCAAACCGCTATGCAAATCTCAAAGGGATCAGTGTAATCTATTACTCTTCGTTAAAGCTGAATGTTTACTTAGATGTGCCTCGTGAAGCTCAATTATAGTCGCTGACTGGAGTTCTTCCCTTTGATCCATGCTTTCTGACATCATATGCTGACGTGGAGATGGAAATTTGAGTGCAGTGAGAATAGATTAGAATGGATCTTGTATATTGCCGGAGAGAGTGGCAGAGAGTGCAGTAGACGAAATCACCTGGAAAATTCATATCTTATGATTTTCCGCAACGACGTCTTTTGATAACCTTCTCGGGTGTCTTATTCTTAGTAGACTGTCTTGTATAGATGGTAAGTCTCCCGTCAACTCCGTCTAGGATTCACGCTCATAATCCCGAAACTATGTGCATTTTCTTGCGATATACTGCCTAGATTACACATGATCCGGCATACACCGATGATAGGCAAAACCATAGCGACAAATGTTGGGGTTCAACCATTGACACTAGGCTTGTCATTTAACATATAAGTTACACAACCGTGTAGGATGCATTCTCTGAGCCAAATTCGGACAAGTCGCATGAGTCGTAGCAAGATCAATACTATTTAGGTCACACAACAGACCGCGTATAAGCAGGTTCGAAATTCAGGATACAACTTGAATACATCGGAAACTGCAGCCATTTGGAAGGAACGAGCACGCTGTGAGAAAACCAGCTTGTCCGGACCCGCAGTATAAAGATAGGTGCTCACAATGCTCATTAAACTACTGAAAGATCCCATGGTGCGATTTTCGGGGGGGGGGGGGGATCTCCCGGAATATGGAAGAGAAGTAAAGTATGATGTTTACTAGTCGCAGTTTTCATAAGCATACAAGCAATATCACTACTGAAAGCACGAAGTGCCACATGGAAATGAGTCATAGAAGTATGCATCAAGGGGGCTTTGGCAACACAACCCTATTTAGACGAGTCGAGAGATACCTCCATCTGAGTTAAGTCAAAATGCATAAAGAAACAAAGGAATAATTCCGATATATGCAAGGGCCGAAGCATGGGAAGCTTTCGCGGCCAAGTCCCTTAGAAGACTCAAATCACAAAGTATGTCAGCGTGTGTAGCTGCCCAGGTAGCTTTCAGGTTCCACAAAATGAGGGTAGGGCGCAGCTGGGACGGCTGTTGTTCTGGCTGTGTTAGTCGCCCCTTCTAAGAGAAAATGCAGAGGGGACATCTGTCCATATATATTCCACGTTCATAAGATGCCTGCACGAATTCTGAATGAACAGCCCCATGGCGGACAGCTAGCTAGCGAGTCTAGTGATAGGTCTAGTAATATAGACCAATTGCCTCTGAGGTGCTATTTTTTAGTTCATAGCAGAAATAGATGCAGCGGCGACGACGGACATCGTTTCTTCGGTGCGTTCGATAGATTCGTCTGAGAACCTTGCATGCATGTATCAATGTCTACAAGTCTCCAGTAACTCTCAGGTAAGCAGCAAGTGCCAAGCATGGAGGTCTTGATCTAATAGGGGTCATTATAATGGTGAGTGCGGGTTGGGGCAGCCTGTTGTCCTTCAGATTGCTAAGGCCTCTTAACTTCAATATGTGCTCTGGAGCTCTGACCGACACATAGAATTGTATCGCATCCTTGACATGATTAAAAGTTCCGCAGAGCGTAAAGTCTCTGAGACATTCAAATGTCTCCAGGGCTTTGATTCTTCACTTGGTAGTGTATCCCCTTCATTATTCTTGTAGGAGGCTACATTAACTATTCAACTGATCTCTAACCCAACCAAACGTGACCAAGAAATATGTAATCCCAATGTAGTGGTGGTAATATGCCCTGGACGACGCTGGTTAATTGAGTACTTCTGTCGTGTGAGAGAAATCTATCAGTGTAACTGCAAAGACCTCCGTAGAGGATATGCTTGTCTTATACTCAAAGATGCGCGTGGAGCAAGACTACGTGCCTTGGTGGTGACATATTCCTTCTCTCCAGATACGAACAGGTTTTATTTTTCAGACAATATACCCATTTCGAATAGTCTGGCTTGCTACTGATTGAAAGCAGCGAGGATACCAGGGGGTATGCAGTTCCATTTTCTTTACCGGAAAGATGTGCCATCGACGTGGTTAATATAAATAGGTGACTGTCATAAACGATATAGATTTCGAAAAGGAACGAAGGGGAGGAAAATGGAGGAATCAAATTGTGGATAGGAAAGTGGCTCACCTAAATCTCACGACTGGATGCTTCGTGTAAAGTGGTATTAATAAACATTCTCACAGCTATTTACCTGGAATTATGGCATGATTGGAGTATATTCCCGATTCAGCTTTGTTTTGGATTCGACGTTCTGCCTGGTGGGCACAATGGTCTCTCATCTGCGTCGCACTATATATCTTTTGCCACCAGAAAAAGTACCTCTATCAACCTTACGGTAGCGGCCAGGCCGTGGATTGACGTATCACTAAACAAAATGAAAATCTCAAGGGAATGGCAAGATAGCTGTACATTTAAGATTGTCGAATGCCCAAGTCTATTTGGTTTATGGTAGAGCCTCGGGTTACAAATGGCCTTTCATCTCAGCTAGGCTACCCTGACATGGAGCTGGTCATCCGCTCGGCCAACACAGGAAAGACCTTGCCTTTGTCTACCCCCTTGATGCCGCCGGGGAATGCCTCCCGTGGATGGTGCCCCCTTCCTGAGCAAGGCCGGAGGACCATGCTGTTGAGTTTGCTATGACCCCTCGGGATTCCACCAGATTGTCGGTACGCCAAGAGCGGCATTGGTTCCGGATTGCGGCAGTTGATACTCCTCGAGATAGCTTATCAGATGGATGTCCCAGGCAAGGTTTTGCAGTTTCACGGACCCGTATGGAAATCCCGCTGCTCGTGTGGCTGTCTTCAATAGCCCATGGACCCGGAATAGATTGTGGGCCCGCTGTTGGCACCCAGCACCTTGACAACGGGCCACCCTCCCAGCCAAGCATTTCCGTTATTCCCACCGAGTACGTAATAGATCTTCAGGCCAACTTGGACCTCGTGCTTGCTAAGCCCGCTAATGCAATCCACGGCCCCCTGAGAGGCACCGGCACCCACCCCATCCCCACTGATCACAAGTGGATTCATGCAGGACGCCTGCGGTGACTCGACCTGATTGGGCCTCGAGAGTGGAGGGTGGGCATGGGGAGCAAAAGAGAAGCATGAAGTTTACTCGGGGGATATCATTGCAACTCCCTTGGTTATGAGGAGTCCGACTAGTCATGACGGGGGACGAACGCCCGGAGCTGCCTCCCTGGTCCAGCATGAGGCACGTTGAACCAGGATCTGGCGTAGTGGCGATGAGCTCATGTGCTCCTGATAGTTTCATCAAGACGGATAATCCTACGGTTGGCAAAGTGGATGGAAAGGTTCCAAATTTTGAGATGAGTTATCAGGTGACCATACCCCGCAAACCGGGGATCGGAAGGTGAAGAAACGGTGGAGACGTGGATCGACCACGGCCCACGGAACTCTGTGCGAACATTCTTGATTGCTCAGCATCAGAGGCGTGTTGGAGAATTTCTGAAATTCCAGTGGGAGATCCTTTCCCCGTCAGCTGACCCCCCCCCCCCCAAAACACAGGGCCAGTCTCCGGTCTCCCAGCGGCCCCAATCCCAGACGGATATGGATCATGGCAGCCAGTAAGGAACTGCAGGACAAAACATTGTGTGTACCAGCCGGTGCGACGGAGCAGTCGGATCCACAAGCACACAAACAGTTTGTGTCTCTCTTTCACCTCGCGACCTGAAGCCGAGTCGAGCGATGCCACTGTTGGGCACTGTTGATGCGCCCTGCACGGTCCACGTATCGGAACGCATCTCGTGCCTCGAGGGGAATTCGAATCTCGTGTGTGTGTAGGCAGTCAGACAAGCTAGGAGCCGGCGGTGGCGTCCAGTGGGTTTCAGAGCGGCGATGGGGTTCTTTCCCCCCTTGGCCGGTTTCAGGCTAGCGCGGAGCGCAGTGCCGGAATGACATCCCAATACGCTGCACGGTATGAAGGGATCGCGCGGGGATGGGACAATTTGGATATTTTGGGATGGACTGGAATAGCTCTGGCTATTTGGACGTGAAATCTCATAGCAATCAAGGGCAGGTCGGGCGTATGAGGTGCGGCAATTGTGGATTGACTGTCTACTGTGAGTTTTACCCACAGGTTGGTTTTTGCTGTCCTCGTTCGACTTCGTGTTTCCTTCTCCTGTCCCCTCTTCCAAGCTGAATAATCCTCGGTGCTTACGAATGGGATGCTTCCCCGAGGGGCCAGGGGGGTCAACCCAGGGATTTTATAGGTCGGAAATCATGGGATAAGGACGCAGTATGGAGTACTGGTACATACTTTCCCGATGTGTGTTCCTGTCCTACTTATCTCCTATCGAAACCCGAACAAAAGTACCCCGGGCCTAGCCAAAAGACTCCAAACCGTCGGATCCAGACTGGAAGCCATCCAGGACTAGCTGCCTGGCACGCACCACCACCATCTGCAGGCGAAGGTCTTCCAGATTGATCAACGCTATGAGCAAGGGTGTCAGCACAGGGTTCTTAGGTGTAATGTGTTTCCCCTCTCTTCCTAACCCCCCGGTGCCATCATCCTGACGTTGGAATGTATACTATTGTCGAGCATTGGACAAAAGAATTAAGGAGATGGCTGTCTCCATACTATAGAATGATAGATATATAATGATAGATCGCTTCTAGGCAGCGTCGACGTAGGAATAGCAATAGTCAACGTAATAGTCTCAGTCCCGTAGGAGAGTGGATGCCGCGGAAAGTGTGCAGGACCGACGACGCACTGCTGGGCGACCCAGTCGTTCTTCGCCGCCAATCACCGCCCTCCCTGAATGTCCACCCACCACTCCTCCCACCCCCCGTCGCCCTCATGAGAGTCTCCTCTTTCTCTGCTTTTCTTTGAATTAACATCCTCCAGCCTACACACTACTTATCCTCCTGGTTCTGCCTGCCCTCCTTTCTTTCCCTAGGCCCTTGGGTCAGCCTCCGCTGGGGTCGACGTCGATGATCCTGCGCGTCGCCTGTCGCGCCCATTCCCCGCATAGACACGGCTTCCGTTATCCTCCGTCCTCACAACAAGGCGTGTTTCAAGACTGTCCTCTCCTGCCCTGCACGGTGGATTGGCTAGCTGCGAGCTCCTCGCAGTGGCATTATTGAAAACCGCGATTTGCTCTGCTCGCACGCCATGGCCTATTGATGTTACGGATGAATCCATAGCCTCGTCTCTCCAAGAGCCACCGCTCTGCCCACTAGCAGACGGTTCTGCTTGGCTCCCCTTGACAACTACGACAAGAAAAATACCTCTTATTTCCCCTCGTTCTCGTGATCCTCAGTCATACGGTCTCACCCGTCCGTTTTCGCTTTTGGCGGCCGTGCAGTCCAGTTGAGTTCTCGAAGTCAGCATGGCGGACAATGGCTCTCCAACCCCCAATTCCTCGCGCCGCCGGCCGTCACGGCCCTGCGGCAAGAGGCTCGGAACATCAACCCGGCCATGTTGCGGACGCTAAGTGAAGACATGCGAGAGGAGCGTGAAGAGTTGAAGGAAGCTGCCGAACAGACCCTGAACATTATTGTGAATCTCGACTTGGAGGGCCGCATCAAGTGGGTGAGCCCATCGTGGAGACAGGTCGTCGGGTCGGCGCCCGAGTCAGTCGAAGGCCGCATGATCTCGGAGATTCTAGTTGGAAACAAGGATGTCTTTCGCGACGCTATCGGAGCGATGAAGGAGGATGACTCGCGTAGTCGGTTCATCCGCTTCTCGGTGCAGATGGGGCCGGACTCGGTCCTCAAGTACGCGCCTGAATCGCGGCCGACCGAGTCGGAGAATGTTACGGAGCAAGAAAAGGCCACAGAGGAGAAGTCGGCCGATGAGAAGACGGAGCCTTCGCAGGCCGAAGGCGAGGATAATCGTGATGTGCTCACCATGGAGGGTCAAGGCATCATGGTGTACGATCAGACGGACGACGAGGCTGGACATGTATGTGCCAATCCTTTCAACGTCCCTAAAACTAGTTTCTCCGTGCTTTTCTAACGTTCATACTCATTCCGACAGTCTATGTGGATGCTCCGACCGTTTACCCAACCCCGCGAAGTGACCATCGACCTTCCACCTCTGCTCGTGGAGTCATTAGGCGTCGGCGCAGAGGTGCTAGCGAACTACCTGACCGAGCTGGCGGAGGCCGCAGCCAACGAACCCGATCCTTCCAAACACCCTGCTCCCATTCCAGTGCTGTGTCGCATTTGCGAACGCCAAATCACCCCGTGGTGGTTCGAGAAACACTCCGATCTCTGTCTGCAGGAACATCGGGCTGAGATGGACGTTCAGACCGCGCAGGAAAATCTCAATGAACATCGCCATGCGATTGTGAAAGTGCTGGATGCCTTGGAGGCTCGTCAAGGCCGGCCTTTAATCGGCAGCGATCATTTCACGTTGCCCACCCAGCCGGAGTATAAGGGCTTGCCCATCGGTCCGTCGCCTGCCAGCTCTGCACCATCATCAGATCCGGTCTCAGGCGTGAACTCAGCCCCAGGAACACCGCCTCGCTCCCGTGATCATTCAGCCTCAGGTATAAGTCCAGCACGACCCCGGGCATTCACTGTTCGGCGGCCGCTGGCCCGCATCGTGGAGCTGGTGCTCGATCTCTGTGATACCGCATTAGAAATCAGCATGCCTATGATCAAGGAGTCACAGCGTCCGGAGAATGCGGAGGACTTCAGGACCTTGTCTCCGCAGTCTGAATCCCGAATCTCCCAGGTGATTCAGTGGCAGTCTCCTAGCTCCAACACATTGGAACAGGAACGGGGCTTAGCCGCCTTGGCCTTTGATACGGAACAAATTGCAAAGGCCAAAGTCGATGCTGTTGTGCGTCACCGCAAGATTGTTGAATATGCAGAGCGCATTCGAATTGAATATACTGTCCTGGTGGAGGAGTGCATCACAGCTGCTCTAAACAAGGCTGAGCGCATAGCTGCTGGCCAGCTTAGTGATTCCTCTTGCTCCTCCGACGAAGAGATGTTGCAGGACGCTGCTTTTGCCAGCGATGCAGATGTCAGCACCACTGGCGACAAAGAGGAGTTCCCACACCATCAAAGTCAAGAATCTTTGGCAACGCAGCCACAGCGTGCAGCGCCAACTCCGCGCAAGCCGGCTACATCGGCTCTCACAATGTCTATGCGCAACTCTCCTGATCTTGCCCTTCTCGCCCAAGGGGAGAGTAGATCAGCCTCTGTTGCGGTATCCACTGGGTCTAACAGCCCTATGGAATGCCCCACCCCGCGGTCGCATAAGAGTGCTGCTGGCTTATTAGGCACCTCGCAACCCTCCCGGCGAGGTCTTTCACTGGCAGATATCGATGCGGGCGATAGTAGCGATAGCAGCATGCCGTCGTCTGTTTTTCCCGGAGCGATGCGAACGGATTCGCCTTCTTCTGAGAGGAGTTTCGACCGCAAGCGTAGAAGCCTGGTGCTTCCTGGACTATCAAGTTCTCCTCGTCGACAGCCGTCTCCTGCTCGGGTCTCTGGCCCCCACTCCCCACTACGAATGCCGAAACCCCGACTTTCCCATGGCGCAGAAAGTCTCCCTTCGCCCATCGTGTCTCCGTCCACATACGCTAGCGAATTGGCGCATCATTGCCGGCATCACCGCCGCCAGTCCTCGGCAACATCGTCAGACGTGGCAAAACCACCTCCATCTCCACGTCTGCCCTCTGTCAGTCAGCAGCCTCGCCCCGCGCCGCCGTCGATCAAAGACTTTGAGATCATCAAGCCGATCAGTAAAGGTGCTTTCGGTAGTGTTTATCTGTCCAAGAAAAAGTCCACCGGCGAATACTTCGCCATCAAGGTGCTAAAGAAAGCAGACATGATCGCGAAAAATCAGGTCACCAACGTTAAAGCCGAACGAGCGATTATGATGTGGCAAGGCGAAAGCGACTTTGTCGCCAAGCTCTATTGGACATTCTCGAGCAAGGAATATCTGTATCTGGTCATGGAGTATCTGAATGGAGGCGATTGTGCCTCACTTGTCAAAATCCTGGGTGGCCTCCCTGAAGATTGGGCTAAGAAGTACATTGCGGAGGTGGTTCTTGGAGTTGAGCACTTGCACAATCGAGGGATTGTTCATCGCGACCTCAAACCGGATAATCTTCTGATTGATCAGTCGGGACACTTGAAATTAACTGATTTTGGTCTTTCCCGGATGGGCCTCGTTGGCCGTCAGAAGCGTGTGTTGAAGAATCCGAATGAGCCAGCTCCTGATCTCCTCAAGCAAGGCCCTTTCCCTCGGGCCATGTCGATTGCTTCTTCCCGTTCTGCGTCTTTTGACTTCCAAGCCGGTTCCTCTCCCGGCTCGACCCCGTTGATCACGCCAGACACTGGGGCGAATGCAATGGCTCAGCCGTCTTACTTCAGTCTCAACCAGAGCGGCTTGAGTAGACAAAGCTCTCGTCGAGCGTCGGGCTATCGCAGTGATAGTGCTGGTAGTGATAGCCTGAACGGCATGTTTAGAACCTTTTCACTCAATGACACTGGAAATGAGGCCCCGGCACCTTCGCCCAGCATGCTCTCTACGAGTTTGGCCGAAGAAGAAGAAACGCACAGTGAGGCAGGCGAATCTCCTCATCTTTACCTTCTACAGCCAACATTCAGCAACCCAATGTTGCACAACACACCGCCGCAGCAGAGCATGCTTCCACCCGTGATGGCACTTTTCGACCCCGAGGACCATGACCGCCGCTTCGTCGGAACCCCAGACTACCTGGCCCCCGAGACTATCAATGGTGTCGGGCAGGATGAAATTAGTGATTGGTGGTCCTTGGGTTGTATCATGTTTGAGTTCATCTTTGGGTACCCACCGTTCAATGCCCCAACCCCTGACGAAGTCTTTGAGAACATCCTGCAAAGAAACATCAACTGGCCCGATGATCCACAGGAGTATACTAGCCCCGAATCATTGGATCTCATGAATCGGCTTATGACTTTGAATCCGCGTGAGCGCATTGGAGCCAATGTGGAGGAAAAGTTCCCCAATGGCGGCGCGGAGATTCGTAATCACCCCTGGTTCGCTGATATCAATTGGGATACCCTGTTGGAAGATAAGGCAGAGTTTGTTCCCAACCTCGAGAATCCCGAAGATACGGAGTACTTTGATGCTCGTGGTGCGACTCTCCAAGCCTTTGCGGAGGAAATGGAGGATGAGACTTCACCCCAGCCGCCATCAACTTCCGAGTCTTATCCCGATCGACCCCACGATGCGCTCTTCAAGGTGCGTTCGCAAGTCAATTCAATGAAACGCCCCTTAATGCCGCTGCACATTCCGCCCCATGTTCGCGATGCTCGGGATTCGCGAAGCAGGAGATTGAGTGAGCCAGCAATGGCCGATGACTTCGGCAGTTTCAATTTCAAGAACCTACCCATGCTTGAGAAGGCGAATAAGGATGTCATTCAGAAGATGCGCCAGGAGGCCATGCAGGTCCAGCACCGTCAATCCACGTCATCATCATCGGCTGGCCAAGCCCCTTTGACTTCCTCCCAGCCCTCTCTAGAGGGGAGCCCGCTGCCTATGTCACTGCAGCGTACTTTGTCACAGAGCAAGGGCAACAATCGGCCTTCCTCCCCGTCGAGTCTAAGCCAGGCCAATTCATCGCCGAGCCGTCCTTCTCAGCCGTCTTCGCCCTTGCTTGTTCAGTTCAGCACTGGCACGAACCACGAAAGACGGAAGACTTCTGGGTCTTCTTCGGCTGCGTCACACCAGTCAAGTGGTACCTTCCAACCCTCTTCCGCTGAGCAAGGGCGAATGCCAAATCTCCGTCTCGGCTCGGTCGCCTCATCCCCTGTCAAGGCCAACCGAATGCCGGCCCATTCACCTGATAAACATCCTTCCAGCCAGCGGCATGGAAGTGCACCAGCGAGCCGAGCTCGGTCACAGACAATCGGATCGCAAGACGGAGGAGATTTTCCTGGGCTGGCCAAGGAGACTTTCGTTCCGTCCCACCACAAGCGTCGCAGTCAGCTCTTTGATATTTCGCCTTCATCTTCTGACAACGAGGACCCTCGAACCAAGGCATTGCTCAAGGTCCAGCGCCGCCGCCAAAGCTCTCGACGCCTTTCGCAGTTCAGTATGCAAGATGGTCCATTCTTCCGCCCACTCGACGTTCTGATTTGTGAAGATCACCCTGTTTCGCGTTTGGTGATGGAGCGCCTCTTTGAAAGGCTTCGTTGCCGGACCATCACTGTCACTAATGGTGCCGAGGCCATGCGATATGCCCTTAGCGAAGTACAATTCGACATCATCCTGACTGAATACAAGCTACCCCAAGTCAACGGCGCCGACTTTGCGCGGATGGTGCGGGAGACTCGTAGTGCCAACAGACATACCCCCATCATCGCTGTGACTGGCTACCTAAAGGACCTCCCGGAGACCCATTACTTCGACGCACTCATCGAAAAACCTCCAACACTGTCGAAGCTCACGGAGGCACTTTGCAAGTGGTGCATGTGGAAGCCGCCACCAAAGGACTACAACCCTTCCTCTCAGCCTCTTTCCGTGCCGATGAATTCTGGTCGGATAAATTCGTTGGCGAATGATGACAGCCCGAGCTCGGCGTCATCTGGTTTTGTTCCGAACCCACCTAGCTCGTACCGGGGTTCCAGTCGTGATGACTCGGTGAGCAGCAGTGTTTTCGGTGACATGGAGTCCATCAAGCCGGACGAAGTCCCGGTGATCATCAGCCGCACCAACGATGACTGGGATCAAGGCCCAGGCGGGCTTGGTATCTCGGAAGATGCGCATCCCGGCAGCCCTGATCCCAAGGCCGTCCCAGTCCCGCATCTCTTACACGCCATGTCGGCACCTGCGGCCATGGATGGGAGTGGCACGCTGACCCCGCGGAAACAACGCTCCAGTGAGGCCATCCGCGCCAAGCGGAAGTCTTTGGAAAACAAGCGATACGAGTGTGCTGAGTCTGGCGATGACGAGGATGAAGAGCTTGGCAATTCTCAAACTCGCCGCAGTCCACCAGCTCGTAGTCGTCGTCCTGGCTCCAAGTTGGGCATCGAAATGATGCGCACTAACAGCCGTGGTAGCGTTGTTAGTGGCAGCGAAGAACTACTTAAGAAGGAACGCGAGGCTCTGCGTAAGGCTGGTGAGTCTGACACCGACGAGGGACCTTTGGGATCTCCTGCAAGCATGAGTCTCGAAGACCGCTTCGAGGGCATGAGTATCCCCGAAGAATCCGAGTACGACGAGCCCCTCAGCCCTAGAGACTCGCCTCCTGGGAACAAATTGCTATCCCCTCCTCGATGTCGGCCTTCTCTCACGCATCAAGATACCTCAATATACTCTGGGTCTACCTCCCACCCTTCTGTTTCAAAAGCCAGCTCTGAAAGCTTGGAACAAAGCCAGACCACGCCTCCACGGGACTTCTCCAAGGGGGCCAATCCCGGCCTGGGTGTCACTCCGATCACCCCGGAGCTCAAGGTCCCGGACGATATGTTAAGTACTGAGAGTAGCTCAGGCGTGGATACCGATACAAGCCCGACGCCGGATGCTGAAGCTACCCCGCGTCCGCTGCACCCGTCCCCGCCCCTGGACGCTGAGGCAACACCCCGTGCTCCGGGGCGATATCGCTCAGATAGGTCTTTCTTCAAACGATAGACCGGACCAGGGCGATGATCTTGATCCAACCGATCTACGAACACTCTTCACTTCTCTCTTCATAGTTTTGCATCCTGCCATATCCCCATTCTACCTTCGTGTAAACTCTTTCGTCTTTTCATTTATTCCCCTGTCAAGTCCAGCGGACCTGGCGTACCAAAGCAAGCGCACTCCTCATGTCTCTTATGTCTATGTTGTCCTTTTTGCTGGCTATTGCAGCGGGGTGTTCTGTCTTATTTTCGACTATGCGTCGGCTGGTGATTTTTTGGTTTGGAGTATCAATCCTGATTGCACTGCATCTTTGCTTCTTTATTCATATGCTCGACTTCATCTTCCTTTTTGTGCCAGTTGAAAAGTAGGAGCTGCAGTTTTGCTGGATGGGCATAGCATCACCGGCGCACTGCAATGTTTGAAATGGTTATGTACTAGGTATAGTAGAAGATTGCATGGCGCGCTTCTGCTGATTTTCAGGCAAAATTGAATTTCTTCATCTCCTATTCCTCTTCTTCTATAGATGAGCCTTGATGCTAAGGGCTTCACTGAACACATCCCCCAATTTGGCGACAGCATCCTCACTAATTTGATGGTGAAGCACAATCCGTTTACCCTCCAACTTGATCCCATGCCTGTTCCCGATATCGTTCCACCGTTGAGTCTCAACTCCAGCATGTTCCAAATCGACCCACACCTGATTTGTCTCGACCTTCCTCAATAGCACCCCTCCACGTTCGACCCACATCTTCCCAACGCGCAAAGCCAAATCATGAACCTTGCACAAAGTATCGCCACTTCCCCAGACACCAGACCCGAATTGCTCTTGCACAGCGACCCGAGCAGCCGCCGCCAATGGCCCGCATTGTCTCATCCCACCCCCAATGCTCTTTCTAAGTCTCCGCAGTTGTGCAATCAATCTTTCCGAGCCGACAACCATAGCACCCATAGGCGCACCCAAATTCTTACTAAAATCCAAACTTATCAAATCACCCAAACTACAATAATCCTTCAAACTCCCAGCACCAGCAGCAACAGCTTCCCAAAGCCTTGCACCATCAATATGCAGTTTGATCCCATATCCATGGGCCCATTTGCTAATCCGCCTAATTTCATCCAGGGGCACAATACTCCCTCCAGCGGTGTTCTCAATACTAATCACTTTCGTCGGGCACTTATGCACATCATCTGTAAGCACCGCTCGTTTGACAATATCCCCAAGACTCATATATCGGCCATTCGAAGGTCGCACTTCCTGCACCGCCGCGCCACTCATACTGATACTTCCCCCCTCGAAGTGGATAATATGTGCGCGAGAATCGGCCAGAACGGCGCAGGGAGGCTGTGTTAAGAGCGTTCGTAGGGCCAGTTGATTGGCCATGGTTCCGGTAATGACGAAGGCTGCGTCTTCATGGCCACATAGACTTGCGAGGTGCGACTCGAAGGAGCGGGTTGTTGTGTCTTCGCGGAAGACATCATCGTTGAGCGATGATTGTGCTATAGCAGAGAGCATGCCAATTGATGGGGTTGTGATCACGTCGCCTGGTCTTTTTAGAAAGGGCGAGGATTGACGTGAAGTGGCACTTACTGCGGAAGTCGATCGAGGATTTGTGTTTTGTGCCCCATTCTATGTTCTGGGGCCGTGGAGTGAACGTTTTGTCTAAGGTTTCTTGCGAGACCATTTCGAGTCTGACAAGGAGGGACAAAGTGGTACGCAGGAATCGGCTTTCAAGCTATGGACCCTTCACGGTGTGATATGTGATATGTGAGATGGCGAAATGATACGCCAATCAGCCTCAGCGTCTCGTGCTTTTCAATTTGGCCTCGGCCTCATGTCCCAAAGAGGTTCTTGGGAACGCCCCGCTAAGCTACTTGTGGGGTATGTAAGATGGTGCTCAGACCGTTCCGGTAACTCGATAATCTCACTGCAGAAGGGTTCTGGTCCAGTGCATTTTTCCATCACCTCATCTCGAGCCTACAGAAAGGCTTATCAATATGGATTATGGAGGTCCATCATATTTGCAAAGCTAATACTCTTAAACAGTATGTCCATATTCATGACATGGAATAATCTACTGTCTGTAGAATGGAAAGTATTTTAGCCGACTACTGGACAGGGACACTGCCTATATGCAGCCACCATCCCCGCAGGTACAGCAACCATTGTAAATTCTCTGTGGAATTCCAAATTTTACGTCGTACAAAGTGTGTCTATATGGCGTTTGACTTTCTCGGGACGCTCAGTAGTGCTGACAGTGCTGAAGAAGAATGCGCGCATACGTACCTGATTGGAGCACATATTTAAGGCCACCCGTCCGCAAGAAGTCTAAAGGTAAAGGCGGCACGAACCAGCTTTGTCTATGAAATTTACCCACATTCATCCGTTTGGATTGGAAGCCAATCGGTCTTTCGGGGAAATGATTCATGTTACCACACTGCAATGCCACACCGTTTTCTAGATCCGCGGCTTGGCTCGGAGAGTCAAAAGATTAACTGATTTTCTTTCCCAGCTACATGATAGTTTCTCTCTTTTCCTTGGCTTCGTTTTGTTCGCTTCCTTGTGTACATTAAGATTATGGAGTCGCACAATCTGCATCGGTCGCTTAAGGAGGCGAAGGAAGCGATCGCGGCTGTCCAAATTCAAATTTCTAAGGAGTCCGTCACTTCGGAGCAGCTTCTACATCATGGACTGGAATTATCTTCCACTGGCTACATACAATGGCGGCAGGACTGCAAGGATCACCCCCGCAATTGGTCTTTGTGGAGGAAGACTTATGATACGAGCATAGTGATGTTTCTAGAATTCTATACGTGAGTTTTGTCCCTGGCCGCCTTGGAGAAACAGTATCGCTAAGCGACTCGACTTAAAGAACAGCTATCAGCACGACTGGGGTGAGGATACTGGAGTGGCCCAAATATTCCAGGGAAATTGCTAAATATTCTCTTAGCCCTCAGCGGCAGAGTTGACGCAGGACATTTACGGGTCAAGGATACTCAATCTCGTTGCATTCAGCCTCATGTAAGTGTCAGCATGTCACATAACTACGAGTATGCTCATGAAGCCTCCAGGTACCAGATCGGACAGGCAGTGGGGGGCCTCGTTATACCACCTTGTTCCGAGCTCTTTGGAAGACACAAGCCGTATATCATCTCCTGCTCCCTGTTCAGTGTATCCTGCCTACTTGTTGGACTCGTTCCCAATATCGGCGCAGTATTTATGGGTAGATTCCTTGCAGGGCTTGCATCAGCCGTACCCTCAGTTGTTATCTCCGGAACCGTGGAAGATATATTCAATTCTGAACACCGAGTTTGGATTGTTTTGCTCTGGAATGCGGCCGCCACCGCCGGCCTTGCTTTCGGTCCGATCTATGCATCCTGCATATCTGGAGTAGTAGGCTGGTAAGAAACAAACCCGATTGAATCGATCGTGCGTCCTGCTGAGACTTGATAAGGCGATGGATATTCTATAGCGCGGCTATAGTTACCGCTATCAATACTGTCCTTATACTCCGCATGCGCGAAAGTCGACCCAGCAAGTTACTTCGAACGAAAATCAATCTGCTACAAGCCGAATGCCCAGGTGCTGAGCTCATGTTTCACTCCGCAGATCCCTTCCCAGACGTCGAAGCTTTCATCTACACCGTTTTCATTCGACCGACCCGAATGATGGTAACCGAGCCAATCCTAATCATCGTGTCGGCCCTGAGTGGAATATCGTGGGGTATCATATACCTCTTCTCGGAGTCTATAACTAGGGCCTACATAGCGCTTGGGCTCTCGAAATCGAGTGCAACATTGCCGCTGCTGGCTCTTGTTATCGGGATCTGCTTCGGCGTTTTCCCGCACATCTGGGACATCCACAAGCTGAGAGAAAAGAAGCGACAGAACCTTCAGATTGAACCTGAAGACAAAATCCTCGGCTTTGCCTTTGGGACGCCTGCACTCGCCGCAGGACTATGGTGGTTCTACAGCACGACTCCGCCAGTCCTCTGGGACTCCCATTGGGCGCTTCCTACTGGCGGTCTGGTGCTAGTAGGCCTGGGAGTAAATGAGATTGCATATACAATGAGCGGATATCTTACTGATACATACACGGTCTATTCAGCCTCTGCATTTGCTGGCCTGGCATTCGTCCGCGCCTTAGTTTCCGGGATCATGCCTCTGGTGGGATATGTTATTTTCGATGGGGAACAGAGCAGGCTTCCAGGATTTGTTATTGCAGGAATAGCCACTGCGTTTTGTTCGGTACCTTTTGTTTTCTTTCGATTCGGCAAAGGCTTAAGGCAGAGAAGTCAGTTTGCCAAATATAGTTTTGAGGTTCACATGCGGACCCAATTGGGCGAGCCATAGCTGCGGGATATATACGAATAGCGCGATCACCCCCAAAATCTAGCATTTCGAGCCCTGAATATACCAAAGTCATGTTGTAATATTTACCTTCTAGGATGCTTATATTGACTCTTCAGACACACCATTATGCATGTATTCATGCAGGCTTTGATCATGGAGATCATTGAGTAAAGACCATTGGACGTGGATTGAAATACACTTTAGAAGGACATGTGTATGGTGTCACACCCGATAGGGCTTTTTCCTCTGAACTAGTCTGTTAGACAGCTTGCGGTAAATTTGGTCCCAGTCTATTGAAGACTCAATCTTTCATCGAGTACATATTGAACGAATCAAGCTATGATCAACAGGTAGGCTGTAGACTGACGAGATGGTCACCAGGTCACCACGTTTCTTTCCATAAGTACAAACTTTGAATCACGTCTAAATCCCATTGCTATTGAAAGGCCCGCCTGACTCAGCCTGATGTTTATTTTACTTTCTTTATGCATGAGTATGAATGTTGTGCTGTCATTCTCATGCTACAACCTTCCCTAGTCACACTCCTGTGTAGACAGGTAGTATCTATTAGTTGTCTAGGTAGACTGGAAACTATACCCAACAGGTGTGATTCTCAAATTCATCTAGGATCTGTTTCGAAACAAGATTGCTGGCTAGATGTTTCAATTCTTACTGGTCGCACGTTACCTCTACGAAGCGCAGAATTGGTGTTACCTCTAGGTACCTGTTTCTTCTTTAACAGTGCGGCGGCTACAAGGCCATCCCAGCCATCATCCACTACCGTGCTAGGCAAACCAAAAAAAGGTCGACACGATATTGACCGCTTATGCAATTATGCACCCCAAGTGGAATTTATCTTGCCGTAGGCATCCACCTCAGGTAGGAGACTAGAGAAGAGCCATCACAGGAAGAGGGGCACCAGTCAAATTAGCGCAAATTCCTTGGTGAACAGCCGAGGACTCGGGTAGGACGTGCTTGGCACTTGGCGCTGTCAACTAGCGTCTCACCATGATCCGAGCGGCGATCCTGCTTATTAGGGCGAGCCGGAGAGAAGATGGAACAGGCGTGGGACCGCGTGAAGGGCTCACGCACACGCACACGCACCCGGATGCCGCAGCTTGCATGCATAGCCTGGGGCCAGCCTGTATGTGATGGCTCTATCAGACGGCTGCGTTGCACCTTCAGGCCCCCCCGCACCCCCTAACCCATGGGCGGGATCAACCCCTGGGCGGGGTCGTTTGGAAACGGCCCAATTGCGATGATTTTGTTGGGCAATCGGCATATTCCAGGCCATCAGACACTGTCCAACAAGCACGGAAGGAATTGGCCAGTTGACGCGTCCCGTAATTCGCACGTTGATCGTTCGGCTAGTGCTCTACTTTGCACTGCCGGCGACGTCATGGGTTTTGACCGGGGCGCAATTGACCAACTGGCTCGTAGACCCACCACAGACCGAGATATGGCCGGGTCCCATCGATGGTATAACAATGTTTGGGGGTGTCGGTAAGAATCGAGTATCATAGCAACACTTCAAATTTCCTTTTCTGGGAGATTATGGAATAGGGACCGTGTCGGTGCCATCGCGGGTCCGATGCAGGGGTTGACGCACGGTGGCGACAGCGGCGTTCTGTGGCGGGGAAAAATCTGAGCATCCGCGAATCTGCGAGGCCGCGATAGCTCCGTCGCCAGGCCAAGAATCTCTGGCTGGCTAGACGTTTGCCAGGCGCCACGGTGGGGACGGGGCTTGACCGGGGGTGGGTGGTGGTGGATGGCGGCGCCATTGGTGGAGCTGTGGAGAGACCCGAATTGTTGGCTATTTCAGCAACGGTAGGCACCAAACGTACATTTGCACTGGCATTGTTCCGTGGGATAGGGATCCTGCCCAGTGGTCCGCCTTGGCTGCGAGCTGCAAAACTGCGAACTATGAAGCTCGGGCTGGACACCCTGCGGAGGCAGGGGGCAGTTTCCAACACCATCATGGATGATACTCAGAGTGCTCCGTAGTACGAACGAAGGCCAGAATCGTCATCCAAATGAATCCTTTCCCGATAATGATAGACCTCTCCTAATCTCGACCCTTAATTACGCATCATAGAATCCGTGCAGAGCCCAGACTTCGCCTTCGTCGACCCACCGCGGCCCACCAAGTTTCATCGTCGGTCGCTGCTGGCCAAAAAACGATCTTTGCTCTTCGTGCTCTTCGTCTTTCTCCTTGTCTAGTCTGCTGCTCATCCTCCTTCTCCCCACTGTCTCTATCGCGCTTGTCGCTCTGCATTCGTTTCGAGTGACCCTCCGCCCTCCGATGCTCCGGTGATTCACCAACCTTCGCCCTCACCCGCCATACACATCCTCCTCATTCTCATTCTTAATTCTGTACTTGCTATCGATCGTCCTGCATACCGACCGACCGACCCGAATACCTGGCACATCCCCTGCCTCTCCCCACCTGTCACTCTCCTGGTAGAGCTGGGTAACGCGCCGGCTCTACCCCACATTCTTTCGATCGGCCTGGTGCCATTATGTCCAGCCCCGTGGACGAGCGCAAGACCTTCCACTTGCAGGAGAAGCAAGGAGAGAAACGCTCCGATTCCGATGAGGTGACGCCGACCTCGGACGACGGCACCTATATCCACGATGCCAACCCCGTAGGCCGGGAAAACCTCTTGAGAGTCAACACCTCCATCCGCGAGGACGATGGCGCTCCCATAATGAGCACACCCTCGGCACGTCGCGAGCAAGCGACCCGTCTGGAGGATGATTTGATGCTGTTACAGGCGGAGCGCGTGGCCTCGCGTTCGACCCAGGGCGACAATGGCGACGAGCGGGGCTCGATGAGTCGGTCCCGGTCGCGCCGGAGCGAGGCCATCGACGAGTTCGACGAGGCGACGAATCCTCTACATGAAAAGGCCGCCGTCTACAAACCCCCCGAGAACCCCAATACCAAGCTTTCGGCCTTCGTGAAGAAAATCCACCAGTCCAGCTTCCTAATTCGATACCTAACATATATCGCCCCGGTGGTTCTGCTTCTCTTGATTCCCTTGCTCTTTGGAGCTTTGAAGTTCCCCAATGCGAGTGTTGGTGGTGTGAAACTGATGTGGTTTTCGATCTGGCTGGAAATTGTTTGGTTAACTCTGTGGGCTGGCCGAGTAAGTTGCAATGTGGAGGCGGACGCGCAATGAGGAGGCCATGATCGCTAATGCGACTGTTCGCTTAGATCGTCGGAAAGGGGATTCCCCCCGTGGTTGGTGTCCTGGCCAGCATCTTCACCAACAACGCGAAGAAATGGCGCGACATGGCCAAGCAGCTCGAATTGCATGCCGCTCTTTTCTTCTGGTGGCTCGGCGTGGAGATTTCCTTCCTGCCGACCATGAAGAACCACCATGTGGACGGCGACCATGGCACCCGCAGTTGGGAGAGCACTGCTAACAAGATCATCATCGTGATCTTCGTTTGGACTATCATGAACCTGATTGAGAAGATCATCATCCAGCTTATCGCGATCAGCTTCCACCTGCGCACCTACGCCGACCGCATTGAGCTCAACAAGTTCCAGATCGGCAGCTTGGTGAAGTTGTACGCCTGGTCGCGTGACCGGATCGAGGAGACCGACGAGGCCTTTCAGATGAAAACCGAAAAGACACCCCCGGGAACCAGGACCCCCTTGCATTATGCCGGCAAAGCTCACAAAGTTGCTAAGGGCGCCTTGAATAAAGCCGGGAACAAGGTCGCCGATATGGCTGGGGCCGTTGCGGCGGACTTCACCGGTCGCACGGCTCAATACAGCTCGGACCCCTACCAGGTCGTACTTACTCTGTTGCGAAGCACCTCGGGTTGTCAGGTGCTGGCGCGTCGCTTGTACCGTACCTTTGTCCGTGATGGATTTGATACTGTCTTTTCTGGGGACTTGAAGGAGGCCTTTGATAACAGCGAAGAGGCCGAAGCGGCCTTTGCCATGTTTGATCGTGACATGAATGGAGATATCTCGATGGAGGAACTAGAGGCTGTGTGTGTGGACATTGGTCGTGAGCGCAAGTCGATTACTGCCTCTCTGAAGGATCTGGACTCGGTCGTGTCCAAGCTGGACGATGTGTTCATGTTCTTCGTCTTCATCGTCGCGCTGATTGTCTTCTTGTCACTCATCTCGACCTCGGCCGCCGGTGTACTTACCTCTGCTGGATCCAGTGTCCTGGCTCTTTCTTGGCTGTTCTCCGCTACGGCCCAAGAGTTTCTCCAGTCCGTCATCTTCGTCTTTGTCAAGCACCCCTTCGATGTCGGTGACCGTGTCACTATCTACGGCAATGCCGGTGACACCGGCCTAGGTGATGACTACTTCGTCAAGGAGATCACATTGCTGTACACCGAGTTCAAGAAGATGCAGGGTCACGTTGTGCAGGCACCCAACAGCTACCTGAACACCCTCTTCATTCTCAACCAGCGCCGTTCCGGTGCCCTCGCTGAAGCCATCCCGATCATCATCAAGTACGGCACTACCATCGACCAAATTGACGGCCTTCGCCAGCGTTTGCTCGAATTTGTGCGCAGTGAAAAGCGCGACTTCCAGAGTAACATCCTGACCGAGATGCGCGCCGTCACTGAAAACTTCTCCGTCACCCTGAACGTTGTCTTCTTCTACAAGTCCAACTGGCAAAACGAAGGCCTGCGTCTACAGCGCCGGAATAAGTTCATCTGCATGCTCATGATCGCCCTCCAGGAGATTGGCATCGAGGGCCCACGCATGAACCTCCAGGGCGCGAACGTTGACATCCCCTTCCACGTCAACTACAACCAGCCCATGATGGCGCCCACCCCGAAGAAGGAAGCCGATGTCCACGAGATCGAGGAGGTACCTATTGGCCACGAATCTGGTTCTATGCCCGAAAACACTGGCAGCAGCAGTGCTGTGCGCCGCCCATCCATTCTGCGCAAGGGCATGAATACTGCCGCGGCGCGCGCCCGTGGTCAGTCTGTCTCCCGCAAGCACGTCGACTTCTCTCTTGGCATGGCCGACATGTCGTCCAACGACATTATGGGCGATGTCTTTGAGGATCGCTCCGTGCGTATCGACGACGTTGTCCGCACCACCAATCGCGAAACCCAAGAGCGCCGCATCCAGGAGGCCCTGGAGGAAGAGGAGGAGCGTCGCAGCCACGGTTCTTCATCACGAATGTCTTCGCGTCACCGCCGTCCCTCGAACCTGAGCGCCCCGTCGCACGACGGCCGTCCATCGACCGACGCGCTTAGCCTTGCGAGTGGCACCTCGTCGACTCGCCACCGGTTCTTCCGACACCGCGCCAGCGTCAGCCGTGACCGGGACGATATGATGGAGCAGGGCCGTGTCGATACGACCCCTTCTGCAGCCGTGCATGAACAGCAGGAGCACCAGAGCGAGCGAACACACTAAAAATCGGTGATAGCGGTGTATGAGCGGTGACTTTCTTGAACATATTTTCCGGGACTCATTCTTTTTCTACATATCGACATTGCGGCATCATACGTGACTTGGGGGGCGTCTTTGATTATTGTGCCATATGAATTGGCTTGGCTTGGCTGTTTGCTTGTTGGTGTACATATATTCCCCCGTATTAGCATCATACACTCTTTTCCCTTCGAAGCTACACTACAGTCTACGTCTTATTAGGCTTTCTCTCTAACCTATCTCTCTCTCAATTTTTGTTCTAAGGGCAGCAGCACTCGGCTCAGGGTAGCGAATGCCGTTGACGTGCGATCAACCTTTCCTGGATATTTCCAATCCTAGTCATATACCTAGTGATGGTATGTCTGCATTCTCTTAGTTCCACAACCTCGCCCTTACATATATAAACTGGTGCAATCCATCCCTCTGATTTCATACCCGATCTTTATGCCATGAGAGGCAGCGCAATAGCGCACCCAAACACCCACGGCACCCAGGAGTCCCACTCTAGGGATAGCGAACGGGCCGTTCCGGAAGATATCGATGTTGCCACACCGGTGGCGGAAGATGAAGCGGGCGAGGACGTAGACGCCGGCTGTGAAGTCATCGAAGGCGTGGAAGATGAGCTAGTCGCAGTGTTCGATAGAGTGCCTCCGCCTGTGCTAGACGAAGTACTACCTGCCGAAGCGCTAGTTGTCTGCGCCCCGCCCGTGGTCGCGGTCTCTGTCGTGGCCGACACCCCCGTGGTCATGATCGGCCCGCCAGGATTCTCAGACGTGATATTCGGCAGCGGATTGCCAGTCAATATCGTCGTGTCCAAGACGCACACGCCGCCTATGCATGTATATCCGACTTGACAATCGCCACAGGAGCTCTCGGTGCTAGTGCTGGCGGCAGCAAGCTGGCAGCTGAGCATGAGAAGAGCGACTGCCCTTTGTGTATGCATGATGAAGTTGCTCGGGGTTAAGTTTAGGTTTGAGTGGCGATAGCGGAGTCGCACGAGAAGGGGGCTGAAGCGAATTAATATAGTTGGGAGCAGAGCAGCATAGGGTATTAACTCTATCCCTGAACTCTGAACTCTGCACTTGCACGGAGAGACGGTGGAAAGGGTAAAGGAGCGGGTGATCTACACGACCCTATGGATGTGTGGGTGGATCGTTCCTCGGGAAGGCGTTTGACCGCCATGTTTCCCCGCACTTGTTCCCTGGTTGTTTCCAGTTGAATTAGGTCGTCCAATTATGCTGGCTTATTGTATATCCATTCGACCTCTAAGCGTGCGGTTGCCACTAGCTGACCGGTCGTCTGATGCGTCTCCGGTCGCCGCTTAGCATTCACAAGCATTTTGTAGTTGGGAATTCTTGTCCTACAGGCAAGCTTGCCTTTGCCTGGTTGTCCCTTATAAATGAATGACCAGCCTCGGTCGACAGACGAAACATGGAAATCGGCTGAAGAATTGATTCGTTTCGTTCTAGGTTGAAGCCCCTTACCTGCTGTATATTGCTTTAGGTACATAGATAGATGTGACCGGCCATATATCCTCGTATTTGCAAGTAACCGTGTCAGGTATTTTTAATAACAGCTGAACTATCTTCATCATGAGTAACCTCCATAGCACTAGGATAGTATTTCAAAGGTCATCCGAATTTTAACTGTCAATTACCGAAAGCTTGGTTCGCTATAGACCATACTCAAATGGCTTGCACCATTCCACTGCCAATGATACCGAGTCTAGTTAGTCCATGATATTAGGCAAGATCTAGATGAATGTGTTGACACATGTTTCATTCCATTTTCAAACCTCATATCCCGCCTATCGATTAAAGCTCCGAGTCTATGATTTCTCCATGATCATGCTGATCGAAACCTTGATTGGCGACCGAGGGGATTTGCAAAGGACGTCTAATTATTTGAGATGACGCTGTCAGCTGCACGCTGGACACGGTGCAATTGGAAGCCCTTGTATTGTTTTGACGTCTTCCAGTTATTTACATCATACCATTCTCCTTACCGAGACAGGGGATGTACCTCTGGTACAAAGCTTAGAGTATGCGATGCCACACAACAAAAGAATCCAATCTCTAGGATGGGGATAAATCGGTTGGGGGTAGCTTATCTGGCTATACTAACTGCGGAGAGTCATGAAATCTAGGCATCTTATTTTTTTTCTCTACCGCCCAAACGTGACTCAGAGTCGGAATTCGGGTCTCTGAGCTGCAGGATCAGGCAACTTAATAGATACTCGATGCCCGAACGGTTCCGCCGCGCTATCTCGGCAATAACTCATCATCAGTCATCTGTGAGAGCCTCCTGGCCCCGGCGCCAGGCCTACTTCGGTATAGCACCCAATTGGTGTTCTCCCCCTTCCCGTAAGATAAGGAGACGCCACACCAAATCGAGCGAGTTATGCTATTACCGGCTGCCTGACTCGGGGTCCCGTCGGAGCTCGGAGTTGCAGAGCCCCTCATGGTCGGGAATACCCTTCCTTGCGGATTGAAATGATATTTGAGGCCGCTGTGCGGCTGAATTTCTTGGTTCTTGGAGTATTCATTCACCAACGCTGTGACCATGTCGTGTCCGCGGGGTAGTGACAATATATTTGGACCACGAGTTCTCGTCGACTGTCGTGCGTTTGACTTTAGCCTGCTCTTTGAAGATGCAATATTCGGAGTTCTCCTCGCTGGCGTTTTCCTAGTGTTAGCAACATGCCGACTCTTATTGCTGATCCGCGCGCCCATCAAAGTCACTTCGCATACACTTGCGACATGGAAATTGGTAGAGCAGTTATTTTGAAACCATAAGCATAAATATTGCAAGGCTAATTCGATGAACCAGACCACCCTCGCCATTTTGCTAGTCCTTCATGTTCTCCATCTAGCATTCCAGCTCCAAGCTCCCATCTTGCATACGAACGCCTCCTTAGCAGCTAGTGTGTTGCAGATTTTCACCGTTGCTTCAGCCGCATTGCTCTCATGGCTAGAAGACCAGCGCTCGGTTCGACCGTCCGACACCATGGTGCTTTATTTCTTCATTGCTAGCATTCTTGCACTGCCGCGGGCGCGAACCTTGTGGCTTCTTTCTCCAATCGTTCAAACACAAGCTATACTTTGGACATTGGTTACTATCGGTACCTTGTGTGTATTGTGCTTGGAGTCGATCCACAAAACTCAACTTCTGCACCTAGCGTATCGACAACCTAGCAAAGAGTACACGTCTAGCTTTTGGGTCCGGAGTTTTTTCACTTGGGTCCTCCCGCTGTTTCAAAGTGGATTCTCTACAATCCTCGCAATCCATGATATGCCTGAGGTGGACCGCGCGCTCCAAGGAGAGTCGGCAGAAAGACGACTAGTCAACACATGGTCAAAGAGTATGTTTTTTTCTCTGCAACTGAAGTGACGGGCCTTTGGCTAAAGCACGGGTTACAGGCAAGCATGCTCAAAAGCACAAATTAATTCATGTAACTTTCCGTGCATATCTTTGGCCGTTTGTGAGTGCAGTGGTGCCTCGACTGTGTTTGACGGCCTTCAAGTTTTGCCAACCTTTTCTTATCTCGGCGACACTGAACTTCATCAGTGATTCCTCGACAGCAGAAAACAAGTATTACGGACCTTCCTTGGTGGGCGCGTTTGTATTGACATATCTCGGAATGGCTGTAGGTTGCTCTGATTCCCAGGCTGCTCTTTCACAGTACCAAGGTTTCCACATCCGGGACTAAACTTCCGATCTAGATATCGACCGCCGTCTATTGGCGCCAGACATTCCGTTTCAATACCACCATCCGAGCCGGCCTCATCTCATTAATCTATAAGCAAACGAATAAGCTCCAAAGGGGTGATTTCAAATCAGAATCAGCTATCACGCTCATGGGCACCGATGTGGAACGAATCGTCAAGCACTTTTGGAGTATTCACGAAGCGTGGGCAGGACCTGTAGATGTTTCCATTGGCCTCTTTCTTCTAGCCCGGCAATTGGGTGTGGCTTGCTTGATTCCTGCACTCATTTCCATCTGTATGAACACCTGGAGAAGTTGTCGGAACCCGTGCTGACATTATTCCAGTTGTCGTGCTGGCGACGATTCCGGTTTCAAAAAAGTCCGGCACGGCTCAGAAACGTTGGATCGAGCGAGTTCAGACACGCCTGACCACAACGTCCAGCATGTTGCACGATATGAAATCTGTGAAGATGCTTGGTCTCGGCGAAAAGCTTTATGCTTCCGTGTCTAGCCTACGCCAGGTCGAATTGCAAGTGTCACAAAAGTTCCGTGTCTTGCTAATCTGGCAGATAGCGTTATGTATGTCTTCCGTTTCCTCAGAGGAGTCAGTAAACTGATCAACTTCATTCTATAGCTAATATGCCCGTGTCATTTGCACCGTTTGCTACTTTTGCCATATATGCGATTGTTCAGGCAGCCCGGGGCGGCCAGTCGATTTTGACAAACCGCATGTTCACTTCCCTCTCGTTAATCTCACTGATGACAGACCCACTGGTCATTTTCATTCAAACACTTCCATCACTTTGGGAGTCCGTCTCTTGCTTTAGCCGAATCGAGAAATATTGTACCAAGGCACCTATGGACACCTCGGACGAGTCTCCAATCGCCGGAGAGGCAGTAGAGCTGTCCTCAAACGCATTCTCAAATCCATCTTTCGCCTCGGAGATTGAGTTCCAAAATGCCAGCTTTTCATGGACCCAAGATGGACCTCTTGTGCTGCATAATCTGAGCTTTGCGATTCAAAGAGGAGAAATCATTGTGATCATCGGGCCCGTTGGTAGTGGTAAGAGTACACTGTTGGAAAGCTCCCTAGGTGAAACAGCATTGAAGAATGGGTCAATGTCACCGTATCCAACGAGCGTGGCGTATTGTCCCCAGACACCATGGATCATGAATGATACCATTCGTCAAAACATTCTGGGTCCAGCTACTTATGATCCAAAGTGGTACAATTTTGTTATCTGGGCTTGTGCATTGGAAGTCGACTTGGAGAACATTGTCGGTGGTGATCTTTCTAAAGCCGGGAGTTCGGGTATCACGCTGAGTGGTGGTCAGAAACAGAGGATTGTTAGTATTTTGGCGACGGCTAATCATAAGGCCATTCTATTCAGGTTACTGACATCTTGTAGTCCCTGGCTCGGGCGGTTTACTCACGAGCGCCCACGTTGGTCCTCGACGATGTATTCAGTGGCCTCGACACGAAGTCTATCGCTGCCATTTCAACTCGCCTGATGGCACCAAATGGACACTTCCGAGAATCCGGAAGAACCGTCATGCTCGCAACACACAACCATCGCCTGCTGCCATTTGCTGATAAAGTTATCGTTCTAGAGACTGGGAAGATATCTGCCATTGGACCCTACGAGGAAATTCATTCCAAATTGCCACAGGGCCTTCTTAGCCATGATAGTGATGATTCACCCATTGAGCAAGCCCCAGTGGCCGGAAGCCAGGAGCCTCTACCTCAACTTACCGAGATAAAGAGCAACGTTAATGAAGAGGCTGTTGAGCTGAAAAAAACACGTCGAGATGGAAAATGGTCCGTGTATTCGTATTATTTTCAATCTGCGGGATGGGCACTTATGGTCTCCATGATCACGTCTACTGCTGTCTGCGGCTTCACAGAAAGATTCTCAAGTCCGTGAGCCCCCAATTCTTGTTAGCCAGTCGTATTCTAACGATTGAATAGTTGTCTGGCTCCAACAATGGTCAAGCGCGAATGAACAAAACCCGGACCAGCGCCCTGGAAAGTATATTGGGGTTTACGCGTTACTTGTTGGCATGTCAATATTTTGTGTTGTCTTCTCATGCTGGTATTTCTTCTCTTGTTATTCGTGTTACTTTTCAGAATCACTAACTGCGACCAAACCTAAAGGGCCCTTTTTGTTCGCATTATTAACAATACCGGCCGAAATATGCATTCTCACCTCCTCAAAACTACTCTGGAGTATGTCCCCATGACCGATTTTATTATTTAACCTATCAGAATTGAAGGAGGCTTACATCTATGAACAATTTCAGTGCCCCTCTTAGCTTTTTCCAGAAGACCGATACAGGCTTGACGATCAATCGGTGAGTGTTGGCCCTGGAGGGCGAGGAGCCTGTCATTAACACTTCATAGATTCAGCCAGGACTTGGAGCTTATCGACATGGATCTTCCAATTCAGGCCGTTAATACAAATATTTGTAAGTCTTTTTGTTCCAGTCGAAAATTCTCAAGCGCAGTTGGTCTTATTCTACCTGCCAGCCTTGGCGAACTGCTTTGTTCAGCTCATTATCCTCTGCGTCATGGGAAAATACCTTGCCATAACCGTCCCCGCTCTTGGAATCATCCTGTTCTTTGTTCAAAGTTACTACTTGCGAACCTCTCGCCAAGTGCGATTGCTGGATATCGAAGCCAAATCTCCACTTTTCACCCACTTCATGGAAACTATGCAGGGAATTACGGTCATTAGGGCAATGCGATGGCAACCGCTTTTCCAAGCTCGGCTTCAGAGGCTCCTCAACCAATCGCAAAAGCCATTTTACATGCTCTTCTGTATCCAACAGTGGCTTCAATTGGTTCTAGACTGTATCGTGATGGCACTTGCCGTCATCCTTGTATCTCTGGTGGTCTCTTTCAGGGCCCAATTCAGTGTCGGTTCTATTGGTGTTGCCCTCAACCTGATTCTCGCCTTCAATCAGGACCTCATGCAGTTTATCAAGTCCTGGACAGTTCTTGAAACTTCCATTGGGGCGGTGGCACGTATTCAGGACTTTGTGGAAAGTACTCCATCGGAAGAGCAGCAGCATGAGGAGACACCGCCTATTCCAACCCAATGGCCGGGGCGTGGGGAGTTAGTCTTCGACCGCGTCGTAGCTTCCTATAGGTGAGTCGTTCGTGTGAATGTACTTTTCCTTACATTTCAAAATAAGCTAACTATTCTTCAGCCGCAAATCTCCGCCTGTCTTGAATGAGCTGTCTCTTGCTATTCAGTCAGGTCAGAAAGTTGCTGTTTGTGGCCCATCTGGTAGCGGTAAGACATCCCTGATCCTCGGATTGTTACAAATGATCGACTTGCGGGAAGGCACCATTACAGTCGATGGTGTAGATCTATCCACTCTAGCATGCAGTACAGTACGATCCAGAATCAATGTGGTGCCTCAAGAACCCTTCTTCATGCCTGGAACATTGCGATTCAATTTGGACCGGGATCTGGAGCATACCCCGGTCTCCGACACACAGCTTATCAAAGCCCTTAATGCTGTCGGTCTATGGAAGAAGGTCTGCGCCAATGGTCACGGAGGCGGGGAGTTGGACCAGCCACTATCAATCTCAGATTGGTCCATGGGGGAGAGACAGCTGCTTTCATTAGCACGAGCGTTGGTCATGAAGAGTCCAATCCTGGTTCTAGATGAAGCTACAAGCAGGCAAGTTTTACCTCTCAGTCTGCAGTTTCCAGTCATCTGTACTAACATGCACCATGTCATGATTTAGTGTGGATTGGGAAACCGAGGCCACTATGCAGGCTATTATTGAGCGGGAATTTACTTCTCAGACAGTGATTTCGGTCATGCACCGACTTCGCTATGTCGAGCAATATGATCGAGTTGCTCTGATGAAGCACGGTCGGCTCGTTGAATATGGTAGCCCTCAAGAGCTTCTGGCAAAGCCTTCAGAATTCCAGACTTTTTACCAGGCGAAAGGGCACTAAGATGTATCTATGAAGTGGTGGCGTTACGTTGCAAGATAGGGCAAACTGAGGGGGCGGAAAGCATGAAGGGCGGGTTATAAGTGGGGCATGTAGCATGTTCCAAATCGTATGTACTAGAGCGCCATATCTTTGAGACCATGGAAAGATTTCAGAATGCGTCGGCCATTGCAGTGACAAATAGTGTGGATAGATGGTGGGAAGACTGAGGAAACATTTGCACTACCACTGTACAAATCTCGAGTTCATATAAGCAACACAAAATTGCATACTAAAACGTAGGGAATGTGGTCTCATGCGTGATGTTTGTATCACTTGCGAACGGTAAGTTACCCCTCCATGGTAAGTCACGCGGGTCTTGACAGTCACAGATTCGCCCATGGATTCTCAGGGGCTATCCCAGAGTAGAAACAAGTTATCCAAAAGCAACTATCATATGCACGTACATTTCGCCGGCGCTTGTATAAGTCCGCTGATTCGGTGTCGGTGGATCCATCAGACTAACAGCCTGCCGCCCTCGGATAAATCCCTGGCCCCATTGTTAGGCGCTAGGAACCTTAGCCACCAATCGATTACCACCACCCAACGGAGAGCGAAAGCGCATACAAAAAGGGGGAACTTCGCTTCATATCGCAAGTTTTGCTACAAGCAAGAATTGAAATCCTCAAATACCAGCCATGTCATGTTCTCAGCGCCCTCGATCGCAAATGGTCGCAATAATACCTCTCCTTCTGGCTTTAATCCCATCAACTACGGCAAACTGTTATTGGCCCAACGGCGGTGTTGCTGGAAACTACGTTACCTGTCCTAATAGCAAGGTCTGCTGTCTCAAAGGCGAGGCTTGTCTCTCAAACGGGTTCTGTTACGCTGCAAGATACAACGTTGCATATCGCGGTGCCTGCACCGATACATCGTGGCCGATTGCCGAATGCCCTCGAGCATGTTATGACAGTAAGGGACAAATCTCTAGTGTTGTCTTCAGTTGTTCTTTCCGGACAAACTAACTGTGTATCTGTTCTCTATAGCAATCACAGACCAGTGGGCTAATCTCTTGACATGCTCCGGTACCGCGAGAGGCAACTTTACGTGCAGTAAAGCCGTCGACGGCAAAACTGCCTGCGAACAAAATGTGGAAACATGGATGTGGGAGGGAGACTCTGGTGTGAATGTGACCGCCGCCCAGGATGGTCTCTCGTCAACTTCGTCCACGGCATCATCGAGCGCGACCTCCAGCTCACCATCCGCTACGCTCGCGTCGCTTTCATCCGCAAATACCTCGGCATCCGCCGCGGAGAAATCGTCTTCGGGTACATCAAGCAGCTCAGCGATTGCCCTCGGGGCGGGATTGGGTGCGGGCCTAGGCGTGCCTCTGGTACTTGCTATGGCACTTCTAGTATATTTCTGCATTCGAATGCGACGTCGATCCTGCGTCACTAGTCACATCCAAGACACCAATTGGACGGCAAATGGGCATTATTTGGGCCCAGTAATAACTACCCGGGAGGCGCCGCGTGAGCCCTTCGAGCTGGTGGGCTCAAAACACGATCGAGATCGCTCCGAACTACATGGATAAGTGCATGAATGGATTGACGCGCAGGGAGACTTTCTGCGTCAGCATTACCCATCAGACCGTTGTTATCATTGTCTCTTTATATTATACCCTATGCTTGAACCGATCAGCTGGTATGGTTATCAGGCAGAAATGCTAGTAGAGTTTACATACCTAGTTCTGGGATTAGGTAACCCACAGGTTCTATCCATCCTGTCATTCATTGCCCAGATTCAACGTCGGCTCAATGCAATTTACCCGGCGACTCACACCATAATTGCACAGAACGAAAGAAAAGCACGACAGAAAAGCAAGACAAAAGCAAGACCCAAAAGATATGGTCACGCAGGATCATCTTTCTTTTACCGCCACCCGCATTTACTTAATATAAGGTTGGGTGGCGATAAGCGGTTGTTCGACGCGGATCGGCAAGTGGATCATACTACAAAACGGAACTGAAATTGATAATCAACGTTTTGGGACATGTGGGTAGAAAACTTCATCAATAAACACGGGATGTATGCGTAGTGCCTACCTGGGAATTGGTGAATATGAGATTGTAGTACGTAGCTTACTGGGTTGACGAAACAGAAGGGCCGAATGTAAGTAGATTAGGTAATGTCTGGAGGGATTAAGCAACTTCATTACAGTTCAAGACGGGCGCCCGTGAGGTAGTTCCGCGGTGACCGCCAGTTTTGGTGGAGTTGGAGGCAGGTACCCGCCATTGACGTTGCCTGAATCAGGGGGCGCTCATGGACACTCTTCCACGCTCCGCTCCTCCCCCAAACCCACTTCCTAGCTGCGATCCATACCCCTTGGACCATTTACACTTGTTTACCTGTGGTTCTGCTCTCACCTGTCCTCATCCATCATGCGAGGCGAGGTAAGTTGCCCGTGTGATTGACCCCGCCCGTTGTGCTGGTGTATACTATGGTCACCCCCACCGGTTCTCCTCCCGTGAACCATACGATGCACTACGAGGTACCCTGGGTCTGCAGGCGGCTCGATCGCAATCAGATCCAAGGATGCAGTTTCACATGCTGAACATATTCAATTGAATAGGTCTGCCATCTTCATATTGGCCAGGCTGGTATCCAGCTAGGCAATGCCGCATGGGAGCTGTAGGTTCCCACAGCGCTGGTTAGGCGGGTTGACTCTCGGCATGAGCTAACAGCTTTCCTCCCGAAGTTACCTCCTCGAGCATGGCCTCAAGGCCGACGGCCATCGTGATGCCAGCATCACCGACGAAATCGGCACCAGCGGTTCCTACGAGTCCTTCTTCACAGAGACTAGGGGAGGCAAATATGTGCCCCGCTCCATCTTCGTCGACCTCGAACCTTCCGTATGAATCGCTGGAGATGCCCTGAGATAGAGGAGGCGTATGGCTAATAAAATATGGGATAGCCCATTGACGAGATCCGCACTGGCTCATACCGCGAGCTCTTCCACCCCGACCAGATGATCAGCGGCAAGGAGGATGCCGCCAACAACTGTATGTCCGTGTAACAGTCTAGATGGGGATGCACCGATCGAAGGCTCACATAACTCAGATGCTCGGGGCCACTACACTGTTGGAAAGGAGCTCTTCGAGCAGGTGAATGACTGTGTCCATCGCGTGACTGGTAACCATGATGACCCCCAAGCCGAGCTCTAAACTTCAACCCTGACCGAGATCTAGAGAACTGCGAGTCCCTCCAGGGCTTTTTGATCTTCCACTCCTTTGGTGGCGGTACCGGCTCGGGGTTCGGTGCTCTGCTGCTAGAGAGTCTCTCCCATCAGTTTCCCAAGAAGGCCAAGCTGGAATTCTCCGTGTACCCGTCGCCCCGCGTCTCGACTGCCGTCGTGGAGCCCTACAACGCCGTGCTTGCTACCCACCACACCATCGAGCACTGTGACTGTACATTCCTCGTCGACAACGAGGCCGTGTACAATATCTGCCGCCGTAATCTAGACATCCCCCGCCCAGGCTTTGAGCACTTAAACCGCCTTGTGGCCCAGGTGGTGAGCTCTATCACCTCCAGTCTGCGCTTTGACGGGGCTCTCAATGTGGACCTGGCTGAATTCCAGACCAATCTGGTGCCCTTTCCACGTATTCACTACCCTCTGATCTCGTATGCCCCGGTCATCTCAACCAATCGCAGCTCCCATGAGAGCCACAGAGTACAGGACCTCACATTCCAGTGTATGCTCACCCGCCCTCACAGGTGCACAATAATGATAGACTGACCTGAGTCTAGGCTTTGATCCCAACAACCAAATGGTGGTCTGTGACCCTACTAAGGGCCAGTACATGGCTGTCGCTATGCTGTACCGCGGCGACGTTGTTCCCCGCGACTGCACCCAGGCCGCCGCCGCACTTAAGGCCAAGTCTACCTTCCACCTTGTCGATTGGTCCCCCACCGGCTTCAAGCTGGGAATTAATTACCACAAGCCGATGCGTGTTCCCGATAGCGAGCTGGCTCCCGTCGACCGTTCCGTCAGCATGCTCTCGAACACCACGGCCATCGCCGAAGCCTGGAGCCGCCTGGACCACAAGTTCGATCTCATGTATTCCAAGCGCGCGTTTGTGCACTGGTATGTTGGTGAAGGTATGGAGGAAGGTGAGTTCTCCGAGGCTCGTGAGAATCTCGCGGCCCTGGAGAAAGACTACGAGGAAATCGTAGCCGACTCGAGCGAGCCCGAAAATGAGCCCGAGCAGGAATACTAAGTCGCTATGGACGAGCCTGCTAGTACTGGCCTTGATGACCGCACATGTCAATGCAATTTTCTGCGTTCTCCGTTTCGCGAAACCTCCTTTCATTCATGCTCTCCCGCCCTTGGATCGCTAAGAGGAATAGTATTTGACAATAGGTTAACTCTGTTGTTATATCCTCCAAATCCAAAGTGAATGACTGTTTATTCTCCTTTAAGCCCTTACCCGATATAGTGCCCTCTTCCCATGGCATTTTTGAGATTTGAAGCTACAATGACGGCATTCTGTCTCCAAACCCGCTAATCCGGGTCCTAAAGCCGTCGAAAAATTTGCAACTTCCCCCTCAACCTCTCACAATATCGCTGTCTTTTCTGCAGCGTGCGTATTGTCTGATGGAGGTGGCAGGCCGCGCTAGTTTCCGCGCTACATTTCATCGCAATGTGCATAGCATCCCACTTGAACTTTAGTAATACGACTAGCGGTGTTGCCTCGGCATTCCAATCTAGGGGGTTGCAATTTCTAGAACCATCATTAATGTCTTCACCGGTGATCGGCTGGGCCCAAAGCTCACTGTTTTTACGGGTGCATGTGTCTCCGTTTCTGGATGCGCCCTGCAGGCAGACTCGATCAACATGGCGATACTTGTCTGTGGTCGTCTCATTGTCGCTGTCCCAGTGCACGCTAGTGAGATGGCTGAAGCCTCCACGCTTGGTATGCTGTTTGGTCTGTTACAATGGATGTTGAGCTGGGGAGGTCTTGTTGCCCAGTGGCTGGGTGATGGGTGCTCCTTGTTGAGACTTCCTTTGAATGTGAATATTCGCTTCGAATAATTCCATTTCTTCTTCGTGTTGAACGTCGTTGCCATGATTTGCTACTTTTTCTTCCTCCCGGAGACCAAGGGTAAGACGCTGAACAGATGGACTTACTCTTCGAGATCATGGATCGAATACCTAGTGCCATCACGCTCCAGAGATAAACAAAACGATGGGAATATGTACGTGCCATAGTATAGTTCTCCGGATTCTCGTTTGACGTATGGCACAGCGGGGATTGTTCTCGCCATTTCCTCCTGTAAATTGTCATGCATCTCGACATTTCGCCTCGTGCTTTGGTAGAAAACGTGGGGGGAGTATGAAAGTGCGTATGAACCGATCGCAATGAGTGAGGACGTGCCCCATTGGTTGCCGGAGTAGCCAATCGGAGGCAGTTCTCCCCTGGCGTCGCAGGCATGGGCCGGGCTCCCATTGGCCGAGTCCTCAATGGGAACGATCTCCAATAGTCGCCTTGAGACTCCTCATGACGACATCGGATCTTCTCTTGAGTGTTGCATTCCGCATAAATACGCGAGCTGACCATTCGAGGCGGTTTGCCTGGAATATACGTCTAGGTATATGTGGACCCGAGGTCAAGTCTTCGAACGTAGTCTGGAGGTCTTCGGGCCCTTTAAATAGGAGTTGTGGCTCCCATGAGAAATATAGCTTGAAAGAGGCACTCCCATCTTTCCAGAACCGTTCTTCCCTCCCTGCCTTTTTGTAGTCAGTCTGCAGAATATTTCCGCACAATATATCTTTCTCGGTCATTAAGCCTTGGAAACTGCAGTCCGCGAGGACTTTCGTCTTCGTGAATGCTTCCATCATAGACCCGATGCAAGGCAAATTGATCCACAATGCCACTGTCAAGATATCAGGAGGGAAGACCGCTCGAATCGTCAGCACAGACTCAACTACAGCAAAGTCGGGCTTCCCCAAGACCGAAGTTATCGACCTCAGCGGAAAGTATCTGGCCCGGGCTTCATCGATTGCCATGTGCATATCGCGGTGGTTCCCGGGGAGGTAGACCTACGTGCCTACAAGTACATGACTGAGCGAATCAGCCTTCTCCGACAGCCGCACGTCCTCAAGACCATGCTAGAGTGCGGATTCACGTCAGATTAGAGACTGTGGCGGTGCGAGTTTGGCCATGAAAGAGGTCATTGAGGAGAGAGTGGTGCCGGGCCTTCGACTTTCCATTGCTGGGTTTGCGCTCTCCCAGACAGGCGGGCATGGTGATATGCGCGGCCCGCACGAGTCTCAGCTCTGCTGCGGTGGCTCTGTCTCCGGTATTAGCAAGATCGTGGATGGCCCAGCCCCGTGCTCCAAATACGCACGCGACGAGCTTCAGCAGGGTGCAGACTACATCAAGATCATGGATGGAGGCGGCGTGGCAAGTCCGACCGTCCGCATCGAGCATGTGCAGTTTTCAGATGAGGAGATCAAGGCCATCGTGACGGTTGCCCACAGCGCCGGCACATACGTGACGAGCCACAGCTACACGGCCCAAGCTATTCAGCAGGCCATCAAGCTCGGCGTTCGGGGCATTGAACACGGCAACCTCCTCGACTTGGAAACCGCGCAGTTGATCCCTGAGAAGGGCACGTTCTTGACGCCGACTCTCATTGCTCACGTCAGGTCGAAGCAAATGAACTTTCTGCTGCCGGATGGTGCGGCGAAGAACGACAAAGTTCTCGAGAGGGGATTGAGGGCGATGAGGATGGCTGTTGACGCTGATGTCACGGTGTGCTTTCGCACTGATCTTCTGGGGCCGATGCACTTTGCGCAAAGCAAAGAATTCTCGCTTCGCAGCAAGGATTTGACTCCTATCCAGAACTTGCGGAATGTAACTATTAATGTGCCTCGTCTTCTCATGCCAGAAACTAGGCTCGGTCAGGTCCGAGAGGGCTTTGCAGCGGATCTGCTGGTTCTCGATTCGAACCCATTGGAGGAAATCACTGTTTTGGACTGGGCCGAAACAGAGTATCTTGGGTGTAGTCAAGGAAGGGAGAGTTGTGACATCTCGCTGGGAGAACCTGCGTGCGGAGACTTGAGCTTAAGTAATATAAATTCGTACAAGAAGATATGTTTTGCGGATGAGAAGATTCGAATAAGGAATTTTTGATATTTTGATTCGCATAGGTACATATATGTGCAAGGCAAGAAGCCCACGATTGATTTCACCGGTACACAATCTGGGATGGATCTGTTATACACGCTGTGTGCTGACCACGCCGATCAAGATGTAGAGCAAATGGACCTCATCGGAGGCTGTATGCTGTCGTTATTACAAGAGACTCTATAAATAAATGCATCACCGAGACGCTGCAACTACGGTGACTGGCAGGGGAAGGGTGGTGGTTCTGGAATAAACCTGTTCACTGATTCATGATGAGACAAGAAAATTTTAGTGATTCTTCAGGCCACCATCCTCGGAATCGAGGGAACGATGGGAGCTGCGGGAGCTGCGGGAGCTGCCCGCAAGTGGGAGACTAGAGTCGCCCAACTCACGGTAGGCACGTTCCCGAGCGACTGACTTGTCCTTGCGGATAGTAAGACAATTGATGCCTAGGAAAGTGGTGATGCGGTTGATGACCAGCACGGCCCAGTGCATGTACACCACCAAGGCAAAGAGGAAGTACAGACGCAGGTACCAAACCTCTAGCGAGTGGCCGAGAGCTGGCAGGCCAATGCGGGGCAGATTTGCCAGAAGAGCACCAAAGACGAGAGGGCCCTGCAGAACGGTCCAGTAGGGGAAGGGCTGGCGCAGCAGGTGGGCCAGGATAATCATGGTGGTCATCCGGCCAAAGACGAAGGAGATGGTCCAGCAGAACAGAACCAGGTGGTTCTCGGACAGAAGGCAGGAATAGGGCGAAAAGAGCCAGGCAACGATGCACAGGGTAAACCCAATCATGGGCACCCACTCCTTCAGCAGGGGAGTGAAAGGCAGGCCCTGCTTCCTCCGGGCAGACCAGACGTTTAAAACGCAACCCGGGAGGTGAGCAAGGAAGAAACCGCCGAGCAGAATCGGCACCCAGAGGTCCTTGACGGAGTTGTTGCCAAAAAGCTGCGGGATATTAATGAGGTCGGTAATGGGTTGCGACCAGATTTCGGGTCCCCATATTCCAGAGGCGAGCATAATGCCAATCGCAATGAGAAGACCCTCAGTGGGACCGTTAAAGTAGCCAAGGTACAAGGTGTGTGTGTGGAAAGTCTCCCAGGTCGAGAAGTACATCGCGAGGCAAGGCACCAGCGCGGTATATGCACCCAGTTGCGAAGCACCGAAGCCCATGGCCGCGGTCTCCAGCAGACTAGCCAGGGTGCAATTCAGTGAATCAATACCGTGACTGTTTTCCGTCAGCAGCATTCCCATGGGTAGGTGAGTGGAGGTACGAACTCAAACAACTCTCCCAGCCCGCTGGAAGTTCCAGTTCTGCGTGCCTGTTTACCGTCGACATTATCCAAAGTCGAATACCTGTGCCTGGTTAGTTTGGACTGCGGGAGCCGAGGCCATGGATCCACTCACATCCACACGCCAATAGCGAAACTAAAATACAACCACCAGGGCCCCTACAACAGAATATTTAGCGGAGGCCTGACTCTCGGCGTGTGCATGGCCTTACCGGGCCGATCATATCGGGCATGAATATTTCGATCAGGAACACGTTGAACACAATGAACATGAACCCGAGGAGGGTTACCATGTTGGGGGCAATCGACATTGGGAGAAGCTCGACAAAGGCATTCCACTGGGACGCAGTTCCAATATGTCAGTTATCGTAATTTATGCATGGCGCATGCATTTTGGGGCGTATCCATACGTAGTGCTTGAGGATATACCGCGAGATAAAGGACTTGTCCACGCTGGAGTATTTGTACGACTTCAGGGGCAGTAAGGCATCGTCGGAGAGCGAATCTTGGGTCTCTGCAAAACGGAACCTCACGGATCAGTAAAAGGTAACATAGAATTAATTTCACATATTGCCCGCAGTCAACTCACCTTGGACCATTCGCCAAATCACGCTCATATTGAAGGTTGGCGCCGCGTCGCGTCAACGCTTTCAAGGTCCTTGAAGCGGGGTTGTAAACTAGAACGACACCTCGGCTGAAAGGAGGCCTGCGAGGAAGACAAAACAGGAGTGAAGAAACCGGCACGATCTAAGCTGTAACATGCGCAAAAACCAAGTTGCTGCGACCCAAAAATAACGAGTAAAAGCCAAGTCGTTGGAACGTTTCCAACAAGGGTTTTTCAGCCGTAAATCACGTGCCGCCCTCCGCAAATGGAACGCGAGGCTGCGATGCTCCACCAAGAAGGTTGACTCGGCCACCGGAGATTGTCTGCTTCGCCCAGTCGCGCTCGTGTCCACCCTCTGAGAACTTGCGGCTGTGATCCTTCGATTACTTTGCGCCGACGGCCGCTAACGTGACTCTATTCCGGCCATCGCTCACGCATCCCTCGGATTGTTGATACGGTCCGCCCAGGAGCTTCATTCGCGCGCATTGCATCACAATTCACGCCATCACCACCCTTGCTCAGTTGTCGCGCCCCTTTGGCTCTAGTCGCGCGCAGGCGTTGGATGGACATGACGCTTGGTGGTTCTCGCAGCGCCCTCTGCGCATCTCGACAGTGAGGGTATTCTTTCGCGATGCCGGGCGTCGTCGAAACGCTTGCTAGCTCGGCGGCGGCGCCGTTCAGACGGGAATTTAGTGTCGGACAGCAGAAGGTCGAACTGGATATTGATTTTGCGAACAAGAGTTTGAAAGGGAGCACCGAAATCACCGTCTATCCAAGTCGCATCGACCTTAAAACGATCCAGCTGAACTTTCGCCAGGGCGAGATCAAGCGCCTGACCGTCAACGGCAAAGCCGCAACATCGAAATATGCCGACCCCTACGAGAGCCTTCATCTGTACGGACCTCAGTATCATGAGCGTTTGACCCGAAAAATCGACGGCCTTTTGAAAACTCCACCGGACCCCCAGCTCGAAATCTCGATCCCGAAGAGCGTACATATCAGAGAGTTGGATTCGCGTTCTGCGGAGGCGCGAGAGCGTGTTGCATTACAGGGCGCTGGGGGAGATGTTGACGGACCATCCGGGGCCAGGGCGCCAGAGAGCAACCTGCCTCAATTCACCGCCGTCACTGTCCACATAGAATTCGCGATTGATCGCGTCCGAGATGGCCTGCAATTCGCTGGTGTCGATAGCGGGGATCGTCGGTATCCACATGCATTTACCACTAACTCCCCGGAGTCGAGCCTTGGGTGTCCGCTGTTCCCTTGCGTGGATGATCCGTCATCGCGCTGTGTTTGGGAGATCTCGATATCCTGCCCTTCGTCGCTGGGCGATATCTTTGACCGCAAGGCTGTCGGTTCCAGCTCATCCCGCTCGAAGACCCAGAATCGGTACATCTCCGCTGATGATGAGGGTTTGGATATGTCTGTGGTGTGCTCCGGTGAACTGACGGACGATATCACCGACCCTAAAGACCCGACGAGGAAGACTGTGTCGTTCGCATGCTATACTCCTCTGTCCGCCCAGCAGATAGGCTTTGCCGTTGGACCTTTCGAGTATGTCAACCTTGCAGACTTCCGCGAGAGTGACCAGGATGAACAATTGGGACAGAACGCAATACCTGTTCATGCATTCTGTCTCCCAGGAAGAGGCGATGAAGTACAAAACACTGGCTTCCCCATGGCTCAGGCGATTGACTTCTTTTCTCTATCTTACGGTTCATATCCGTTTTCCAGCTACAAGATTTGCTTTGTAGACGACCTCGCGACGGAAACGTTGCCCACAGCAGGAATGTCAATCTGCAGCAGCCATCTCCTCTTTCCCGCCGACATAATCGACGTCATGTACGATTCAACCCGTGCGCTCGTTCATGCTCTGGCATGCCAATGGAGTGGCATCAACATTATCCCCAATGAGCCCGCCGACACCTGGGTCACGGTGGGTGTTGCATGGTTTGTGACAGATACATTCATGAAGAAGCTGTGCGGCAATAATGAATACCGATATCGACTCAAGCAGATGTCCGACAGGATTTGCGAGTTGGACTACGAGCGCCCCTCAATTTACGACATGGGAAATTTCCTGAAGATCGACCCATCGGAATATCGATTTATTGCTCTGAAAGCACCCTTGGTTCTTTTTATTCTTGATCGTCGTCTTACTAAGGCAAGCGGAAAGGCCACTATGTCTCGCATTATCTCGAGACTTTTCCTCAACTCGCGCATGGGTGACATTCCCAACGGCGCAGTGACTTCGTCTATGTTTCAAAGGTTGTGTGAGCGATTCGGCCACGCCAAGTTGGACATCTTCTTCCAGCAATGGGTTTACGGTGCAGGGTGCCCGCGCTTCCAAGCCACACAGCGATTCAACAAGAAGAAGCTAGTGGTTGAAATGATGATTAGACAGGTCCAAGCCGACCAACCATCCGCCCGGGATCTTGATAAGAATGCCTTCTTGCGCGATGTCAAGGAAGAGGTTCGCCATGTCTACGCGGGAGCCATTCAGCCAGTCTTCACCGGATCTATGACTATTCGAATTCACGAAGCTGACGGTACCCCGTACGAGCACATTGTCGAGATCAAGGAGGGCGTGACAAAATTTGACATCCCGTATAACACAAAATACAAGCGACTCAAGCGCAACAAGAAACAACGGGAGCGTGCAGTTGCCTCTGGCGATGCTGAGACGCAGGAAGAAATTCTGCTGTACTGCCTTGGGGACGTTCTTCAGACAGAGGAGGAGGCGCAAGCCTGGCGCTTGGCTGATTGGACCAAGGAAGATGAAGAACGAATGGGGCAGGAATCATACGAATGGATCCGCATGGATGCAGACTTCGAGTGGCTGTGCAGACTGTCCCTTGGTATGCCTGGCTACATGTATCTTTCGCAGCTCCAGCAAGACCGAGATGTCGTTGCCCAGCTCGACTCCCTTCAGTACATGGCCGCTCAGCGAGAACATCCTTTGATCTCGACTATTTTTGTTCGGACTCTCATGGACAGCCGATACTTCCACGGCATTCGCGTCACGGCGGCGAGGGCGCTGATCAAACACGCAAAGGATGAGGTGGATTGGATCGGGCTATACCATCTTGAAACAGCATTCCAGGAGTTATTTTGTCTTCCCGGATCACCCATGACACGTTCGAATGACTTCTCGGATCGGGCGGCGTATATCCTCCAGCAAGTAATTCCGGACGCGATCTCACAAGTTCGTGACAACAGCGGCAAGACTCCTTTGCGGGTAAAACGGTTCCTGTTTGACAAGCTCAAATTCAATGACAACTCGAACAATGAGGTATGTACACAATTTTTCGTCTTGCCGATCTTGATGCTAATTATGGTAGTACTCTGACAATTTCTATGTGGCCTCTCTAATGCGCTCGCTCTGTCATGCGATGCTAGGAAGAGGTGAGGCCCGACCCGAGGATGAGTTGTCCCATTTTGATATGGAACGCGTGATCGAGGCTCAGGCCGAAGAAGAATTGGAAAAGGATGCCATCGCCGAGTTTGATCGCTATCGAAGAATGGATGAATGGTCGAGTTCTTTCCAGAACCTATACGCGCGAGCAGCATTGCACTGCCAAACGCAGTTGATGCAGGCCAAGATTCTCGATGTTGATCTAATGCGTTTCATTCCTTATACTCGCCCCGGAACCTATGATCTCCTTCGCATACAGGCATTTGAAAGCCTCGTTGATCTTGACATCGCTCAATACCCCGATCTCTTCCGCTGGCTCATCTTCACCATGACGACTGATTCCTCTGCTTATGTTCGGCATCATTGCCAACGGTTGTTTGGACGAGCATTGGCGCAGGTCGCCTTTGGCCGGCCCCAGCAGGTTGAACCCGTTCAGACTGGTGGCTTGATTATCGAGCAGGAGTCATCCACCGAGGTCCGCCAAGCCGATATTGCGCGCCGACAAACGGTGCCTGGTGCGATTGAAGCTCTGAAGAGGGAGATCTCCGGAGACTCGTCCCTTCGCGACTACATGTGGGCTGCCTGCAACTCGACGGTCATTGGAGTGTACGAGCTATCCGAGCTCACCGATGTGTGCAGCATCCTTTTCGACCCCGTCACGTCAAAGATCGCAAGATTGCAGTACCCTCGCTACTGGAAAGTACAGAACATGGGCCATGGTCAATTACGATTCTATAAGTCCAGCCGTGTCCGGACCAGCCTGGGTCCCTCAAAAGACAGCGCCAAACGCAAGCGCGATGAACAGGCAATGCAACCACCCGCTCCGCGTATCACTTTCAAGCAGTCCAAGACCAGTGTCGTCGCCCCCAGCACCCCAACCACTCCATCCACGCTCGCGAAAATCTCCATTCCTGTCCCTCCGCCCAGCATCCCTTACCCGGCCGCGAGCACACCCGCCGCAACTACTCCGTCCACGCCAGCAAGTGGGGGTGGGCTCAAGCTGAAGCTCAAGCTTGGACAGAAAAAATAACCACATGTACTCTACTCTACCTCTTCTTTTTCACGTTGACCCTATTTGCCCGTTCATTCCGGGGGAGAATGGAAATCCATGCATGGCTTCAGGCGCGAAGGACGGTCATACATTTGGTTTCAGAAATAATATCATATCAGTTGTGCCTCACAGTTTGCTCTATTGTGGGCATGTCAGCCTAGGCAGGCTACTTGTACTAGCAGGGAGTCCTGACTATCATGAAGACGCCCGTAAAAATGGCACTTAGGCGCCTCAGCTTCTCGAAGGGGCGTCTTGTCGAATGAGCTGAGAAAGAAGTAGAAAAGGTTTTGATTGTTCCCGTATGAGCAACCGATCCAGAAACTCCCAGTATCATTATGGTCTCTCCCAGCCGCCAGTCCAAACCGCATGCATTTTGGACTTCTCGAAAATCAAAATCGTAGGTCGTGCAGGTGGTAGTGGTGTTTTCCTTTATTTGTCGTTTATCCGCTCGAGCGCCTCGAGCATGACAACCGAGTTACCGCGAATGACCTGTAGAGATTACTATCAGCAGAAGCCCCGGAGGGAAATGAGAGCCACGATACATACCACCATGCCGACCGAGACCTTCTCACCCCCGGGCTTTTCTTCGAATGCTTCGTCAAGGACGATGTTCATGAACACCTGTGAACGCAAAGTTAGCCTGGTGTTGCGGATTTAGAATGCACTCTCGACCGCCGCGTCAGGCCCAATGGGCCTATTTGATAAGGTCAAGGCAAAATTCGAGCTGTCGCGACTCGGTCACCGGGTGTGATAGGGAAATCAAACGTACATCGTAGCCGCGGAGGATGCCAATGACTTTGCGGTTTCCGTTCAGCTGGCAGAAGACCCGCTTCTCCATGTACTGTCGAGCAGAGTTTTATCAGCAGGGCTACTTAATCAAATAGCTTCGGTCATGAAACAGCAACAAACCTTCTTCAATTCTGGCTGTGCTTGAGGCATCTTGGGCAAGCTGATCTCTGTTCTACGGATTGGCAGAGTTCGATGATCGCGGTCGCTTTGGAGTTTGGGGCTCGGAAAAAGGATGTTCCCGATAGACGCGATAAGAGCTCGCGCAGCTTGCAACAACTTCACCTTTCGGCTTAGCAGTGCGGATTTCTCTTTTCACCTGCGCACTGTCCCGCAAGCACGATGAGCTCAAAATTTGCAAACCGCAGAAAACCGCGGAAGGTCGGTGGTAATGATTCAGAGGAGGAGGACAGCGGTGCTGCGCCAGGTGCGTCTATATTGCCGACATAGGCCTACATGCCAAGCCTCAACTTGATCGAGTAGCTAACTTCAACACCTACAGAGCCTGTTGTCAAGCGACCTGCCACGTCAAAAGCCAAGCCAAAATCCAAACTGAACCTTTCCTTCGGCCCAGATGAGCCCTCAATGGCAGTGGATGACGATCAGGGAAGCGAGATCGTCATTCCCAAACGACATGGCCTTGGCCGAAAAGCTATTGAGAGAAGCGCATTCCAACATGATTCAATACATTCGGGGGCATCAGACGCAATTTCTGCGCGAGTCAGCGGCGATCAAGATCGACCCAGCTATAGCCGGGAGTACCTGAAACAACTCCAGGATTCGACACCCTCTACACCAAAAACCAGCACGGACGAAGAGAAGGACAGGACAATTGACGTAGCAGCCAAGTTTGGCGAAGTCATGACTGTCTCGACACCATCAGCCATCCCCAGCGAAGCGGAAATTCGAGAAAAGAAGGCCCGGCGTGCACGGCTCGCCCTAGAACACGGCTCTACGAAAGAGGATGATTTTATCTCGCTCGAGGATAACATTGGCAGCGATGATGATTGGGATTTGATAGCGAAAGGAGAGAAAAAAGCAGAGAAAGAAAGGGACACACGAATGGTGCGCGATGACGAGGATTTCGCGGAAGGGTTTGAAGAGTACGTAGAGGATGGGAAGATCTCACTCGGACGAAAAGCGGAGCGCGAGCAACAGCGCAAGCAGCGTGAGGCAATGCGTGAGCTTATCGATGATGCGGAAGGGCTTTCAGACGAGGAAGACTCCGACGTCGAGGAGAAAGCGGCATATGAGGCTACCCAAACGAAAGCCGCGATTGGTAGCGGCCGGTCTGATGGCATTGAGCGACCTCGCACACCTCCAAAAATGACATCTTTGCCCAAGCTGGCCAGTAGTCTTGAAAGACTTCGCACAACTCTGGCATCGATGGAGACGTCAAAGACGCAGATGATCAGCCGAATGGAAGACCTGCGAAGGGAAAAGGAGGATATCGCCCTACGCGAGGTGGAAATTCAAGTGCTTATTAAGGAGGCCGGTGAAAATTATGAACGCCTTAAGAAAGAGGCTGGTATTGACCCTGCCACCGACGCCGATACATCAGAAGGAGCGATGGAGAAATCGCGGGGCCTGGAAAGCATCGGGGCGCCCATGGCAACATCTGACTCCAGCTCCGAGGAGTTATGATCCCTTTTTCTTTCCCCTTGCAAGCTTCTTGCAAGTCTCCTCTTTCTGAAATATCCTGGCTCTCTCGTGCGAAATCAGTGTTGGTTTTTTGATACCCCTTGGCCTTTACTTGTTCTCCTACATACTATACATTATGACATCGGCTCCTTGCTTTTCTATTTCCCGTCGATCCACTTATAGCACCGCAAGTTTGGAGCAGCACCAAGAGTGAGTCACCTTGAGCAAAGCTTTGCGGATTAGAGTCTGAAGCAAATCAAGGGTACGCTATCGTGGCTTGCCATGGATTGCCAGCCCGCTCAGCAAAACAAAAGACGGCTTCCAGTTTTACCACCATTCGGACGCAACGCCATTCGAACTCTTCTTTGATCTGTTCTTCGTGGCCAATCTCACAACCTTCACTGCTACATATGAGATCAACAATCTCAACGGTAGGCCATATTGTCCAATTGCTTGCACTAGAGCTATGCTGATGGATTCTTAGCTTTGGCCGCATATATAGGATTCCTTGGTGTGATCTGGTTCACCTGGCTACAAGTCACTGCATTCGACGTTCGATTTGCTCGAGACTCCTTCTTTGAAAGGGTATGCAAGGCTATCCAGCTGGGTGCGATGGTCGGTTTCGCCTCCGCGGGATCTCGATTTACCACGAGTGTTCAGGAGGAAAATGTCTGGGTATTCCAGTCTCTTACCCTGATTCTGGCCGGGAGCCGTGCACTATTGGCAATTCAATATACAGTCAATGTCGCTTTTCTCCGTCGTTCAATGAAATCAGCTGCGAAGGGAGTTGCTTACACGGCACTTGTCTTCTGGGTGGCAACCCTCCTCTATCTTTTGGTAGGTTTACGTGGATTCTGATTGGGTAATTTGGTGCTGTGCTAATGAAACTGGTAGATGTACCCTGCCTTCTCGGGAGAAGGCGGACTCCGCGCTCGGATCTGGGCCGTTTGGTTCGTCCTTTTCGGTCTTGAAATGTGGACGGTGATGGGGTTGTCTTGCATTTTCACAGATATCGGGTTCAAAGATACCCACCTTAATATGCGAATGGGCCTTCTCACCCTGATCATCATCGGGGAGGGTGTCGTTGCTATCACACGGATTGTCAATAAGACGGTTCGGCCCGGCGGATGGACCAAGTGGTCATTCATTCACATCCTGGGAGTGACTACAAATGTGGTAAGGTTACATTAACTGTATAAATTGTTTCAGAGTATGGTTAACGAAAGACAGTATTTTCTCTGGCAGGTTTATTTTGATGTCTCACCTCGCCGCCAACTCGGAAAGTTCAAGCAGCAATTATGGGCACAGTTGCACTTCCCACTCCATGTGGCGCTCATTCTGCTTCTTGAAGGTTCTCAGATTCTTGCACTTACTCTGGACGTGGCCTTGAAGCTGAAATATCTGAGAGAGACCCTTTTATCTGTATGCGAAAGGCCACGTCCAAGCTCGGCTAAAGCGGTAGAACTTATCCGAAGCACGATCAACGACATGGAGATTCCGTTCAGCCGCGGAGCCACGCAAGAAAGGGCAGCCATTTCGAGTCTCTTGGAAGATCTGGCGGTACAACCTCTGTGTCCTGATTCCAAGGCCTCCGACTATGGCTATACAGAGAATTTGTTCAACGACCTCACGGGCAATGTGACTGCAGCGCTATTCTCCAGCATGGACATCTCACCAAGCAAGAAGGTCGACATTAGCCTCCTCACCAACCAACAGCTACTGCAAATGTACATGAAACTGTTATCGTTTGTGTACATGTATTTCTTCGCAGTTGCTAGCCTTACCATGGCCCTTTTTGCCGCCTTTCAAGTGCTCTCATGTCGGCATGAAATTCATTCCCATCGAAGTGTCTCGACGATTGTACGAATCATACTCGCGATCTTCTTGGGCAGCCTTGTCTCATTCGCTGGTCACTTCCCATTGGCTTATTCATTTATGACCTCGCCCATTATCCTGTACGCCTTCACTTTAACGCTTCTGAGTGGTCGGTTCTCCTTCCCCGTGTGTGTGATTGATTGGCTCTGATTGGCTCCAGTGCTCTTGGTTGACCGACTTTTGGACGATCTAGCATCCCGGCGAGATGCAGCTGACCGGCGAAAGCGGGAAAACAGCACAGACCTTGGGCGTCCAGCCTCTGCATTGGGGATGGTGGCAGTGGCTCCGGTTCCAGTGGCGGAGGAAAATGTCAGCCCGTCTGTCTCGCAGTCCATTGCTGGGGGGGATGGCAGCCTTGAATCTGGAGAGCAGAGCAGCGTGCAAGACTAGCCCAATTTTCTTCCGACATAACCGACTTAATGATTCAATTCATCTGGGCCGGTGCGGGATAGTTCTGCCTGCGTCTGGATCATGTTGCCTAGGCCTTCATACCCATCTTACATCAATATTGATTCACTCGAAAAACCAAAATCTTAACTCTTGGTGAACATGGATGCCGAAACTTGACTCGAGCCATACGCCTTTTCCCTTGGATATATCTTCAAATTATCATCTATTGGCATACAAAGAATCCAGTACAGAGACCGTAGTGGGGAAAAAGGCTGGGTGCGCTGGATTATCAACATCATTGGCTGGCCATACCCGAGAGCGCATACAGGTAGCAGGGCCGTTATAGGGTGCAGATTATGCAGCAAGCCACAGCTGCATAACTTGAGTGGGTATACAATTTTTTTTCGCCTCGGAGTCTCCTCTGACTGCTTTTACCTCGTGTCTGTGTGAAATGCTGTCCTATTATGTCTTGAAACGGTAGAACCACGATGGATGTACTTCAATGCTAAAAGAGAGGGAGAGCTAATCGATCAGAATTCCAAATTGGTTCCAATAGTTCCAGTTGAGCATAAATTGAGTTCTCCATCTTCCACTCACTCAACCCGTGAAATGGTGTCCATTTACTTATTCCTGGCCAATCGGCCCTTCACATCAGTGATGGGTCCTCGCGTATCTTGATTACCATCCATCCTAACTGTACTATCTTGTGGGCTCTTTCTCTAGCTTCCCGAGACTTGTTTCAGATGATGGACAGTTAAAGTAAAATACAGCTCATAGCAGATCGCTCACGAAGAGTCGGACGAATAACACGCTTGCATTCTTATCTGCATATGCAGCCGCAAGGTCTCATTCTAGCAATGCAGCGAGCTCCACCGCGGGGATTTTACCCCGAGGGCGAAAAGCTAAATCCGGGTTCCCAAGACGAGAGAGACGGAGGAGAGGGTGAGTCGATGGCCGACAGTCAAAGTAGCTTGGAATTGCCTCCGGGCGGGTATGCTGAGCCGTCATCCCTCAGGCAGGATGGCCACAACCGTTGGGCGTTCGTATTTCTCCGGGCCGGTTCTCCATCATGCCGGTTTCAACGCCACCCAGCCCATCCCAATGTATGAAAGAAGCTTTTTTGAAACACGGCCAATCGCAGGGATGTGTTGGTCTGGGGGCGAAGTAGGCTTCCTATGGGTCTGTGCGGTTTATAGGTCTGTAGTGGCTCCATTGACTTGACGTGCTATTATGTTATAGGAACGAGCTACCTCCAAAGGACGAGACGCTGAGATACTACCTGGCTTACCCCAGTACCTCAAGTAATGTTTGGTCGGATCTCTACCATAGAGGAAGTAGAGATCCGTGAGATATACACCCGTTCCGTAAATTGCATCCCCGGAATGGACACATCACTTCCGATCCCCGGATCATCTTGTGGAGATTCCAACCGCTGACTAGGCATTAAAAAGCCGCCTCTCCTCCGTGCTCTCCATGTACAAAATGGATCAGTCGCATATTTCCCGATTGGCGCGGATGGCGGAGAGGCTATCCAGCGAGCCCTATGTGGCTATCCGTGCAAGATGGGACATTGTCAAACTGCCCACGCCAGGATCGGAAACGGGGCCTCAGAGGAATAGTGTTCAATAGGAAATTATCCTTCACACTATTTGTCGCTGACAGCCCGTCAATATCAAAGTTGATCTTGTTTGGGGCTGTGTTATTCGTGCGAGCTGGGGTTGCCGTAGTCTAGCTCCCGATCAGAACCATTGCTCTTAAACAAAATAAGCACCGGACAGTTTCTGAAGACAAACAAGAGGTTGGTCAAGTCATGTTTCTGTTGCACGATTGAGTCAAGATAGAAAGCAAAGGATCAATGAGAGCTTTCATGCCAACCCCGTCAAGAATAGAACTCGTCCCCTCTGTCCGTCTACGTGTCTCACAGGGACTCCGATTGCACTCCAAAATCGAGGATCAGACAAGACATTGCCGCACATAATAAAGAACCCATCTGAAACGGACAGCAAGTGGATCACTGCGACAGTTGATCTGAGCCCGGGGGATTGTTGGCCTGGCTAGGGTTGAGCGTCATTTCGGCAACAATCCATGTCGGTTGCCTGTCTCCGCCCCTTTGACCCTTGATCATCCATAACGGCCTCGATCCCGGGGATCAAATGACTTGAGATATCAGGGATCCCAGATCACCCATATCGCCCAGGGGAAAGAGTAATATACTCTCCTATTAAAACAAAGGCCGGTCGACAATGTTGCTCGATGTGTGACCTTCGATCCCATTGTGTATACTGTCTCGTTCTTCTGAGCAGACGCATTTCCAAAAGAGACTGAGCACTCTGTGCAAGTCATCAAACCTGTTGCGCACATCGTTCAACCTCAGCATACAAATTGCGGCCAGATCTGAGACAGCATTGCATTCGCCCGCCTAGCCGCCGGTCAGTCAACCCACAATCCACGATCGAGACCTGCGGTGAGAACTGCACATATTCAATATAGCAGTGCCCAACTGCTGCCCGTCGCAAGGTAAGTTCGAACGTCACCAGCCTGATAATCAAATGAGACCGTAACCTAAAAAGAGACACTAGGTATCAGGTTCTCACACCTTGTTCAGCCCTGCAGGCTTCCTCAATTGAACAACAGCCCAGCCGTTGCGCACTGACGGCCCTGCGTCTGAAGACATCAAAAGAGGGTCCATGTATCAACGGTAGTCCACACGCCGCGATAACCCGTGTACGACCAAGCTGGTTAACAGAGCAGCAATTGCGGTGAACTCATTAACAGCTTGCTGGCGGCGCGATATTCTGTTCCATATCTTTCTACTGTGCACGCTTGACAATGATTGATGTGCTGGCCAGCTCTGGAGTCCCGAAGCCATGGCTTGCCCAGCAGAAAAAGATGTCTGCGCTGCGTTCTGGGTCTAGCGTCAGAGGACCTTTATCCCATCTCAGCCTGGGAGAGGTTCTTTTGCTTGATAATCACCTGGTGCAGCCTGGCAATTGCCATTCTTACACAGCCCATCAACGCCAACCCCAATGCCACCACCGCAAATCACTCTCGCGCAAGCCTCCTCTCAGAAGAGGCCAACCACTGAATCTCTCTCGAACCAATACCAACATGTCCCGTACGCATATGCAAATGGGTCTTCGGCCTGGCAGAAGGTACAATGACTTCCATTGTCCCCAATCCCCCGGCCTCTCCCGCCGTCAAGGTACACCGTCGCCAAACGCTCATGACATGACCGATCCAGTCATGGAACTGCACTCCAGCAGTGGAAGCCAGGACAGCCGATTTATGCATAGCTCACTGGAGCCAACGGAAGATGGATTCACCAATACAACCACCCATGGATGTCACCAGCTCTTTCAGTCGATTCCAATGGCAGACAGCAGCTGCCCCCCCAAGGTTCCATCATTCGGTTCTGGGACGGAGACCTCGCCATCACTATCATCCTCATTCGACTTCATGGATGCCCCGAAAGAGGAACCTATGGCCTGCCGTCTGCCGCTACAAACTTCCAACCTTATGAACCATACCCCCGCCACGGCCTTTGCATTCCAGAACCGCAATACGCAGTTTGCAGGGTCTAGCAATATCGATACCTCGTTCCCATGGACCATGGGCAATGACGTTGAAGCATGGCATCACCAGTATCTCCCCGATAAACAGACAGGCCTGATGTGGTCGGCTCCCATGACCATGCCTCCCTCCTGGCCAACATTTGCTGATATCACCCTCGGCGGCACCGACGCCCCCGCGGTATTAGCCTACGACCTAGCTCCAAATACCTCAATATCACCACTCCAGCAATACACCCCCATCAAGGCGTCCTCCCCGCCAATACCAATTGACCAACACCTAGCACCATCAGCTCCGAAGCCCATCGTTGACATTGGCCACTCCCAACCTCAGGCAGTTCAACCCTCATACTCCGTCGACCACGGCTTGCCCTCCACCCAAGAGCCTCGCACTCTCACGCTCACGCACAGCCCCAAACCAAGCGACCAAGAGCACGGCAATCCACCCACCCATCCAGATCCAGTATACGCGCAAGACAACAACCCAGCCATAAAAGCGAGCCTGTACTACAGCGACACTCGCAACGCGCTGCTCATCGAGTGGAAGCGGCAAGGACTCTCCTACAAGGACATCAAGCGCATCGGTGGCTTCAAAGAAGCCGAGTCTACGCTCCGCGGCCGTTTCCGCACCCTCACTAAAGCGAAGGAGCAGCGAGTGCGGAAGCCCAAGTGGCTCGCTCGAGACGTGAGTGTTCCAGGGTAGCCTTTACTTGAAACTATGTGGGGAACAGAAGTCGTTGTCTGCCAATGAGCGGTGCTAATGCGTGGTTCTATCTAGATTCAGCTCCTCTGCGAAGCAGTCGCCGCTTGCACTGAACCGTCGCCGGCTCCAAATACGGCGTATATGCCTCCTGTGCAGGCTAGCGTGGCGCTAGCAATGGCTGGGAAGCCGCCGAAGGTGTCGTGGAAGAAGGTGGCGCAGTATATCTGGAGCCAGGGGGGTCGTACCAGTTTGGGAATGCGACGTGCAAGAAGAAGTGGTGTGAGATTCATGGTATCAAGTTTTGATCTATGGGTGATTGGTGTTGTGTATGGAGTTGTGGTGTGCTGTTAGTGTGCCGCCCTCTAGAGGACAGTTGTGGTGGTGGAGCTTGGTCGGATTGTTCATTGTCAGGCAGAGGCAGGTCTGTATTTGCCCGGTTTATTCCTTGCAATTGTACTTTGCGTTGCTTGTAGGCGTTGGAGAAGTAGATTGTGTACCAAGGCAAGCGTATCGATATTACTATCACCTCGATATCTCTTCTCCCCTCTTGCTGTATCGTATAAGTAACAGTCGTAGACGAAGAGCCATCGCAAATCGCAAATACCAGCAAATGCCCCACCCTATATACAAGTCCTCCCTCTTTTATCCTATTTCTACCTACTACAGCTTATGGCCTATCCCCGGCAAACCTACATCCCTCAACATCCTCCCCAAAATTTCCGGCTCCGCTCTCAGCACATCCCACTCCGCTTCCGCCTTAACCATCAGCGTCCCCGCCAGAATGGTCCCGTTCAGCGACACAACCCCAGGATCAGCAACATCTCCTGCAGCCGCAACATCAACTGGAACCCGCGCCGTCTCCGCGCGCCGCGGCGCAATCATCATCGTCGATAGTGTCATGGCAAGGTTATAGCTAATAGCGGCAGGCCCGTCCGTCCGCAGCGCAGCGCTATCCAGCAGGTCTCGGCCCTGCGACGCCGCGACAGCCGCACGGTAGAGCTTGATGTATACCTCGTGCAGGGCCTCCGGAGTCGGGTTGAGCGGGAGTGGGAGCGCAAAATGCGCGAATGGGAGGGCTGGATGGCTTTGGAAGGATGAGGGGTTGTGCGGTTGCGCGGTGACGAGGTCGATGAGCGGGGCCCAGGAGTCTGTGCCGGGTTGGTGCATGGCTTCGACGGGGAGAAATTGAAGGTGACGGTGCGGCTGGCTGGCGCCACTGTCATCGCCGGAGTTGAAGAAGGCGAAGAGGCGGTTCGAGCTTAGGCTTGGACTTGTGTGGCCGGCATTAGAGCCGGAGCTGGAGGTGTCCCAGGCGCGCAGGCATGCGTACGTGGAGTCGAGGTCAACGGGCTCGAGGAGGTCTGTTTGGGCTTTCCAGGATTTCGTGGCGAGGATGAAGTGGTTGGGTATCACGGGGAATTTGTTGAGAACCAGGGCGTGAGTTGGGTTTTGCGGGGGGAAGCTTGCCAGAAGCAGGTCTGGGGACGGAGTCTCGAAGGGGTCTGGTTTCGGGGGGTCGGGGTCGGAGGAGGCATTTGGTTTGAGATTTGAGGGCTTTCGCGCGAGAGCGGGACAGTAGCGAAGTTGGTACTGTATATTGGCCATATTAGACAGCGTATTGTGGCGATTGGGGAGCTCGGGGTAGGACGGGGAAGCTTGACAACATACTGGTATCCCTGCTGCGGTGATGATTGACAGGTATGTAGACGAAAAAATAAGGTGGCCGCCTTCTTTAGCGGCAGTGAACCGCCGCCCAACCAGCGCGGAGAGGTTTTCTGAGAGTCCTAATTGCATGGCGAAATAGTGTGGTTTGGAGGATGTGGAAGAGGGCCGAGGTGACGTGGGGATTCTGCGGGGAGCGGCGATAACAAAGGCGGTGATGGCACGGTGGAAAGGGCAAGTATGTAGCCCTAAATCTTTTGACATTTTTTAAAACGGAAACATCTGAATCATGAGTAATAATCCCATTAAAGCGACTATAGTTATGTAGTATTTTCAGTCCCATCCCATCCGCCCATCATTACCCGTGCCAGCAGGATCGGGTCGGTACAGGAAAAAGACAGATCGAAGACGAAATATAAGCCTCAATGATGCAACAATCAATCGAGCCAAAATGGAAATCTCAGGCATCATATCACCCCATGTCGAACAGAAAAAAAGAACCCAAGGTATCATCCGTAATCCGTATTCAGGCAAATTGCTCGTCAGACGCCGCTCGCTGGTATACGGAAACATGAGACATGGAAATAAAAGAAAGCACAAGAGGAGAATCAGAAGAAAAAGAAAGGGAGAGCGAAGAGAATACACAAGGTCCCGTCCCATTCCAGTACGGAGGGAAGGAATCCTCATTAGAGGAGAGAGGGAGGAAGAAAAACAAAGCAGCTCGTTCAGGCCATGAGTTCGTTCAAGGAGATCTCATCATCCTGCGCCTGGCACATCTCCGGCAAGAGCATCGCTGGCTGGCCCATAAGGTGCGAGGCAGGGCCTTCAATCCAAGGGCCGCGCTCCTCCTCATTGGCACTATGCACACCCTCGACGCGCTTCATAGTCTCGACGTCAAGGTCTGTGACATAGGCATCGCGGTGGGTACCATCGCCAGCACCACCAGGGAGACGAAGACGAACCTCAAACTCATTGTTGAGCATCATCTCGTCCTTCCACAGTCGGCGCTGGCCATCGAACACGCACAGCACACGCTTCTTCGTTTTCATGCTGGAGTTTGGGCAACCCCAGGACTGCGGGTAGTTGCCGCGGTTGTTGCGGCGGCGGGTTGCGACCGCGCGAGCACCGTTCTTACCCGGGGCGTTGGCACCAGGCTTGGAGACGGCATTGCCGGAGCCGATGATGGGCCGCGAAGAGGGCCCGGTGGCTTTGGTGGATCTGGGGGCGCCGCGGCCGGCGCGCCAGGAGGAGGGGTCATGGGAATCGTCATCGTCGTGAGAGTCGTTATCATCAAGGGCGTCGACGGGGCCAGCCGCGTCCAGCAGTTGGTGCTTCTCCATCGTCTTCTTCACCTCCTCGTCGGCGGCGACTTCGGCCAGCCGCTGCTGGTTGATCGCCTCGGAGGGCTCTTCCTGCTGCACCACGCGCAGCACACAGTCGTCCAAGTGCTCGTAGAAGTCCTGGGCATTGCTGAAGGTCGCCGAGCAGGTGGAGCACTTGCCTGTGGCGTCGCTGCCATAGTTCGTGCCCTTGTTAGAGTTGGATGGGCTGCGCTTGCGGCAGTTTGGCGGCGTTTGCTCCACACCATGTACCGAGGTCAGGTGGCGCTTGAAGACGTCCGCGCGGTTGAAGCTCTTCTCGGCAGGTGATCCAGAGCCGGGACAGAAACCGCACACCATGGTGCCCTTGTAGTGGGTCAGGGTGTGGCGATTCTTGTCGTACTTGCGAGCGAAGCCTTTGGTGTGGTACTCGCATGTCATGATGGGGCACTTCTCGGGCCGCTCCGGCTGGTGGGTAAGCATGTGGGCTTTCAGGTCTTTGAAGACGCGGCCGCAGTCTGGGTGTGGGCAGCGGCCCTTCTCTTTGACCTCGTCGTCAGCTTCAACGCTGCTCAGTGCCGGGCTTCGCTGTGAGCGGCGGGAGTGGATGGAAGAGATAGACGAGCGGCGGTCGTAGGCGGAAACTGGTCCTGGGTGTGAACCCTCGAACATCATGAGTGCCGAAGGCCGTTGCGGCTCGAGATTGTCGCTAGAGGGAACAGGAGAAGCAGCGGGGGAGTGGGAAGCGAAGTTGGTGGGATAGGCGTAGGTAGACTGGTCGGGATAAGAGATGGTAGGAGTGAAGCCAGGGCCGGATTGGACTGGCTGGATCAGAGAGGGATCTGGGAAATGCTCTTAGCATATGCTTGTAGACCAATAATGGAGTTCCAATTTCCACCTCCAACTCCAACTCCCATTCCAGATTGCACTTACCGACGAAAGTGTCCGGGAACTTTTCCTGGTAGAGCCCGTCCATATCGACGGTGCTCCCCATATAACCATTAGAAAACAAATCATTCATAACGGCAGCCGGTAGACCAAGGCCGTGGTTCGTATTCATCCAGTTATCCTGGACGAGCTGCGCAGTCCCTGAATAGGGCGAGCCAATGGCTGAAGAAGGCGCACTGGCAACGGAGGGCCCCGAAGCAGCTGAACCAGTGGGAATTTGGTATTCGGCGGAGTATGACGCAGAAACAGACGGGGGCGTGGCGGGCATAGAAGAGAAAGTCGAGGCTTTTTGGAAGTCCGCGGACTCGGCGAACAAGGACGGGCTCTCGTAATACGATTGCGGGACCCGGGAGAAGTCGGTGTGAGAGTGCGTGTGGGGATGGTAAGCGGGCACCTCCATGGGATACGCGAACATATCCACCAAGCTGGGGTCCATGGTCATGGGCTGGAAGTATGTGGATTGTTTGGGTCTGGCGGCGTCGATGGCGAGCATCTTGGACCGGCGGAGGGAGGCGTAATTGAAATTGGGAGGAAAGAGAACGAAATCCGAGCTCGAGGGCTCCACAGTCGACATATGCTGGTGATCGAATCCCGCGACTCCGAGACTCTTGAGGCTCTGGTGCGAGAGCGAAGTTAGATCGGCTTCCTTTTCAAGGCCGGAGGCTGCCATGTGCGCGACCACGCTTCACATACCAGCGATAAGGTTCGGATTGCGGCCCGTTTAACCCCGTGCGAACCTCGGAAGAATCAAGGCAGGCAACGTGCCGAATTGACGGGAACACCTGGGTAGTTGCGCAAGGGGAGCGGAATGCGAGAAGGGGAAGGGAGCAGGTGCAGGTCGCATTCAGGTCGCAAGTCCGTAACAAGAGAATCACAAGGTAGATGGTAGAGGGGCAGTAGGGAATCCTTCGATCCTTCACTGTTCTAGTCCGCAGGGTGGAACGGCAATGCAAAAAAAGATGGTGAGGCAGAAACCAGGCGCGGCGGGGATTTATATACAACCTGGTGTTCGGCAGGGCCGAGAGGAGGGCAGCGGAGCGGGAGTGTGGCTCAGTCACCCGGTGGGTAAGGCAAGCACTCTTCACAACTCAAACAGTCAAAACAGGAAGAAGAAACTCAACTTGCAGACCGCACTCGATCATTGAGGAGAGAGGAGTAGTAGCCAGTGGGAGCGATCTGTCATGCGGTCAGAGGGGGGGCAGGTGGGAATATTATAGCGGAGGCAATGTTGCGCGCCCTACGGAATTTGTTGATAGTCTGTTTCTTGGTGCAGTGTCTAGTTCGGGAATGATAAAATCGGAAAATCGGATTAAATTTGCAAAAGAATCCCCTTCCCCCCCAAAAGAATTATTATTGAATTATGGGAATTAAAAAAAGACCTCGAAAATAAAATAAAAATTGCACGGAGTTAGCGCGAGCAGGGATGGAAGGAGCGAAAATCAACTATTATTTCTTAAAATATGCCATTATGCTGTAAATGACGGTGACCATACCATACACGACAAGGCCAGCACGAACCTAACTGTCTGCCGGGGGCTGTGAGGTGCGCCATAGGGAAACCGCGCCAAAGCCCAGGCTTAGCGACCCTGCAGGCCCCGGGAGCCCAAGCGAAGGGACCCCCCTACCGCCCGGTTCGTGACCTGATGGGCCTTGGCAGGGTTATGTCTGCAGTATGTTAACTATTGGCGATGATAGTGACATTCACACCCACTGCTATAGGACGGGTGTACTCCAACATTTCTTTTTTTTTTTTTTTGGGACCCCCAGGATTCACTCTATCAAGGTACAGGACCAGTTCGGCCGAGGGAATGATGCTCCCGCTCATATTAGTTCACCATGTCGTGTACCTCCTCCGTCATTTACTCACTAACAGAGAACGGACTAGACTGGATTAGAACGGGAGCAGAATGGATCAAACTGGATCAGACTGGATCAGACTGGATCAGACTGGATCAGACTCAGCCTCCTTAGGCCCCCCACCGTCCCTGCTCGCGCGGAGTTCCCCTTCCAACCTCTGACAGAACAGCGTGGAGAATCTACTCTACCCACCCTCTACCTTTTCGTTTCTTACTTTTCTTTCTTTCTTAATTCCTGGGTGCCTTAGCTCTTTTCATTTTGGCCTGGACGGCGTTCTGGATTTTTTTTCCCTTTTTTTTTCAATTTCCTTTCTGCCCTACGGGGTACCCGAGCCCCACGGGCCCTCTCTCACGCGAGTTTTCTCCGGGGGGTCATGCTTCGCACACCACGCTGTCAGCCCTAGACCCTCCCGACAGAAGTCATTAGGGAGTGCAATTATATTATGATATCATGTAGTACATATACTCGATACCGACTCCGAGCACCGATGAGGTCACCCGCCCTATACCCCGAAGAGTACCTGCATGGTCCATCCTCAATAGTGCGGAGAGAGTGGTGCATACAGAGCCGATAGATCGCTCGTCCACAACACAACACAAGTAGTTAATCTACACACATGGTGGCACAACCTAGCGTCTCCAGCCCGAGATTTCCCAGATCGGGTCTATCTGTCTAGGAGCTCTGAAGGTGTCAATCGTTACCTTAGGGGGAAAAGGGGGGGAGAGGGAGGGCGGGAGGTGGAACAGGGCCCGTCAAACACAAGCCATGTAGGGATCACCTCCCGGCACAGCCATGGAGATCGCCGGGCAGGGGAGGATGTCAAATTACTCAATAGCCTCAAGACGGGCCTAGATAGCGCCTCCTGGTCGTCCAATGGACGCATTGAACGCACTTAAACTCGGGCGCAAATGCAAATCTCCTAAAACCGCACTCCCATCATCGGCCGTCAGACACCCAATCTCGTCGAGATTGTACGGGAAAGGCGCCCCATAGTGGCCAATAGTGCATAGTTAATACGCATCCTCCGAAGAGTCCAGTCTCCGTGCGGAGTGCGAAGTAGAGGCTATGCACTTAATTCTCCATTCCATACATTTTGCGCATCGGCATGTCCGCGTACGTTTGCTGGCGCACGCTTGGCGCTATTTGTCAACGCCTCCCCCTCCCGATCTGCAATCCTGATTCGAGGGCGTCTCCCTAGGGATTATGCGGGATACCACGATACAGCGTAGGATAGATCGCCCTATCTGACAAGGTTACATTACAAAGCACGCGGTCCGCAGATAGGGCGAGAGGAGATGAGAGGGCCGGGGCAGAATGCATGGGTATGGGAGCGCAGAGCATCCGAGGTTGCGTGGACTGGCAGCTTTTCGGAAGAAAGGTCATCATGCAGCTGTACAGTGACTAGTGTGCCAGTCGAAGTCCGGAGCAACCCGTCCGGTAGACTGGGCCAGACGGACTGTAGGTGAGTCCCCGTTCACGAGATCCTATCGAATCACATCAAAGTACTCCGTACGTGTTGAGCTGTCAGAAGACAGGGTTGGCCGGGGGAGACAGTCAACAAGGAAAGCAAACCAAAAGAGCAAAACGGTGGAGTCGACCCATTTCTCGCTAAGCGTGCAGCTCATACCGAATCAAACCCAGAACACACTTTCTTGGTACAGATCTGGGCCGCAAACACCAAATCGTATTCACCCATGGGCTCGGTTGACGATCCCAGACGGGGGCCACATCGGCCACATCTAGCTTCCCCACAAGAATATCCCTTTCGGCAGGCGTGCATAGGCTTAGAGTCCCCATTACGCAGCCTGATTGGTCCCGTGCAGCGTGACAGGCTAATTGAAGGAAAATGAGGCCGAGAACTGCTGGACCCAATCGTGCGCACCAGAGGGCATCCGGCCGAACGCGGGTGGGGCCATTGGGGCGAAAGGGGGCCATGCGGGAGTGGGTTCGCGACGGCGACGAGTCGTGGTTGGTCTGGGGCCTCGGGCCCGGGCTAGACCGTCTTGATGCTAGTGGGGGTCGATCATCGACTGAAGTCATGGAGTGCGACAGCCAGTAGCCAATTGCCCGTCCTCGTCCGCTTTTCCCCCCTCCCCCCTACTCCGTACTTTCTCTTGTTGTCCCTGGCAAGAGCCGCATGGTTCAATCCATTGGCGTGGGCATGGCCGATGCGTTGCCATTCGGCCTGGTTCACCCTGTGCTCTTGGTTGCCTCTTCGCTTCTAGCCCGCCTCTAGACACCCCGTCTGCACCCTGGCCGGGGGGTTCGCTTCGCCAACCCTCACCCTTATCCCCTGGGGTGAATCAGATGGGCCGTCAGGCTGCATCCGCTCCCGCGATGGGGTGGTTCAACCCGCGTGGTGGAGGACGGGTGTTCCATTTGGGTCTGGAAACAAGACTTGGTGGGTCTGACGCCCATCAGACGATGCGATAAGGCGAAGTCAAATTGGCATGGCAAGGTACTGTAAGAAGTAGAAGGGGGGAAATTAGCGATCCAAGGAAGACAGACAACATGGTTCTTCGGCGTTCCCGCAGAGCCAAGTCAAGGGTCCGTTGCGAGGGGCCCTTCATGTGGTGTTAATGCAGGAAGAGCGCTCGGAAAAAGCACCAGGGCCAATGCCATGGGACATCGTGTCTCGCCTAGGACTAGCGTGCTCATCCGCCATGCCGTAGCCCTAGCGGGTATCGGGATTACCGTTCATGACCACCGAAGACGGTTAGTCTGGGCCTCACTAATCCGGTTAGCAGGGACATCACGATCGGTTAATGCGTGACTCTCGGAGTGGCCGTCACCAACCATGCCAGGTCGGTGAGTCGAGCGCGCCAGCGAGGAAACTAGCGCCACGAACCCTGCCTGAGCCACAGACGCCGCGCCCTTCAGATCCAATCATAGCCGAAACAGGACACCCTGCGGGGGGCCCCATTGGCCTGGGGGTATTCACCCTACAGGTCCGGCGACTGGTGTGAGGCGCAGCACGTCCCCTTTCACCGCTCCGCGTGGTTTGCGACCGGACCTGTCGGCGATCCCGGCGCCAGTCTTGACGTGGAGTAGGGGCAGGACTCCGGACTGTGGAGACATGACCTCATCCTCCGGCTCAGTCGCATTGACTCATGACCGATGGTTCCGCACTGGGGATGGAGGGGTTAGAGGGGATCTCCCCACGGATGAGCGGTCGGGGATCTCGCTCTGCCCTATGGGGCCTGCAGGGGAAGCCTTGCTGGGCTGGGGGCTTGCTGGCTCGCGACCAGACTCGTCGATAAGGGATTGGTTCTGGATGGGGACAGCACACATGACAACGCGCTGCCGATCGCAGCGTGGCAGTGTTCTCAGAGGGTTTCTAGATACCATTCGAGAACAACTATACCTCGATGAAGTATACAACAACAGGGCGTACGTCCAATCGAGTACATCGAGTACAGGGAATGCCCTCCCCATCCCTCGCAGCTCGCTCAGGTACTTCCTATTAGATGCAGTAACATTAAGCTAAATTGTACGTTACATTCCTCCCGGACGGTTTAGACCGTTTTCCCAAGCTTGCCCGTCATCATCCTCTCTGGCACCCGCTCAACCACCCATTCGCCCTCTCATCCTGCAACGTCTGTCATGAAACACAGGGCTGAACGAGGCATGAGCCAGTGAGCGTGCGAAACCGGGGTCTTCGCGAGCAGCGGACCCAGCGCACACTCGTGAAGGCCCATTGCCAGATGATCCAATCTGCGTCGCCAGACGGCCCTCTTCATGTTGGCCCCCAACGTCCACCCGCGATCCCTCCACTCACGATAGGGCTACATCAGCAGACGGAAAGGATGATTA